AGTAGTAGCAGTAGTAGTAGTAGTTACATCATTATTAGAACTACTAGATATACCTAGGTCATTTTGAGAATTTATATCGGAACTAGCTCTTTTAATATTTCCACCAATTTCTTTATTTTTAATGTCTTTGATCTTTCTTGGTGGATTAAGACTAGCTTCATACGAATACAGACTATTTAATAAAATATCATCACTTTTTTTGGAACTACAATCTCCTTTATCGAAATCGCAATTTTCATTGTTACAGTCTTCATCACAATATCCATCACCAACCCAAGAATTTAGGCAAAATTTATAGATGAGAGGTTGATTGTTATAGTCAACTTTTGAAACTGAACAAACGTTTGCGCAGTCTCCTCCATCATAATTACAATCTTTGTTATTACAGCCGTTGTCGCATATTCCATTCCCTATCATCCATGTACGGCAGTTACCCGAACAAGTTTTACAGTCACCCTTGTCAAAGAAACACTCTTCGGTATCACAATTTGGATCACATTGACCATCTCCAAGCCACATATTAATACAGCGAGAATTACATCTGTGCAGACAATCACCTTTATCCATATTACATTCGATTTTATTACATTCTGTGTCACATATATTATTACCAAGTAATTCTTTATTGCAATCACATTTAGAGTAATTAAAATCAATATTAGTTGTGTTTACACCATTTTTTTCAAAATTTAGCACTATTTCTTTGTTTAGCTCAAATTTATGATCTTTACAGTCCCCATTGTCCCAATCGCACTTTGAGTTAAAACAATCAATATCACACTGGCCATCTCCAAGCCAAGTTGGGCGACATTCAGGGGCACACCATCCAACGCAATCACCACCGTCATTACCACATTCATCAGAAAAACATTCTTTATCGCACCACCCATCACTTATCCAGGATTCTTCGCAACTCAACGGGCAATTTGGAAACTTCTGTCTCAATTTATCGAGAACAGTAATGTTATTTCTATTGTTAAACACTTGGTTGCTCATTTTAATCGGAACAACGTTTATTAAGTTACTTCTTATAGGAATAACATTCAACTTCTCACTAGAGTCATCGGATTGTAAAGAGACTCCGATTCCTAAAACAACTATTAAATATGATAGTAGGAGAATTCCCTTCATTGTGTATAATGAAATACTACTGGTAATAAACATATAGATATTCTATGTTCATTCTAGAAAAATTCTGTTCAAACAAATTTCAGGTTTTTTTATTTTCAAATGCTAAATTCTTAAAATTTTATAACATGCAACATGTATTCAGCAAACTACCGATGTTTGCATGCAAGGAGTTAAAGTAAAATATTTAATTAGATTTACAATATTTTGTTTATTTTAGACAAATTGTTTAACTGATGGAGGTTGAGTTTTCCTGTCTTAATTAAAAATTCGCTAGTTATTCGGTCCCAAAGTATCTGTCAGCAAAACAACCTAATCCTGGGACAACAAACCCATCAGAATTAACATCACGGTCAATTTCAGTTGTAATAAGAGTTGCCTCTGGAAAATCCCTACATATTCTATGTATTGCATTATGCGCAACAATAAGACTAAGGACAATAATATTGCGCTGTAAAACTCCTTTTGACAATAAATATTTTATTGCGGAAAATACACCAAATCCATTCCCAAGTATGGGGTCCAGAATAAATACATTCCTTGAGGCAATATCATCCGGTAGTTTACAATAAATAATTTTAGGTTTGTCAAATTGTGCATCGAGTTCTGTTTTTGGATTTTGGAACTCCAGCAGGATTTTCCCTATGGGAATATCTTTACAAACAGCAGACAAACCAATCTCCATGCTCTCACCTCCTCTAACAATTGATACTGCACAGAGTTTATCTTTGTAATTACATTGCACGCCATCGTACAATTCTCCAATAGGTGTCTCAATTGTTTGGCCAGTAAATGACAAGTGACCAAGAGCATTTTCTACAACCAGTCTAATTAATCTATCTGACCAAAACACAAAATCTACTGCTGATGTATTCTTATTTCTTATAATGGAATGCATTTGGCGTATTTGACAATTAGAAGGAATAATGTGCAAATTAGAATAAATTTTCCTTAGATCATCCATTTTTAGTTTGTTTCTAAGGTGTTGTACAACAAGGTCAACTGCAACTTCATTTGGGTAGTGTGGAATGACGATATCTGCATATCTTCTAGTTGGATAAATATATTCGTCATATGAAGGTTTGACCATCTTTTCGTATTGATTGAGAATATCATCGATTTGTCTACCTCTTTCAACAGTATCTCTTCTTATTCTGCGTATGAGGCGAATATCGTCGTCCGTGTCAACAAAAATTGACATATTTATGAGGTGTCTGATCTTTGGATGAAAAAGAATAAATATTCCTTCGACAATAATAATAGATGCTGGCGAGACTTGCCTTCCAGTTGTTAATCTTTTGTGTTGTTTAAAACAGTAGTTGGGAATATGCACTCCCTCCCCGTTTTTCAAACTTCGCAAAACATTGTATAAAAGTTCAAAGTCTACAGAATTTGGGTGGTCAAAGTTATAATCTGCAATAGTCTGTCCTTCTTCTAAAACTGGATTTTTATAAAAACTATCGGTTTCGATTACTGCAACTCTCTTGTCTCCCAACTCCGAAAAAATTCGGGTACATACACTTGTTTTACCACTTGCACTTCCTCCTGCTACTGCAATAACAAAAACATTTGAATCACCGCTAGGTGTTTCGGCTTGATCACTATAATATATGTCTTTTGAAATCATTCTCTCAAGACTAATGTCGGACATTATTAAAATTTATAAATAAAAAATAACAATAAAGTAATTTTTTTTTTATAAAAATATTTTTAGCTATTAATAGGATCCAAATAATAATAATTACTATTAACTTAATAAATTTTTTTAAATAATTTAACGTTCAAATATTTATTTGGTGACAAATATTTGATATGAAAAATATCGGCGGTAATAGTTATTAAAATAAAAATGAAACTTTTTTAATAGTTTTTTTCTTAATTTGGTATTAAGCACGAAATGATCCCAATAATCGATTCATTGATCAAATTTTATTCGTTATAATAATAAAAAACCGAATATATTTTTTTCTTATTTCATTATTTTTTTAGCGCGATCACGAATTTTTTGTGGAATAGTTGGTGAGGATTATAGAATACGTAATAACAATAATAATAAGTATTCTTAAATGATTGACGACCAACTTATAATATATACGCTTGTAATATCTCCTGTTGTTGGTTGGCTTACTTCAACGAAAAGGGCTTGGAACAAAAAGAACCAGGTAAATGGAGTTATTCTTGCACTAATTGTGTTGGTTATTGCATGTGTATTGCAGAATGTGAGAGTTTCACAGAATTACTACCAAGTTCTGGGTATATCTAGCAATGCATCAAGATCTGAGGTTACTGGTGCATACAGAAAATTAGCACTCAAATTCCACCCAGATAAAAACTCGGATCCAAACGCACGAGAGATATATTCTAAAATTAGAAATGCAAACGAGATATTGTCAAATGATTTAAGCAGGAACTGGTACCGTAGATTCGGAACCGTCGAAAACAATTTAAATTCATACAAGGTCTCTGAGGATGAAGAATTCATTGATTATCCCTTACATCTAACATTAGTACCTTTCATTACTGCTGTAATTCCGATTTGCTTGTCATTATTGATGTGGAATGATCAAGAAAATTTAAGAATAATAATTCTTTGCTTTATAGTTTGGACTTTGTCATGTGGAATTTTACTTAGGTTTGATAAAAATGAAAGGGACTTTTTGACATTTATCCCAATTTTTAGAAATTTTCTCCCGTTCGAGAAAATTAGAGTGTTAGAGGGGTTATATATAACGGTCATGAATTCTTTACAGCTTATCCTCCCATTTTTCACAAAAAGACTCTACAAAAATGAATTGGCAGAATTTTACCAGTCTTTGTTGAGGAAGAAGTTGCGATTAGTAATTTATATAGAGGATTTCTATTGTGGTTTGAAGTCGGAAAGTAATAAAATAAACGAGGGAAACAACATTTCAACGTACAATTTTAGCATTGTTACTCCAGATTTTCAGTCAGATGCATTAAAGGCAGAGGTAATTAAGCACATGGAACAAACTAGTTTGGAGTTCAATCAATTGTTAATTGAGGAACCGTATTTAAATGAAACATGGGACAGTTCTTTTCAAAATGTTTATCATTTACTAGAGGATAATCTTGATCTCGAAGAAAAGTCAGGGTTTTCAATAGGGACTGTTATTTTTATTCTATTTTGGGTATATAAGATTTATTCAGCTCTTGCCTAACTTCTTTTGAAAATCTTGAATGTAAATTTTTCCGCTTGTTTCTATCCCTATATCAGCCAATGAATGAGAATCGCTATATCCCTCAATTTTAATTTTAGTTTTACTGTTAACAAATATAAATTCTAATGATTCGTTTTCCTTTATTTTATAAATCTTCGAAATTAAAACTTTAACATCAGATATAGCCATGTTTTTGTTTATTTTTATCCTTTTTGGAGTACAATTTAAGCAAGATTTGAAGTAAGGAATGAAACAAATATCCAGGTATTTTTCGTCTTTCTGTGAATTATCAGAGTTCGGTGTTGGATCTTGGTGAATAATTATGTCGTTTTTTATGACGAATTCACAAAGAATATCCCCATTGGGGTCAACTTCCTTTAAAAGATCATTTTTTCCTACTGTATATTGAGAAATATAATAGCGTTGATACGAAATAATGTCTTGCTTGTTAATTATGCTTTTATTAAAGGTTTTTAAATTCGGTAATATAGAAATCACTATACTTCTCATATCAATTTTACTGTTATCCATAATTTTGTTATTTCTTACGGATATATGTTCCAAGTTCGGGAAGACTTTTCTTAAATAAACGATTGTGCCAAGCTCAACAATCCCACAATTGTCTAAGTTTAATTCTAAAATATTCGGAAATTCAATATTAATATTTGTATTGATTTTTGATATTGGCAATTTAGAAAATTGATTATTAGAAATGTTTAAGCTACTTAAACCTGATAAGTGAATTAAGAGATTTTTTATGACTTCCCAATCAGATAACGAATTTAGACTCAAATCTAATTTTTGTATTGTCGTATTAGAGTAATTTATTGAAATAAAGGAATAATTATTTGATGAAAGATTGATATAGTTTACGTTAGGTAATGCTGAATCCTTTTTAAATAACAACATTAACTGTTCAAACTCAACGAAAGTTTTACTCATGCTCAGAACTTTGATATTATCAAATTGAAAATGATTAAAATAAGATATCTTTTTGAATCGATTCCCATTTAGTGTTAAACACTCAAGTTTTGGTAAATGTGACAGTATACAAAATAAAGAATTCCAATCTGTTAATAAATTATTGTTTAAACAGAGTGAAGTGATATTATTGTAGTATAAAGACAATTCTTTTGGTGGTTCTAAACAGTTGATAAGCTCTTTACAACCACAAGAAAAAACCTTCATTTTTTCTAAAGATAAAGTAGATATTTTTTTGCAATATTCTTGCGCCTTCTTCAAACCTACAAAATATTCAACTTCTTCGTCACATAAGTAACGATCTCTAATAGCCTCTTGAAAAGAAATCCCCGGAGATAGTTCATTTATTTTTAAAAATTCAAATTTCTTGTCAACAGTATTTCTGTTAATAAAACATGAAGATGCATTTTCTACATCTTTTACTAAATTGTAATTCGAATCTGAATCCCATCTGACTTCAAAAAGTTCCTCGCCCCTCTCATTAACCTTAATTGAGCAAACAGTCCCAATTCTTTCATCTTCTAGATGAGATACTCTATTACCTAATTGAATTTTCATGACCTAAAGTTTTGTTGTTCAAAATGTGCGCGCGAGCAGCTCAACAAAAACGATTTTAAAGTACAGAACAGATTTGTGAATCAGACAAGAAATTCGACTAAATCAAATTAACCATTTAAATAATAGATTAATAATGGTCTCATTTTAAGTCTATAAGTCTACTAATATCATAATGGAATATTAGGAACACTAAATAAGATAAGTAAATGTAGCTATTCAAGTATCGCTCTTCAATTTAGACACCTTAACGATCTGATTAGTCGAACATTCTCCATGCTGCGATTTTGTTATCATTGCTCCTATATCTTATCAAAAAAAGAAGAAAAGGTAGCAAACTGGTTCCAATAACAATTGGTATAAAATATTGTTATTAGGTATCTACTCTCATTCTCTTTACATCATTATCGGCGAAAATGATTGAATTCTCCTTCATTTCACTCCATCCGGAGTTTAAATGTTCATTAGCAGTGTCTAAAACGTTAATTTCACCTTCAATATTTACCGATTTATCCTCAATGATTTCTGTCTGAATATTTACTTCGATATTAACCGCATTTTCTTCAGATGAGGATATTTGGTTAGAATCGCTACTCTTAGCAACCGATATTTCGATAGTAGCATTCGCTTTAGGATCTAACTCGGGTGAATCAGTTACATTTGTAGGTAAAGTAGAATCTCCACTTGTCGTCTGTTCGGCAGTTTTAGATAATTCATTGATGCTTGCGTTTAGCTTTCTTTTTGCACCTCTCAAGCCTACTTTACCTTTGCTTTGAGCAATTGATTGTGCATGTAGATTTATAAAACGCTCTTCAAGTCCGCACATAGCCGCTATTTGCCAAAGCTGCTTTGTCGTAGCATTCCGAATATCTGCTATTTTGCTTGCCTCGACTCTTTTTTCGGGGTGATTCCTCAGGTAGGCAGACAACTCACTTTTCAACAATGCCCTTCCTTGATCACCTAACCTATATTTTCTTGTGTGGCTGATTTTAAAAACATCATTCGGCTCACCTGGAATGCATTGTTCTGTGTTGCTACTTATTATTCTTTGCGAAATGCCACTTGTAAGATTATTCATAGAAATATGCTCTAATTGAACGTTGCTTAAACCGTAATCTGGCACTCCAACATTTCCAAGCAATTTTGTCGAATCCCCACAAACAATACTAGCACTTTTGTCAAAACCACTATTTGCATTTAAATAATTTTTCACTCTTTCATGCGCATCTGCTAGGCTAGCGATATTATTAAAATAGGAATTTAATAATGAATTAAGCTTATCATTTTCCTCTGTTATGTTTGTGGTCTCTTTTTTAAGTGGAAACACGGGTTTTTTAATTTTATTAATATTACAATTATCAACCCCACTAACCAAGGGATTCTGATAAATTGAACCTGGGCAGGGGCTAATTATTGGGGATATTCTTGGTATTATATTTGGATTAATAATTGAGGGCTGAGATCCGATTGATGAAAGTAACGGTGATTGTAACAATGGATTGATTATTGATTGTTGAGAATCCAACTTCATAGGATTAATATCCGGTTGATTTTCCTCTTTAGACAACAAATTGCTCTGGGTACACAGAACTGATTCTATTCCAGAAAAATTGGTTATTGGTATTCCAGCTACTGGAATAACATTTTGTGGAATTATCGGGTTGTTCAAGTTGTAGCCCCTTGGCATTGTATTGTAACAATCCGGTAGGGCTGCTTGAACTGCACCCAACACATTATTCACTTGACATAACTGGCTCGGTAGTATTAAAGGAAAACTAGAGTTCAATTCATTAACTCCTATATTCATATTTAGTCCAAATCCAAGGTTTAAGCCAACCCCAAGATTCTGACCCAAAGACGCAGCAATTACCTGGTTGGTATTTTGGCCAGCATTTAATAACAACGATTCAATATAATTATTTGTTAGACTCTTCCCTTCTAGTATAGGCGATACACATGCTGTCGATGAGTTAGTTCCTGCTCTTTCGAAGGATTGTTCAATCAATGTGCTCGCCCCAGGATCAGTCCTTTCGTTAGCATTCATCTCACTCAGTTGATTCATTTTTTCGTTCTAATGTAGATAGACGGCCAATTGAGTTGGCATTCAGTTATTACGGAATTATATATTTAACAATTTGAATAAAATTGAAAGAATATTGAATACTTAGCAGTAAGAACTTTTTTTTTTAGTAAATTTACTTGTACCGTTAGAGTAGGAGACTAAGATTTCCTTCTTTTATAGTCAATTAGCTTCATTTAATATGCCAAAAATATACTTTTCGTTTCGTTTCTTGCAATATCAGCAGTACATTAAATTAACCCCACGTTTAATTACGAGACATACATGCTTTTTTTTGCAAGTATTTTCAAGTGGATTACATTTTAGTCTCCCGTCTCTGTCTCCAATCTTTTATTTCAAATTTCGTTATTTGCGAAAATACGAAGATTTTGTGAAAAAGCAGTTTTTATTTCAGCTACGAATTTGATGACATGTTATTGAAAATATTCATTTTTTATCTAGTCAATGCATTTGAAATGTTTTTATCCCCTTCTCGTAATACTTTTTTTTATGTTAGAATTGTCTGTTGATTAAGGATTTTTAGCAATTAGATCGTTTCTCATCTTTCAAAATTGTGTTGGATATTGTTTTTGATCGATACTCAATTATTCCAAGCCTCTTCTTTTTTCTTTATAATTTTTCTTGTGGCGCAAGTAGTGTTTAATGTGATGTGTGGATGCTAGAGTTAAATATAAAATGTATTTATAAAAAAATGGAACAAAAATTGTTGATGAAAAATGGGAATATATATATCCGATGATGAACTCGAATCCAATTATAATGTTTTACCTAATTGTAAATTCAGTTTGTGCTATCTCAGTTTAGCTCTTAGTTCACATAAATTCATTGAGAGAGGAGGCGAATTTGAATCAAAAAGTTTTGAGTTTTTCATCAATTTAAGTAAAAAAAATTTATTAACAAATAAGGAAGTGCAAATAGGAAATATTTCAATATTACCTTTGAATTACTGTTCACCATTCGAAAGAAATTATTGTACTATTTATTTCAACTTTTTTTCAATAGATGAGCTAACAAAATTTCTAGAGAAGAACAAAATAATCGCAACCCTAAACTTTAGCTTCGGCGTTGATAGTTTTGAGGTAATATATAATGAAGTAATCAATTATTTTATTAAACCAGTTACAAGTATTGAAAAAAGGTTAATTTTATCAAACAAAAATAACGATTTTAAAGTCAATTTTAAAATAAATGTTGAATGGTATGCAATCATTCCTAAGAAAACTACCAAAAATATCATTAAAAATTTTGAAAAAATTGAAAAAGATACCTCGATAACTTCAAGCTGTTCTCATATTCAAAATAAAACTTTTAACATTTCTATTAGTAAACATATTAATATCTATTTAAAATATGAACAAACAATTTGCAATGACCCAATTATAACACAAAAAATAATAGATTTGCATCCTAAATTGGAAAATTTAAGCAATCAAGTAATTTACAAACCATCAGATATTAAAAGTGATTTTTATGCAACTAATATCCGGCCTTTAAACAAAATGGGTAATTGGATTATACATATTAAGGATGTTTTGCTGTCTGAAAAGGGGTTTATTTTTCTTCATGATATGTTTCCAATATATAGACAATCAAAAAGTTTTAAGATTGTTATTCAACATTGTATAAAAAACGAAGATGGCAAAGTTTTAACACAAATTAGAAGGCACTGGACTATCATGAATTTTTTCAAACGAAAAAGTAATTATACAATGAATTATAGAATTCCGAACAAGACCTACTACATTGCAAAGGCTAGCGTTTATTCAAGAATACCTGAGACTATTACTGATACGATACAAGAAAAATTTTTTTACATTAGTTGTTCAATCCCTACTTTTGATAAAACAAACGAGGCGAGAGTTGATCAAGGAGACACCATTTTTTGTGGTATATTGAATCCGAATGAGATTTCACTAACCGAAACATCGGTGGTCAAGCTTTATTCAGAACTAAATAAGAAAGACTGCCTAGGATATGCCTTAGTATCTTTTTCGGATATAAAGGAAAAACCTCATATAAAGTTTCATGATAAAGATAATACAATTCTTGAAACGAATAATAGTCTTTCAAAAAAGAAACAAAGTGTGACGAATTATTTGGAAGGAATAAGTATTGTTTATTTATATATATACTGGCATATTCAAGCTCGCTCGAAAAATGAAAATAAAACACCCGAAAGTATTTTAATTGAGTTTTATTCAAGAATTTCAGACTCAAAAACAATACAAGGAGGAATAAACATAATCGGAATAAATAAATGCATTGATGCATTTATTCCATCTAATAGTGAAATATCTCAAAATTTGAAAATTTACACAAGTTCCATTCCTGAAGACCTTATATTATTTAATAACATTCAGGAATTGAAGTATTACTTACAGTTTCCTCATCTCGAAATATTCGAAAACTCTTATAGTGATATTTTTTCGAATAAAAATTTGAAGGTTTTAGAAGATTCCGAATTTATTTACAAGTGCAATGAATTGGGAATAAGAGAATGCATTTCGATCACTTGGAGAGAAATGATGAACTCCTTATTCGCGAATATCTCCATGGAAACTTATGAATTGTGTCTAAAATTATATAAAACTGCGAATATATTTCTTTAAATGAAAAAAGAGCATATTGGGAGACAAAATATTTAACCTAAACTAATCGCAGAGTTGGCTTAAAAATTTAGTCTTCCAAGGTTTGTTTTCTAGCATTTTGATATTGTTGTGTAAATTGGGTTAATTTTTTATTATTGTATCTTTTTTTTCATCGTTATACATAGGATCTCCAGAATCAATGCTAAGTTCCTGTTCACATATAGAACCTTCCTTTCCTAAAACCTATAATTCTGGCTAAAACATGAGAAATATTACTTACCCCAATTATATTGACCCGAACCTCTTTTAACACCTGATTTATTTCCATATGCAGAGCTCTTTGGATTCATACTATGACGATCTAGTCTGGTATCCTTATCATGTTTTGGCTTTGAATGTGTCATCTTTATAGGTCGTTTTTTTAATTATTTTCGTTAATTCAAAAAAATAGCATGCAATCCAATTAGACTTCAGTTGGATAGCGCAAACTGGAAATGGCGCCTAATGCAGTTATTTTTTTCATAATGACGATTTAATATTTTTAAAACCGAACACAAGATTAATAATTTGTGAGAATTCGCGTAAGTCATTAAATGAAATTTTTAAAATAAATTAAATATGTTTATATGGCTGAACACAAAAAGTATTGCATTTATTATGGGACTCTTTAATTGCCATAAAAATGAGGTGAACTCTACTCTTGTGTTTTTTACTTTCTTTATGATGCTTATCAGGGTGGCAAAGTATTATCGCTTTTCTGTAAACTTTCTTTACTAGCTCCATATCTGACATTAGCTTAGAGAATTCAACTGGTTCCCACTGTGCATCTTTCCATAATACTTGCTGAAGAGAACTTAGTAGAACTCGAATATCTTTATATGACCCATCAGGCTTTCTAGACCATCGGCCTATTTCTTCAACTAAATCTTCACAACCAGAGTTTTTAATCTCTTCGTCAGTACTTGACTCTAACGTTTCTGATTCTAATTTTAAAGGCGAAGGAGATGATTCTTCATGACTCACAGATTTTATTTGTTCATTATAATTGATATTAATAAAACTGGAGTTACTCATTAAATTGTCAAATTCGTAAGTATTAGATGTTTGAAATGTATTTTTTCGAACTTCAGTGTTAGATTGATCATTGATATCTTCCGTTTTATTGGTTTCGTGTTGCATACGGTCATTTTCGATTTTTTTATTGCACTTAATATTCGTAGGTTCTAAGTAACAATCAGCGTTGTTAAATGATGAAAAATTGGCAAAAACTAGTATTTTGAGGATTATTTTAGAGTTGTATGGAGTCGCGGTGTCGTGATCAGATACTAAGTCACACCAAATCCATGGATAGATACCATTGTTATCACGAGACTTGTACCTTACTATAAATTCGCAGATGCAGGCTTTTGAATAGCAACAGCAAAACTTATATTTAGGAATTATTTCTTTTATTTGTTTGAGTGAAACGCTTCTATAATTTATTTTTTTTTTGGTTGCAACAAAATTGAATTGTTCTGGCTCATCATATTCCCCAAATAGATTTGCATATTGGATACTATAAAATATATATTCGTCGTAGTTATATTTTTTGATAGAGTCTGCTGAAAATGCACTTATACTTTTTTTAATAAATTCCATTCGCAATTTGAGTCAGCACTAAATTGTTATGTTCATAGTTTGCGATATTATCACAAAGTTATTTCCATCTCAGTACTATTAAAAGTTATTTAATTTGAGTTGTAAATAAATAATTGGAGATGATTATAAGTTCACTTAAACAATCTCTAAACTCTGTATTCTGGAATTAGAAAACCGTATTTAAATAGACGCAGAGACGGCGTAGAAACGGCAAGCATGTAGATCAATGACAACCAAACTACTAAGAATTATCTGAGAAATCGATACAAAGACAGACAAGATATTCGAAATACATCAAAAAATTCAAAGAACCGAATTTACGCGCATAAATATACATTTGAGTTGATAAGTAATACTTAAATATTTACACCTATTGGTTATGAAGACACTAGTATGCATTAGTTTTTTAGTGCCATGGATTTCTAACTGGCCTAGCAATTAATCAAGGTAATTTAGTAACAGCGATTCCTTACTAAGAATTTAGTAACCAATTAGCCTCGAAAGATTGATCTAAGCAGGAGATAACCATTAAACAAAACAAGGTAAAACCCTTCCGTATTCCTTAAATAATATAAAGTTAAAAATCATTATTCTTCATTATCGGTCATTTAAAGTAAAATATTAACAAATAACAAAGAATATTGTCAAATTATCCGTAAATTCTTATGGACTTTCCCATTGTACTCTTCACTGTTAGACTCTTAATGTTGTGCCAATTCTTTTTCAATAGTGAGACTAAGAAATTAATTGCCAAAGTCAAATTCTGCCTAATTTCTTCCTCTGTCATATTAACATTACCAATCGCCACACCAAGACACAGCACTTTTTTTAATTGGAACTTGATACTAGCCTTCAATTCATTCGCCTTCTCATCAATCTTATCGTTTGGAGTGATAACAGTCGGGAATTTACCTGCCTTATTTAGTCCTGGGCCTAATAGACGTGGTATTTGTGGTAGTAATACCTGAGATGCCAAAAATAAATCGTACTTCTTGCACAGTTTCTTAACAACCTTCTTGTTTTTGTTAATCTTCTTCATCTCCTCGATATCCATCACATCAAAGCCCAATTTCTGTGCTTTTTCACAATCAGCAGCATCTCCCATTACACAGACACGGGCATTTGGCCTTGGAACATTTGGTAAACGCACTGTACCAGCGAAACGCTTGTCTCTTTGCGTATCATAATCCTTCAATCCAATTTGCAATTCAACGGTCTCAACAAACTTTCTTGGTTTGGCTTTTGAGCCCTCAAGAATTTCGGCAATTGCACGACGAATAGTTTCACTAGCAATTTTTCCACTCATTGTTGAATAGTATATATTATATATTAATTATAGATTCAATGATATAATTAACTCAAAATCCAATAGAGACGATTTAAAGGATTTTACTTAATTAATTGAAAATTTTACAATTGTTGATCCCTTTCAATCGCAAAAAGACAGAATAATTATTACGTTAGTACTTAATTACACTATTTAATTTATTGGAATACATTTGACTATTAATAATATAATTCAATTAATATATATATATATATATATATATATTTATTTATTTTATTGATACATCTATTTCTTAAACGTGATGTCTCTTGCCGTTCAATATTATTTAATGCCTATACTGCATTTCATTACAGTAAAAATTAAAATTAAAAAATTCTTACGTCTCAATGAAAGTTAGTTGGTTACCGCTATCTTTACAAATATTTTAAGAAAATTGCATGGAGTTTCCACTTAAAATGATTAAAAGTTCATGCAATTAGAAGTGCGTTTAATAATTCCTAATGAGTTATATAAACATTATTGATCATTATAAAGTACTGAACATTATTTCAGAAAATTTTATTTTAAGAAAACATTTCCTCTAATTACTCAATTATGTATACAAGCCATATATCTGAAGAAAAACATTCAAAAAAAAAAGTTGCTCCAAAAAGAGAGGCAACTAAGAAAATGAATATTTTAAATAGGAAATCTGGCGCAGGTATGAAAAAATCCGACTCATTTAAATTCAATGCGAGTAAATACGACGACTTTGGAAGAGTAAGTAAACACCACACTGCTAATTGCCAGAAAAAAAGCGAAGCAAGAGACTTGATAATTGGCGAAGATGAAAAAAAAGATTTAAAGCAAGAGAATATCGCAGGTTCAGAAAAATATAAAGTTGAGAACATTAGTTCTTTGTCAGAGTCAGAGATTATTAAAGAAATGTTTGGAATTGAGAAATTTGAAACATCTAAAAATAAAAACCACTCAAAATCAAGTCTTTCTTGTTCTAACATTAAGTCAAGAAGGAAGTATAGGCAATATATGAATAGACCTGGTGGTTTCAATAGACCCCTTTCTCCTATTCAGTAATTTTATAGGTACTTAGTTCTCATTTCACGTTTGAATAACAATATTACTTGCTTCAATATTTGGATAAATTTTCAAAATAAATTCCGCAATTGTAATATCAAAGTCGCCTTGTACATCTATATGATCGGGTTTCCCATTAGTGCCTTTAACTACTGATGCACCACAAGAAAACTGCTTTGCAAATTTCTTCGCTGCTTCGTTGAGTTGAATATCGAATAGTTCTAGCCCACAAACTACGGTCACATTCTTTCTTCTAGCTCTGCTTTCCACTTTAATCGTAATTATATTCTGTTTGTTCTTTCTTTTCTTGACTAAATTTAAGTCTTCATGTTTTTTTTGAATACCTTCTCGGGTAATTTGAGTTTCATCTGCCTTAAGTGATAAATTTGATTGAGAATCTAATTTATTGGTTTCTAATGTTTCATTGTATTCGGTTGTTTTATTTTTGATACATTGACCATACTCGCAATAATCAGTAGGCAGTCCGCAACTTTTACAGTACTCAACTGTATATATTTCTTTTATAACTTCTCTTTGCTTTATTTCCATTCTTTATTATGGAAGTACAAAGTGAGATTTTTTGACAAATTAATGAGCGGTTAAAAAAAAACTTTCAAATCAGGCAATATTGAAAAAAATATATCTAAAACAAATACCACAGCATTTTGATTAAATTATTAGATTTAACTAATTATCACCTAAATACTGAATATTAGTCTAATAGCCGTTATTTATAAATTTATAAAGGTTCATACACAAATTTATAAGCAGATACAGGCATTTAAAAATTAATAAAAAAAAAAGCGTATAATGGGCATAAAGAAGTTGTATTCAATTCAAATAGAACGAGGATTTATATCTTTATGTTCTTAAAACAATAGTTTTTTGTTATATCTTCAGCGGTCTAATGTGTGTAATGTTATAAAACAACGAGCGCCAATAAAAATGGATTTTATAGGGCAAATAATAATTAGATTATTTTCAAGAAAGAGGAAACTTCCGAACTAAAAGAAAATGAAGCAGTTCGATGCATTTTCAAAGCCAATAGCTGAGTTCCGTATAAAAACGGCATTTGGAGGATATTTGACAATATTGAGCATTATCGCTATGATTGTATTGTTTTATTCTGAATTAAAATATTATTTGAGTATAACAAGAAAGGACGAAGTTACCGTTGATCAATTGTCCTCAAATAAAAATATTAATCTTAAAATGCAGCTGGAATTCCCAAAGCTACCATGCGATATTGTAGGAGTGCGTTTAATTAATCTACAGGAAAATACAGAAATATATTTACCGGATGGAGGAATAGAATACATTGGGATTGGATCAAAAGGAAAGAATATGAATAGTTCCTCTGAATGTGGGCATTGTTATGATGCATCAATAAATGATGGTTTTGGTTCAGTTAAATGTTGCAATACATGTAATGATGTTTTCAATGAATATGACAAACGAGGAATTAAGTTACCTCACAAAATAAGTTTCAAACAATGTGATTATGATAGATCAAAAATGATTTCAAATGCACTGTCTTCCAATTTAAATTTAGAAGGATGTAGGATTAAGGTAAATGGGTATATACCCAAGGTTAAGGGTAAAATCGAAATTTCTCACAAAAGATGGATTAAATATAAAGAAATGACAGATCTTGAAATTGCAGAAAGTCATTTATTTAATTTTTCATATAAAATAAATTATTTAGATTTCGGTGAAGAGTTACCTGGAATTCCAAACAAATGGAAAAATCAAGAGCATATTCAAAGCTCGAAGTTTGAAAAGTTGGGATATACACAAGACTTGGTTTTTGATGATGCTTACATTGATTTTGATATGCACTGCATACCTACACAATATAATACTATAAATAATAAATCAATTAATTCGCACCAATTTTCAGTCAGAAGTCAATACAAAAAAGTTGTTGTTTCCTCAGCTAATGGCAGGTTTATTCCCGATACTTCGATACCTGGAATTCATATTAATTACGATTTTACTCCATTTCTAGTGAAGATGACTGAAAGCCGTAGATCGTTTCTATCATTCGTTACAGAATGTTGTGCCATAATTGGAGGAATTTTTGCATTTTCTGGAATGATTGATATATTCTTCTTTAAATTTTTATCTAGTATTAACAAGTATAGACAAAAAAACAATACATCACTGATTCAAAATTACTAATACCATCTGTAGAAGAGATTTTAATAGTTATTTAAAATACTTATTAATTATGATTTTTTTGTTTTTATTTAAGCATTATCATTAAAAATAGTATTAGTGCAATGATTCCAATTATAATTGCAATAATGAACCCTTTCTTTGCAGAACTCCAAATAGATGATGTTGCGGAGGAAATTGCTTCCCCAATTCCCTTCCAATCGACGTAAGTTCTGTTTTCTGTAACATCTTCTAAGACTGGGTCAACGTTTGGAGGCTCTCTTCCTTTTCCTACTGGGTTAGAGTCAGATATCTTCCCTGGAACAATGGATATTTCAATCTCTACTTGCCCTTGAGGTGAATTCTGTTTTGTTGGGTGTGAAAATCCAAACCAAGTTTTAGGAATTTTCGTAGTTTGAGAAGAATGTTTTTTTGCCTTTCCAAAGTCGTTGCTTAAGTCAATTGAACACTCACCAATATTATCGCTCTGAATTAAACCATATGACCAAAGCTGAAGTTTAAAAATCGGATATTGAGTTGGTATTTTAATATCAAATACAAACCTCCAGTTAAAAATTCCCGTCCCATCCTTAGAATTATAATGAGTTTCTGTAGACTGAGTGTCGGAGTTAGATTCATCTATACTGTATATACCACTTACATACAATGAAATTGTAGTATTCGGTTCAATTGGAACATGCCTAACACGCCAAATTACAACTCTAAGTTGGTAACTTTGAGGATCAACCGAAGCTAATTCAGTAATTGGTGTAGCCTTTGCAGCTTGTTCTGACATGATTTCATACCAAGCCCTTAATGTTCCATGAGATACAATACTATTTTCTATTCTTAGTGTTCTCATTTCTATGGGTGTTGTATCATTTTCCAACATTGATTGTACTTTAGGATGAAACCAACGGTCCTCAATATCAATATAAGTGCTTCCAATTGTTTCTTCTGACATTGTTCCAGTACCAATTAAGGAAACTCTCACTAATGCATTATGAGGAAGAATGCAACCTATTTCGTAAACCTGATTAAACTCAGGTTTGTAACCTTGATGCCTAACAAATCCAGTGTCTTTGATATTATTTGGATAAACGCTTTTTTTCTTTTTTCCATTTCCATCAACCATTACACTATCCCCATTATTCTCTCTTGAACGAATATAAATATATACAGATGGGTTTAAATCTCCGCTTGGTGGAAGAAGACCTCTTGCTGAAAGTATGTAACACCTTGCAACAATAGGCTTTATATTGTTGTATTGGTTCGCAATCCACATTCTATTATCTGAAAATGTCTGAAGAACCTCTTCTTGTTCTTTTGTATCAACGATAATGTTAGTTTCACTGTCTGGTTGTTGTATAATACACAACGTGTATTTTATATATCCAACAATATAATATAATCCCTTTTCGTTTATCGATACAATTGGGAGTGTCCGATAGGGCAGTTCTGTAGGGTCTAAATCTTGTTCCAATTCATATGGAATTTCAAATCTTTGTTCAGTTTCATCTTCTTCAGAAAAAATTTTTAAATCAAAATTCAATAGCCTTGCATCAAAACCAAATAGAGTTCCCATTTCCTTTAGTTTTAAAGCAAGATTTGCTTGGTCATATTCTTTTGAATTAAAATTCATGTTAATATAGACGTTCCCATCATCTCTCTTCTTTTCTTCAGTTTTCATTAGATCAATAGCAGGGTAAAAAAACGAATTTGACGCCTCCGCATCATATGCAGAACTTGATTTTGATACAATATTTGTAGGTGCAGATATTGATTTCATTGTGTTAAGAACTCTTTGATCATTTCCTGAAGAATCCTCCTCTTCTTCTTGATTAAGCTCAGTAATGTTTATCGGATTGTTGTTCTCGCACTCAACTGATCCATTAATTAATTCATCCAAAGTAGTTAAGTTAAAGAAATCCTTATTAAACTTCCTTGAATTGTCGTCATACCATGGTATTTCGGAATTAAAATAAAGTATTGCAAATCCTGAAGATATGCTAGATTCACCTGAATATCCAGAAACCCTTTCATTGACAGTAATTTCGAAATAAGATTGGAACACATCTCTTTTTGGTAATTCAGCAGTAATTGCAAAATCATGTAAATAATTCCAGTTACCTTCATCACCACAACTTGGGGATGGGGTTGAATCGTGCCAAAGTGGTGCGTTTGATTCCTCAAGCTCGCGACCATAAGACACGGACACTGTTGGATTATTAAGAGATTTAAACATACGAACTCCTATTACAAATAATCGGATATCTGCAGGAAATGTTGTTGGTCGAATATCATCATAAAATGGATATTGCTTAACCTCATCAACAGATATAAGTTCGAAAGAACACAATATTCTGGCATTTGTGTCTTCTTTTGGGTTTTTTGTATCTGAAGGTTTAAGGTGAAGCCAAACAGGTGAAGATTTCCATGCTTTAGGAATCTGAGTCAGTTTATAGGATGTAAATCCTATTCTACAATCAGAGCTTAAATACCCATGACTCTGACTAAAAACTTCAATCAAAATATCTGATCCTAATGACAAATTACTTGGTAGTGAAATCTGAACTTCATAAGCTTCGTACCATTGTGGAACAATTGATGATTCAATTGAACGAGATTGAATAGTTTGGTCACCAATTGATACTTTAACATATGGATTTGGTAATGAAGATCTAACTCCTCTCAAATTCATTCCTTCGTAAATAAAAGACCTAAAATAATAACTTTGAAGTGAATAAACTAATCTATCAGGCCGTTCTGATGCTGTATTTGCAGGAAGAATAACAATATTTGCAAGTACGTTGAATATATATCCTGTACTTGAGTCGTAAATAGGTTTTAATGTGTACCAATTTGGGTTTCCGTTTGTGTCGTTAGATATTTCAGAAAGTAAAATTCTAGTAAAAGATGTTCTTGTAAATTTAGATGAGGACCAAAAGGTTGCCCCTGAACCTGTTTGAGAATAAATGAATAAGTCCCATGGGTCTTGTCCATCTGATAAATAAAAATATGTTTCATCAATTCTCCCTGTTTGTTCATCAAATATAATTGACTCACCGCTTTGTGGCATTGCAATTGTTGTTGCAGTATGAGGACCAATACAAAACTCTAAAACGATTTCCCCATCAAAAGACGGCCTGCATGAAACCTCATAAATGTCTATCCAAAGTAAATAACGTGTCATTGGTGGTTCATTTGAAAGTGGTATAGATTGAATTGACTTTATTGAGCAAGCCTGTGTTTTTTGTGAACTAGCAGAAATTAACAATCTGCCAGCATAAGAACTAGGGACATATGATGTCACTGAAGAATTTGAAGATGAAAACAGCTCTGCTGCTCCACCGTATGGAGGTTGAGTCCAATATAAATTCACCCAAGATATAGGAAAAGGTTCTTTGAAAATATTAAAAACATCCAATTTAAATTTTCCTATTAAAGTCGGTTTTGACTCACCATTCCATAATTCAAATAATAAATTTGAGTCTGAACATGGAAAATGTGCAGGCAAATTAATAGATGATTTCCAAATAGGGTTCGATTCATTCTTGATACAGACTGTAGAAATTTTTGAAACTCCATGTCTTACAGTCACAAAAGGTTCCAAGGTATTATACATTCCTACAATTGGAACAATGTCCTGACCCTTAAAAATGCATACATTGAGATTGTATTGGGTTAAATTTATTTCTGGTGAAGATGAAATTCTTGTACCTTGGTCGCCATCATTACTCACAATATTGTTGCTGTCATCAACTGCTGGAATTGAATCACCAGGTGCAAAAATTCCAACAGTAATAAGTGCAAAACCCATAATTTCAGAAGGTTTCTCTCCTAATATCAATGGAACCCAATTTCTGTAGATCCAATGCTGTGATTTGCTATAAACATAATTAAAACTAAGAACATACGAGCCGATAGGCGCACTAGAAAGCACATATGCATGCATAACATTAATTTCAATAATTGAACAATCGAAATCACATTTGTTTAGAGTCTCCGTAAAATTATATGATGCTTGGACCAATGCCGATGAAACTGCTGTTTGCTTGGGAGTTGTTTTTATTTGATTGCATACTTTGATTTCAATATATGGGTTGGGTGTTATATTACTTGTTCCATCATTAAACTTCAAATCCCTTAACTCGTGAATATCAATACGTATGCTATATTCGGTAGTTGGTTGTAACATAAATACTTAATTTCATATTATTTCTGTAATATTAAACTTTGCCCACAAATTATGAATAATGGCGCAAATAAAGATTATTTGTTGTGAATTTATATTGTAATGAAATTTGGATTGATCATTATTTGACAATATAGAATTTTTGGAATATTCTAATGTATATGGGAACGAATAGCATTTTCCCAAAAGTAAAAGATATAGGCGAATGGCAAAGATTGTGCTCGTCTTACAGTTTCCATACTCAAGAAGAGTATAAGCTGGAATGGTGGTTAGGTGTCATAGAAAAATTTTGTGATAAAAAACAATCTTTTTTAATTGAAATTGACTCGCTTAAAGCTGTTGCTCAGGAAGAGTTTAAATGTTGGCCTATTGAGGTTCTTTGTTTACCAAATATTTTCAAAGGGTTGTTAAGAAGAAAAAAAATTGTAAATTTAAATTATATAAATAAATACATGATCAAGATATGGGAGAACGCTATAGAAGTAGAAAAGAGACAATCTAGGTCAAAAGTCTCAATTGGATTTGGTTGGGTTCGCTCAATAATTGGGGTTTTTTTTAATGATGTATATTTCTTTGAAACAAGTGAAAATACTTTAGAATCAGATGCATTCGTATGCATTCCCTCATTGGACAAATTATCAAATAAATTACTTAACGATATAAATAGAGGATTATTAGGCACCATTTCAAAAATAACGGGTATGGAAGAGCTTCTTATTTTAAATAATAAATTCAAAGATTATTTAATTAGAAATTTTGAATTATGCGAAACTGCAAAAAATGTATTAAATGATATAATAATTTGGTACTTTATTACCTATTCACCTGGAGAATGGTTATTAAAACCGTTTGTTGTTAATAAGGGAAATCATATTTATGTTAATGCTATTAAATTCAGTAGGTCACACTCTTCATTCTCTAAGAAAGAAGTTGAAGTGTATGATACAGATATTGCAGATATTTTACTTAAAATAACAGAGGAGGATTTACAAAAATCATTAAAAAATTTGGAAGAAAAATTTTTATTTCATGATAATAAGTGCAAAGAATATGCTTTAAATGACCAAAAGCAGCTAGCAATAAATCATCTGAAGCAAAGACATCAAATTGAAAAAGCTTTGAATGAAATTAATGAACAGCTCCTTGTATTAAGCCAATCAAAAGTTACTCTTGACACTTCAAATGCAAGAATTTCTCTACTAAATGCACTCGAAACTTCTACTAATGCAACTAGAAGTATATTTGACGAAAATGAAATCTTGAAAAAATTGGAAAACATTAATCTTATCAGAGAGGAGGTTGAGGTTACGCAAGAATCCATCAACTCAATGATAAAATCATGCGTTAGAGACGTTTCAAAAAATATTGAGACTATACCTGATGATTTAGAGAAAGAATTGGATGAAATTTTACAAAGAAATACCTATACGCCTAATATTGAATCAAATAGTAAATCTCAAGAATTTCACAGTGAATTAGAAACAGAAAAGTATCAAGCAATTAACATTTAAAATCCCGATAGTTTGTGAAAATTGATCATGTTAGTTGATTTAGCACAAATCCCCATCGTAATCCTTATTATAAAACCTCCAAACCCAGAAAAAATGTATCTTCACCAAAACTTAACTATACTAAGTAGTAAAACGCTAACAATCTTGAATATTCAAACAGTTTAAAGCTTATCTAAGTAATTGTCAAGAGCAGGAATGTCTTCCTTAATATTCTTTCTTCTTCTAATTGCCTTCACAAGTTCTTCTGTCTTACTTCCTCTCTCCAGTGGATCGCCGTTAATCAACTCCCAGTGATCAAACACGCATTGTGGGAATGCCTTACCCGATGTTGCTGCACGGAGAACAGTGGTAAACTTGAAGGAGTCAGCGACTGGCAAGTATGCCTTGATCTCTACTTGAGGTGTACCAGATTTAGGCTCTTCATGGAAAACATGACCCCTTCTTTGATTAAGTGTGGCGTAGATTCCACCCACTACTTCCTGTGGAGCAGAAATCTCGACTAAAAACATAGGCTCTAACAATCTGGGCGAAGCAGTCAGCGCGGCTGCGTACATTACACGACGGCATGTTGGGGTAATTTGTCCTGCTCCACGATGGATAGCATCAGCGTGTAGTGTTACATCAAGAAGATTGAAGCGAATACCTCTCATATCTTCTTCACACAAAATTCCCTCTTTAGTTGCCCATTGGAACGCAGAGTTGCAATGGTCCTTTATTTCGGTCAAGTACTGGATACCAGTAGTGACATCGACCATAATGTTTGGCCCGGTAGTTTCAGGTCCGAAACACCAAATCTTCATTGCAGCGTTCTTGTCAAATCCATACTTGTCATGCAAGAGGTTTGATCTCTCTTTAGGGTCATCCCTTGGAGAAACTTTCCCTTCTTCAATGTCGTCAGTCAATCCATCAGGTAAAGGTTCAGCGGTCATGTACAATCTATTATGCTTGTTGGGAGATTTAGATAAACATGTCTGGCTTGACAAATTGATTACAGTTTCTCTGTAAGATACAATTGGGTCGGATGCCACAATTTCGATCTGTGCATATTCTTGTTGGAGATCTTGCAAGCAAATTTCTACATGCAGCTCACCACATCCTGCAATAATATGCTCACCCGTCTCTTCCTTACTGCAAACAACTAGTGGGTCTGACTTTGACAGCTTCTTGAGACCCTCTACAAGCTTTGGCAATTCTTTGTTATCCTTCGGTCTTACCGCAACTCGAACTACTGGAGATACTGAATATTTCATAGATGCAATATTATATGCGGTTTCAGACGTTGTAATTGTACCAGACTTTAGTAAATATTGATCAATCCCAACCAAACCAACCGTATTCCCCGCAGGTACATCCGGAATTTGTTCAACATAACGCCCCATCATAAGGACAGTACGTTGTATATTCTTAATGTTCAAGTCCTCCTTACCACCTGGGAGGTATCTTGGACCCTGAATACGAACCTTCTGTCCAGTCGCAACTGTTCCAGAGAAAACACGGCCAAATGCATAGAAACGACCTTTATCACTTGTGGGAACCATTTTCGAAACAAACATACACAAGGGAGCATCAGGGTCACAATCCCTAATACCTTTGGCAGTCTCATCATCTTGAGGACCCTCGTACAAGTTCTCAACACGGTACTTTTGAGCCGCAGCAGGCGATGGTAAGTGTGTAACAATCATTTCCAACAGCGTATCACCTGCACTCAACCATAACTGCATAACTTTCTTTAATAAAGGTTTGTCCACTAAAGCTTTGTCGTCACCCTTAAGTTCTACACCCAAATTGACTAGCATTTTTTCGTATTTGGCCTTATCACCATTCATAATTGAAGAAAATAGTTGGCATATTGGTTCCATAATAAATTGGCAGAATGCTCTTTTACTTCCTGGTTCCTGAGTCTTTGTAAATTTCTTCGTCTCTGGGTTAAAGAAGTTGTCTCCCCATAATCTTTGCATCATTTTTGATTTTTCAACACCAAACTTTTTGGCGTAAATACGAGCAAATTTTTCAATAGTAAATGCCCAGCCATGAAGTCCGGAACCAAATGAGACTGTACCTTTTTCTGGAAATACCTGAACATCGCCCATCAACTCGTCAGAATATGTAGAAATAATAACATTAACGTTTTCAATGACACGAGTGAAGTTTTGGTAAATATCTTCGGCCTCCCATTGCAATTCCAGCAAAGCTCTATCTACTTTATTTACGTGAAGTACGGGTTTAATTCTCTCATTTAATGCTTGTCTAAGCACTGTCTCAGTTTGGATACATACGCCATCTACAGCATCAACAACAACCAGCGCACCATCAGTTACACGAAGAGCTGCAGTAACCTCTGAAGAAAAGTCTACGTGTCCTGGGGAATCGATCAAGTTGATTAAAAAAGGTTGCCTACCTTTCCCATCCTCTAAATCATGTTCGAAGAAAAGTGAAATACCGGTTGACTTAATTGTAATGCAACGTTCCTGCTCATCAGCACGGGTATCAGTGAAACGGGCATCTCCTGCTGCCTTTGAAGCAATAATACCTGCTTTGCATACAAGAGAGTCTGTCAGTGTTGATTTGCCATGATCGACGTGAGCAATTACAGACATGTTACGAATATTATGGGGCTTACCCATAATCTCACGAATTTGCTCAACTGTAAAATTAACCATTTTAACTTCCCTTTATTACTTGTGAAACAAATATTTAACGGTGACGAAGCTCTCAACAATATGAAGAGAAATTTAACTTTGAACTCAAGAACACAACCTTTAATTTTTCAGAGACGATCAATTAGACATTACGAAATGCGCCAATATGTTTTCAATATGTCTTGTATAAATTAATTATAAAATAATTGTAATTTAAAAAACATATTTATTTTTAAAATTCTTATATAATCTTTCTAATCAATGTTAATTCAAATAATTAAATTCAATTTTTACTTTGTAAGACAAAAAAAAAAGCGCTAAAGATGTTTGATATTGTTTTTTATTAACCTAGATATCTACGCTTTTCTTAAATTACAACCGATCTTGTCTGATATTAATGAATTCGGATATAAAATGCAAAATTAATGCATTGAAAGAATAAAAACAATAATTCATTCAGATTTTTGTCCCTAGTTCCCCACCAAGTTTTGTTCCCATAAGCTTCATTGTTTATTTTTCCACTTCAGTAGCGCACATTGAACCCCCTGACTATCCTTTTTAATCTTATGAATAAAACAAGAAATTAAAGAAAAAATAGTTCGAAAAGTTAATTGGAAACGATGAACAACTTATGGGTTGAAAAATATCGCCCTAAAAATGTACTCGATATTTCTCATCAAAAAGACGTAGTTAGTATGTTGAATCACGTCTTGGAAAGTGGGAATATGCCACACTTGTTGTTTTATGGTCCTCCCGGCACTGGTAAGACATCTGCAGTACTTGCTCTTTCAAGGGAGCTATTTGGGCCAAATGAATATAAGAATAGAATTCTTGAACTGAATGCCTCTGATGAGAGAGGTATCAACATTGTTAGGGAAAAAATCAAGTCCTGGACGAGGCAAATAGTCCAGTGTAACAAAGCCCATGAATTAACGGGTAAACCCCTTCCCTCATGGAAAATTGTAATTTTAGATGAGGCCGAAATGATGACTGCAGATGCACAATCAGCACTAAGAAGAATAATAGAAGTTTCTGCAAAAAACACTAGATTTGTTATTATCTGTAATTATATAAATAAAATAATAGAGCCATTAGCTAGCAGGTGCGCAAAGTTCAGATTCCAACCAATCTCAACGAAGTCTCAGATCTCAAGGCTGAATTATATATGCTACCAAGAAGGGATTTCATGCGAAGACGGTATATTAGAAATGGTTGTAAATTTGTCTCAGGGAGATCTCAGAAGAGGAATAAACATTCTTCAATCTGCTTCTGAATTGTTTGGGAAAGATGCAAAAATTGAAATTAATTCTATCTTAGATATTGCAGGTGTTCCACCCAAAAAAATTATTGAAAGAGTCGTGAATTCATGCAAAATTGCAGGGACCGAAAGCATCTTAATAGAGACTGGGAAACTAACCAACGAAGGATGGAGTGTAGGACTAATTCTCAAAAATCTAGTAGAATTCATTGTTGAGTGCGATAAAATTGATGATTCAAAAAAGGCGTTTTTAATGCTGAGGATTTCTGAGGCAGATGCAAGCGTAACAGATGGATCAAACGAATACTTAACATTGCTAAATGTTTGTTCAAGTATCCAGACTATTTTTGCCAATTAAACGAAAGCTGCATATAATAGAAATTTTAGCAATCAACTAATGCTTTGTTTTCACTAAGATGATTTTAACTATTTCTTGTCGATAAATTAATTAAATGCATTGAATTTTCCTTATTTACTTCAAATTTTTCTCCAATATATTTATTAAGATTGCCTCGATTTTCTTTCACGTAATTTATATTATCTGATATCACCAGATTATTCGATTGATTTAAATGTTCAGATTTCTTGATCTCGTAATCTGAATCAGGATATGAGAGAAAATTTTCGATATTAAAACAAAAATCCTCGTTTTGAGTTTCATTTGTGTTCTCAAAACAATCTAGATCTTTTTCATTATTAAAGCTCATTTTTTTTAATTCATGCGTTTCGAGCTCAATTGTAACTTCAATCGGTACTTCTGCTGCAACCAGATATTTTTTTGAATTTTCTTTTGGGACCCAGAGTAGTAGTAAATTTAATTTAAGTATGGCAACAAAAAAAAATGGGATTGCATCCTGAAAAATCCATTGATATCTCCATCTTTCTACAATGTCCCATAAATAAAAACGAACTTCCAACATTAAATAAATAAAAGCAATTGTAACGGAAAAAAACAATATATATGTAAACCGTTTGTATACTGAAAGTTTTTCTGTTTGTTTATCATCTTCTAATCTATTTAATAAATTAACTAATTCGTGAAATACCCAAAAAAAAACAATTCCATTTAATATTCCGATAGGTAATATTGAATATAATAACAGACTTGAATTAATGTTTAAATTTCTGGATCTCAAATAAATTACGTACTCTTTAAACAACGTATTTAAAAAATACATCACTCCAGTTGTGGAAATTGCAATAATTTTTTTTCTTGAATTAATTGAGATTATAGATATTCCTACGCCATGAGATGCAATTAATGTCAAAATAACTACAATAGTTAACTTCAAAATATTAATTGTGGAAGAAACACCAAAAAGAAATATTGAGCTTGACCCTGTAAGATTCCATTGCCTAAAATATTGTAACCACAAAAATGAAGAAATAATACTTAATAATAATTCAGCTAAGATAAAATATTGCATATTTATGAGTTGTTTGTTATTCTTTATACATTTATAAATCCAATAAATTGTCAGAAATGCGTACAATACTATTCCGAAGAAATACAAGTTGATTTTCATAAATTCGATTGCAGGTAAAAACCCATATACATTTTTAATAACTAATTCTCCGTATAAGTACCCATCATTTGAATTCCCACAATTAGATATCATTAATGAGTATGCTCCTCCTCTTTTTATGTTCGAAGAATAATTTGAATTGTTCAGATTCGCACCAACATAAATTATCCCATCAATATTTGGTTTAATAAATGTATTTTCAACCTGGCAATTTCCTGATAGTAAACTTTCTTTATTACAACATACACCCAACTGATCGTTCTTTATGAGACTCTCTAAATCTTTGCTTGGGGCAATTATTATTTCTATACTTTCATTATTTTGGATAATTCCATTACTTGATTTTACTTTTAAGTTATTAAAGTAAATCGTTGAGTATTCTGCAACTTTTGGGACAAATAAATTTTTATATGATTCATCTTTTTCGAACATAAAAAATTGGTACGGGTGTATAATAATCGATTTAGAAGGAGGTATTCTTATTCCATCAAAAGAAAAAGAGTACGTCAAAGCACCAAACGTTAGAAAACAAACCAGAAATAATTGAATTTTTATTAAAGACGAAGAGTAATCAATGCTCATGTTTTAAATAACTTAAATTAAGAATTGATATGAATTAAAATATGCATTCTAGATCAAATCTTGCGGTTTATGTGAGATCCATTTTGTAGTCAAATGCGAAGCTCCAAAATTAATAGATTAAATTACTCAGAATTACGAGAAAAGAAAAAGAAATCAGGGAAAAAAGTCACAACATAAATATGTTTTAATTGAGATTATTTGACCAATATAATAATTCATAATAATTATGGTTAAAAAGGAAGAATTAATACATTTTTATTCAAATCCAGCATTCAATTCCAAAATTAATTATAGATTTAGCTAAAAAAAAAAAAAAATTAAGCGCTAGTTTTTTTTTGATTAGTTGATCAAATAAAACAATATGGAAGGGAATATTGAATAAATTATTCCACTTTACGAAGTAGTAATAAAGAAGGATTCAAAACTAGATTGAGATGACACGTAACCCAGATGAATTTACTGATAGCAAAACTCGCATTTGCAATGTTTATATTCCTCCTTTTAAGAAAAAAAATCTCGAGGCATCTCATAATCTTCTAAATAGTCGTGAACACCAAGAAAAGTTATGGAATAAGTTAGAAAAAAACATAAGAGGAGAGATTAATAAACTCAATTTTTCAAATATTGAACATGTGTTGGTTAATATTTTGAAGAATAATATTATTCGTGGTAGAGGAATATTAGTTAATTGTGTTATCAGAGCTCAATTATCCAGTCAGTCATATACTAGTGTAATTTGCTACTTCTCTGCGATAATTAATTGTAATATTCCTGATTTTGGTTCTTTGCTGCTAAAAAGACTAATTAATCAGTTTAGAATATCATATTCAAAAGGAGATAAATTTGTTTGCAAGCATACTTTAATGTTTTTAGCTCAGTTAATAAATCAAAAAGTTGTTCATGAACTTACAGCTTTGCAGATATGCCTTTTTTTAATTGAGAAATTAACTGACGATTCAATTGAGGTATGTATTGATTTTATTCTAGAATGTGGTGAGTTTCTATTGGAAAATTCTCCACAAGGGTTAAACACTGTTATGAATAAGTTCAGAAGAATACTTCAGGAAGGAAAATTAAGGAAAAGGACTAATTTTTTAATTGAACGTGTTTTAAATGAAAGACGAATCAATTTTAAGAATTACCCAGCAAACAAACCGGAAAATGAGTTATTTGATACTAACGATCAAATAACTCATTTTATAGACATTTTGGATGAAGAAATCGACATTCAGGAAGAATTAGATCACTTTATTGAGACCGAACCTAATGTTTTTGAAGAAGAGAACAAAAAATGGGAAGAAATTTCAAAAGAATTGCTTTCTGGATTAGAAGATGTAAACATTGATAACAATGATGAACCACTTATTGAAAACAATTTTACATTAGATCTTTCAGAGAAAAACTTTGTTATTTTAAGGAAGAAAATTTATCTATGTATAATGAATAGCTTGAATTTTGAAGAATGTACGCACAGGTTATTGAAAATGAACATGAAAAAAGAACAAATACGTGAGGCATGCACAATGATACTGGATTGTTGTTCAATGGAAAGAACATATCAAAAATTTTTTTCTTTGGTTGCTGAAAGGCTTTGCATTATTAGAGAGGAGTTTCAAGATTCTTTTAAACAACTTTTTTCTGAAAGTTTTGAAAATATTCATCACTTAGAAACAACTAGGCTGAGACATATAACTAAATTTTATTCATATTTACTTAGTAAAGATGCAATACCTTGGAGTGTACTTTTCATTATTGTATTATCAGAGAAAGATACTGCTTCTTCTTCACGAATTTTTATTAAAATTCTTTTTCAAGAGCTTTCCAATAACATGGGAATTCAAAACTTAGATATAAAACTAAACTCCCCCGAGGTTTTGCCGTTTATAGAAGGCATTTTTCCGAAAGAAAACATCTATAAGATAAGATTTTCAATAAATTTTTTCACCGCAATTGGTTTAAGTGCATTAACACAAAAAATGAGAGATAAGTTGAGTGATATTGAAGAAAAGCAAACAAATAAGGTAAATGAACTTTGTTTTGGTTCCGAGATTCACGGTATACAGATTGATACATCTAATTCAGAAAATATAACTGAAAGTACGGAAGTCAAAAATACAAAATTTAAAACTATTAATTCATCAAAAATAAAGTTAAGTGAACAAATTAATTCAAATTTAAGAAAACGATTAAAAAGGCACTCCAATTCTTGCTCAACAGATTTACAGGATGGCTTTAAATACAGTTACAATATAGATAACTATAAAAGGAGAGATCGGAGTTTTTCAAGAGAGTTTTAATTCTTTTTATTGGCAAAAAAAATTGGCTGAATTATGCCACACTTTGTAATAGCAAGTAAATTATTATGCGTATAATAATTAAGTTTTTTTTTTTTTTTTTATTAAAGCCACAATTATTTATAATCCTTAATAATGAATAATATAGGAGCAGGCACAACTGCGTCACCAAAAAATATTGCTACTAAAGTGTCCAGTGAATTAAATGAGATCTACTCACCAAAAATGTCAAACTTAATAAGAAGCAATGCTCCATGTAGACTAACAAGCAACCGAGTAATGATCCCTTCAAAGTCAACATATAGAGTTATACTTCCTGTCCGCGATATTGGGGACCTGTCCGTAATCACGTACGAACACGAAATTTATTTGGGTAATGGTGGATCACTTAGATTCTTTTTACTAGGAAAACAAGTTAGACACCGTTTTATTAATGTCCCTTTAGATGAGGAAAATCCAATACCTTCTTATATCGATTCAGATAAAGTCCCGTTGGGTGATCTTCCTATTGTAAAATTAGGGGATCTCGTTATTTTTGATGAGATTCCTTGTCTAAGATATCTAGCAAAGAAGCTCGGAGAATATGGTAGAAATTATTATATTGACTTTGTAATTGATGATGTAATATTTCGTTGTTCTAAGTGGAGAGATGTTTTAATGGATTTAATTTCAAGAAATTATTCAGAGCTTTCAAATGGTAATATTAATACAAACAAAGAATTAGAAAGTTCTATTTCTAACTACAAACTGCTTAGAGAACAACTTTATTGCGAATTTGAAACTTTAATTGCATCAATTGGTGACAAGGGCCCTTTTATTGCAGAAAAAAACAAACCAATGATTTGCGATTTCATTTTATTTTCAATTTTATTTGATGATATATCTTTGATTGAATTTAGTGAAACCGAGAAGTTTAATAGAGTTACATTACTGCCAGAAAGATCGATTATTCACAAATTTCCGAGATTAAAGATGCTTTTTGAATCAGTAGCAATTCTACCATTAATAGACCAATGGATTAAAGGTAAATACTTTGCTATTCAAATAGAAGGTGAAAGTAGTGAACTAGTGACTCCACCTACTTCTTTAACTACTCAAGATCACGGTACAAATTTTGTTGTAGGAACTAACTCCTTTATTGGGTGTCCAAATTCGTTTGGATACCAGCCACCGGTCTTTCAGCAGCTTCCAAATCAACTTTTTGCTCATGTAAACGCAGGAATACGATTTTTCCCACAAAATATGGCAATGCCAATCAACCAACCCATTTTTTCTCCAAATAATAGTTTTGTTTCTCAGCCTATTACGAACTATTATCCTTTTTTGAATAACCAAATTCAAAATCACGGATATTTAGGAGGGGTTTCGTCCCCTTTTGTCCAGAGAATTAGTCCTTCTCAAAGTTTTAAGCTAAAGTTTTAATACAAATTTCTCAATTAATAATTTAACTTTTGTATAGCAAATGCTTTGCTCTCAATTTATTGTTAGAAAGTGATGCTCTATTCGATTAATGCACTTAACAAAATTTTAGAATGATCTAAAATCTGTATGTTTCTAAATTAGAGTTACAGTTTTTAGTAGATTTGCTCGGCTCAACTTACTTAAATGATAAGTTTAATACTGAAAAATGATCAAATACTTTACAAATTCGCTCTGGAGTTATTTGTATATTATTTGAACCAAAGAGTTTAATTATAAATGCCAATATCACCATTGACTTCCTTATATTTGTGTTCACAACTTCTGGTTTTACAGACGATGAGGAATAGTTAAGGGTATCTGTATGTGAATGTTCAAACGGGAGAGATATCCAGACATATCCATTTAACCCAAGAATAAGCTGTATTCCATATTTAAGTTTAACAATATGTTGTGCCTGTCTCTGAATTAACTTATTTGGTACCTTGACAAGCATTCCATTTGCAAGTCTTCCATACTTCGCACTTCTAGTGTGAAGATGACAAATACCTTCACTTTGAATTCGCTGCACTTCTGTACAAATCACATCGCCTTCATCTAAAATAGACTTCATATATAATGAATCTTCTTCTGTTCGTCTTCTTTGGACAGACCCAGGAAGACTAATTGCAGCCAGAGATAATTGCGCAAATTGAGTGGAGCATATGTCAATTAGCCACTTCTTGTTCGATACCTGTAAAAAGAATTAAGATTGTTTCAAAAAAAATAATTTGAGCTTACTTCTACAACTCTTCCAACTACAATATCCCCAACTTCAGCACTGTACCTACCACCCAAAGGCTTAGTATATATTAATTTATTAAGACTTTCAAGATATCCACACGCTGTAGAAATTAATCTAGAGCTCCTGTCTTCAAGCGTCCCATGACCTCTAATACTTTATTATTATATTTTTAGATTTTTAAAGCGACTTACCTGATATAGTTTGGTTCAGTTTGAATTAAGTCTCCAGGAATAACCGTTTTTTCACGGACTATTTCTCCATATTCGTTGCTAAATAAATTTAAATCGGAATCTACACAGTTTAAAGGCAATCAAATTGAAATTAATATTTGGTTTTCAAATAAGCTTGTAAAAACTGGTTTTTTAAACCTACCTTCCCATTTTATTATGTTAATCTTCATTTTCAAAAAAAGATAGAAATTCTAAAATATTGGCGCTGTAAAATGAACAATTAAGCATGTATTGGAATCACCTATTTTTTCTTTATTTTGAAACTAAGAATCATGGAAACTGACTCAAGTAATGCAAGTATTTCAAACTCATTTTATTTCCTTTTGAACAATTTAGCAGGAATTTCGTAAGTTTTGGCCATGAAAACTTTTAATTTTCAATAACTTTTTAAGGTTTGTATCATACTTTTTTTGGTCGGGCGTTTCACTATTAATTGGAGCTATTGTACTTAATTCATTTTTCTTGAATTATTCACCTAAAATAAATAGTCAAGTTGTTTGCTCGGCTTCATCTAATGTAATTGGTATAGTTTCACTTTGGGTAGTTGAAGGCCTTTCATTTATGTCAATGTGCATTGCATATTCAGTTGTTGAATCGTAAGTTCGGAGAAAATTGAACATTCAAAGTAATTGATTCATAAATGCAGTACATGCCAAACATTTGACAACTTAACTTTTTCAGTACAAACAATGGGCGTTATTGTTAAATATCTCCCCACATGGATCAGATTAGTTCATGTATTTACATTTTGCCAAATCAATACACTTTTTGCACAATTAAGTTTTTTGCCTGAATGCAATTCATCAGGTCTGCAAACTACGCTTATTCTTACAAGCGTTACCTGGTGGTTTGTTACAATTTTTGGACTAATTTGCAAAAAGAGAATTGCGATACCTCCTCATATATTTGATCCTTTAAGACCAAAAACGAGTTTCATGACAGAAATTCATTTAGTTCTAAAAATAATGGGTCCTTAAGACAAAATCATACATAGATGATAATAAATTAGTTAAAACAATTATAAAATAATATAACTCTAATACGACAATTTGTTCCTATTCGAAGTTACCCACAAGTTTGCAGGTTGTTTAGAGTTTAAATGTACTTGCTCCCACTCAAGTCTGATCGTACACCAAAGTGCTCTTCTAAAAACCTCAATCGTGGCCACACATAAATTAATTAATGCAGCATTTATTTGAATATCGTCAATAATTGTGATAGGGATTAGTGTAATCGCCCAGGTTAATCGACCAATCAAGTTGTAAAATGCAACCAAAAAGTAGTACCAGCTTGGGTAGATTGATTTTGAGCGAAGAAACGAAGTCTTCTCTTGCATTAAGCCCCAATCCATATAAATGTCCCAAATAAACATGTAAATCGTACCAACGATATAACAGGTAAACCATAAAAGTCTAGCTGTGAAAGGAGACATTGACGTCATAGTTGTCCATGGAACGGTGGCGACAATAGCAATAGCCAAACCGGTTGTGTATTTGCCCATATTGTAGAGGTGGTTCCTTCTACTCGGTGATTCATCAGTTAAATATCTCATTCCACATTGGAAAAACCGGATTTCGTATGGAAGGGCTAATGCAATAGTTTGCATCCATCTATAATTTGACAAGAAGTTAAAGAGCAAAGTTGGTAATACATCACCTTTATTTTTAATTACAAATACGAAAAATGTAATAGTGTATTCTATATCACCAAATGGCTTTGAAAGTGTCGTAAAAATATCGCCAATAATATTAGCTCTGAGGGTAACGTTAACAACTTTCGGTACAACCCCATGACTAAAAACTTCTAATATTGAATGAAATATGGCTTTTCTGTACTCATATGTAAACGTTTTACTTGGAATAAATAGAAGCAAAAGTTCTATCACCATTAAAAGTGCTGGGTAAATCCACAGTGGATAGTGTTCAATATTAAAGTAGCTAAACAAAGAAATTCCTAAACGATAATCAGTAATAAATAGAGTGAAGATAATAATCCAAACAATCGTTTGCAGTGCTGCAAAAGAAAATATTGTAGTAGCGGTGATTCTACTGTTAGGGTCCATACCAGTCATATACTTGTAATTCACACCATAATACTCCATAATACTGATGGAAATACCAGAACCCCACATTACAAAAATACCCATCAATACAAGTCTGAACAACGGGAATAATGCAAGTGTTCCTTGTATGCTGTATTCACTGTTTATTATTGGAAGACGGCAGATAACAAATAAATTAAAAAGTAGTACAATGCAAATGCCAATTAAAAATGACATAGTAAAATCAGGATTAAATAAAGGTTTACCAATCATTTTTCCAGATTTTAATCCATATTCCATTAATGCCTCAAGTTCAAAGACTGAAGATTTATATAAAAAATCAAATTCTTGAACACCAATCTTATTAAAAACAATATTTGTGTTTGGCTGTTCTTTATGTGAGTTGTTCTTGATTGAATCGCCCTCCGATGAATTTTCAATAAGCTCTTTTGATTTGGAATATAGCCTGATTAATTTCCCTCGTGAAACCAAGCCATTTCTTAGCTCCTCAAAACAAGAAATTAGCGAATCATTGCTCGGTATGCCGTCTAAATAAAACTCAAACAATTCGTCACGCCTCAAACAAAGTTTCATAACAGCTAGTTTATTTACTGCGATATATTCTTGCAAATCATCAAATGTTTTCCATATCTCCAATATTAGGTTTGGTAAATGTAGTTTGGAGTTAATTTGTGCTGAATTATCTTCCAGCAAGTTAGAAATGCACTCTAAATGATCGCTATTATCTTGTAACACTCTATTATAATTTGATATAACAATATCTATATTTTTCTTTAATGAGTGATGAAATTGCTCCAATTTTGGAATAAAACACTCATATACATCTTTGTTAAGTGACTTATATGGAACTTCAATGTGATTTGTCGATCCTTTTAATGTAGCTAAATTAGATTCTTTCCCAATTGAACTCAAGAATTCGGAGTAACAAAGATTCAAGTTCCGTGCATGGGCTCGATAATTAATAAACTTTCCGCCCCATTTCGTTGATTCAAATGATTCAATTCTGTCAGCAAACTTCATGTTTCATTTGGAAGACAACTTGCTTATTCTTAAATAATTATAGCGGTACCTACATTAAATGTAAAAACTTGCCTTATAAAGTAGATCCCGTCAATGTCTTGTCTATTTTAGACCGCCATCACAATCAATTTAATATATATATTGTGCATGCAAAGATGGTGAATTATTTTTATTTTATGATTAATTGCCCTCTCTTAGCTGTTAAAGGCCCAACATATGCACCCCTGTTATCTAGGTAATATAATATGCTTTTTTATTTAGTCAATATAATTATTATCATTTAACCATAATATAAGTTATTTAACAACTTTATCAAGAATATTAGATCAACAATAAAATATTAATTAATATTGATATGAATATAAGTACCAGGCAGTTGTTTGTCTGGCACCCATAGCTCAGCTGGTTAGAGCATACGGCTAATAACCGTAAGGTCCGCGGTTCGATCCCGCGTGGGTGCACTTTTTTGGTGGTTTTCCCCACCCACAGGGTAATTATTAGTGAGGAATAAGTTGGCTTTAATGAAAGATAAATTTAACATTTTTTTTAATTATAATATATTCAAATAGTACCTAGAAATGTTGCTAAATGCTTAGAAAAGATTTAGTACGCAACTTTGCATCTCAACATAATAATAATCATGAGATGAATTGGAGAGTTGGACAAATAAAAAGGGTAATAGTAAATGACATAGGAGGTCACGAATTTATTGATGTTAGTCTACTTCCTGGAGTAAATTTGATTACTGGTGGAAATGGAAGCGGTAAAAGTAGCCTAGTTTCTGCAATTGCTTTATTATGTGGCTGGAGTGGTAGAAAAGCTGGAAAAGATACAAATATGAATAAATATATTAGAATAGGTGCCAATAAAGGTTCTGTGCGTATACACTTTGCAAATAATGACGGCGAATTTCAAAGAGGATATTTACACGATATTTACGGTGACGAAATAATCATTGAACGTATTGTTTATTTGAAAAGTACTTCTAATTACACTTTCAAAGGTTCCAAAGCAAGTTCTCCAATTCACAAATCGTTGAATGCAAAAAAGCACTTGTCACAATTTCGTGCATATGCAAACATAATTATTAATAACCCGGTCACATTTTTAACACAAATGGATGCAAAATATCTCATTCGTGAACAAAACTCACCAAAATCATTATATGATTTTTTCCAAAGAGCCCACTTATTTGACTGTTCTTGGAAGCACTTGGCTGAAGAACAACGCCATATTGAAATGGCTGAAATTATTTCAAAGTCATTGAACAGCGAGTTGAAACTATTAGAAAACGAGCTTAAAGAATACAAGGAGGTTAATGAAATTATACAGGTATATAAAAAGTTGCAGATGTATGAGAAAAATCTTGAAAGTATAAATATTGTAGCATCAATAAAAAATTTAATTTCCTCGATCAATTATCTCCGTATTCAGTCTGATGAACTTAATCAAGCTAAATCAGCACTGGAGATAGAAGAATTAAACAAAAAAATACTTAAAAGCGATAGAGAAATAAATGATTCTCAACATGAATTAAAAAATTTGCATTCCAAACATGAGCTAAACTTTAATGAGCATAAAAAGTTAACTATAGAGCTGGAGCAAATATATAGTCGATTGTTATCATATTCTAAAGAGATAAAAGAAATCGAAAATGATATTTCAATCACAGAAAAAGAAATGAAATTAAAGGAAGAAAAATATCATTCAAATACCAGAAAAAAAAAAAGTGATTACAAAGAAAAATTGTTTAAGGAAATAAAAACTTACAAAGAAATTGCTAATAATCTTAAAATAAAAAAAGAAAACTTAATCGTACTCTCCATAAACAAAAAAAATGAAATATCAACATTACTTGAAAAAATTGGAGAAAATATGGCCGAGATCAATTTGCTTTCTGATGAGAAGTCATCATTTGATTATAAGTTAAATGAAATTAAAAACGCATTGGAAACAGATAGGGAGTCACTTAAATATTATAATAATTTTAATCAAATTAATAACCAATTTAATTCAACTAACATTGAATATAATGTAGATATTAGCTCAGAAGTTAATTCAAAAGGAAAAGAAAGTTTTGAAGCTATGTATTCTCGATTGTATAGTTACTTCTCAGACGAAGATTTCGAAATTATTTTTGGTTATTCAAAAACTGTACATTACAGGATCATTAAACAACTCAAAGAAGTTAATAAAGTGAATGTAATTGGTCCAATTGCACTTCATATTTTTTTTAAACCCAATGTCTACAATAACGAAAAAATAATAATTACAATCGATGAAATTATAGGGGGGAGATTTGAAAGACATGATATTGTATCTGGCTACAAAATTAGAAGAAATTATAAATATTGGCTAGTCGAAAACTCAAAAACAAGAAAGGAATTAATTTTGTTATTCAAAAATAATGGTATTTTTTTAGACCCTTCATTGATCTATATAAGGTCTTCATTCACTCAGAAATATGAATTATCAGGTGTTCGGAAAAGATATCCAAAATTAGGGCAGGCTGTTATTGATTTAATACAGATCGAAAACGATGAAGTTTTTAATTTTCTTGTAGATAATTTCCAAATAGAAACAACTTTTATTTTCTTAAGTGATCAAGAAATGGATTTGATATACGATTATAATTTTAATATTAGAAGAGCACACTGTTTAACTAATTCTTCATTTAAATATAGGCGAGGTGGAATAGTAGTTGCTCCTGAGATATGTATCCCCAAGCAATACACTCCATCTAAGATTGTTATTAGACAATTGAATAATTTTTTCCAATTGAAAAGTTATGATTCTAATTTATATTATAACCAATCAGAAGAAAAGAAATGTAATCTTCGAGAAAAAATCGAAATGAAAGGGCTTTTAGAATGCAAAATACTAGAAAACGAAATTATAAGTGAGAGAATTATAAGAAATATTGCAGAGATTGAAGAAAAAAACAAAAAATTGGAACTTTCAATAGTTAATGATAGGAATAGTCTTAATCATTTTAGTAATGAAATATCTGGTTTCGAGAATGAATTAAATGATATTACTAAAGAAGAGCATATAATTAACATGAAAGTTGGAGAGTTAGAAATAGAGGTTCGAAAGTTTGATAGGGACGAAAATCATAATTACGACGTTGCCTCTGAAATTAACGAATTATCTACGAAGTTAGATGAACTCAAAAAGCTTTTATTTGAACTTGTAGAAAAAGTCAATTATGAAGAAAAACTAAAGAAAAATAAGGAAGATGACTTAGAAAAACTAAAAGTTGTTCTTGAGGATGAAAAGAAATTGATTAGGCTAAAAGAACAGAATCATAAAAGCCAAAAGATGAACAAAAATATTTTACTTAACGAAAAACCCAAAGTCGAAAACAAAATTAATGAACTAACCAACAAAATAAATCAGTTAAATACTGAAATTAACTCGAAAGACAATGAATTAGCAGACCTAAAGATTAAATATCGAATAATGAATGGTAAATTTTGTAATGTTGAAGATTCAGACACTGGGCTTGATGTAATGATTACTAGTGATTTATGCTCTACACTTGAATACTTTAATTGGGAATACAGTATCTCAGAAGCAGTTAACTCTCTTCCGGACGATTTAACGTTAGAACTATGGAAATCAAAAATCTCCAAGCAGAAGGATACAATTTACTTAAAGATTATCGAACGATCCAAAAATTTTGGGATTGATCATTTTGAAAAATATTCCCCCGAACACTTGTTCGATAGAATATTAGATACTATAAATAAAAAATCTAGAAAATACAGAGAAAAATCTGATGAATTTCAAGAAGAAAACAAACTTTTAAACAAGAACAAAGTAAATCTAAATAAAAGGATTCAACAGCTACAAAAAAATCACATTCGTTGTGGAAAAAACGTAAACTCTCTATTCAAGTATTATTTTTCTATTTTTTGGTCAAACACAATGCGTCCCCATCTTAAGTTCGATCATGACAAATCTATATTGAATATCTATGTGATTCCTGACACAGCAGTTGTGAAAAAGCCCAAACAATTTGAAAGTAACGGTCTTTCTTCTGAAAAGAATTCAGATTCCTGTAAGGATCAATATAAAAACTTTGTGAGTAGAGAGATTCAATCTCTTAGTGGTGGAGAAAGTAGCAGTATTGGTATATCACTTCTATTAGCGCTATCTCAAAACAACCCTTCTCCATTTCATCTTTTTGATGAACCAGATGTATATATGGATGACATCCGAAGAATGACAACAATCAAATCTCTAATAGAATTCGATCGTTTGTGCTCAAGAGGAAAGAGAATTTCTAATAGACAAATATTATTTGTAACACCCCACAGTGAGATTGTGCCACATATTAGAGAAAATTATACGGATTTAATTCATGTTATAGAGCTTATTAAAAGATAAATTTTTAATACATCAATAACCTTACTTAACTTCTGAATAAATTGACGTATTGATAGCGTTTATTTTTCTAATCGTATTTTCTGGATTATGTCCAATTAAAAATTCTAAAGCTTTTTGCATTCTCAGTGATTTCTTAATAAATTCTGAAATATCCGAATTGCTATTTGTGTTAATATTACGTTCCAACTCAAGAGGATAGATACTTGGCTGTTTTGGGATTTCTGTGAATACTCGAGGAGTTGAAATATCCGAAGGACTTTCTAGTGGAGATGGGATACTTTCTGCATTATTTCTTGAGTTATTTTGAATCCAGGTAAAAGGAGCACCATATTTTGAACGAAGCTTCTGCCTTTGATTCTGCTTATAATTATTTGTATCAACTATAGGTTGATTATTTAATTTTTCTTGGCCTTTTTCCTTAGATATTTTAAAATTTTTAAGCAAACTTGTATTGTTCTTGGAATAGGTTTTAGTATAGTCGCAGATTTGAGTTAGTTTTTTGTTATGTTTACCACCAACTTGTGATGGTGAAATTGGTACGTTCGTTTCCGCTGTGTAAAATAATGCTATCGGCTTTACATCTTCACTATTTCTTAGTGATGCTGGCCATGCCCAGGTTGGAATAAAGGATGATTTTTGAACCTCTGAGTTGTTTTGCGTGTATTTGGAAGCCATTCTACATTTTTGTGCGCAAATATTACCTGTTTTTGAAGGCTTGGAGTTGTTAAACTTGAAAATATGTGAATTTAAGCATCTGTCATGAACTTTGTGAGAAACCATAAATGCGCGTAAATCTTCTTCAAACCTAGTTTTATATATTAACCTCAACTTCTCTGCTCTTTTTGCCAATTCGTTTGCATGGTTAGATCTCTCTATCTCCAATGCATTTCTATACCTTTCATGAGATAACTCATCACTATGTTTTTCATTGCCAGCACCTCTCTTTAAAGAACCACCCATTTCAGCACTTCTTTTCAATTAACCAATTTTTTACTTAATCCACATAAAAAAAAATACGAAAAAAAAATTAAAATATTCCCGCTAAAAAGTTTTTTTTTGCAAAGTTCAACTATGTTCATTAAACAGCAAATCAATATTAAAAATAAAGAGGTTCAATCGTAAAACCTAGATATTTATTAATCACATGATCTTCTGTCTGGTAATATATATTCAATCTATCGTAAGTTTTTGTTTTAAAATTTTTAGAATTATTAAGCGCTAACAATTTTAGATCTTGTTATTTGATTTGTCATGTAAAGAACAATTTTCATTTAGTCGTATTCATGATATTACTGACTAAAAATCCGAATATTAGATACTCATTTCTGTTAATATTGATTATTCTTTTGTTTTTTATTTCCAAATTTGCTTTTTGCTCTGAAATAAGTGAGTTATCTAGATCTGAGCAATATCCAGTAGATGAAGAAAAAAACACATCAAGAAGGCCAGAAGGTGCTATCCCTATACCAATCAAAAGAAAATGGTTTGAAAATTTTTCTAAGGAGAGAGTAATTGATAAGTACTACACCAAGGATGGAAAGAAAGTCAAAGTAATTTTAATAAGAAGACATCGTCCAATATTTGGTAGGTTTATAAAATGGAAAAATAAACGAAAAATGAAAAGAAAAGCGAAAAAAAAGTATAAAATGGATAGAAACCCGAAAAATAAAAAAGGTAACATATTTGGAAGACTAATGAGAAGAGGGAAAAAAAGTGAAAACAATACTAAAGAACCAACTTTGGAAAATGTAAACTATGAGAAAGATGATGAAAGTGTTTCAAAAAGTGATATATTTGAAGATAACGATGAAAATCCGGTCGAAAAAAATGAGAAAGGTTCAAACAAAATGGAAAAAGCGGAGAAACAGGTAGATTATACTGCTTCAATAGATAGATTTTCAAGTTATGATAAGAATTCAATTACTGGTGAAAATACTGACTCTTCTGATATGAAATCACCAATTACCGATTATGAAGCTACCATGCTTTGAACCATTAATCTACTTCTATAATTTGTTATTTTTGAATTTAATTACTTCAACTTATTACTTAGATCTTTGTTTTATCTTGCTAAAACTATTTAAAAGCATTTATTCTACAATTTATTGTTCAATGCATGAATTAAAAAACAGGATTTTTTAATATAAATATTTTTTTTAGATTTTTATATAATGGTTGATTAATCATTTTTTTAGTTTGATTTATACGACACAAAAAAAAAATGACTTGATTTTGCTCTAGAAGTAGCGAAATTAAAATTGATAAATAATTATCAACTCGAGGAATAGTGAATTAATGGGCACCATTTTACAAATAATAGTTATTTTATAAGTTTCTATAATTAATATTTATTAAAATTAACACTAACACAATATTTAGAATCTGTTTTCTCAATATATTTGCAAAAATAAAATACTCAATGACTAAAGGCTCAATTTTTTTTAATCATTCAAATAAAATTACTCTGTATCAAAATATAACTAATTAAACAAGTTATTTTAATTATTAAAATGTAATTTTTTCCATTTAATAAGTAAAACATTCAAATTAATAAAACTCATAAACTTAAAATTGACCATCAGCTCTACTAAAAAACTTATATAAAAAGAAATCCCTATAAAATCTAAACTTATCACATAAATCTTAAGTGATTCCTAGTATCTACTGTCATCGAAAATTAGTACTAGGATGTGCAATGCACTTTGGATTGCCCAATATTTTTTCTTGACTAATATCTAATTTATTTCGATAAATTTTTCCTTTAATAAGTAACCAAATAAATATACCCATAAATATAGACCCAAGAATGCTCAAAATCCCCATTATTTTCCAGGAAATATGTTTTTTTTCTTTTTTTTCCTTTTTATTAAAAATGATCTTGTCCTCTTCGGTGTTAGAATTAATAACATTATAATTCAGACTACTTGAATTAAAATGATCAGATCCCTGGTATTTGTTATCATTAACTTGATTTAGTCCATCATCAGGAGAATTTGTACTTATAAGACTTAAATCCAATGATTTTGGGTCAGTATTTGTGTTAATTATTTCTTGTTTTAAATCTGAGCGAGTACTACCAATAACAGGGGATAGATGCTGTTTAAATAATAAAATTGGATTTAAATATTCCATCGTAATATATAATGATTCAAAACTTTTCCATACAAATTCAATAGACTTGGCAACTTCTTCCGAATTTATCCCCCTAAGTTCACTGCTGTAAATGTTTATCTTTATGTTTTCATCTAATGGAACCCAAATTCTCCATGACCTAATAGGTAATTGATGAGGCCATCTTGTTCCTCCAAAGTATCGAAATCCTGATCTTGATTCGAACCTATTAGAGTGACTATTATAAATATAATCAACTGCATATGCCTTTATTCCATGAATACTACCTAATGTTGTTCCAATTACCCAAGTATCTTTGGAATTATTTATTACAATCCCTCGGTACAATACATATCCAGGGTGGTTCTTCTTTTTATTCCTTTTTTGTCTAAAAAAAGGAAATCCCATATACTCTCCCAAATGAAAATAATCCCCATTAATGTCATCAGTACCTCCGTTTACAACCATTTTGACATGTTTTGGTTTTATACCTCTAATCCTGACAAAAACTTTTTCTTCAACAAAATCACTATTCGGAATATTATGTACATACTTCTTTTTGAATGGAGGTTTCAAGAACGACCAGCCATCGGGTTCTAATTCGATTCCTCTTTCAGCAGGCCAATCAACATCAGATTTAACACGTGAAGTGTTCGGTCGTCTCCAAATAGCCAAAATTTGGCTGGGGTTAGTATTTCCCAATTGCCTTGAAATAATCCACGATATATTGTTTGATTCATTGAGATATGACCAAAGATACAAACTATTCCCGGGGTATTCTACTATTGAACTTTGTAAGCTAACTTCCTCACTCCTAAGAGGACCTCTTTGCACAAAGTATGGCCTACTTTTAAAGAATCCTTCCCAACTATATAAAGCATTAGAAAAGTATCCGTTTGCACCATTAATTGATATATCTAAAGTTCCGCGTGAAGGTGGTATACACGAGGGCGTTTTGTATTTTGTTAATCCACTAAATTTACTTATATGAGGATTAGGACATCCAGGGAATACTTTTAAATCATCAGGGGATTCAACTAAAGGAATGTGTTCAAGTATAATCGATTCCTTAGGAATAAAAGTAAATGGTCTTGCTTCCTCAACAATAATATCTTTATCAAAAACCAATACACGCTTAGATTCCATTTCTTTAGGTATTTTAACAGGTAATGGATTTCTTAAAGGAGTACTAGGATCTAGTTCAACGTACGGAATTATATCATGAGCACTAAACTTTCTTGGTTGAACATACCAACCCCTAGTGTATGCAGGAGAATACGGTCTTCCAATAATCTCTGCATATATTTGTCCAACTGATATTTTTGGGTTGTTAATTGGCCAGGTATCTCCAATACACCACCTTTCTATAGGAAAATTTAGAAAAAATATGTAAAGAGTTGGCTCAGGATAAATTCTTCTATAAACAGGCCTAACGATTGGCTCAACATACCAAGGATATTTTTGGTCATTTTGTGATAGCTGCATTGAATCTTCTCTCTTATATATTCCGTGTAATGCAGCATTGTATGATGAACTTCTGACTTCAACAAAGAGTGGTGTATATCTACCGTAAGGAACAGTACGTAAATATATTTCTTTTGAAAAAATTTCATCCTTTATATATCCTGGAAATGAAAAATATCCAAAGTTATTATATTTATAATTTTGAATCGAACTTTCGCCTTCTGTGATTTCACTTCCTGCACTGATATTGTAATATTTTACATTTAGTCTTTCAATTTCATTAATAACAAAATTTTCAATTCCAATCATTCTTTCATTGGGCCTTACCATGAATGCAAATTCATCAATTTGTAGATTTTCTATTTTTGGTTTTTTGATTAATTTAAATGGTTTAATTGTAGATAATTCTACCTTTTGTGGAGATTTATAATATGATTTCCCCGGGCTGGGACTACCCTTTTCTTTATCATTTGTTTGATTTTGATGGTTCTCTGTGATAGATATTAAGTTAGGATTATATTTATTCTCTATTTGAGGGTCTGGTCTGTTTATTTCTGAAATTTTAGTATCATATACATTTGAAATTTCGTCATATTCACTATCTTCAGTTGAAAACAGTGAGCTTTTTTCATTACTATTTTTTATCAAGCTAAGCTCAATGAAAAAACAGATCTCCTGGTCAAAAAACAAATAAATATATAAATATATTAATAAAAATATGCTCAGAAAATTTATACACATATCATAATTAAAAATTGAAGTTTTTATTTTTAAATTTGTAGTGTGTGTACACACAAGCCATTGATAGCCATTTAAATCTGGTAAAAAATAGTTATTTACCTTTATAATAATTAATTAATTATAAAACCAAAACCAAAAATTTTCAATAATTAATCTAATTTCACAATTTTTTTGAACATTATAATACATCGAAACATGATTATTAATTTGACGGTTTAAGTTAATAAAAATGAATACAGCTAATTAAGATCTTATATATATATATTTTTAAAAATTAAGTTATTACACAATTTGAAAATAAATGTTTAATTTTTAGCTTTAAATAATATACTTATTTCTTAAAAAAATTAAATTAGTACAAAAGATTGCAGAAAATGTCTCACAATTTAACTGTTAGAAGATTTGAATACTCTTTCTTTATTACAAAAGAAAAACAATAAAATTCGAATGTTCTTTTTGTATTTTAAGTTTTTATTATGCAGAAATATAATTAACCGTAAAAAAATTCGAATTTGAACATTCAAAATAAATCATAATAAATTGGAACTAATCAATTATCACTTTTATTAACTATATAACAGTACGTGAAATTAACCTAAACCAGAAAATTATTCAATGATTTTGTGTAATTACTTCATCTTAATTCCTCACAATTCAATTTTGAGAATAATTTACCGTTTTACTTACTTTTTATAAATTGAAGCAAATATTAATTTCAAGATATATACAATGCCATTATAAACTTAAATGATACCAAATAATTTTTTAAAATATTTATCAAAAGTAAGTTCCAGATTAATTAAATTAATATACCGATAAATGTAAAGATTAACTTTAAACCTAAACAATTTTGTAAAACTTAGAATTTATTTAAATAAATTCTATGTAAAAAAAATTTAAGAATCCCTGACTTGTTTTGGGAAGACTCTGGAATTTTAATTTATATTTGAACAAAAAAATTGGAATATTTAAGGAATGATAACATGGTTTCCTATTGTTATTCTGATTAATTGCCCATCACAGTTACATTTTCCTTCCCACTGGAAAATTAAGTGATTTTTAATGTGAATTAATACCAATGGAAAATATCTGAAATATTGTGCAAAAATGCACAGTTATTTCACTATTATAGAAAAAATAGATCGAATTTGATTTTAAATTCATTAAAATTCAAAATTTTTTTGAAGTTAAAATGAACAAAATACTTTTCTAAAAATATAAATAACAAAAAAATGATATAATTATTGCGATTATTAATTCCAGAATAGATTTCTATTTACTATACATAATTAAAGAAGCCAGTTATTAAAATATTTGTAATTTAAGAATTTTCTTAATATTATTAATTCTGAAAAAAAATATTAGGTACAATTACTAATGTTTATTACATTTACTCTAGGGATTTGCCGAAGAAATGAAATTATTTTAAAACCCTAATAAAAGAAAACATTTTAATTTGCATAGTTTTTAATTTAACTGCAATTAAGTATTGGTAAATTAATTTAACATTTTAAAAAAGATTAAATATTTAATAAAGACAAATTAAGAGAGGCAAGCTCACTAACCATGTTTTCTCGTTCTTAATAAGTAGTCAGAGTTTGTATTTTAGAAGAAAAGCAGTTAAATTTTATTTATCAATTTTGAATTCCTGTCATTAGTCTGTATGGGTATAAAACAATCTACAATTATAAAAAAAATCCTTTTTGAGTGTTGAAATAATACAAATTCCATATCAATTAACAATTATATCTTGTAAATGGGGACTTTATGCGCGAAAAAAGATGTTTAATCACTATTTTTTTAATGAATGAAACAAAGAATAGATTTCAATACCCATAACATGCAATTCAATTTAATTTTATAATGAGAAATTTAATCTAAGAAATTTATGCCGCGAGAAATATGTTAAGACATTTTAGATTTCTGTCTTTTTTTTTGGCAAAAGCCCGGAAAAAATTCCTCGTCTAAATTAAAAGTAGACAAAAAAACGCCCCCACTATTTTGTAATATAATAATTAGCTCGTGCTGGAGAGTATCCGGTACTATAAATACCGCGAATTAGAAATAAAAAATAGATATAAATTTAATTTTAAATATAGATCGGCAAATTATGGAAAGATCTTAATGACTTTGGATGTCAAACTTGAATAACTTAGCATTGCAATTGGTCCAAATTCTTAACCAACATAGTAGTGATGGTGGACCGCAAAGTGCTGTTTCATCTAACCAAACAGACACAGCAAATAAGTTTTTGCTTGAGCACTATAATAATTACTTCTTACCATATATTTCCAGAATAGGAAACGAACCTATTTTGAGCAATACCTGTAACCAAAATTCCACTTCAATTGATCAATTGTTGGTATCGTATCCAAATAATGGTTTAACAATTAATTCGATTATGAATTATGACCAATCTGGAAACCTAAATTCGCCTTCACAATCGGTTGATCAGGAACAATTAAATTTAAAACAAAATTTAGATTCATCAGCCTACAATTCAGGAATAAAATCTAAACAACTTTTGCTTACCTTACAAAACCAAACTCCATTGATTGGGCTACAAAGCACTCCTATGGAAGTTTCAAGGGCACAGATTTCAAATTCTTCTCCTCAACAAGTTATTCCACTTAATATATTAAACAATAATTTAAATAATTGGGCAGAATCTGCTCTTTCATCTTTGCTAGATAAACCGGACATGCTGATGAATTTAATGCGACTTGGTGCTGCCAGCATTATGGCATCTTATTATGGGCAAACACAGAACCCAACAGGTGTAAATATTTTCCAACAAAGCTCTCCACTAATTTATAATATGTCTCTTTCACCTAAACAAACCGAAACACCTTGTATCAACAATATTGGCCCAATAGAGATGAACTCTTCAACTATGGCATTTACTCCAGTAAAGTCACCTTCTACAGAAAAAACTGAACACCAAACCCCAGTATTTACACCCAATGCATCTCAACAATTTTCAGATGAATTAGTTTTCTATAACTTTCTTGAGCAGAGTAGAAAACTTTCATGCGATATTAAGAATCAGAATGAAAAAAAAAATTTATCTACTAACAAAAGTAATGGGCAAACTATTAGAAAAAGTTGTGCTGGGAGGCCACGTTTAGACCGTTCAGATTGGTGTTGTAGTTTATGTAGGTGCATTGAAACAGCACAGTGGAGATATCTTAGAAATACCATAGAGAATAATCAAAACAATATTTGTCATCGTGGTAAAATCCTGGTTTGTAACGCTTGCTATTTAAGAGTGTCTAAGGAAAACAAAATTAGACAAAAAATAAATACCTTTAAATTGGAAGGAAACGTAAAAATAGACGATACTTAGGAGTTGATAACTATTTTTTTTTTAGTTGATTAGTGTGCATTTCACATCCTATTACACACTGATTTAATAGATTTTGAACTTTCTTATCAATTGTTCTTAATTCTCCACTAATTATAATGGGGCAAGTATTTGTTTGTGAATGCTGCGGAGAGCAGTCTAAATGTATAATTGATCAAAACGAAGTGGAAATAGTGCGGCCAAGACATTGTATTTTGGAAGCTCAACGCAGAATGGGTTATATTCCAGTAGTAACATGTAGCCCAATGTCCTCAAGGAATCAAACTCCACGCTCAGTAATTTCATCGTATTTCCATTCACCGCGAGGAAATGAGTTATATTAAATAACTTATTTTTTTGATTTTGATATTTTTTTGTACAATAGGTCTTGTCTTCTTGCACAATTCCCCCATTTTATATGTAATAAAATTTTAATAAAAAATATATTTCATTTTCATGATTAAGTAATAAACATAGTATCTGAAGAATTCCAACAATCATGAACGAAGAAAATGTTTCGAATTTTCAGTTCCCAGATTTGGCAATTTCAAGAATTGCAAAATCAGTAGTAAGCAGCAATTCTCGTATATCGAAAGATGCATGCAAAACAATCAATAGATGTGCTACATTATTTTCAGTTTATTTAGCGTCTCTATCAAGTTTCTCAAAAGATGGGAAAAAATCAATAGTACGGGACCATAATGTAAAATCTGCTCTGAAATTTATATACTCTAATGATAATACATCCACATGAATAACCAAGAGAGTATTTAGTTAACTAATTTGTTTTTGGTGTAATTCAATCAGATTTTTAATTCATTAATGTATTTTTTAGAATGAGAAACATAAATTACCATTTAATTTAATCCTAAACAAGAATATTAAAGGACCATACGACTTTTTTAGAAGATTGGAGCCACAATATTTGTTTTTATTATAATAAATGAATTTAATCACTTTCTTATTGAAACAGTGTGAGCTGTCTTCGTTATTGATAAGTTTTCAGTATGCTTACAGATATCATGAATTGCTAGGATTAAGAAATAAAAAAATATATAAAGAGAATTATTAAAAGGAAATTTAATAGAATATTTTGTAAACGAACAATTTTAGGTAATCCTAGATTCTTTATTTTATTTTATGCTACGAAGTTAATATATTATAAATGGTAAATATATTTTTACATATTCAGTTTCTTAAGACAGTTTCTTCCTATAATAACTATTAAGTTTTTATTAGTTGTTTATTTACAATTATTTTGATTTATCTTGTTTTTAAAACTTCACATGTTGAGCCGTGCCATATTACTTCGCTACTCGAAAAGTTTTAATTTTGGAGAGCAATTCTTAATTATAAGCTACCTTTAATAGAAAGAATTCAATCAATATTGCAAACTTTATTTCACTTAACTTTCTCTTTCAAACAGTAAGAAATATTAACAGTTTCTTCCTTTTTGATATTAATAAATTTGTAGAATACAATATTTTGTTGTTTAATTCCTATTTCTCCAGCTTTATTAACCCTGAAATTCATCTATCGCGTTTTTATCCAATTTTTTAATTTGTCTACCATGGGAAAATTGGAAACTAGTGATTTATAAATTTAATAAAAAAAAATGGCCAATGATGGTTAAATTCAAAATGCGAACGAACCAAAAAAATGTCCTTTCAACACAATATTTTTTAAAAAATAGTCAAACAACTGGAATGTTCCAAACACCTTTTATTAACGTATTAGAAACCACTACTCTCCTTAAATTTAGAATTTTCGTAAAAAAAGTGTTCGCTTCATTGTAAAGATAAATCCATCAAAACACTCATAGAAGGGGGGGGCACTCATTTTAGTTCAATATTGCATTTGTTTATCTAACCTCGAGAAAAATTAAATGATTGAATATTATTTTGATAAATATTTTATGTAAATAAATGGGAACGTTTTTTTGTTTCCATTCTTCATCTGAAAGGATAACACGGAAGATAAGTCGTGAAATTAATTATATAACAAAAACAAGAAAAAACTTTGATGAGAAGGCGAATTTATTCATTTCGGGTGCATTAAAGTACGATAATAAAAAGTCAAAGATTTTAATCGATATGATTAAAATTGAGTTATCAAATTCAAATGCTGCTTTTGAAAAAAGGTATTTGTATTTGTGTTTGCTTGATAAGTTAATTATTGGAAATGTAGTGTATTTACAGTTATCTTATCAAAATAATTTACTTTCATATATTGCTATGCTTTCAGAGATAGTGGACAAAAAGGAATACTTTAAATGTTCTGAGAAAGAGGATAACGTAATGTCCTTATGTAGTCTTGCAGTTTCCTGTATAAATAGGTGGCACGAAAAATACTCTGGAATAAATGATGAACTAATCGAATTATTAAGGAAATTTACAAATAATTTCGCAGATTCTTCAAATATTGAGAATAACTCACAAAAAAACGAAATAAATAATTTTGAACTGAATAATTCAATTATTAACCCTGATGATGTCTTATTATCAGAAGAATCGAATAATTTAGTCAATTTAGATATTCAAGTTAGTACAAATTTATCTAGTCCTATTTCGAATAATTCAGTTTCTTTGGATAAATATGTTGGATTTGATGCCAAAGATAATCTGGGTGATTTGCTTAACGAAGAAACTTCTAGAATGGCTGCAAATAACTTATATGATCGTACTCCTAACCAAAATATCTTAATTGGCGATAAATCTGTTGAGGGAGATATCGAAAATGCTGATGAGAATGAGATATATTCAACATCAATTCAGCCAAAATCTACAAAAGTGAATTTTATTGAGAACTCAGTCGTTTACAGTGAAATTGAAACAATTGAAATGAAATACAACTTGCTAAAAGAAAAATATTTATTTCTCATTCAAAAGAATGAGTATTTACAATCTAGATTGGAATATTATGAGGATTTTAATGTGTTTCCTAAAAAAATTGCTCAGGATGATTGCTACGAAAAAAATAATTTTGAACTACTTGGCAATTTATCAAACACTACTAAATTAAGTAGTGTTTTTCTAGAAAACTTCAATAATCTTATCTTGAATAATGATTGGATTCTATTCGAAGATAACTTAATTCAAATAGGTGTTAAATTCCAGTTTTCAGAGAACATTGGAAACTGTAGTTTATACTTCGGAAATAAGCTACCAACAAGACTTGAAGATTTCAAAATGGAATTTAACTTCTCCAATGTACACCCTAAAGCCCTGTCAATTGTAAAGAAAGACGAAATAGAGTATCCAAGTTATATTTCAGGAAAGCAACAGATCTGTTTAATCTTTAATGCTGAATGCAAGGATGTATATTTTGGAGTACCAACAGTTGTAATTAAATTTTTATTGACAGATAATACTCCCAAAACTATAGAACTTCCGTTTCCAATAGTGTTGAGCAAATTTTCTTATGGTACAGAGCAATATTCAACAGACTTTATCACTAATCTCTGGCATTCTGAAATATATTTAATGTCCCAAGCATCATCACAAATAAGTTTAAAATCTTCGGTTGATTGTATATCAGAAATAATTAATAAATGTAAGCTTAACGAATCATTCTATTTATTTTTCGAAAACGAAGATTACAAAAAAGATCAAATAATTTATCTACACGGAAATGTATTGAACCACCAGGTAATTATTCAAGTTCGTGAATCTACCTCGCAAAGCTATATCCTACGTGTAAGGTCTGATTCCGGAGTCCTCTCTAATTCTATTCTTTCTATAATTCTATTCCAAACAAAAGTTGATACTTTTTAACTTGACGCTGATAGACTGAATACGTTGTGATGCACCCCCCACCTAAAGAGGTGGAATGCGGCGCCACATGTAAATATGTGGTTAATAAGCATGTATTTTAGGATATAGTTTATATTAATGCTTCAATAATTCAATCTAATTAATTTATTTTATGGGAGTCTTGTACTAAAATAACTTTTTTAATGCAACTAATTGCGTCTGTTTCAAGGCTTTCTTGTGAAAATAAATATGGAAGGAAAATGTATTCTACATGGTTTAAATAGATACAAAACAATATGTGAAATAGGTGAGGGCGCATTTGGGGTCGTTTTTAAGTGTAAGGATCTCATTACAAATGAAATCGTTGCGCTTAAGGAGTTTAAAGCAGTCTATTCGGATGAAAATGAAAACTCATGTGTAATGAAGAACTCAACATATCTGAAGGAAAAAATAGATATCACTCATAATAAAATTCTAAGAGAAATTGCAACACTTAGGAGGTTATACGGCCAGAAAAACATTATTCAATTAAAAGACTTTTTTTTGCATGAAAACCGATATTATTTGTCATTGGAATATTTTCCCCAAACACTTTTGCAATATCTGGAAAAAAGCCCCAAAGGATTGCCTTTAGAAATAATTAAATCATGTATTTACCAACTATTGACAGCATTGAAAAAGTGCCACTCTATGGGAATTATTCACCGTGATGTCAAACCCGAAAATATTTTAATTAAAGAGGGTGATAAAAACACGAATTTGGAACTTAAGCTTTGTGACTTTGGATTTGCGAGGTTTATTCAACAAAATAAAAGTTATTCAAATCAATATAAAGATAGTTTATCAAAATCAACAGATAATTTATACGTGGCTAACCGTCCACTTACAAGTTACGTTTCCACAAGGTGGTATAGAGCTCCAGAATTGCTCGTGAAAAGTGCAGAATACGGACCAGGAATAGATGTCTGGGCAGTTGGTTGTATAATGGCAGAACTGATTGATGGAGATCCCCTTTTTCCTGGAACAAGTGACATTGATCAGCTCTATTTAATAAGGAATACAATAGGGAAATTAGACAATAAAAATCAAGGAATTCTTGAATCAGACAAAAAGCTCTACGATGCATATAAAAAACATTTTTATAATGGTTTTGTATCTGGGTCAAATTCAAGATATAATACTGATTCAAACAGATCAAGTGGGGTAATCCCCCCATATCAAATAATATCAATTAAAGAACGTTATAAAAAGAAAATTGATTTAATCACACTCGACTTTTTGGAAAAATCCCTAACAATTGATCCAAAGAAGCGGCCGGATTGTCAAGAATTAATGCTTCATCCGTTTTTTTCATCAATAAACAGGGCTGAAAGATTGACTAATCAGGAAAAAGAGTACGTTGCATCTTTACTGTTAAATAAAACGAATACATCAAAATCGTTCTCATTGCCCATTTTTGTGGGGTCTTTTTCTTATAATTCGGTTACAAAAAGAGAAAAAAATGGTCATAAAAACGAAATAAACGCTAGTACAAATAACTTCCCAAATAATGTTGATAAATCCTGTACAGAGCAAAAGTTTACTTTAAGTGATGACAAAACCACTGCCCCTTCAACTCCAGATGAGAAATCTACTTCTATATCACACGGCGGCATATTCTGTAACTCAAAAATTTGGTATGAAAAAATTTCACTCCCTAAACTCCCACATATTATGCCACCTCCCCCACCTAAAAATATAAACAATTTGAAAAATGGGTCAAGTAGTGGGATAACGGAGAGCATCAAGCAATAGTTATTTGAATATAATTATGTAGATAGCTGAAAGAAATTAACTAGATATATATTATAAGCTGTTATTTATAGGATTTGTAAAACTTAATACTAATTCGTTAAAATAATAATTACTACTATTAATGTTCTATATTTTAATCATTCAGTTATTGAACGTGTAGTCATTCCATTCCCGCTGCTATTGTTTTCGGTTAATTGTTTTTCATGAGTTTTTTAATTTAATTATTTATGGATGTAAACAATAGGTTTGTTGATTAGACTTTAGCTCCTATGAAGCCTAAAAGTAGATTCCAGAAAAGTCAGTTAATGATTGAAATAGAGCCTCCGAAAGAAATAGACGAGGATCATCGAGATTTTTTGATAAAGGAGTCTAGATGGATGTATGGATGCTTCACAGATGAACACAAGTGGAAAACAAAATTATTTAAAACAGTTGCTCAATGCGCAGTTAGATACCTTCAGACCAAAGACCAACGCCTAAAAAAACGAAAAGAAGAAGAAGATAAACGCCTAAAACTTGTTTCAAAAAATGTTTCGGTGAGCATCCATAAATTCTGGAATAATATTTCAAAGATAGTAAGACATAGAAAACTAAGTGAGTTAAATAAGCTTTTGAGAATTAAGCAATTTGAAAAACTTGATAAACTTGTTTCTGAAACTGAGAAATTTTATTTTGGAATAACTGATGAATTATTGGATTCAAGAAAAACTTTATCAAAAGATCAATACAAAAAAACTGAAACAAAAAGTATATCTGATAGCGAAGATGATGTTGAAATAGATAACTGGGAGTATATTGAAGAAGCTGACAATAGATTGGATCTAGAAATGGAAAGCTCTGATTTTGATAGTGATGAAGTTAACGCTGAGCTAAATGAACTCAATGATGATGCAAATTTAAATTTGGAGGAACTATACTTAAAATATTATGGGAGTTCCAGCAATAAAAAAATTGATTTAAAAAAAAGTAAATCAGATCCCATAACTATAGAAAATGAAATCAAACACAAAACTCGTGAATATTGTAAAAAGAATAATGAATATAATCTTAAGAAACATGATGAAGAATTAGATACGGAAAAAGATATAAATGGTGTAAATAAAAAAGACTACTCAAATTGGAAAGATAAATGTGATTCATTGAAAAGTAATGTAAACACTTCAATCAGTAAAGTCGTTACAAACCTAAAAGACAAAAATCATTCGTCAAGTTTTATGAAAATTAATGAAATTCACGAAAAAAATTCCGGCCCTAAGACTAAAATCCCTTTTCTTTTAAAACATAATATGAGAGAATATCAAGTTGCAGGACTTGAATGGATGGTTAATTTGTACAAAAGAGGGCTAAATGGAATACTCGCTGATGAAATGGGTCTTGGGAAAACTATTCAAACTATCTCACTTCTTGCATATCTTGCATGTTATATGGAAAATTGGGGTCCGCATTTAATTGTTGTGCCTACAAGTGTAATGTTGAATTGGGAAATGGAATTTAAAAGATGGCTCCCCAGTTTCAAAGTTATCACATATTTTGGCAGTCCTAAAGAGAGACAAAAGAAAAGAATGGGATGGAACGATCCTGATGCATTTAATGTATGTATAGCATCATATACTTTGATTCTACAAGATGCACATATTTTTAAGAGAAAACATTGGCAATATTTAATTTTAGATGAGGCACAAAATATTAAGAACTTTAAATCACAAAAATGGCAAGTAATGCTATCATTTAATACTGAAAGAAGACTTTTGCTTACAGGAACGCCTTTACAAAATAATTTAATGGAATTATGGTCATTATTACATTTTTTAATGCCACACATATTTACATCGCATCATGACTTTAAAACTTGGTTTTCTGACCCATTAACAAGTGCTATTGAAAATCAGCAAATTGAAAATGAAAAGAACTTATTAAGAAGACTACATACTGTACTGAGACCTTTTTTATTGAGAAGATTAAAAAAGGATGTGGAAAAAGAAATGCCATCAAAAATTGAGCACGTAATTAAGTGTCCTTTAAGCAAGCGGCAGAAAGAGCTTTATGATGAGTTTCTTGAAAGTAAGTCAACTCAAAATACTATTGCTGGCGGAGACTATATTGGCTTAATGAATGTATTAATGCAACTAAGAAAAGTTTGTAATCACCCTGATCTTTTTGAGCCTAGGTTAATCAATACACCAATATTTGAAAAAAAACTAATGATAAGTTACTCATTTAACTCACTCATATTTTCTCCAAATATATGCATTACCATGTCTTCTAATGTGCCTACACTTGGGAAAAATATTTTGACAAATAATTACCTATTCATCGGCAAAAAAAATAATAAACCGAATTACATTACATTGTTTGACCAATTAACTAATAATAGATTTGTAAATCTACCTAATATTTTCATTTTATATAATGAAATCCATATGAGCAAGGCTCAAGTTCAATCTCAATGTGAATTAACATACAAAGAATGGTCCAAAATACAATCAAAGGATTGTATTTCATCGAATCCACTATTTACCACATGTATTTCAGGATCAGAACATCTTTTGGATGCAAACCGTTTTATCCAACTAAACCTCAACCAATTAGCTTCTAATGGCACCAACCACCTTTTAATTGGAGCGGAATCACAGAGCATTCAATACACGAAATATATTGACAGCCAATATATTTTGGACCAAATAGGTAATAACAAGGTGAAGAATAAATCTTCAAATAATACAATGAATTTTAATAAGAATGTTTCTTTATTTTATGAAACTGACCAGAAATCTATATTTGAATGGAGACCTTCATGCGATTACCCACATTTATTAGATGAATCAATCCAAAAATTTCATTGCAAGCCCAATGAAAATACTATTAATTGTAAGGATAAACCATACCTAAAATTTAGAATGCCCTTCAAAGTTGTTTATGGAAGAGACTGTAGAAATTTTATCTTGAATGAAATACAAAATAATTTAAAGGTGATTGAAGAAGAAACAATTTTATTCTCTACTTTTCCTAGTCTATTTGCAAATAAACGAAAATTTCATGAAAATACATCTAAGTTTCGAAAGCTGGCTTATTACAATATTCCTTACGGAAAAAATAATAATTCTATTAATTTGAGAACATTTCCAAATGGATTGTTATTTGTAAAACCTTATTTTTATAGGCAGCTTCCAATGCTATCACAATTCAGTATGCTTCTTGAAAGCAGAGTTATTTCGACAAATTGTTCAATTTCAATAGAGGGTAAATACTCATTTGTTAAAAATGAGCTTTTTTACAACTCATATATTTCTTTAAAAGTTTATAATCTTATTAATGCTTCAAATACATATTTACATAATGTTTCGTTCCTTAAAAAGTGTCTTGTTCCACCCAGAAGAATAATTGAAGATGATTGTGGAAAATTTCAAATACTTTCTCGAATTTTACATAAACTCTTTAATGAAGGGCATAGATGTATTATTTTCACGCAGATGAGTAAAATGTTGGATGTATTAGAATCTTTTATCAATTATAGAGGCTATAACTATCTTAGACTAGATGGAAGCACTAAAGTTGATGATAGGCAAAAGCTTGTGAATAGATTTAATAGAGATCAACGAATTTATCTATTTATCTCATCAACTAGGTCCGGTGGAGTCGGTTTAAATTTAACAGGTGCAGATACTGTTATTTTTTATGATTCCGATTGGAATCCAGCAATGGACAGACAAGCAATGGATCGTTGCCATCGTATTGGTCAAACAAGAGATGTGAATATATATAGGTTGGTTTCTGAATGGACAATTGAAGAAAGCATTTTTAAAAAACAACTTCAAAAGAGATTATTGGATGATGTTGTTGTTGATCAGGGTCAATTTACTTCGGAATTCTTCACAAAAGGCGATATCCAAAAAATGGTTGGATCGAGAAGCCAGAATATGCTAAGTTCTGAGAATAACGGTATATACGTTACAAGGGTGCTTCACGAAAGTTCAACTTCCGAATTGAGTACTTTAGTGAATGCTAACGATAGCCAAAAGAAAGAATTTGAAGAAGTTCTGGCTGCAGTTGAAGACTCAGATGATTTTAATGCATTAAAGAAGTCTTCTAAGGAAATTGCTGCCGAGAATGATGATTTTATCAATGAATTTGTGGAAGAAAAAACAAAAAATAGAGATGAAGTGAAAAATGCTCTAGAAAAAAACGCAAATACTCGATTTACGCAAAATAATACAGATAAAAACATTCAATTGAACAAATTACTCAAATATTGTATTGAATTTTTTGAAAATGTGTCAGTTCCTTTGGATATTCAAAATGAAGTTGATTTAATGGAATATCAAATTAACAATATTGACACTCAAAGTTCTAGTGAAAAATCATCTTCTGGAGGATCACAAAGTGATTCATCATGTAATTAGCTGCTGATGCTTGAGATAATGAATTATAAAAGCGCATCGAACAACAATTAATTCAAAGAGTTCAATACTAATATTTTTTTAATTTGTTATGAATAAGGCGCCTGAAAATTTTACATTACTCATTTTTAATCTAATACGATTTTTTATTCAATGAATAAACGACCGAGAGAAACTGTCCTTTTGAATGAATACTCATCGATACCTTTCTCAAGTATTGAGATAAAAGATTCAGAAGTTAAGGAAGGATGTATGGAATTCCGAAAGGAATTATCTGTGCAGGTTGCGTTATATTTAAGAGAACGGATACCATCCAAAATAGTTGAACTGAACAAAAGAATGAAAATTTCGGATAAACCGGGGTCCGTTCTATCATCAGAAGAATTAAAACCTATTAATATCGATAACGGTAAGGTTCATTCGAATTTACAAATTAAAGAACTAGTTGTGTATGTTAAACAAGAAGTTAGTGAGTTAATAGAAATGGTTAGTTCGATTAAATTATGGGTACAACTAAATATTCCCCAAATTCAAGATGGAAATAACTTCGGAGTAGGAATACAGGAAGAGACTATTCAAGAGCTCGGTAGAGTCGAAGATGCAACGTTTTCATTGTATGAGAGTGTATGCAAATACTATTCTGAAAGGGCGAGGCTTTCGTCGAAGATAGTCAAGTATCCCAACGTTGAAGATTACTTAGGAGCTATTAGAGAATTAGATGAGAGGTATTGGGTCTCGTTGCGTTGTTCAATAGCTGATATGCGGAATAATTATGCATGGTTACACGACCTTTTAACTAAAAATTGGGGAAAGCTTAGTAAACCTCGTAATTCAGAAGGTACAAACATGGTCTATTAGAAATATTTTTAAAGAATTCACATTTAATACTTCTGTATAATATCTAGTATCTCAATGTTTTTATCTACAGAGTAACTCATTTTTTTTTATTTTTCAATTTTTGGCATTTTCTACTTAAACTTTTTGGACGCCAAGAAGCGTCTTCTGTCGATTATTAGTACAATTTGGGAATTAATTTAGTATTTAGTGAGAATAATTATTGCATTCGAAAGAATTATAATATTCTGAATAAAAACACAAATATCCGCCTAAAATCAATAAGGAACTACTTATATTTAGTTTTAATCACAAAAATTAATTCTATTTCAAAAGATTTCTGCAATGGCAATTGATAAGGATAAGTTGTTTGCTGACCTAATAAAAGATAAGCCAAGCTTAAAGCATGAAATGGCACCAACATATAATCCTTCGGAAGTTGAGTTGTATTGGGACACCATTTGGTGTGAATCAAAAATATATTCTCCAAACTTTGAAAGGGCAAGAAATTTGCCTTTTGAAAATAAATTTGTGATTGCTCTTCCCCCCCCCAATGTTACGGGAAGACTTCACTTAGGCCATACACTTACTGCGGCAATTCAAGATAGTTTGTGTCGTTATCACAGATTAACAGGGAAAGAAGTACTTTGGATTCCAGGTACTGATCACGCTGGTATTGCCACTCAAACGGTTGTAGAAAGAATTATTCATAAGACAGAAAATGTTACTCGACATGATTTAGGAAGAGACAATTTTCTTAAAAAAGTTTGGGAATGGAAAGAGAAACACGGATCTGCTATTTGTACTCAATTTCGTAGGCTCGGATGCTCGCTAGACTGGTCAAGAGAATTTTTTACTTTGGATGAAAATATGTCCAAAGCAGTAAATAAAGCATTTATTCAATTATTTAATCAGGGGTATATTTTTAGAAAAACCAGGTTGGTATCTTGGTGTTCATATCTTCGCACGGCTCTATCAGACATAGAAGTCGATCTATTAGAAATTAGCAAACCTTCAAGAATTAGAATTCCAGGTTATGAAAAAACGGTTGAAGTTGGGGTTCTATGGTACTTTTCTTACCCACTAGAGCAGCAAGGCCAAACCTATGAATGGCACTTTATGCCAGAAAACAATACTAGTATTGAAAAAATTACCGTCGCTACTACAAGAATTGAGACTATGCTGGGGGATGTTGCCGTTGCGGTAAACCCAAAAGATAATAGATACAAGTCACTAATAGGAAAGTATTGTTTACATCCATTTATCAAAGATCGTAAAGTTATTATTATTGCAGACGAACATGTAGATCCAGAATTTGGAACGGGATGTGTCAAAATTACTCCTGCGCATGATAAAAACGATTTTGAAATAGCAACAAGGTATAATGAAAAGCATAAGAATGAGCCGCTATTTGAGGAACTTAAGTTCATATCTGTATTTACCAAGGAGGGAAATATTGGGCCTGGTTTTGGAATTTTTTCTGGAATACATCGTTTTAAATGTAGAGAACTGATTGAAAAAGAGCTCGAAAATAATAAACTGCTAGTTGAGAAAACTCCAAATACAAAAACAATGCAAATTCCAATTTGCTCAAGGTCAAATGACATAGTTGAATTATTCTTAATCCCCCAATGGTGGATGAATTGTAAACCATTTGCTGAGAGAGCATGTAAAGCTGTCAAGAATCATGAACTTAAGATTGAACCCAAGTTTCACGAACAAACTTGGTTTTATTGGTTGGAGAATATTCAAGATTGGTGCATTTCTAGGCAGCTTTGGTGGGGTCACAGAATACCTGCATATAGAGTTATTTCGAGTAAATTAAATTCTACAGAAGAAATTTGGATTGCTGCTGAAAACGAAGAAGTGGCAATTGAAGAGGCAATTCAAAAATACGGTTTAAAAAAATCTGATTTTCATGTATTAAGAGACAATGATGTGCTTGACACATGGTTTTCATCTGGCCTAATCCCATTCTCTCCTCTTGGGTGGCCAGATGAAATCAACAAAAAAACTAAAATGAATGATTTTTCTACTTTTTTTCCAACAACTCTTTTAGAAACAGGATCAGATATACTATTTTTTTGGGTTGCTCGAATGGTCATGTTGAGTTTTGCCTGTACTGATCAATTACCTTTTAAAACTATTTACTTGCATGCAATGGTACGTGATTCACAAGGAAGGAAGATGTCAAAATCACTCGGAAATGTGATAGATCCAATAGAGATTATCGAGGGAATTTCTCTTGATGATTTAAACAAAAGGCTTGATCAGGGAAACCTCCCTTTACAAGAAATTAAAAAATCAAAAGAGAACAATCTTAAGGACTTTCCCGATGGAATTCCTGAGTGTGGAGCAGATGCACTCAGAATTGGCCTACTAGCCTACACAAAGCAAGGAAGAAACATTAACTTGGATACAAAGCGTGTAGTTTCATACAGGTATTTTTGCAATAAATTATGGAATGCTTGCAAATTTGCATTTGGTAACATTGAAAACGTTTCGAATTGCATGAATAAGAACTTCGAAGCGATTTCTATAAACCAGTTATTCTCAAATTACAATGAGGACTTACTTTGGGAGGATTATTATATTCTTTATCGATTGATGGAGTGCATTAATAATGTTAAGGATTCATTTGACAATTTCTTATTCTCTGAAGTTGTGACGGCAACATACAATTTTTGGCTTTATGAACTTTGTGATGTATATCTTGAGCTCGTAAAGAGTAGATTTAAAAATATCGAGTCATCGTTTGGATATGCGTTCACAGCAGCTCAGGTTTTGTCTATTTGTATTGAGTATGGATTAATCCTTTTACATTCATTAACTCCATTTGTCACGGAAGAGCTCTATCAAAGATTTAAACAAGTGATTAGATCGCCTACAATTACTTCAATCTCCACGTCAAGATTTCCTACAGTTTTTGTCCACAGTAGCTTAACGCCCACTAGAGAGCAAGAGTTCAAAAAAATGATGAACATCGTTACGAAAATACGCTCTTTAACGACAATACTTGGAATATCTAACAAGGACAAAATAAATATTAAAGTTTATGTAGTTTACAATGGAACAGACCCCGAATCTATAGATCTTATTTCAAATGTTGCACCCACATTTGTTACCAAACTATCACAAATAGGTGGGACAGTGGCACTTTTTGATCCAAGTGCGAATGAGATTGAAAAACTCAGAAAAAATTGTTTGCTCGACGTCGTAGATGAAAAGACCGTTTATTATTTGAGGCCTCCAGAGCTTGTAGATTTATCAATAGCGCTTAAGAAAATAGAAAAACAGCTTGACTCAAATGTTAAATCACTTGAATCATACAATAAGAAGAAGTCGTCTTCATCATATGATAAAGTTCCAGAATCTATCAAGAAGCTTAATGATGAAAAAATTGAACAACTTGCTTCTACTATTGATGCGCTTAAAGTTGCACATTTAAATATAAAGAACCTTATTAATCAATAACATGTATTTGCTTGGGGGGAAAAAACACCAATTATTTATGAATTCATTTATCAATTAAGATAAAAGCAAAATTAGTTGTGGCGCCCAGTACTGTTTACCCCGCTCTCCCATTGGAGCGCACCATAAACATCATTTTTAGACTAGATAATAATAATAGTCATAAATTAAATTGCGAAATAGGAGAAATTTATCTTATTTTGTATATGAAATTGTTGTTTTTGTTGTCTATTAGTTTAATAACATGGAAGCCTTGGAATGCCAACTTTTTATTGAAAGGAAAAATCAGGAAATCGAATGTCTGGCAGTAACTCCTAATGGTTACTTTTGTGCTGTCGCACAAAGAGAGGGAAACATTACCATTTTTGACACAATTACCTTTCATTCCTGGTTAAAAATTCTGAGCATTGAGCAACGCTCTTTAAGAAGCCTATTTTTTTTAAAGAAAACCAATTCAAATTCTGGACTTAAAAATGCCCAATTTATCGATAGTAATTCATCTTTACAAAGTGAGAATTTGAGTGAAACTGATAGTGATTGCACTAATACTACGGCATGTACGTCTCCTATTAAATCTCCAATTAAGAAATCTTACCATTCTACGCTTAAAAATAATACTAATATATTTGAGTTGTATAAATATAGACTTATTGGGTTGGGGCTTGATGGAAGAATTTTTGAATGGGACTTGAGTAATGGCATGGTTTTAAAAACTGCCTTTTCTTATGGAGGCGCAATTTTTCAAGGTATTTTATCTCCATCGTATGAAAATTTAGCGTTAGCATGCGCAGATGGATCAGTTAAAGTATTCAGCTTGTTAAACAATGAACTTTCATTTATGTATTCTTTGCCAAAGCATAGCAATAGGCTATTATCAATAACTTATCTAAATGATAATACAATATTTGCAGGTTCTAGTGATGGAGTAATTTTAGAATATAACCTAGAAAAAAGAATATGCATTAACAAAATGTCGGTATGCACAGGTAAAAAATCAAGTGATAAAAGCACTTCAAAAAGTGTGTCAATATGGTGTTTAATTTGTTTAGAGTCTGATAAAATTTTGTTTAGTGGTGATTCAAATGGAACAGTAATTCTCTGGGATTTAATTACCTATACAGCAATAAATACATTTAAACATCATCATGGAGATGTTCTAACGCTCTCAAAACTCGCGAATATTAACACTAAAACACCAGATAATATTTTAGTTTCCACCGGACTTGACGGGCGTGTGGTAACATATATTCATACAGGGAACTTTAATCACTCTGAGCAATCAGGAAAATGGCTACCTGGTTCATTTTGTTACCCTCACTCTTCTTCTATAGGTTCGGTTGCAACAGTTGCTATGCCGCACATTAACGGACCATTAGCCTTGTCAGGTACCTGGGACGGGAAGTTGATGCTTTGGTTATCGTTTGAATATAATAAAAAGAAGTGTAGAAGTAATTTTGAATTTTTGTCCGCTTCTCCGAGACTTAAATACTTAACTCTTCCTATAGGAGTATTAAAAAATCCGCAAAGCATCCACATAGCAGAAAGTGAGCGTTTGATACTACACCAAGGTTTATCAAATCTTGAATTATGGTTCATTTCTGACCCTGATATAAATCAAGGTATTAATTCATCTTCTGAGAAAATTTTGATAAACCCATTTCAAATTACTTACAATAAATTAAACGATTTTTGTTCCCATATCATTGAAGGCGATAAAAAAATCTCCAAATTAATTCCGGTTCAACCAATTAAATTATTAGACATTAAACTTTCTAATAAAAAAAACGAAATTATTGGTTGCTCTGCACTGAGTAAAGACGGGAATTACATAATAGGTTCATTTTCCGAATCTGGAATAAAGGCAATAAATATAGATTTTCAAAGCTTGAACATTAATAATATTCAACTTGAATCTTGTAACGGTATAATAGCTACTTCAATGAAGTTTTTAACAAATAACATATTAATTATTGGTGGTTACTTAGATTTAGATTACAAGAATAATTTAAAAATAAAACCAAAAATTTACTTTATTGATATTGAAAGAGATATTGTTGTCTCTTTTTTAGAACTTAAGCATTTCAACAATGAAGAACACTCAGTAATTGGGAAAATAGTATCATTAAATATTTCCCCAGATAATCAATGGCTTGCAGTATTAACAAGTTTTGGCAATACATTTATTATTGATCTTGATTCGTTTAAATTAGAAGTGGATCTAACAAACTTAGAGAGTGAAGTGTTGAATCCTTTTTCGCAAAATAATTATTCTACACCAATTGCTTCAATATCCTTCAATAATCGTGATAGTGATATTGTTTCTGTTATGATGTCAGATGGAAAATATTATTTTTATTCAATCAGCTTAAAAAAGATAATACCAAAAGAATACATAAGAAACCATAAAAATTATTCCGATAACTCCTCAATTGTTTATCGAGTCCCTAAAAAAATATATTCTCCAATTTTGCACGGGCCAATTCTAAATATCAATTGGATAATACCATATAATCATGTTTCAAAAGGAAGTGAGTGTAATATTCAGGATATTATTATTATAAGCACGATTGATTATACTAGTTATTTTTATTTAAATAACTATGAAGAAACTAGTAATAATTGCCAAGATAATACATCTAGCAGCGATTTTCTGAACTCAATACATATGGAAAAGAATCTTTGTGGACCCGTGTATAAATTACCAAGATTTAAAAAGATAGACGCCTTCACATGCAATTATCAATTTTTCCCCGAAAGATCATTTGAATTTTCTAATTATTTCAATAATGTTAAATTTTTATTCGGTAGTGACCTGAATAAGGACTTTTTAAGGAAAGATTCCTATGATGACATTTTTCTTAACCATAAACTAATTTACGGTGTATTTTGGACAAACTCTCCAAAATGGTTTTCTTTGTTAAAAAGAGGGTTTTTTTTTGAACACAAAAATGTTCAAGAAAGCCAATTAAATGGATGTTTGATTATTTTATCATGTAAAAGTAATAATAAAAATAGGAGTGAATACCATTCTGAGATTACACCAAACAATAGAAGAAAATATGGTGATTAATCATTTATATTTTTTTATTGGTTTTGCACCAATATATTGTGCTATTAAATATTCTATTAAATTGAGTCTATTAACTACTTTTTTTCTATTGTTGTGGAATTATTAGGGTTATTTAAAATAAAAGAGTTTGAAATAAATTTGAACTTTGATACAAAATTTCCATTTTGAGAGTTTACTTGCTCGTATTTTAGTGTTGAATATAGAAAACTTTCCTTTAAATTATTTTTATCTTGATTAATTTTTTTCTTATTAAAATTGGAGATAATTGTCTCATCTTCATTCGATTGATTCCCTAATGTTTGTGCAGGTTTTATTTTTAAAATTATGGGGGAAAGAGCTATATTTTGAATTTCATTTTTATTCTCTGTTTCTCGACTTTCAATTGGTATAAATGGGTTAATGTATGGATAGTAACTTGGGTATTTTCTGGTTATTTTTTCAGTAGGCAAGTAGTTATTTCCTTCAAAGAACAAGAGTTCTTGGCCGTAAGACAGCTCTTTCTTTGTTATGATATTATCACTAAGTAAAACTTTTGTTTCTTGGGAACTAGCTGCTGAATTATTGACAAAATTTGGTTCTAGTTTATAAATAATAAATTTATTATTGAATTCAGAATCTGAGTCGTTACTTTTATAGTTTCTATCATTTCGATTACTTTCAGTTTCATCAATTGGACCTAACTGTTTTTTTTTCTTTGTTTCAATTAAAATATAATTTTCTTCTGATTTAATTTCTGAGCCAAATTCATCTTCAAAACTTGGAAAGCTTTTAAAGTTGATTAATTTTTTTTTATTAATTCCTGATTCTATATCAAAATAATTTGATCCAGAATCGTAAATCAAATTTTCATCTTCAGTTTCCTCTCCGTTTACTGGGATGATTTTAATACTTGCAATTGCTTCTGATAATTTTTCGGAACTGTTATAACTAGGATCTTTCAATTCTCCATTAGAAAAATCATTTATTTCTTTGATAATATTGACATTAGATGATAATACATAATCATTTGTTGTGCAAAATATCGAGATAATACAGAATAATTCGAAGAAAAACAATAGTTTCATATTAAACATAGTAATTAGATACAAATTTTCTTTTTCATATTTTGTGTGACTGTTGATATATATATGAGTGTAAAAAGAGTGTAATTTTAAAGCCATACAGAAAATAACTATAATTTATGCAAAAAACTAGCAATTTTGAGTAATCTGCTTTTTTGATTGTTCTATTAAAATTCTAAAATGGGGGTTTTGATACTAGTTGTATTTATTCTTTATTTGTCAGGAATAAATAAATAATTAATATCATGAAACGTTTAGATAAAATCAAACAAGCCATTCCTGCAAATTTTATTTAATGCTCATAATTTTCTTTTTTTATCTCTTTAATAGTTAATACTTTTTATTTTATTCTATGAAATAAAATTAAGATCTTGATATAATAGTGTGTAAGCGCGTGTTAGCACTACACACAATGAATGTTAAAAATTAAAGGGTGAGTATATTTGCTGAATCAATAGTTAAGCTAAACAATATTAATTAGATTTCAGGAAATAGGAAAACTTTCGATATTATCAGATATAACCTACATTGGAATTTGTATTGAAGAAATTAATTATTCTGTATTATATTAAAGGATTGTTCATTTTATAATTAAAACTACAAGTATGAATAATGACAGAGACGAATAATGACTTACATTTAAAGGATGAGAACACTCGAGATCTACAGAAAAAGGAAGATTTAGATATGAACCTAATTTCCCAAAACTGTAATCCGAAAATGAGGGATACATTACAAGGAAACGCGAATTTGCTAAGTAATGGAAAAGATGAAATATTTATGCAGCTGCAAACTGAATTGTTTGACATTCTATTGGAGATTTATAATCTAATTCCTACATGGGGTTCGTTTAAAGAAAACTTTTATTTTCATTGGAAGCGAATAATTGGTGCTTGCAACTTTAAGGATCTTCATGCTTATAGATTAATTTTTAGATGCTTAGGGAATTTACGCCCTTCTTCAACACCTATATTTATTCTAAGACCGATCATTAAACAACTTGATGAATATAGAAAAATTTCAGAACCCGAATATTCTTCATCTAATTTTGAATTGAACTCAAATATACAAGGGAATATAATTACTAGCTCTCAAACTCCAATTGTTATGTTTCAAAATACACAGACAATAAATATTCCCAATGTTCTAGTTGAAGAAAAACAAAAAATATTGCTTGAGAATAAAATAGGACCGAATTTATCTCCTGATAAATACAATTCTAACCTTTTTCATGGAATAATTAATGAAAATAAAGAGTGTTCAGGGTTGGGAATAGCAGGAATCAATGAAAAAAATTTCGTTCCATTTTCAAAATTTGAAAATGACACAATCAGTTCAGTACAATCAAAAGACAATCTTAATATTTTATTTGATAATATTTTCAATTCAGTGAATAAAAATATCTATTTTTCTGACATTAAAAAACACGAGAATTTTTCAATTGATATTGAAAAATCTTCAGAAGACATGAAGCTAACAAATGAGTTATTTAATAAGGAAACCACTTTTTCGGATGATTATAATACTAATGAAGTTATTAATAATACATTTATGATTTCGAATTATTGTAATTCGAATTCTAAAGTCTCTTCGCCATATGGATCAACCTGCACAACATCATCACTTTCACCCACAGAATGTAACATTGCAGTTCCAATAATGGCTGCCTTTCAACATATTCAAGCTGTGGCAGTAGCAGCCGCTGTTGTGAATAATACTAAAAATAAACTAAATTCAGTAAATGATGCATCAAATGAACACCTTACAATACAACCTAAGAAAAGGCCGAGGAGGAATGGTGATATTCAAGGCGTATATTTCGACAAAATACGTAAGCTTTGGCGTGCAAATTGGAAAGAAAATGGACGCGTTAAAACAAAAGGATTTTCCGTTTTTCAATTTGGAGATGAAGGTGCTAGACAAAGGGCTATTGAATATCGTAAAAGAATGGAAAAAGAATTCTATATCATGCCTCACTCCAAATTCTCTAGAAGCTCAAGTAATGATGGAACAATTTATATTAATTCAGAGAAAGCTTTAGGAAGCGAAGTTTCAGCTATAAAGAAAGGTACTGAACGTGGTTCAAATTTAAACAATATTTTAAATAGTTCGAGGTTAAGCTCTGAAGATATGAAATTTTCGGAAAATTCGAATTCCAATTTAAATAATTGAATTATAATTATATTTGAAAACATTTAAAAGTATATAAAACGTTAGTTTTTTTCTAATTTGTAAGAAATTTCTATACTTTAAGTTTAAATAATCTCCATTATGAAATAGTTTTAGTTGGAATTGCGCCTACCAATCCACTTTACAGAATTAAGAAAAAACAAATAATTATTTTCTAACTTACGAAATACCAGTATGAGCACGCAAAATTTCATCAGTAGTTTTCCAAATTTTAGTTGTTAGTTGTTTCAATAGTTCTTCTGCTTCCTCCTAGAATTGATTATATGAGCATATTGCTAAACTTTAAATACTTACTGGTGTGGGTGTGTCTTCCTGGTTTTCTGAGCCTTGGCTCAAATCCTTACTTTCATCTTCTTCCTCATCATTGTCTTCTTCAATATCATCAGAAGATTGTATCAATAATAACCTAAAAATCGGTGAATTTATTCGCAAATGAGAGAAAAGACTTACCTTTTGTTTTTGAATATATTAGATACCTTTTGAATATCGTTTTCCAACTCTCCTAATGAAATAAAAGCTTGAAGTTTTTCTGCATTGCCAAAATAAAGTTTTTTTAAATGATATTAGGCAAAATTCTTACCCTGTAGATTTGATTCTGGAGCTTGAACAAGAATTTCTCTCATTTTATTAACTGCTGATTTCAGGTCACCTACAATATTTGAAGTGCCTGTCACTGGTTCAATTTGACCTGGAATAGCAAAAGAAAGTGAAAATATTATGCAAATAATAGTTAAAAAAAGGGCTCTCATATCAAATACTGCTAATATACTCTTGATTCTAAAAGTAATATATGGAAATTTCGGTTGCATGCACCTGCACTACTGTGGGGAATTAATTGGAATGTGGGCACATGAAAAAAATAGTAATTTTGGGAAATTAAATAAATTTTTCTAAATATTAATTGAATGGCTAATTATTATATCGACTAATTTTTTAATTTCTGTTGAAGAAGGTGATTGGGGGAATTTTTCACAAATAGAATGACCCAAATCGCATACAAATAACAATTCTTCATCCCATGGGATTTTATTGAGATATTCTACCTGCATACTATCACACATATCTTTAACTGAGGAATCATGCTCAGCATTTTTAAAAATTCGTCCCATGTTCTCAACAACCCCAAGTATATTTAGATCTACTTTCTTACAAAAATTAATTTCCTTTCTAACATCTTGCAATGCAATTTCTTGTGGTGTGGTTACAATAATCGCTCCATTAACGTTCGAACCTTTTAAATATGAAACGATCGAAAGGTGCTCATCAGAAGTACCGGGAGGAGTATCAATTATTAAGAAGTCTAATTCACCCCAAACTACATCAGAAAGAAATTGCTTAATTAGACCATTTTTTTTTGGGCCTCTCCAAATTACAGCATCATCGCTCTGAGGAAGTAGAAATGCAGTCGACATAACTGAGAGATAATCATTAACATATACTGGGGACCACCCGTTTGCAGAAATATGTACATCGTTGTTTTGCACTCCCATCATTTTTGGTGCAGATGGACCACAAATGTCAATATCTAAAAGTCCAACATTGAATTTTTTTGATGATAGGCACCACGATATTTGCGCAGATATAGTTGATTTTCCGACACCTCCCTTACCAGATAGAACCAAAATAATATTTTTTATTTTGGATAAGTTTTCAATTTTCTCTTGTCTTTTATTTGCTTGTCCAGACGCACATATCGATGCATTTGGGCATCCTGAGCATGAATCCGCTATTCCTGCATCCGGAGAATCTACTCCTACACAGTTTTCAACTGGGGAGTTTGAATAAACTTGGTATTCGAAATCAATTGAATTGTTTTTTATATAAAAAATTGCCGAAAAAATAGATTTTAAATGACTTATTGTTAGCTTAGCAAAATTCCGGAAGCTATCCTTAAATAGGATACCAAACATAAATCCACCGAAGAAAATTGCAATTCTACTTGATATTTTCTTCATAATATTAATTGGAAGTTTAACATAAATTTATTGTCGAATTTTGGCGCAATGTAATTCTAGAAAATATTATTTTAAAAATATATGATTATGCATAAATTAGATAAAAAAGCAGAATTTTCGAGGTAAGTTATGTATAAAAATTAACTTATTGTTACTTGTTATACTTTACCTTCAAATTTTAATGTTTAGTCTTACTTTACCTTTGGGTTTGAATGATGTTTATTTATCATCTTTCGAAAGTAATGGATTTGATACTCAAAAACCTTCAGTAAGTTTACAGTTTTAAATAAGGTTAAAACAATCATGTTATTTACTTAAAATTTAAGGGCACTATTGAAATAAAAAAACATGAGTTAATAGATGATGGATTGAGTGTAATACCTGCGTATAAATTAGAGTCTGATTTGGTATGTAAATTTGACAATGTTGAAATAGGGAGTAAAATGAGAGATAAACAATCTGAATCATCATCTTGGTTTAATTTTCCTGATTACGAGAAAACAGAAGAAGACAAGTACGAGCTTTTGGCTTTACAGCTAAGAAGTTCTACTGGGCCCGGTAGATTTTATAAGTCTGAAAAGCTAATTAAAAAAAATTCGTTTAAGTTTAATTTTGGAGTCGTAATCGACAACAATAAGACGAGAACAGGTATATCTAGCGACTCTTCAACCTTTAGATCTAATAAGAAAATGTCTGGAACGTCTCTTCTACATGAACTAATTAATGATTCAGAAACACAAAAGTGGATGAATAAAAAGTACTTTGAGATACATAAGGCAAAGTTAAAAGGCGCAAAAAAGTGGTATAGAAAACAGGTTTTAAGAAGAAATAGGTATTAATTAAATTCTGATTTTTTTTTTTAAGTTTCTCTATTCAGAGTATTGAAATAGTGAATAGCATTCAGAAATTGAGGAACGTCGTCAAAATTTTTAATTTCGTCATCATAATTCCAGTATGTTACTTGATTCAAAGATTTTTCAATATTTATATCTAATTCTTTTCTTGAATCATTCTTAGATAAAATTAATATTGAATGGTTTGATTTACTAATATCAATCATTCTTCCATTAAGTCTCCTTCCACGAAAAGATGCACTTATATTCGAATTAATTACTTTTTCACCAAATTTTGCCGGCGATTTTATACTTTGATCATGCTGGTTGAAAGGATTTTTCTTCGGTAATTTTCCATTAAATAGTATTTGAAAAGGAAGAATATTTAGTGACATAATTATTTCTTTATTGTAAAATCCTAATTTTAAAAGGCGCATTAAGTACTTAAAATTTTTTAGAATAAATAAAAGATAGAATTAACTTAGTTTTCACTACAAATTACAAAAGTTTATATTCTCCTGTAATTTCATCGATTAATTCCGATGGACCAGGGCCAATTGCAACTGCAGTATATTCTCCTGGTGAAATCTGTGTCCTTCCAGCATCTTTGATTAAACAGCTTGTAATATTTTTTTCTTTTGCTCTCCTCTCAGATTCAAATAATTCTTTGGGAGATACTTTTAGCACAACTTTAGCTTGCCCGGATCTCTCCCAGCTTTCTACCATCTTGGGATATTTTTTTATCGCTTTTTTATAAGCACCTAATACTGCATGCCCACATTGTGAAGCAATTTTTCCTTTACCCATTCCTAAATCTATATATATATATATATATATATTTAATCATTGTTCGAAAATTTTTGTATTCAACTTACCTTGTCTTATACAAATCGTCATTTTATAATCAGAGTGACACTTTAAATTTTTATCTGCTACAAGAGAAAACCCATTTTCACCTTTTTTAAATTTGCTAAAACTAAACCAAATTAAAATTGTGAATATTAAAATAATCAGAGAATACGAAAATTTAATTCCATCAATATATATTTCAATTAAATTCATATTTAACATAAATAAGTTTCCGCCATCGAAATAATTCACAAAAATGGAATTGAAAATAAAAAAACAAACTATTGAATTCGAAGGCGAAAAAATACGTGTAATTCTTATAGATTTTGGGATTTCATTTTATGTATGGATTGGCAAACACCCTAATATTGAATTTTTATGCGCAACGTTTCCCGTATTAGTAAGTTACGAATATCAATCTTTTCTGTCAATAAATGTCAAATTTCAAGGACAATAAAAGTGCATCCGACAACTTTGCATCATCCTCAATATTGGGAGAAGATGAAATATGCGCATCAATATCATCATATTTGTGTAAGTAATTATTATAGATCGTTTTGTTTAAACTAATTCAGCAAAGGCAAATTGTTTAAAAGACCCATATTAACGAGCATTAATACAGACGATATTGAGATAAATTCTAGAAATATTAATGAATTCAAACATACAATTAATAAAAACATAGTAGATTTGGTAAGAGAGTAATTTTCAATCATTTTTTGTTAATTTATAAATACGTGTCTAGTATTTTTACATATTCTGATTCATTGCGCCCTTATCCCCACATCTCAATAACATGTATATTAAAACAAATTGTAATAGCATATATGTCAAAATTTAACAGGATTAGAGTCTAGATAGCTATAAACACACGCAAGGTATGCAGTGATTTTGATTATAAAAATATCATTTTTTTTTAGGATAAAAATATATAGCATGAATCAAATTCACATTAAAAAAAAGAGTTGTATTCGAATCACAGAAATAAGTTTTTACAACAAATCATTCGATGAATTTATTATAACCAAAAGTTACGAAGAATTAAGAGATATATTTATTTACTGTTTAAATTCCTCAGCAATTGTAAAAAATGTCGAAGGACAAACTTTTATTTCGAAGGTGATATCAAAACTAAATCTTGATACACATAACGAATTAAGTGAAATAATAAAATCTTTTGTTCCCAAGCTAAGTTCAAATCTATTAATCTGTTATGGTAAAATTTTATATATGCTTTGGATAGAATATATTAGCCAAAATGACGAAAAAAAAATGCAAAATCTTGAGGAAGTAATACAGAAAACTTTTTGTATGGGGTCAATTAAGCTGAACCCCGTAATTGCTCTTAGGATGAGGTTGATTTTGCACAGTTTTCATACTAACCGTGATGATGTTCGAGTAAATAAGTTGTTGTTAAGGCTATATGATCCAATAATTTGGAGATACCTTTCAGTTGCTAATTGGAAAGTCAGGCTTAATACAACTGCCCTGCTTGCAATGTTATTCCCACTAATTGATCCGTCACTATCTACTGGAGTTTATAATTCTGAACTAGATAACCAGTTTTCAATAATACAGAACTTGCTTGTTGACAGCCATTCTGAAGTAAGAATAGCGGCTATACAATCTGTTTCCCGAATATTAACACTGTATTGGGAAATAACTCCAATAGAAAGAATCCATGAAATTTTATCAACACTTTCAACAAAATCTATTAAAGACAAAAATTCAAGTAGTGCTAGAGTCGCAGTAATAAATGGAATGAATGCTATCATAAACAATCCATTATCACAAAATATAATGAAGGGCTATTTGCCGAATATATTTGCATATCTGCATGATCTTGACATTGAAGTTAGGTATTCCGTCGCCTTGCTCATTTTAAAAATTTCTAGGATTCAAGGGTTTGACTATTCACAAATCATTTCAAAAAAACAAATACTTTCCAGAATCTCCAAGGAGTTCATTATTTATCAGGTTAGACAATCCACTTATTTTATGAAATATGGAAAATTGTGTGAAAATTCCAATATATTAATAAATGACATTTTTTCAAACGATCAGGATTCTGTTTTTGAATCTTTAAAAGTTGCAAGGGTACTTGCAGAATTGTTAAACCCTTCAATTTTTATTGAAAGGGCAAAGGAGCAACTCAAAAACTGCTACTTTTTTTGTGATCTTTGTCCAATAGGAATGATTGGATACTTTTGTAGTCTGAAAATTTTTGTGGATGAAACCATTGGAAAAAATATTCAAAATTCTGATTTGTTGCGTTTAGCAGTACTCATAATTACAACAACAATTGAAAACTATCAAAAAAATAAAATTACCTACAACAAGGCAAAAATTCTGTTGGCATCCAGCAAAGAAATTTTGTCAATAGTTTTCTCAAATCAAATATCTTTAGTGGAATCGAATCAAGAGGTTTGCTATATTTCTAACTACAACGATAAGAAAAGAAGAAACACGACCCAAATTGCTATTAAATATTTTACAAATGCCTGCAATGATGATTTTTTACTAAAAATTGATCCAAATGATAAGATTTGGGTAAGTATACTGCAGTTATTACAACACCAAACTGTATTGAACTCAAGTTTTTATCCAAAATTCTCTCAAAAACTTATATCTGAGCTCTGGAATCATTCTTTGGCAGTTTTCAGAAATAGATTAGATGAAAAGAGTGCGAGAACAAAGCTAGGTACAATTATTTTGTTATCAAAGAATTGGAAGCTATTAGATAATATTATTCCCATTTTGGTGGATAACGCTTGTAAATTATTATCTAATAAGTTAATAACAGATCACGAAATAATAAACGCAAATTTGGAAGCCAAACTCATCCCAAAAGATATTGGAGCTTTTTCTCTCAATACGCTTTTAAACATATTGATTTACAATGAAATAAGAGTATACTTTTCAAATAATTCCTCATTAATAAGTTGCATAGAAAAACTAGCAAACAGTATTTTAAATACTCACATTAATGAAACTTCGCTTGAAATAGAATTGGACACGAAACAATTAACAAAAAAATTATTAATATACTGTTTGGCAATAATTAAGAATGAAAAATCTTTCTATGAACTCATTCTAATTATTTTTCGAAAAATTAATTACATTGCGAATGATATTAACCATTCATTTGATCAATTTCTTTTACTATTCGAGATACTTGGCACTGCACTCTCCATCCCAAACAGTAACCTTTCTAATGAGAAAAAAACTCTTGAAGAAATAGCAAAAATGTCCGAAGATTTGCTAATTACAATGAGAAATATTTTGGAAATGAGTGATCGGAGTGAACTTTTCGAAATTCGAGTTAGGCAAGGGATAAATACATATTTATTTGCGCTAAAACAGATCATAGGAAGCTCAAATTTTGAATTAGTTTCTCTTTCAAAAGAAATTGAATCAAAGTTAGATATATTTCCGGAAATTAGTAAATAAAGAGCCACCACTAATAGTAGATTTAGGATATTTACTGATCATTAAGTTAATCTGGGGTCAAAAACCGCCATTTGAACACATTTTGTTTCCAAGTTAGAGATTTTTGCTTGAAAATTGAGAATGCGTTTAATAATAACTCATATATTGTCATTTTATTTAACAGTATTAGAACTTATTAGAGACGGGAATATAATTTATCTATTTAAGCCATTACAGAAAAATGGATTTCGTCCAGAGCTACGGTTAAACAGTTTCCCAACAACTGATGAGTTGTTTCAAGATGCATTGATACTACAAGAAAAAATGGAGAGAATTATAACTATGAATTCAGTTCGAATTTTTGCACTTGATTTATCTCCTGTTTGCATTTTTGAAAAGAACAAAAGGAACTCTTGTGGGGATATTGGAAAATGCCAGGTCATGGGAAATGAAAGTGATCTTTCTTCAACTCTATTTGGAATTGACAAGGCTGGTGAAATAAATTTTATTGACAACGGCAATTGTAATGAAAAGAAAACAAAGGTAGATATGCTTAAGAACCCACCTGCAAACACACAGTATAAAGGCGAGGAAATTTGGCGTAAAATATATTATGAAATAGAAAAAGTTAACTTTCCTCTACTTAAAAAGTTAATATCAGGAATCCAGAGTAACATTGCTATTCATGCATCGGAAAGACATAGAAAAATTCGTGGAGATTATTATGACTATAGTTTATCTAATTTCATGAATAAATTTGCAATATTTGAAGAAAGAGGAGTAAACCTTCTAGTCACATTTTATTATATTGTACGTTCAATTTGTATATTGGGTCCTTCATTCGAAAAGTTTATGGAAAACTTAGATAATTCAGCGGAAAACATTAAATTAAAAGAAGAAGTTAGAAAAATTTTTGACAAAAATCTTTATTACTCATGCAAACCAAAATACCAAAATAACGTTATTCCTCCTCAATCTCTTCCAAAACTTGAAAGATTTTTCAAAACATTTATTTCTGCACTAGGCTGTGTTGAATGCGAAAAGTGTATATTACATGGCACAATTAAATGTAATACACTTGATTTGGCAGTGAAGGCTTTAGGAGGTTCAAAAAACATTTCATTAGACCCCATATACTTCGTAACTTATCTAAATGGGCTTTATATATTTTCAACTTCAATTACAACAATTGATTTATTCACTTTTAGAGTAAGGATATTTTGGGTTTTTTCATTATTTATCACAGTTATTTTTTTCTTCTGCTTCAAATATAAGATTGCTTCATATTTAAATCAAAAGAAAAATTTTGCAACTAAGAAGAAAGAACAATAATGGAAACATATTTAACTTTGTGCTATTTTATACAGACTGCAATAATAGCTACTTTACCATCTATACCTAATGGATAAATAAATTTTTCTTTTATAACTTTTAATGAGCTTTTAAGAAATTCACCACTTTTAAAAACTCCGTGGCTTATTGGACAAGGGAGTCTTCCATCTAATTCTATAATATTTCCATTAATATTTACAAAAGAAATATAATGAAATTCTGTTACAAAACAATCGTTAGAAATGTCTCTTGATGACAATTTTTCATGTAAATACTCAATCTTCTTATTATTTATCAAATACAAACCTCTTTCTTTTGCTAGATCGTTTGATTCACTCTTTAAATTTAACAATGTCTTAGCAATACTTTCCTCTTCTAGTTCTATCAAATTATTATTTAGGATTGAATGCAAAAGTGCGACGGCACCACAAGAGTTCTGAATGTATTGTTTCATGAACCAAACTTTTTGGTAGCCAGTTATTTTATATCCAAATTCATCTCTCTTTTTACAAATTTTTTCATCGTTAGTTGGTACTAAAATAATTAATGAAATAGGATTTATATCATAAATATCCAATTCAGTTTCTTCTGTACTATAAATATCTACGAAACAAATTTGAGATTTAACGCCCAATCCAGTAGAATACTCCTCCAATATTTTTGGGTCAGAAATTAGAGGTTTCCATATTTTGTTTTTATTATTCATGATTAACAATTTTTTTAGCTGGCGGAAAAGTTGAAATAGCACTTTTAACAAAAATGTATAATATAAAAAATAGTATACCATGAGCAAATTTAATGAACAAATCAAAGAACTAAACAGAAATTCTCTAACAAATTTTGAAAAAGATGAAAAAATTCATAGCATGTTGTTCGGGCGTTTGACTTGTGAGCAAAAAAAAGCAGTGTTTATGAACCATGAAAGCTCATTGTTAATTGTTGCTGGCCCAGGGACTGGGAAAACTGCAACATTAACATCTAGAATTGTTCGTTTTTTATTAAGTGGTTATTCGCCAATACTCGCATTGACATTCACTAGAAAAGCAGCAAATGAACTTAAAAGTAGAGTTTCGACTATTTACACATCTTCAGCAAAAATTATGTATGCAAAATTGAAGAATTTAAAGAGTAGTTCACAAAATGATAAGTATTTATCAGATTTTATTTCAACACCAGAAATATTCATTGGCACCATTCACTCATTTTGTTGGAAAGTTCTTAAAGAATATGGCACTTTCATTGATTTGCCAAAAGATATTACAATTATTGATAAGGAAATGGCATTTAAATTACTAAAATCATGTATATCTGAAGATTTTAATACAGTTTCATCTAAATTGTCAGATTATTCTTCGCTAATTTTTGACCCAATCAATTACGATGAAATTGAACGAGATGACTTCGATGGCGATAATGAAGATGACGAAGTTGGTGATAAAACTCGCAGTGTTGAAATTGAACAATTAAAAAATTTAAATAATAATTTAAACTTTTTAAAGAAAGAAACAGATGATGATGGGCAGTCTACAAAAAACGAACTTGAGAAAATATTAAAGATAATCAAATTATTGAAAATAAAGAAATATATAAATAAGAATGAATGTACGATAGATGATGTTAATGGTAATCACAAATTATTTGGCGTTTACCTTTCATATACAAAAAAAATGGCAATGAATAAGCCATATTTACTAGATTATACTGATTTAATTATACTCACACTGAGATTATTAGAAAACAATATTAAAATTAGAGAGGAAATTCAGGATTCATACCCTTATATATTTTGTGATGAATTTCAGGATACTTCTAAATTACAGTTTAAAATATTGGAACTTCTAACTAGAAGTCAAAATAAAAAAAGAAAGTTCGGATTAGAGGAATTTTTGGAAAATGAAAGTTTGAAAAAGGGTGGCATTACTGTAGTTGGGGACGATGACCAAGCTATCTACAGTTGGAGAGGTGTTGACACTGGAGTTTTCTCACAATTTTCTTCAATATTCAAACAAAACTTTAGTTTAGTTTATTTAACTACAAATTTTAGATCCTCAAAATCTATTATCGCAGTTTCAAATTATCTTATTAAAAATAATAAATCCAGAATAATTAAGTCATTAACAAGTAACAATGGCCCTGGAATAGAACCAGCAGTTTATTATTTTTCAAAACAAATCGATGAAATGCAATGGATTGCCTCTACCATTCTATTATTCAAAATAAAATACAATTATTCATGGAGTGATTTCGCTATTCTGGCAAGAACAAATGATACCCTTTTTTACATCGAAAAATTATTCAGTGATAAGCAATTTTTAATTAGTTGTATAGAAATGTTTCAAGATACGGAAAATATAAATCAAGAAAAAAACTGGTTCAAAATGATCTCCAATGATTTATTGAATTTTGATATTAATCAATTAAATGAATTTAAATCACTTGAAATTATTTTTCCAATGGAAAATACTTCCAGAAGTAATCCAAAATCTACATCTGATTTACTAAGCAAAACAGAAATATTGGATATATTGTCATATTGTAGACTGATAGTTGACGAAACAGCTGATGATTGCTTTTTGAGAGTATGTAATCGTCCTAAAAGAGGTATTGGCGATAATGCTATAAAGTTAATTGAAGATTATGGTGCTCAAGGAATTTCGCTAATGAGAAAATCCACTCAGCCATTAAACGGGATTTGTGAATTAAGTAATGGTTTCATTAATGAACAAACAAACACATATAAATCAATAATGAATGTGTGTAGAATGCTAGTATCAAATAAATTGGAAATAAGGTCTAAATTTGATCACAGCCTATATAAGAAGACGATAAATTCGATCAAATTGTTCTTAGAATCAGTAGACGACTTAAAAAAATTCGTTAAAAATAAGGTTTCTGTGCGAGAAATAATTAATGAAATTGTAAAAAAAATGAATCTAGATTATCGAGATATAAATAATAAAGACTTTAAAAAAAAAAAAATATCTCCATCCAATTCATTTACTAATTTGAATTATAAAATTGCAAATTCTGAGAAAGCAAATATGAGAAAATTGAGCATCTTTAATTCAATCTCAGCGCTTTTAAAATATTCAGAACCTTATACACCTAATGAAGAACAACCTACTGGCTATGAATGCTTACTTTGTTTTTTACAAGATGCCTCAAATGGTTTATTACAAATTAAAAAGGGAGAAAAAATATCTTTATCAACTATTCACAAGGCAAAGGGTCTTGAGTGGAAAGTTGTTTTTATCCCCAAATTTATAGATAAGATATTCCCATTATATAGAGAAACTGAATATTTGGAATTGAAAAACGAGTTTAATGAGATTATTTCAGAAGAAGAAAGAAGGATTGCATACGTAGCCTTTACAAGAGCAAAAGAAAGACTTCTTATTAGTGTCCCACTTAACGTTGGAAAGCCTTCACCCTTTATTCAAGATGCTAATCTTCCCACTTATAATAGAGTTTCAAAGAAAAAAGAATTAATTAAACAATGTCCAAGAATAGTTACAGGAAAAAATTGGATAAAATTTCATTAATGGTTAACAACATTTGGAAGTGCCAGTTTCATCCAATGCTTCTGATTTTGACGATAATGGAGGGTTTCTAGACAATTGTTGCAGGCATTTATTTACACTGAAATCTTCAAATTCTTCAATACCATCTGGGGATTTTCTGATAATGTAGAAGCACTTATTACATAAATCATCTTTGCCAGAGGAATTTTCGTGGTTCTTGATACAAATTGATTCAATTCCTTTGATTTTCTCCTCACGTCTTGGATGATAGTCCAAAATTGAAATAAGAACTTTGTATGTTAAACTGTCTTTTTCAAAAGTAGTATTAACCTCGGATTGCTCTAGAACTTCTTTAATACAACGCCTTAAATGTTCTATTGACGCAAATGTTTGACCACCTACAATTATAGGCATTGCTGTAAATGCCATTTTCTGTTTATTGAGTTCCTTTTCTCTTTCCTTTTGTATGTGTTTTGGAAAAACTGAATTTATTATTTTCCTTGCCTCATCTTGATTTGCCAATGAAATAGGAACGTTTTCTTCACCAAGAGTTAATTCCATATTTTTAATGATTAATTGATCATTTTTAAATGGCTTAAGTAAAATAAAACATGTACCATCCTGAGTTGTTTGAGAAACGTATCTTATTAAATTCTGGCTTTCAGGCTGTAAATCTTTAAGTTTCTCTTTTAAAGAATCTTTAACGGTTGACCAAGAGGCAGTTTCCGGAAGGTTTGTTATCTTTAAAATACAACCTCCAGCATGAAGATCTTTACCATTTATTGAAGAACTCTTTTCTTTTGTTTTTTTCTTTGGCTCCAGATTGGGCAGGTTTTTGTTTAGTTTAATCATTGCCTTTCCATCCTCGTTGAATTCAACAAAAATCATCTCATGACCCTTAAGTACATCTATTATTTCTTCTTCTTTAGTAATGCCCAAATTCTTGATTTTCGAACAATTTAAAAGGTAGGATACAAGTAGACGATTTTTGGGGTCTGAACGCATTGTATTTTGGAAGAACGAGTCTGTTCTGAGGTTTTCATCTGAGAAATAGTACTCGAGTTGTTTAATCAATAAATACTTAGTTTCTTCTCCAGTCACAGGTAAATCTACTTTAATCTTTTTAGATTCGAAACTTTCTCTAATAGGAGAAGGTGAACGGGAATGAATCTTCTTAATTTCAGTCATTTTAAATATTATATTTATTATGAAAAACTTTGTAAGAATTAACTATTTTTTTTGCAATTGCGCGTAACAGTTCATCTCTATTTAATGCAAAAAATAAAAATGAAAAAAAAGGAACAGAATAAAAGAGATAAAGATCATTTAAAATATAGTAGTCTAACAGCTTTTAAAAGATTAGTTACAATTCCTGAACAGCTTTTTCTAATTAATTGTTAAGCCTTTTTTTCTACAGTAAATCTACACAAAATTCAAAAATATAAAGCAAAGTAAATGATATTTTCGTGCAATAAGTGGTATTGTTTTTGTTAATTCAGTTTTAACTATCTCAGTTAAAAATTTGTTTATTTCTCAATATCTTATTAATTAAAGATTCCCCATGTAAGACTAAACGTATATTCGGCACCGGGCAATAATGTGGCGCTTGAATATATGTCTCAGAAATCAATAGTAACTATTATCAAGGCAAAGTTATGTTAAAGGAAAATGGAGGATACACTAGTACCTGTGTCTACGTACAGATCTTATGTATGCTTGAAATACACGCTATTAATGCATAGCTGGAGAGAGAGGAACGTATAGAGGGGTAGCAAATTCTTATGGTTTCTAATGACTAATACTAGCATAAAAATATACATATTACATACAAGACATCTATATTTATGCCAGTAAAAAGCAAAAATAAATTTTTCTGGCGGTTATACAATGCATTATAAAACTTGTCAATTTATGTGTCGGTTCTAAAAATTGTAACAAATTTGAATAATTGCATTATATACTAAAAACTCGAATTATCAAGAGTTTTTTGAATGTTAAATTATATATTTAAATATGGAGAGTGAAAGCCGTATGAATAATGATGAGGCAGTACTGTTTCAAGAGCAAGATTTAAATAAGGCTGAGCCGAGTGTTCAGTCACCAAATTTTGAATCACGTGAAACTTTTATTGCCGAAGATAACTTTGATGATAATTGTAGTAGCACAACTGGAGCTAGTGGCTATAGGGATACTTCGGTCTCGCCTCAAAGATTTTCTAATATTGGAAATGAAGTAAGGACTGACGGTATTTCTGCAGCTGAAAATAATATTGAAGTTGAATTCAATAGTTCAGTATCTTACAAAGATAATGGTTCTAATGGAATACATGGAATATGCACCATTGAAGAATCGGTAAAGGAAAATCCGAAAATTGATACAGAGACTATTGATGTTAAGATAAACATACCAAATGCAAAAATTATTAATGCTAATTGTGAAAATGAAAATATAGATAATTCAGTTATTAGGTTTAACAACTCAGACGTAACAAATAACAACTCACCTTCCATTGAGTTTCTTTCTAGGCAAAGAGCTCTAGATAGAGCTAATGTTTTTTTAAGATGGAATTTAACTCCTTCTAAACAACAAATTGGGGAATTTTTAGAAATGGCTCAAGGTAAACTGAACTTGAGTATGGTATCTGAAAAAGGATACGACTATTGTTTACTTTACTTTGAACTACTTCGTGACGGGCTTATTAATGCTCATTTATGGCGTGATACTACTATAGAAGAACTTGATTCAGCGATAACAGAAGCTCGTCAAACTCTTAACGGTGAAATAACTCCTTCAAAAAATATTAAGAAGCGTAGAGTTAATAATACCACTCTACAGGATGACCATTCTTCATTATATAATTCGGCCAATACTGAAAATGAAAAGATACCACTACACATATTAACAAAGATAAATAAACATAATTCTGAATTTGAGGACGCAGGCTCAGAATTTCAAGAAACACCGGTCAATTCTTTTAGTCTTGAACAAAGTATTGGAAGTGATGAAACTGAGGGGAAACCAGAAGTTGACAATGAAGATATTGATAACTCGTATAATGCCATAGAATGGCAAGGCGTAAATAGCAATAGCAGCAAAGCAAGTGATATAAGTGTAGAAAGCAATAGCCTAAATTTGAACAAAGATGCCAGCCCTGATTCTAACAGAGATGGAAGTGATAGTGATGAAACTGGGGATAATACACAAGAACATGAAGATAACACATCTTCTAGACAAGATGCTATGAATCGTCTTTTAAATCCAAAGTCAGGATGTAAGGGAGTTTCATGGTCGAATCGGCAAATGGCTTGGCTTGCATTTTGGAAGGAAGATAATCAAAGAAGGTCCAAGACATTTTCTGCAAGGAAGCTTGGATTTGAGGAGGCACAAAGAAGAGCTATTGAGTTTTTACGTCGTAAAAGAGAGGAAGTTCGTATGAAGACTCAAGCACATTTATATGAGGAACTTCCTAGAGTTGGTTCATCAACTATTAATTCATCGGGTGATAGTTCTGGTATTAAAACTCCAAATAGGCGAAACTACTCTAATTCAAACGCTACAACTACAGCAACTCCAGCAACTCCAATAACTCCTTTAGAATTAGACCAGTATTCTAGTGCAGTACATCAATTTATCCCAGGATTTGATGATTCATCTCGCAATTTAATTGCAGGAGCAAACCCATTATTTAGTGCATCAGGGAATATATTGGCAAATAATATTCCATCAATGATTAATCACGGAACTACTGTTCAACATAATGTCATTCAATCTAATATTGGACAACCAAATATTCTAACAGCTACTGCGGCAGCTGCAGCTGCAGCTGCCGCTCACCAAATGGGATTACCATTTCATCTTGCTACTCTTTCATCCATAGCTGGAGGTATTCCTATTGACCCTTCTATTTCTGCAACAGTCGCCGCAGCAACAGGTATGAACCTTGGTGTTCAGAATTCCCAGCAAAACCAAGCAAATCCAATTAGCAATTTTACTCATGCTGCGTTAATGGCTGCCAATCCATTCTTTATGTTTGGTGCAGCAGCGGCGGCTGCTGCCGCTGTAGGTTCAAACAATACTCATATTGGACCTAACAATTCTAGTTCTCATTTTTCATGGCAACAGTTCCAAAATGGGGGAATTGCCCCTTTAATTCAGAATCAAATACAAACGGACATAAGGGAAGCGCCTTCACCCTCTCAACCAAATTCTAACAATCTTAGCTCAAATCAGCCCGAACATAAATCTGAAACTAAGTATAATTCTCCGGAAATCAACTCAAATTCTTTAATCGATAATGAAGACAAACATGAGGGTAGTGATAAAACTTTAATTAATGAATCAAAAACAGAAGTTATAGCTAACTATATAAACGAATCTTTATTGAACAACCTTAAATCGATGCCAAAAATCGACGAAGGCACAAGTAATATTACCGTCTTACCGACAAATACTCGAACACTAGAAGTTTATAGGCATTGAAATTGGGCAGACTACATTTAAATACAATTTATTTGTTGAATATAACTTTAAATTGTATCATTATAATTTATTGCAATTTTCTAACTAAAAATGTATATTATTGTTTTAATATTTAGAAATAATTAGCATCTCCCCCCTACTTTATTTAAAGTGATTTCTTAATTAAAATTTACATTAATTTTTTTTTTTTTTTTGATATTTTTGTCTCACTGTTAAAACTATAGTCGATCTTTATCTGAGTAGAAAATGTTCAATTTGAATTTAGACAATTCTTTTGTTAGAGTTAATATTATTTGATCTATTTGTGTGAATTAAAAAAAGAAAACCAATGCACACTGTTGTGAGCATGCTTGTGGAAAAATATTAATATAGAAGAAAAATTTAAAAAATAATTAGTAAAACTCAATTGAATTAGATTGATGTAAAATGCCTGAAAAAGGAGGAGTTGTTTTAAAAATTAAACATGCAGCGGAAAATTACAACGAAGATAAGAAAGATGGAAGAACTATTGCGAAGAAGCAAATAGAAGTTGAACACAATGCAGCAAAGGCCATTATGAATTTAAGACATAGAAGAGATTGTAATGGAGAGGTAACCAGGTTTTCTTGGTGTAGCGATCCATTATGTAGAATGTGGTATGATATGGCTCAATTTTTTGGTTTTTTGGGAGAAGATATAATTGATACAGACATTGATAATGCAATTATTTCTGTAGCAGATGGAGGTAGTGGAATATATGAAAGGTTAATAGTACTTGGACAGAGAATTCTAGATGCAACAGGGAAGGAATATGCAGTAAAAAAATACATGAATTCAGGTATTGATGGACTACCAAAAGAAATTAATAAAATAATTGGAGAATCAAACAAAAAGTTGCTTGTTTTTCTAAAAATGCGTTGTTTAAGTAATAAAATATGTTCTATTGAATGCCTATCTAAATTTGCAAAACGATATTGCCATTATTGTAAAGCAGAGTTGAACTCTGATGCAAATAAATGGGATGATATTAAATTATCTAAGTATGTAAAGTTCTGTATATCATTTTGTATTTATGGCCAAGGAATAATAGACTGGAATAATCCACTAAATATTGAAAATAAACTTTGTCAAAGATTCCCTTGGTTAGAAGTATTGATAAGAAGTATGGACATGAGCATATTAAATCCTTCTGTGCAAGAAGATGGAAAGTTCCTTTCGACAGAAGGAATTAGGAATGCAAAGATATTGGGAATTTTATACAGACATTTTGGCTATAATAGAGGAAAAAAAGATATTCCTCCCAGAGTTTTGTTTGCATTAAACACACCTGAAGGATCTCAGTTACCAGAAGAAAAAACTGGGCAAATGATTTTTAGTCATTACATTAGTCATTATTTCAAGGCCGTAGCCGCTGAACACGGGTTCACCGGAATTGATACATTACAGTGGGTAGAGAAAGAAAAGAATATTTTATTAGGAAGTAATGCTGTCGAGTTATTTGCCTTAATAGATTTGGAACTTGGCGAAATTTATTCCAATGGTGTACCATTAAAAATAGAAGAGAAATTTTCAAGGTATAGAGGGCTGTTTTTTTCATTAATTGCAAATATGTTTGTACTGTGCGAGGATGATAAGAACGCACAAAAGTGGTTACAAGAGTTAGTAACATGTGTTAGGCAGGTACAGCTTTATATCATAGAGTTTCATGAATTCACTAATTCGGAGTCTTTACAGAAAGCCAATAACATTCCTCAAAACGAAGTTTTCACTATTTCAGATACATCGCTTGATCATACTCATGTTCCTGACATTTTTTCCGATTTAGAACCTGAAGAAATTACATCATTTATTGGCTTACTTGAAAAGTGTAAATCCCCAGCTATACTTGATACTTTAAAAGAACTAGCATCTAATTCAAAAACTTGCATTAATGCTTTCACAGAAATTGCTGCGATTCCAAATAAGTGGATTAAGGATAGCATCATTAAAGTGGCTAAATTTTCCAACCATGAGATGAAGAAAAAAGTTAGAGAGTGCAATAGTTTCAACTTTTTGGGTGAATCGTGCAATGTAGAATCAGATAGCAGTGAATCTGAACATTCAAATATAAATGTAAAGAAATATAATGATAAAAACAAAAAAATTAAATCAAAAGATAGTAAACACAAGATTTCAAGCAAAAATATAGATTTAAATAAGAAATTAGAGAATTCAACAAATATCCTTTGTGCAGAGGCTTTAACCCCAATTTTGAAACCTGTGACATTCAAAGTTCCTAATGGTAGTCTTGGTGTAGAAATTCAACCAGTCTCTCTAACATTTATTAATGAAGAAGGCTGTCCAATTCATTATACTTTAAATCCAAACTCAAGCAATATTCCAAATGGGATTGTAAAACCAATAAATGAGATAGTTAATGAAAATACGAAAGATAATACGATGATAGAAAATGGAAAATCAACACCTAAAAGTAAGTCATTACATGTTTTTTCGAGAAATATTGGTAGAAGTAGGTCACCGAATCAAAAAAGTTTTGAAAGAAGAGAACATGGATTATTTATATGTGGGGACGTTTCTCATCAAATCGAAGAAGGTAATAATCTCATTAGAGTTTACGGAGATAAAAGAAATTATGTTTAGTTAAGTGGATAGGATAAAAATGATTTATTAAAATAATAAATTTTAAATATTTTTTGATTTTTTATTACAACCTTTTTTTTATTCAAGTATTAATTTGATAAGATAATTGCTCTAGAGTTGTTTGGCAACATAGATTAACAGTCATTTTTAATTTAAGTAACTGGAATAATAAATTAATTAAAATACTTACATTTTATGTAAGAATTAAAATCTATAATTGATTAGAAAATGATATTAATTTATTCAAAATTTATAGTTTATATTCGTAAAAAAAATAATTTGTCGTAAAGAATTGCATTAGTATTCAAATGAAAGGGAAAAAAGGAGAATTCAAACCAAGCTATAAAACAAGCAATTTTATATGTAAACTTTTTATTAATAAATCCAGTCCTTTTGATATATTGTCTAATTTGTTCGAAGTATTTTATTAATTGATTATTTTCGAAAAAAAACTGGTTTAATTTGGGCTTGACAAAAAAAAGAAAAAATATCAAAAGTATTTTAACACCTGAATATTAAGGTAACAAATTTCAAAGAATTTTCAAAACCACAAAGGCAGGTTTCAGAGGAAATAATCTTTCATCGGTAGAGAAATTTAACGAGAAGAAAAGAAAGTACAAACAAATAGTATAATTAGGTCAAATCGTGTGAGGAACGTAACATTCAAGATCCAACTTAAATCTGTAAAAAAGGCATAAAATGATTATAGAGAACGAAATAAATTTTCAGTATAAGGAAAATGATTGGCAAATTATAATTTTGATGGTTTTAATTAGACAATATGGCTGCTAAGAAGAGTAAAATCTTTTTACAATTGATTAATCCAAATAATATAAAAGTTCCTATTGAGTTACCAAATGCACTCAGTGATTTAAGAAAAATGAATTTGGAATTTCAAATCCACAAGTGTGTATGTTAGAGGAATCAGAACCTTTATTTGGTTGAAAAGAAAACTTTTTTGGTTACTTTTGTAAATTTATTCTTGGTAGTATCTATTCGGAAAGTATACTACAGAATTCTGAAACATGAAAAATCTGCAGCTGGAAAAATTAATTATAATTGTATGAAAGTAATTTGATCTGATATCAATTTATTTGAGTCGATAAATAGTTCGAATTTCCCTTTAAGCATATTTATTAACCGGCTGTTGACTGAATTAAAAAAAGAACTAATTTCTAAACGTAATTATGAAATTTAACTTTTATTTTTGAATTGTTACAAAGAAAATAATTCCTAAAATGAGTGTATTAATAGAACTAAATTTTTATGTACCGACTGCATATAAACATTTTTCCACAAAAAAATATTAGTTACAGAAAATATGTATTCCGAATATACTGTTGAAATCTCATTTTTGTTCAAGGATATTGAAAAGAAATATTTAGTTTAACAAATACTGAGAAACTGAGTAGTTCTATAGTCGAAGCAACACTTTATTTGAAATTAAACTCTTTATCTTTATAAAACTTCGAACTAATCCAAGTTCTGGAAATTTTTTGGTTTATTTAGGCGAAAAACAACTGATATTGTTGGATCGGGGGAGGAAGGGTTGGAGCATATTTCAAGGTTTTTGTTTATAATTATACTAAAATGTTAAAAATTGCAATTATTAGATCAGAATCTGATATAATAAAGCAGTGCATTAATGTGAAGTTTATTTTAGTGACTGGAGGTGAAGAATATATTAAATACACCGAAACGCAACCAAAACGGTGCCTGAAGCATTCAAATATTCTTCATCCCCATCAATTCTTCAAAAAGGAAAGTAGTTGAAAATATTTCAAATCATTCCGAATGTACTAGAAAGAAAAACACCTCTTCGTTCTGAAATATATATATTCGACACACAAACGCACTGAATAATTCTTTATAATTTGTAATCACCTTTGAGCAGTGATGTATTCACAAAAAATATTAAATCAAGTCTTTGAGAGATATGACAGAATAGTTGAATCAACTTCTATCTAAGTCTATCAGAATTTGTAAAATCATATATATTTTATATTTAAAAATGCTTGGTATAAGCATGAATAAGTCGTAATTCTACTGAAACTTACAGAGACCCAATATTAATACTTTTGGTAATTCTACTCGAATTTAAAATCCACATTTGAATCTGGATTAAACTTAAATTCAGGTTCACCACTGTTAATTGTGTCGAATATTTCTTCATGATCATCTTCGTATTCATAAGGGAAATATGAAACAATGATGTGAAATGCTTTTTCATAAATAGCTTTTGAAGGAGCTTCTTGAAGTTTCTCAAGCCTGGACAATCCATAAGCTTGCTCCACAAGAGCACAATATGGATTCTCTTGAAGGCCAAGTTCGTGTTGTCGTATCGCACCTGTTTTTAAAATGTTCTCAATTGCTTCTAAGGCGACATTGATTACCTTTGCATCCTCAATGCTAAGTAGGTCACATAAAGGTTTGATCACACCCTGGTTAACCAAATATTCTATTTGTTCAACTGTCCCACCTGTTGTAGCATTAGAAATAGCCCATGCAGCTTCCTTCTTTACATCGAACTCCGCAGTGTTAAGTAGATTAACTAATGGCACGATTAATCCGTTGTCAATTATTTCTTGAATTTGTTCTTTGTTTCCTGCCGTAATATTTGAAACAGTCCAACAAGCTTCCTTCCTAATTACTTTCTTAGGGGAAGATAAAAGTTGCAAAAGGTATCTCGCAGCCCCACATGACAAAACCATCTGAGTTTGTCTATCATCACCTGTTACAATATTTCCAACACATCTAAGCGCAGGAGTCTGAACAAGGGGTGATGGATGGCCCAGAAGCTCCACAAGCCTAGGGCATGCTTCACTCCTTAGTACCGCCTCAACACGATCATTCGGACCGTCTGAAATATAGCTTAGTGCCCAACAAGCATCAGTCATCACTTCCAAATCAGAAAAATATAAAAGCCTACATAGTACTGGTAAAGAATGAGATACCATTTCAAATGGCGGCGGTGGCCTACCTCTACAAAGGTTGTTTACCGTCCAAGTTGCTGTCCTTAGTATACTGGTTTTGCCACTAACCTTTCCACCCACTGTGCTTGGTGATTTCGTACTTATCATTTGTTCATTATTATCTAACGGGCCAATTTCTAGTGCAATTAATTGTAAAATTGGTGGAAGAGCACCCGCTCTTAAAACCAAATCACGACAGTTTGCAGAATCACCTGCTATATTACCGAGTGTCCAAATAGCTTGTTCTTTAACTTCAAGTTTCGGACTATTTAGAAGTTCAACGCATTTTGGGATAGACCCATGCCTAACAACTTCACATGTTTGTTCAGTAGTGCCAGATGAAATGTTAGTTAAGGTCCATGCAGCTTCAAATTGAAGGTTTGGGTGGTCATAATCACTTAAAAAATGGACTAACCGTGGGATTACTCCAGCGTCAATAACTGCTTGAATTGGTGGGTTGTGCTCTCTAGAAAGTAGCCTTCTTAAGCCTTGCGTGGCTTCAAACTGAGTATTGAATTCCTGGCTCATTATTCCTTGAGATAATGCTGGAATATGTTCAATACCATACATATTTCCTGCCTGGGTATTAATACCCATAGATATATCGCTATTTTCTCCATCGTTTCCTTGACGTCTCTTACTAAGTTGTTCATCACGTTGTTGCTTTCGAATTTGTGCCTGCTGCTCTTCACGCTTCCTTCTAGGGTCATCAAAGGTTTTTTTATAAGCCTTCTTATGGGTTTCCAACTTATCCATTGTTGCTAAGATCCCAATTTATATCTTATTTCTAACCCACAATTAACTAGTGCTCTCACTTACTTATAGAAAGTGGAATTATGTGGCGCCAATTAACTCCCGCAAGAATGGTTATTTATCAATTGTAATCAATATACGACTTATAATTAGAAATCAATGACGAATATAAACATATAAACATATATATATATATAAAGTTAACTATTCGCCGCCAAATCAACAATAATTTTAAATAAATTTGCGTTATTTAATATTTCTACTGTGCAAATAAATAATGAAGGATGTATCCACTATTAGTGGATTGATGGGTTCATACCTTTTGAAAGGATGGATAATGTTGGGTGATGCTTGCCCATCTGTAAGTGTTAATTATATTCAAAATATTTCCTAACTTAGTTAGTGTGAAGAAGTACCTTTATTAGAAGATCCTTCAAATGGATTAAAGTACTGTATGAAATGTTCTCCACCAATGACATCTGCTAGAAATTCAAATAGTAAATTAGCTGAAACACTAGGTAACGAAGGAAAACTCAGCTCACTTGCAAATGAGTTAATTTGTAACAGGGAAAATGGTAAAACAATATTTAAAGACGCACTCAAAGAAAATATTAGCTATATGATAGTCGAAATTTCAAAGATGGGCACGAATGCATTAAGTAATGCAGATTTAACTATTGAGAAGAGGTAAGTTATTATTTTTAGTAAATTGTGCCATAAACTGCTTAAAGACTAGAGATTGTCGACAAGGCAGCAAATACCATACATAAATTACTTAGCATACATATGCTCGACTATAATTGATAAATGGAATTGTTCTCCTAATTATTTCATAAGATAAAACTAGAATGTACAGATCTTCTGAACTATTTTTCGTCCCTCTGTTGAGCCGCCTTAATGAATGCTTCTTCAACTTTTCTTCTTGCATCTGGCTTATCACCGCTTTCTTCTCTCTGTTGATTCGAAGCATTAGCGACTGATTGAAAAATAGAGCCAAGTTCTATGAGAGCCAATGCTCTCTGCTTCCTTACATTTAAATCAACTCCCATATCTTTTACTAGTTTCTTAGCAACCGTTCTAATTGTGTCTTCAATGTCCATAATTGTAATACGAAGCATAGTGTCCAATATAAGTGGCAGTGTTTCTTCGAACTGTTGTTGCGCTTTTGCTGAGTCCTCTGCGTTTTGTTCCATATTAGCTTCATTGTCATACTCACCTTCTTTTGCTCCACATTGTTTTTTTTTCATAGAAGATTGTAAATTTTGAGCTGCCATAGCAGTTCTAATTGCAGTAGATGCCATTTTCCAAGTAGATGCAACATTTCTTGTCTTTGCTTGAAATTTAGCATACTTACCTCCTATTCCGAGAAAAGTATCAATTTTTCCCAGATATTGAGATCCATAATTTTCGTAACTCCAACCGATGGCTTCAACCATTGCATCGCAAAACGAATTGTTGCATAAGCTTTTCGCCTCTTGAGAAATTGATTCTCTCCAATCCTTGAGTATCTCCGAAGTTTCAATAGGAACTGAATTTTCTGCATCAAACTCTTCTAGTACTGGAGCAATCTTTTTCCTCATTTCTACTGCAAGTAAAATTGTCCTTTTACTTTGTTCATTATCAATTGCTTGCTCCATTTCATTTGAATTGCTCGCCCCATTCTGAGAACCATTAGTGGTAGCAATTTCAACAAGAGAAACCATTTTAAGTTTACCCACATACTTTTCTAAACTGTCAGACCCAAATAAAATTGTGAAAATCAAACTTGAATCAATTACAGGCATATCATAAGTAGCTCCAATACCATATTCATCGTACCTTTTTCTACGCTCGGGATCTGCAAGTATTTGATAGGCTTCACCCAACTTTTGAAATTTATCTTTAGCATCCGCATCATCAGGGTTTTTATCTGGATGGTATTGTTTTGCCTTTCTATAATATTGTCTTCGAATTTCATCTGCACCTGCATTTGGCGATACAGATAACAAATCATAATAGGTTGTGTCAGCAACGCTTTTTGAAGGAGAGTTTATTGATTCTTTTCTGTTGCAATCCTCTGATTCATAATTATCATTTTTTTGTGAAGACTTAATTTCCTTTTCCTTCAGTTGTTGAATTTCATCATCTAATGAGTAGTAATATTCAATCCACTGTCTATTTTTTTTATCCCATTTCCTCCCCTTGTTACTTTCAGATATAGCCTCCGGAGTATTTGCTACTCCCCTTGCCATTTGGTATCCAGCAACTCCAACCGCAGTTACAGGTAATGCGACCGCTGCAACTATCCCAGCACCCATTCCTTTAAAAAATCCAGATACACCTTCGGTAGCAGCTCCAACCACAGGAGCAGCGACTAAAGTTGCAACACCAGCAGCAACACCCTTCCCTACAGTCTTCATTCCACTGCTAAAACCTGCCATAGCATCTCTTGGTCGTCTTGTAGAAAATAAGCCACCCAATACACCTTCATCATTATAAAGCAAAGAGTTCATGTCTTCGCCAGAAATATTCCCAGTTCCCGACTGAACAGCTAACTGGTACCAAGAAGAAGTTGATTCATCGAATGAAGTACTTCCGGGCTCAATTTTGGAATACCTTTGGTTATACGGTAGCTCTTCAATGTTTGCTTCGGACTTCGACCTTTCTTCGGGTTTCTCATACTCAGTTGCACTCGATGAAACAACATCTGACAAGAATGTATCATTCCTCACATTTTTTTGTTCCTGCTCCATTATTGCCATCAGATTAAATTAACAGTTTCATTATAAAAGTATGGTTCAACTCAACTAACAAAACTCACACTGGCGCCTAAGTATCATTATCTCGTAAGGTTGTTGATAAGTTGCATGAAATATAAAGAGAAATTACGCAAGATAATTAATATATAATATTATTCATCTACAATAGCTTATGATGTTTTTTTGCCGATAATTGCAATCTCATCGAGTGAAAGGTCACGCTTCATTAGTAGCCTTTTACAGATCGATTTATGCAGGCACTATCTAAAGTTAAAGATAAAATATATACATATCAATACTTGACTTACAGACAGCGTTAATACTTCCCCTCTGGCCCTATCATTTTGCTCATCGAGAAGCTGGAATAAATTCATTAGCCATGTATTTGGCGATTTTCCTTCATCAATATGCCTAATAATAATTATTCAAATTTAGAGTTATTGCGCAGTACTTACTTAATAAACCCAAGTGGAATCTCAACTTTCGATAAAGTTGAATCTGATAGGATACTTTGTGCGTTTACTAACAAATTTATATATTCTTTACTGAAAGAAATAAATGATTGTAAACACTGCGTGATCTAACGTACACACCATTCTTTAATTCGTTTGAATTATTTGTATCTTTACGAGTGCTTGAGATGACGATTTCATTTGTAATGGTTGTTAAGTTTCTTATGATATCAATATAGCATTCTAAAAGAGGGTCTATAGACACCTTGCTTTCCATTCTAGTTATAAAAATTCTACAAACAACCTAATTCTTTTATATTTTAATGTAAATAAATTGGCAAACCCCGCAAAAAAAACTATTCTCATTCAGATATTCTCGATTTAATAAATTTCATAAAGCGCAATGAGTACTTATCTGGTGGAACCGCTGAAATACCATTTGATGATCCAATGATGATTGCTTTATAGAGTCTTTCAAACTTTTTTATAGTACTCCAAGTCGAAAAAAAGTCAATAAATCCTAAGTAATAAACTTTCTTTTGATCAGAGGAAAGAATTCCAACAAATTTTCTACTATTTTTATTTTCAATAAGAGATTTAATGTTTTGGGAGTCATCTTGTACATCATGTATTCCAATTAGAAGTGAATAATCCATTATGTTATAAAGCTCAAAAAATCGGCAGTCTATTTCCAGTTGTTTTAATAAATCAATTTGATTTTTTTGATCAATATGTAGCATTTCTTTATTATTTTTCATGTCTAACTCCTTTAAAGCAATAGTTTTATCTTCTTGAAGAATTAAAGGTGTTGATCTTCCAACCCAACTTCCTTTTATGTCATATCTTCTATGAATCTCAACTGGAGTATGAAAGATATTTTCCATAACAATAAAAAAAATTTTATGTATTTTGCTTTTTCTCCTTATTATTGAATTTCCATTACTCGAAATTTGTTCCCTTATTGTATTGAATGGTTGAAGAAGAGGCTTTTTAAATCTAAGAGCATGAAGGCCATAGATTCTTGTTATCAAGCTATTTTGATTCTTTTCAATATGGCTAAAATATTTGTTCAGTATGCTTCTAAAAAAGACTGCTGTCTTTTTCTTTACCGTTTTAATCAAAAATCTTCCGTCTGTAGTGTAGTAAAAAAATGCACCTGATTTCCCCTCACTACATAATTCGTTCATAGAAGATAAGTTTCCCAATACCATATTCCCTAATAACTGTTCTGGACCAACACTTCTTACGTATGATTCAGGAGAAATATTGCATATTTCTCGAATTTTTCTGAAAACCATGGGATTATAATCAATAAATTGCACAGGTTTTACAAATCCTTTATAATCAATTGCTTTTTGAATCGGAATATTTGGTTTAATATTTGATAAATTCTGAGTCCTAGGAATTATAAAAAACTTTTCTTTCATAATAAAGTCGTAATCTGCTACATTTCGATTTGGTTCTGAATAAACCCTTCCTATTGCTAATCTCATTCCAATCATCATATTCAACACAGTATTCCAGCTCTCATGGCCAATATAAACTACATAACCCTTAGTTCTCTTCATCATATGAGCATTTATTACATTTACTGAGGGTGATTCTTTATCTAAATGAGAATGCTTGGATTTCATTGAAAGCTTATTCGTCTCATAACTCTTCACTTTAATATTGCTCGACGCTTTCCCCATATTTTGGAATCCTCCGCTTATATTGCTTTTTCTTCTATACATATGTATCAAGGAAATTCGTTTTCGAGTATTAGCAGTATAATTATTCCTACTATAATCAAGGTTACTGGTTGATTTATGCATAAAAGTTTTCTTAATCATTTCACTTGCTGACATGCGATTTTTAGTATTTGGAGCAACATTACCTTTATTTATGTACATTTTCCTTCGATTATAAACCTTTTTTATTGTTCCCAAATTTAAGCTACTGTTGCATGGTACGATCTGGGATGAAACCTTATTTTGCAAAGAACAAACGCTTCTTTTGTAAATTAAATCAAGCATCTCAATATTATTATTCAATACATTTTTCAATGAAAGCATGTCATCAGTAAATGTGTTGATTAAGTTATTAATACCAACAAAATTTTGAATTCCCGACTTTTTTGAGTTGCCATTGATATTAAAAAACATACAATTTAATAAGTTATTTTCTTTTGGGTTTAAAATCCATTTTTCCAGAGCATTTAGTGAATCCGTTGTTTCTTGTTTAATGTTTTTGATATCTTCCAAGATATTAAAGACTTGTAATCTCAACTTTGAGGTCAGCTCCTTGTCAATAGATTCAATATAATCAACTTTCTCAACTGTTGCCCTATTAAAAATATTAATTCCTTCGAAAATAAGAGGAGGTTTCCTACTATCAATATCTAAATCATAAGATTCAAGTATATTTGGAGTTATTATTCCAAAAAATGAGAGAAACTCGGGAGAATCTTGAATCGCCATTTTATAACTTTCAAAAAAGATCTTAGGTTCATTTTCTCCATCTTTTATTTTCGAGTAATTATTAAAAAAATTCTTAATTTCTTGATCTGAAAAATTTAATATGTTTGGCCCAACGAGCATGTATCTAGCGTTATCGATAGCTCTAATCGATTTTAATAACTTCTCAAATGTTATCCCATCACCTGCATCTGTATGATCTTCTCCCTTTATTATTCTGTACGAAAACATTGCCTTTTCGTCAAAATTTTCTGAAATCATTATAGCCAAAGATCTACCAAATTCATAAAAATCAAGTAGGTTGTTATTATCAATATCCATAGCATTAAAAATCATTTGAGAAAGGAGTCCATCATCTAATAGCCCTAAAACCATTCTGAACCTTCGAATATTCATAAACCCTACAAAGTAATATGTCGAAATAGATATATCAATTTAAATCAATATATCGTGTATAATAAAAACATTACATTATTATAGCTACAAAATACCAATATTAAGGAGCTAATAATAGAACTTACCATTATCTGAGTTTGAAATAAATGTGTTGTAAAAATCCTTTATTTGTTTTGTTGATAAATCCGTCTCATTTTGGATTTTTGTAAAAACATCTTGCTTTAACTTGTAACATGAATGTTTTCTTTTAAAAAAATTGGTCCTATGCATTAGTATAAAATAATTGATCTAATATACAACATATCAAAAATTTATCGTACAAATTTCAATCAAATTCCAAATTATTAGATATTAATTAGTACAAGTAAAAGATATTTAAAGCCCACCGCGCGGGAGGAAAAAATTCAAAACCCATGTAAATTGTCTAATAAAAAAAGAAAAATGACAATAAAAATAATAATTTAAATCCATAAAAAAATGTGCTAGATCAGAATTTATCGGATATTTAATGTCATGCATATCACGATAATTGTTTTGTATTGTGCCTGTTCGTTATTGACGGTCTTTCATCCTGAATTGTTGTGGATTTATTAAATTGAACAGGTTTTTTGCTCGCAATGATATGATATTGTCCTTCTCCTTTTATCATAGCATTTAGTGGTATCCTCACAGTCTGACTATTTACAAGCCACATGAGAGCTCGGCCAATGTAGCTTGAAGAACTTTTAGAATTAATCTATTTTCTGTTGTTAATCGTTTTATTTAAACAAAAAAAAATGAAGCTTACCTTTGACAAAAAAGGTTCTACTTCCGTTTTCAAGGAGTAAATTACATTAGCAGTAATGTTATGTTGCTTAATAATTTGAAATCCGGTATTTGTAATTGTGTCCTAAATTGAATATTGAATGAAGGTTCTATAAATCTAACATAAACTTACCTTGATATCTGGCCAAGCAATAGTGGGGGAAATATCTGCAAATAGCATCATTCCACCTGGTTTGAGTAAGTCAAACACTCCCTTTACAAATTTGTCAAAATTAGGATAACAATGAGCAGACTCAACGTTTAATACAATATCAAAAGACTCAGGGGCAAAATAGTTTTCAAGCTCCATACTGCTTCCAACATAAAATACTTTATTTCCAGCAGGAATCAAGTCTTTTTTATATACTTGTCTACATAATTCAATCCCTTGGTCACTAATATCAATTCCAGCATACGACATCGGCTCAGCAACACTACAAACTACAACCGATCCTCCACCTCTGCCACAGCCTACTTCTAAAATGGACTTGCCCTTAAAGTTATCATCATATGTAGACAGAACCGCGGTATACAGCTGTACTGAGTTCCAAACATCGTTAAAATTTGGTGGAGATTCCTTTTTTAACTTTTCCAATTTAGATTCAATAAATTTATCTAGCTCAGAATTTTCAGGTAGACTATGGGGAGTTTTAATTGCATATCCATAATTCATAAATGAAACATCAATATTAGAAGTGTACTGTAACTTTGTAAATAATGAGTTGCAAGCATTATAACAAAATCTCCAAAATGATGGAGCAATGTTCAGTAACGACTTTAGATGCCAATATGCCAGCCAAACAAAAGTCAATATTGAGTCAACTACCTTAAGTATTCTCATTTCCTACAAAATCCTCAGATTGTAATAATAATTAATACGAGGGATCTTTTTCAAACAAAATAATGAAAAATTTATAAAATATCCTAATTTACTTGGAGCATTAAATAGGTCGAGTGATAACCCTCTTAATTAAAAAAATATATCCGCAAAGTTTAATAATAGGAAAAAAACAATTCTTTAAGTACTTGCGAAAAAAATTAATTTTGTAAAATATTTGTTCAAATTTTATTAAAAAACTTTATTAATGCAATTAGAAACAATTTATTATTTCAGTATTAAATGATTTTTCAGATATTAAAAATAGGCTGGTTGGTGTAAAGATAAGCAATAAAGAATATTTAGAATATATCACAGAGCTGATTATATTTAATTCCTCTCTTAAATATCTTTATTTATTTAATGATTGGTCAAAAGGTCTTACAAAAAAAAAAAAAAAAAAAAGACTTTCCCGCGAAAATTATAAAAGAAAACCACCTCACAATACGTTTAATAATATGTCTATACGAATGAAAGTGAGGTAAAAGTGAGAATAACAAGAAAAAATTCTTAATCCAGTTAACTTTTTCCTAAACAAAATTTTATGGGAAAAGTTTTGGGTATTGAATTTTGCAAAAAATTATAATATGCAGAATAGAAAATGAATCTATCACGTCCTGGATCATCTAAGATTAGAACCAATGAACATGTAAATATCAATGCAAAAAACAAATTAAACAGAACAAAAATTACAGTTGTTGTAAGAAAACGTCCTCTTACTGAGAATGAAATTACAAGAAATGATGTTGACGTGGTAGAGGCGGCAGGAGATGAAAACACTATTTATGTCCATGAACTGAAAACTAAAGTAGATTGCACTAAATACATTGACAAACATTCATATACTTTTGATCGAGTATATAGTGAGCAAATAAATAATAAAGAATTATATGAAGATATTATAAGACCTTTAACTGAAAATATTTTTACCCCAGGATTTAAATGCTCTTGTTTTGCTTATGGTCAAACCGGAAGCGGAAAAACTTACACAATGATGGGGAGTGAAAATACTGCCAACTCTAATAGTTTAAGAGGGAGGAATGAGCGTGAACTCGGAATTTTTGAACTGGCTGTAAATAACATTTTTGAACTTCTCGAACAAAGCGAACATGAAAATAAAGAAGTTTACGTTTCTTTTTTCGAAATTTACTGTGATAAACTTTATGATCTACTTAACAACCAAAAGCTTGTGAGTGCAATGGAAAATAGTAAACGTGAAGTAGTTGTCAAGGATCTTACTGAAAGGTTAATAAAAACTCGAGAGGACCTGCTGTCAGTTATTAGTAAAGGATTAGAATATAGAAGAACTGCACAAAATAGTATGAATGATATGTCATCCAGATCTCACGCTATTCTACAAATTGAAATTAGATCCAGAATTTTTTCTACCGTAAAAGAATCTTCCCTGCAATCTCCTCTCTCTCCAAAATTTATAACATATGGAAAGATGGTGTTTATTGATTTGGCAGGAAGTGAAAGGGGTGCGGATACAGTGCATAGTACAAGACAAACACAACAGGATGGAGCAGGGATAAATCGCTCGTTACTTGCTTTAAAAGAATGCATCCGAGCTCTGCACGATCAGCAAAGTAGCCACGTTCCTTTCAGACAATCAGAATTAACTAAGGTTTTAAAAGATGTATTTGTTGGAAATGCGCACTCGGTAATGATTGCAAATATAGGTCCATGCTACTCTTGCTCGGAACAAACTTTAAATACTCTTAGATACGCACACAGAGTAAAGGAACTTAGGAAGAAGTCAATCAATAGATCGGACACTTTTCATAGTGATAAATATGTTTCTAGGTATCCACTGTCTAGGAAAACAACTGCTCCTGCGAATGTGTCCAAAAAGGATGCATCTTCCAGTAATGAAAGCCCGAGATCGTGTACTGAAGAGGAATTTGAAGAATCAAATGCTGATACCGAACTCAGAGAAGAGGATTTTGAAATTTGCCCTGAAATAACCAGATATGAAGATACTACAGAAAACACTGTAAGTGTATTGTCACCAAATATACCGACCAATGAAGATCATGTATCAACAAGAACGTTATCTCCACAAATAAAACAATTATTCGGAAGAAATAGTATTTTTAACATTCCTGGTATTGGTATAATTAATGCTGACACCATTCCTGAAGCCGATCTAAACAAATTAAAAAAGTATCTGGGTGAATACTTTATTAAAAAACAAGAAGAGCTTGCGTCAAACCACGCAACTCACTTAGGCGTATTATGTGAATGTTTGAAAGAAGAATCGCTTATACTAAAAGACTTATTGAAGAAGAATTATAGTAGAGAAAGTTCTCATGAATATATTCAAGAATTAAAAAATTTGGTTAAAAGAAAATCAGAATCTTTAGAAAACCTTAAGAAAGAATTAGCAGAAATTGAAGAGCTCTTATCTGTTATGGACATTATAGGAACCAGTTAATAAATCATTTAAATTGCTTCAATTTTTAAAAACAATAATGTTTGTTTTTCTTTAAAGAATGTGAAAATTTAGCCGTCTAGTGAATATTCACCCTTGCATATCCACTTGAATTATTCTCAATGGTCAACTCTATATATGGCAGTATTTTTGACGTGCCAAAAGATCAGTTAGTTCCGCTAAAATACTGAAATTATAAAGAGAAAATCACTAGTTGTGTCTGAATGATGAACTTTGATTCAACTGGAAGCTAAGGCTACATTCCTTATTATAAATTTCGATTGCCACTTTGGAATACTGCTAAATAAAGCATTACTTTATGTTGTTTTGCCAACTAATCGACTAAGAGGTTGAAGTTAGCCCGTGTTTATTAATTCTTTGTTATTTTTATTTTATTATCATTAAAGTCTCAAATCAAATCTTTTTTTAGAAAACTTAAGGAGCTTGAAAAGTAAGATTAGTATTAGTGATTTTGGTATCTGCTTGGTTTGATACCTACCTACATTTAATTTGGGAGAAGCCCCCTTAATTACTGCCAAATAATTTAGAACTAGTGGATTCTAAGCTTCAGATATAATGGTGATCGGAAAAATTGGTTTTTGAGTGGAAATTCAGTTATTGACGCCACAACTGGACAACCGCAACAAAAAGGCATGGCGGTAAGGAGTCATTGATATTCATTATAAAAAATGTCACTTTTCCAACCGAGTAACCAAATAAAATTGACTAATGTCGCAGTTGTTCGTTTTAAGTCGCATGGAAAAAGATTTGAAGTTGCATGCTATAAAAACAAAATTCTTAATTGGAGAAGTGGAGTTGAATGGGATCTTGATGAAGTTTTACAGATTAGGTCGGTTTTCACAAATGTCTCTAAGGGGCAAGTCGCAAGGACAGATGATCTAAATATTGTTTTTGGAACAAATAATATTGATCATATTTGTAAAGTTATTTTGAGTAGAGGCGAAATTCAAGTATCTGAAACGGAAAGGAGTTATATGCTTGATAAACAGTATACCGATATTTGTCACATGCTTAGTAAAATGACAATTAACCCAAAGAATAACTTGCCATTATCAGTAAAAATGATAGAATCTGAACTCAAAAAATCTGGATTTTCTGTTTCATTAAATAAGACAACTAAAGAACAGGCATTAAAAGCTTTTGATGTTTTAAAAAAACGTATTCCTGACCAGATTGAGAGGGCTAAAATGATGTTGAAGTTGTCAGTAGATATTATGAATAAGCAAAATATAATTGAAAAGCTAAATGAATTTAACGTATCTTCTATTTCTTCTGAAGAAAAAAATAATATTTATACTATTACGTTCCTTTGTGAACCACGATATTACCGAGAAATAGATCAACTGGACTGCAAATTACTTTTGCTTGACTCAAATGTTAAAATCATGGATAAAAATTCTTCTTTTGATAATGTGGAGGTTATTCAATCTGAATCTTCTGGCAAAAAAGAAATTTTGTTCGGCTCATTGATTGAACCCGAAATACCATGTAATAAAAAGCTTCTCAGAACAGAGGCAAATATTAAAGAAAATAATACAAAAATGCCTGGAAAACAGGTTTTCTCGAATCCAAGTATAGAAGAAAATATAAATGACGCCAAATCAAATAAGTTTTTCTGCCGAAAATGTAATATTCAATTAATTGATCATAACACATTTAGACAACACTACCGGTCTGAGTGGCATATTTTTAATACCAAGAGGAACGCGAGAGAAATGGATCCCATTAGTGAAAAAGAATTTCTAGAGCTTCAGCAAGATATAAAAATGGGATTTCTTGCAGTAGACTGACTTATTGTATTATCAAAATTCATAAACTTATGTGTTGTAATTTGTTGTATTCTGAAGTTAGATAATTAGAAAGAATGAAACTTAGGAATCGAAAATAATTAAATATATTTCATGATCATCTAACTTTTTATTTACAGTTAATGTTTTTAAGCGGAAAAATTCATTCAGCTATTGATTACTCTGATATATTTCTTTAGAAGATATTTGTCTCAAATTAATAGATGTTTAAAATGTATAAGGGGAAAAATACATGAAAAGCTAATAATTTGATTTAAAAGATAACTTAAGAACTTCAATGGATAAAATGAATATAGATTTAAAATAAAATTTTTTGTAATATGCTACCAAATGAGGAGATTAATTGCTAGTATTTAATATTGAGTACCAAATAATTCAAATTTTTGGAACTTAAATGAATACTTGAAAATTCACAATTTGAAAATATTGTAATTAATTGTTTAATAATCTAATTTTTTTTAGTAACAAATCCAACAAATTTTATTATTCATCGTAGAAAAATGTATCTGGCCACCATTTCATAATGGGTTCGAGCCTTAACTCTAGCATACTTGTTGGAAGAGTTAGAGAAAAGTTGCTTAACACTTTGGGGTGAATAACGCCCATAATCCCAATAACTATTTGCTTATTTAACATTGTTTTTTCAATGTCAATACTCTTGAAACAATCTTTAAGTACCACTTTTTGAATATTGATTTGAACACTTCTGGTTGGTAAAAAAGTGGGATCATTAACTTCGCAAAGAGAATACATGCCAATAATATTCGGGTGTATTGCATTGGGTTCATCAAGTGAGTATTTTGCAACAAGGCCCAGTTTGCTTAATAATTGGTCAAGAAACCCGTGGATCTCTTCAAGCCCGCTACCATTTGAATTACAATATGCTATTGCAACTCTTTTATCGTTTCTAGCTCCTGATGGAGTATTATCGTCCAAAATGACGACATCGCCTACTTCAAATACTTTTTGTGGAAGTGGTAAACTTTTATTAGAAGCCATTGTTTTTAACAAAGATTGAATGAGTGTTGTTCTTAGAATTTCAAATTCACTCGTTTTTGCATCTTTAACTACAACTGAGGGAAAGTTTAAGCTATAATGCGACTCGTTTTCTGGTAAATTTTTCAACCCAATATTCTCTTCTCTAAATAGACTTTCAAAACAATCAGAATGCTTGCAAAGAGCCCAGTTTAAAGCTTCTGAAATTCCTAAAAGAGAGAGCTCGCGTTTTACTTGTTCTGACATTAAGTTTAATTTATCAAGATCACAAAAACGCAACTTTTTCAACTGAATGTTATTAAACCCATAAGAAATTCCAATATCCTCAATTATATCAACTGGATGTAATATATCTGATCTATTAATTGGAACAAAACACTTCAAAATCCCATCCTCTTTATTAATAATCTCCGAATCTATCATCATTTTGCGAAGCAAACCTTGAGTTACATTTGTATCCAAAATTGGTTTGATACCAAGTAGATCGGATGCATCAGATGCCTTAATTACAAATTCTAACCTTTCGATATTTGGGGTTATTATTTGATAACTACCGTTTGACAAAATCTGGTATTTGTGAGGAAATGGGGGATATACAGAATGTTCATATTCAACAATAACCGGTTCGATTTCAAATTTACTTTTACTATAAAGTGAGAAAGCAGAAACAATTTGATTCAAAACTATGTAGGCTCTATTGTAGTCCGTTGCAGTTACTTCAATAAACACATTTTTTGTATCCAAGGTAATTTTGCTCTGATTTCCGTTGATTAGCGGAGGAACGGATAATACAATTCCATTTTTATCTGTAACAACTGGCAGTAAAATCTCGTTTTCTACCAGTGGGACATATTTTTTTAATTGTTGATGTTTACTTAGTAAATCTAATAACTGACTTCCATCAACTTTTGTTGTTCCAATCAAAGGTACAAACTGAATTTCATTACGTGGTTTTGCGTCATAATAAAATGGGCCTTCAATTTTGTCAAGATCATGTGTACCAATCGAAACCAGAGATCTCTTCCTACATATATTATTGTGTAACTTCTCCTGGTAATCAATAAAACTTTTATAAATATCTTCATTGAAACTGAGGTCTCTTAATACAGCACATAAAATAAAAGGACGTAATTTGACGACATTTTGTCTAACAATCATCTTTTGATAACTTTTTCTAGGTTTCAAATTAAATAGGGGAATTTCCGAGCTACCTATAAAACAACCCAGTGCAATTACAAGGCCTTCCAAGCACAGAATATCAGGCCGATTCGCAGGAATCTCGATCTTTGCTACATTCTCTTTTAGCTCCTCATCAAATTCTATAGAATCCAACTCCAAACCATAGTTAAAACAAAGCTCATCTAACCACTCACTCGTTACTTCTTTGTTTAAATGAGAAGAAAGTAATCTTGTACTTACTGATACAACGGGCATCTTTATAATATAGTGAATTAACAACTTCAGACACGTAATAAAATTAAAGTGGCGCTTTACAATTTACATAAAATGAAAGTTGAGGTAACTAACTTTTGATTTGTTATCTGCAATAATCATATTCACTAGGGATTTCTTATTAGAGTTCTATACCCTCAAACTTTTAACCTTGTTAAAAGTGTATCAAAGACGAATACTAAGGCAAAAATGTAAAAAATAATAAAATTTTCGTGTTTCCTAAATAAAAAACGTTAAACTCCTATTCAGAGTTCAAATTTCTATATAAGTGCAATTTTAGACAAATAAATTATAATAATCTATATTCAAGAATTAAATGTCTTCAATATCAACTCCTTCTGTTTCATCAAACTCAATTCCGACTTCATCATACCCATCTTCGAAGATATCAGATTCATTGATCTTTGTTGTTTCGGGAATTTCACCTTTAGATTTTAATGCTCTAGCTTCATCTGGGGTATATTTAAGAATAATATCGCCTTTTGAATCTTGAAAGTCTCTAAGAGAAACTAATACAATATCGCCAGGATTTACCCAAACCTTCTTTCTCATTTTGCCCCTAATATGGCAGAGACGTTTCTGCCCATCAAAGCAATATGCATCAAGTCGCCCATTACCCAACATTCTCTGAACTTGTCCATACTCTTGTCCTTCCTCTTTAAATACTAGCTCTCTCTTGTCACCCTCACTATCATTTTTTCCTCTCCTTCGATTCTTTCCTCCTTTTCCTTTATTCTTTGGCATAATTTTTCAAGAAAAAAAAAACAGTTAAAAAATTAGAAATGTTATTATCTCAACGTAATGTTTTAACAAATATATGCAATAAATATTTGATCAATCTAATAATGATTGATTTAAATATTTATTTATTTAATTATGAAATTGAATTCGAAATTTTAACTGAAATAATTTATATAATATTTTTATATTTTTGTTTATAATAAATAAATATTAATTTCTTATATTTATTAAATACAATGATTCCTATTTAAAATATTACCGATAACTATTTTGATTATCAGAATAATATTTATATAAATTTACGGTACTTTGACGCCAAAAAAAAAAAAAAATATAACGGGGTCGCAAACATTCGGAAATGTTTAGAGATTCCAAATTATGGGAATATTTGAACAAAAAATTAATTTTAATAGCATACCAGTGTATAAAGTAAGGAGATGGATATCTTCAAAAACTGAAAAAATTCTTGGAAAAGAAGACGAGATATTTATAGATTATTGTATTAACCAACTTAAATATAAGATCAGAAAGTCTGCAGCAGAAGAAGAATTACAAATATCGCCAAATGAGCTTGTTAAAAATATCGAAGGATTTCTAGGTGAAAAAGCAACTGAATTTGTAACTGAGCTGTGGGATTACATATTAAGGTCTGAAAATAACAATGAAAATTCTTCTCAAATTCAATCGAGTAAAAACCATAATTCAAAAAAAAATATGAATTTAAAAAGAAATTTTAAACATTCCAATGATTTATATAATGATGAATATAATTTTATTAGGCAAAGATCAAAAAATAATGAAAGAGCTATATATACTCGCATTTATAGAAGGAATGCAAACTATACATATAATAGGTATAATCCAGAAGAAAGTTCAAGATTATTTCCAACAATAGCTCCAAGACGTTCAAAAGAAAACAAAAGAGTCAGATCTCTTAGCAGATCGTTATCTCCAGAATCGTATGAATCATATGGTATCAAAGAGTATAAATATGAGAAAACCCCAACAGCGGAGGAAAATTTTAGTATTGATAAAATAAATCATTTAGAAAAAAATATTGACAAAATCAGAGAAACAAACGAAAGGATATCAGATATAAGGAAACGCAAAACTTTTGAAATCGAAAAAACTTTTTCTTCCAATACGAGTTCATTGGACAATCGGGAGCTTGAGTCCCCAATTCTAACAAATAATAAAATTGAAGAACATCATTTGAGAATGAAAGCATTAGAAGTGCTTAAACGAAAAAGTGAAGTTAAAAATTGTAGATCAGAATCCGAAGAAATTCTTAGAGCTCGTGCTATTGAAAAATTTATAAAAAAGAAACCAATTAAAACAAATTAACTTCTTTATTTCGAGAGTACTAATTTATATGTTATTATTTTTTCTTTATTTTTTCTTCAATAATTCGATGATAAAATTATTATATTTCGAACAATAATTTTCGATAGAAAGTTGAATTCCTTAATTTTCAATAATATAAATATTAGGGGACTCCATATTTATGACATTCACACTATCTCATGTATTGGATTAGATGGTTCATCTTTCTACTTACAATATATTCTTCAAGTATAAATGTAGAAACAAAACCTGGGATTTCGGCATCTCATGGTAAAATTTTAATTTCTAGTGCAAATAATCAGAATGATCACAATCAAATACCTTCAGCATCAAATGGAATAAATGGAAGAACATTTGTTCATGATAAAGGTTTACATGTACAGCCAAGAATTGAACCCCCCGTTTCTCCAAAATTGTTATGTCCAAAAGGCTACGACTTGGTTGACGGGAATTGTCTTTTTTCTCACATTATCCCTGCAAATATTGACTGTCCGGATGGATTTGAAGTATTTAAAACAAACTTAAGCATAGAATGCATTAAGAAGAACTTGGTGTCTGCGCAATTAAACTGCAAAAATGGAGCATCACCAAAAATATTCGACAACAATGCATACTGCCCTACAGAAATAATAGAAAACCCGTCAATAAATTGTCCTTCAGGTACTATACAAAAAGATAATGAATGTATTGTTATTGAATCAAAACCCCCAACATTAAAATGTTCAGATGGTTATTCCTTGGATAACGATTCAAATTGCAAACAAGTTATTGAGTCAAAACCTTTACTTAACTGCCCTCCAAATACTATATTGGAGCAAACAACAATGACATGTGTTACGAAAGTTATTGTAGAACCTTTAGAAGTATGCCCACCAGGAGCAGTTCCAGTAAAATCTAGGGACCTAACCGATATTAAAGGGTTGCTTAACAGAATAACAAGAAATCAAGATGATAAATTAAGATATTTACAAGAAATACCCACATTGGGGTCTCTAGATAGGTACAATAATAATAATCCATCTCCAGGTAAGACTGTTAGTACAAATAATTTGGAAACTCAAAACAAATTTTTTAACAATATGAATGAACAAAACTATAAAAATTTAGAAAATGACGGCTTGAATAGCAAAGATAAAATTATTAACTCCGGATTGGGCCATACTAATGATCAAATTAAATCACCATCTAATATTTCGAATCAGGAGAAAAAAAGTTTCAATTCTGGTTCAAATGTTTATGTTTCAAATATCCAGGAACAATTAAGTGAATATAAGAAACCTATTGGGTCCAATGTTGCTCAGGCTGACACATTTTATCAAGCACTTTACGATTCAAGTAGAGATTTAAAAAATAGTGGTGGAATAATTAATGAGTCATTAATTGGAGATGAAGTAATTTGTTTAATACTTCAGTTTACAAACCCTAAGGTAGAGTGCCCACCTGGGCTTAGTCTTACAAAAGAAGGGATTTGTGTACACTCGGATATTTTCACACCAAAGAAGACTTGTGAAGGTGGGATTGAGCCTGATAGCGATAATATGTGTGTAATAGAGAAGTTACTTCCTGCGGAGGTTGAATGTCCAAAAGGTTACACATTAGAAATTGTCACAGGTATGTGTATAAAAAAAGAAATAGAAGAGCTTGTTTGTCCAGAAGGAACGATATTAAATAAAACTTCGTTGAAGTGTGAATCTGAACCAAGTTGCCCAGAAGGATTTACTCTGAATAACTCTACTGTAACTTGTGAAAATGAAAAGTCAGAGCCTCCTCATCAAAAATGTCCTGAAGGGACTGAATATGATGAGTCCTCTAGCTCTTGTAAAGTAAAGGATGCCCAATTGCCATTGATAATGTGCCCAGAAGGCTATGAACAAAGAGGGGATGATTGTGTTTTGGATAAAAGAATCCCTGCTTCTTATTACTGTCCATCAGATTATTATCAGACAAACAAGAATGATTGTGTTAAATGGTATCAGGATTATTTGCTTCAATGCCCTCCGTTTTTAGAGCTAAAGGAGGAAGTATTCGCTTATAGAACTGATTTAATTCCTCCGCCTGCTGCTGGAAGAGGACCAGTTCTTCCATATATGGCATTAGGAAGAAATTTACAACAGATTTCCTACGAGAACTTAGATGAATTTTCTGAACAGAGAAACATGGAGTTCAAAAGGAATGTGAATAGAAATGGGTTCGGGGATCATACGAACATTGGGGATGGGAATCATAGAAAAAGATATGATTATTTGAGCTCAACAACCCCTATTGTGATAAAAAGCTCAAAAGTCAGAGGGATGGTCTGTTTTGGATGGGGGAAAAGATATAAAATGATTGTAAATTGCCCTGAAGGGACTACTTTGCTAAATGAAAAGTGTATTGAAACTAGAATAATGCCACCGCAGTTCTTTTGCACAAAAGGCTATACCTTTAATGAAATTGACTCTACTTGTTTATATGAAGAAAAAATTAATCCGAACATAGAATGCCCCGCATATATGAATCTAATGATTAATAAAACTGGAGCCCCTGTTTGCATTGGTAACAGGAGAGAGCCTGCGGAAGTCAGTTGCCCTGAAGGATTTGAGTGGTTAGCCGATACATTAAATTGCCAATCTCAAGAATTTGCCCAGCCAAGAATTACGTGCATAAAGGGTTATTCAATCGTAAAAGAAAGTACAGGAACTTTTTGCAAAAGAAGTGATTCAATCAAACCTACACCCAGTTGCCCACCAGAATATAGGTACGACAATTCCAATCAAATTTGCATTTATGAAGTAAAACTCCATGAAGTGAGAGAACGAGATGAAAACTTAAGAAATTCAATTACAAATATTAGAACAAATCTGAATTTATAAAATTAATTCAAGATAGTATTTTTTCTTTTGTTAGATAAATTTTCTAATCTTTCAAGTTCCAACCTAAAAAATTTCTCGAATCTATGCTTTGAAAGCTTTTCCTCACCATTCATTAAAGCTTGGGTCCTTGCTAGCATAATCCAAGTATGTAATGTACTTGCATGAACCAAACTGCTGAGATTTGATCTTTGCCTAATATTTACAAACTCCTCCACAATATAATCTTGTGTTTGCTTATCAAAATCTAACATCTCAACACAACTACCTACAATCGAAATATACAACTTTAAGATAGATGAAAAGTTAAATTTAGAGAAATGGGAAGTCTCGATTCCAAATTTGTTCTGAGGATTGAGACAATCAGTATTTGCTTCAAAATCTTTAGAGTCCATACAAATTGAAATACTACTTGTACTTGTGAAAATGCTTTTCTTATTACTAGTTAGAATTATGTAATTTGATTCGGTTTTCATTGGAATTTTGTAATTTGTAAAACCATAATTTACATATCCATAATTAGTCAGCAGTGAGATATTTGAGATATTCTCTAAGCCTTTTTCAGATAATTCTCCTTCTTCAAGGGAAGTTTCATCCAAAACAATTAAATTTCTTAAAAGTGGAATTTGAAGAGTTCCTGTAACAAAACAGTCATTCTCAGAATCAAAATATGGTGTTAAACGTCCATAATTTAGGTTTGAAGTATTGGCATTTATCCAAAGTAATCTTGGAAAATGGTTTAACAAAAATGATTTTAGTTTTTCAACAAACTCCTTATTACACATAGTTATATGTAACACAATTTGAGGTGGATTTGTTATACAATTTTGCGTATTTTCAGTATCTGCCTCAAATTTTAACTTTTGTCTACTACATATACACATCAAAATGTACTCGGATAATAAGTTATTACCATTACATATTTCATTAGAAATGTATTGAACAGAAATATTATATAATTCTGGAATGCCACTTAAGCTCGGATATTTATTTTCAACTAATCTTCCAAGAAATTCACAAGTTTTCAGTGGAGAATAAGATTCCCCGAGGAACCCATCATAGCCTATCTCTGGGCAAAAAATAGGGGAATAATTTGATATACGTTTAAATGAAATCACGTGAAGCACAAGTCTTCTTTGAGTATTTGAAATAAATGTTTTTAAGTTATTACCATCCAATTTCTCTTCCATTCCAGACATGTAATCAGAACTGTTTAAATTTTCAAGTTCAACTGTAGTTAATACTTCTACAAGTTCATTAATTTTTATATCGTTTTTGTTTCCTTGTTTATTAATATTTGATTTATTTGCATAACTATTTATGTATTTAGAAAAAATTTCTCTGGACTCAACTTCAATTGAGCAAATGTATTGTGGCAATTCTACTGTAAAATCGTAGATCTTTATTATGCATTCATCAAACTTTTTGTATATATCTGAAAAATAATCAATATGATTAGTTCTGCCTTCAAGATTGTTATCCCAATACAATTGATTTTCAAATGGAACTGGCACAAATCTATATAGACTTCTAGAGTTATAAACCTTGTCATTTTTGTATTTTTGGGCCGAATAATCAAATGCATCAGTAATACCATGGCGTGGAAATTTCTCATTATCAAAATCATTCTTTGATATAAATACTTCTTGTTCTTGAAAATATTCTATCATCCCTCTAGCCACAAAATAACCCTTTGCGGACTGCTCAATTGTTCCATTAGAAATTAGCTCATTTATGTCACATTCACCATCATTTAAATGTTGAATAAATGTGTTCAATAAGCTTCGCATTTGATAGCAAATTAATACACACTCAGTTAGTAATAAAATTTAGAAATAAAAGCAATAGTGAATAATAACTTATTGGAAAAAATTTACACAATAAAATCAGTGCATAATATCAGGTATTATTATGTTCAAACTCCACATGTCATTTTGGGATTTGGTTTAGTTATAAGTAAAATACCGGTATGTAGGGTGTCTTGTCTATATATGAGACGGTCGCCATAATTAACACTTGTATAGAGACGAAAGCGTACTCGCACTTCTTGAATAACAGCTTGAAAAGAAGTTGTGTAAAATCTATCTTAATACAAATTAGCTGGAATTGTATGCGAATTTTGTCGTATATTATTATAAGAAATTGTTACACATTAATGATTTTCTCTGTTCTGTCTCTGTGACGAGAGAAAATGGACCCGTTGTCTGCTAATCCTCGTAAGTTTAAAGATAAAGGATGTGAGTAATATGAATGATAAAACAGAAGGCATCAATTTTTTGTAATCTGATTTCCTCCGATTGAGTCAAATTGAATGGAATGAGATTGCCGATATGCAACTTTTTCCGAAAGTGTACTTATACACGTTCATATTGAATGTCTTCACAGTAATTCTATTACTACATCTTTCTTTTATTGACTTTATTAATTTGAATGATTTAGGCAAGGTTTTTGTCGGAAACTTACCACCGGGCTATGCTGAACAGGATTTAAAAGATTTTTTTTCAAAAGTTGGTGAAATAAAGAAATTGGAGCTCAAACAAAGATTTTGTTTTATTGAATATGAAGATGAGACACAAGCAGAAGCAGCTCATCGTGAATTGGATGGGGTTGAATTCGGAGGGCAGGTTATAGCTGTTCAGCCTCATGATCCAATGGTTAGAAATAAAGAGACTAATGTTGCTAACAAACCTCAATATAATCGGCCCTTGCCTTCTGATGGCCGGGGTCCTCCTAGAAAACATTTTCGTGTATGCGTTTTCAACCTGGATGATAACGCTTCGTGGAGAGATCTCAAGGACTATGGCAGGCAAATAGGCGAAGTAAATTATTCAGCAGTTTTCCATTATCAAGGACAGAAAGTTGGAGTTGTGGAGTATCTAACTGTCGAGGAGATGAAGAGAGCATTAGAAGAAATACCAAATCTTCCGTTTTTGGGAAAGTCGATCCGTGTTGAGGAAGATGTTGGTCAACTAGATCGTGAACTTGCAGCCGCAAATGGATATGGCACGAAGAGAAGGTCCCCACCTCCGTTCACATCAGGGCCCTATAGTACAGGAGGTAGAGTTCGTGGAAGATACCCTTCACCACCAAGGTTTAGAGTGCGCAGTAGGTCTCCCAGACGCGATCCATATGACCGACGTGAGCGCTCCCATCACTACCCTGATGACCGTTATCGTCGAGGGTATGATGACCGTATTCCACCACCAAGGGAAGATTATTATAGGAGAGATGAAATAAGAGGTGGATATCCAGCAGAGAGATACCCTCCACCTCCGTATGATGACCCTAGAGAAAGATACATGCATGGGTCTGAGCGTTTTGATGACAGGTATCCAGGAAGAACTGTTCCATTTGACAGGAGGAGCCCATCCAGAAGTGGAGTAGGAGTTGGGCCTATTGGTGGAAATAGTGGTATGAATGTACAAAGAAGTGGTCATTATGGAAACTCTGTTAGAGGCTATTACAGGGATGATGACCGTGATCGTGAACGCGATCGAGACCGTGATAGAGAGCGTGACCGTAGATCTACAAACGATCAATACTCTAGCTCTTATTATTTAAGAGATGATAGGGATCCACCAGGTTCTAGACCGTCAGGTGGATATTTATCTAGTGGAGTTCCAGCCGGTAACCGTCAAAACGTTGCATATTAATTTCTATTACATTAATTACCAGTAGACGATACATTGAGAAGCAACTGGCAACAGTTATTTATTTCTTGTTATTCCCTTGGAGCTTTCAGGGTGTAAACAAATGTTAACTTTTATTTCAAAAATGGTTAAGTTTTTTAATGGTGGTGGGCATATTTAGTAGTTTTAGCCAGTGTGGCCAATTTTCTTTAATAACTGGAATATTAAAATTTACAAATAAAACTATTAATAGATTCCTCATATTATTACAATATAATCGTGAATAAATGGCTTGCACTCATATCTTTAATTAAATGCTATTACTAGCTCAGTGTTATCTGTGACTATATAGCTCTTGTTCAGCTGTTTTTTTCCCATCAGATTGGTTGATTTAATGCTGCTGACAATTTTATCTCTTTCTTCTTTTACTTTTTAATCTTTACTGATCTCCCCAATAAGCCTTACGAGTTGTGGTGGTATTTTGGATATTTATCTCGTCTACTTAGTGGAACGGTTACTTTTTCGCCTCTAAGTCGATTTATTTTGTGGTTGAATTTTGCACTTAAGTTAGAGTTCATTAGTATGGGCATAAATACTGGGGTATTCGTGCGGAAAAATTCGTTTTTGTGTAATGAATTAGATATCTATTGAAAATTAGCAATGGAGGTGCAGGTCTCGGATAAGTTTATGGCCTGGATTTAACGACAAATAAGTCAGTTTTACTATCGATGGATATTGAATAAGGAGTTTTAGATGTATATTTACATATAAATATAGTTTATTAATTAGAAACATTAAAATTAATTAATTACCTAATTTCTACTTTTTTTGTTAAAAATGGTAGAAAGGGACTTAGTTGCACTTAACTTATGTTTTTCCTTTGATAATGCTGGGTTAAGCCTCATATATGCAAATGGTTGTACTCCATTTCTCGAAATATCGCCTTTTGCATTTTTACTCTTGAATTCCTTCGCACTTTTAACAGTTACATGTTGTTTTCTTGGCCTCTTTTTTTGATTTTGATTATTCCGAGTGGTAGAATACAAAGTTCTTTTGTAAGGTTTAACGGTTTCGTGTGTTGATGATGGTTTGTAATCAGTTTCAAGATCTTGATCAGCGGCTTCAATATTACCAAGCTTAGATTCTTCATTAATAATAACTTTATTCAAAACTTTATCAAATTCCACGGTTCGATCGCTAATAATATTAGACCTATTAATTATTTTGTTTGGAACTGAACAAAGAATTCTAGAGGATGCTTCTGAACTCAATAAATCAATTGGGTTAATCACATTTCCATAGCCATCATCAACAATTGTAAGAGATTTACCTGTATCTTTATAATTATTTGAGATGATTTGTTTCATTTGTGAGCTTTTACTCACTTTAACTCCAAATGATCGTTTTCTCTTACTATCAAGTTCCTCATCACTTGAAAATTCATCATCGTATGGTAAAGAATGGGTGATTTCTTCATTATTTAAAATCAATTCTTTAGAGTCAAACTCCTCAACTTCATCAAATATGTTATCGAATGTATCTTGGCTATTTTTAAATGTTTTTTTCCTAGACAATTTACTCATTTTCCTGATTAAATATCTATATAATTGATAATGTTGTGTAGGAAACACTTGAAGAGTCTTTTCAGCACCAAATTTTTTAATGATCGAAATTAAGATCTTTCTAACATGCATACGGAATTTTAAAGCACAATGTTGGTTATCCAATATATTTGAAATAATATTCGGAGTATAATTCCACATAAAGTCGTTGTCTAGACGGAAAAGGCATATTTTAATGCATTTAAGGCTATTCACATAAATTAATGGATTTACGTTATTTAAAGAATGAACAATAAAGTTTACAATCAATTGTAAAATAGAATTATTCTGAATTGTAGAACCATTCTGCATTAGATCGCCGTAATCAAAAACTATCTTAGATAAGGAAATTATACATGAAACTTCTATGTAGCCATTTTTAATTTGTCCAGTGTTGATTTGAGAAAGTGTGATTATTTTTATGATTATTGTCTCCAGAAATTGATCATATTCTATATAACATTCAATTAAGGATTTTAGAAGTGCCATCGCATTTATTCTTACAGTTGCATTCGGTTCTCTAATGCTAAATAGAATCTCCGGAATTAAATTGTTAATGATTTGACTTTTACCAAAATGGAGAACAAATTCTTTATCTTCTATTTTCTTTAATAACTGGATAAACACTCTGAGGCAACTTAATCTATGCTTTAGAGAGTTAACAGGACATTTACCACTATCCAAAACAATGATTTGCCATAATTCAGACAGCTGATTCTTAAATCCTAAACATGTTTTGGTACGGTCTCTAAGTGTTTCAAGACCTACTTTTAAGCCTTTATAGAGTCTTCTTAGTAATTGCGTTCTTACATTAAGGTGCTCTTTAGAGTCTCGCATCATTAAAACTTTCAATAGTCGAAGGAAGTAAAAAATGATTGAATTGATATTATCAACACTGATACGTTTAAACATCATTATTGCCACATCTAAAAGCGCAATAATTTTACCACATGAGAAAGGTAATTTTGAAGATTCTACTCCTTGAGCCAAATTTTCCCAGACAGTGTAGAAGTTCTTTAGGTTTTTTTGCAAAACAGATTCGTCACAGAAAGGAACGAGATTCTGGATACAAGTTAGATAATGTTGAGATTCTTGTTCCTTTGTTATATTCGCTTGGTTTTCTTTATTATTTTCTGAATTGCAGTTTAAGAATTTGACTATCAGGAGTGAAAGAAATGTATTTGAATGTAGAGTTAAGGCTTCTGTGTTTTTCATCCAAGTTTTTATTGCAACGTGATATTTTCTATTATCAATATTACTCATTTTTCTTGCATCATAAAAGTCATCTTCATTGTCATTTGAAAGACCACGACCTATAAAAGTTTGTCTAGAAATTCTCAAAAGAGCATTGCATATATGGTCCCTCATACCAGCTCTTTCCAGTAACTGTATCATATATGACCTTAGGTTTCCGTCGTTACTTCCAAAAGTTTCAATGAAATCAAGTGGTTCATCAAAAAAGCCCGGAAGTAAAGCCCAAACTTGCTCTTCAAGAATATTATATAATCTAGCATAGTTGGGTTCAGTAACCTGATAATTAGAGCAATATGTGTTTAGTTTAAGTGCTATTGGGAGGAGATCTTTAATAAAGAAAGAGAGTTCTGTTCTAGTAATATGAACTCTTAGTAATGGAAGTAACCAAGAATTACTCTTTATTGCAAAATTACGATCGGATAATTCAACGGTATCAAATGATAAAGGTCTTTTCTTCAATACCAACTTCGGCCCAAACGCTCTTGTAATCGATCCTACAATTCTTCTAAGTTCTTCCTTTAAGTTTAAAAGATCTTTGTATTCAAAAGATGGATGATCTGATACACCACAAAGTGCAACCGACGCCATATTTAAAGTTTTAGTAATAACTTCATCAAACAACTCGATCCCAATATTCCTTTTAATTCTTAATAATTCCACATTACTGTGATAATAATTAATTATTACTAATTCATCCCATGATTCAATCATAATCACCAGCAGTCTCAACAATTCTGACCATGAAGGTTTATGTCTGTAATCATCCAACATTGAAGAACATAATGGTAATAATTTTGATATTAGTAATTCAAATAAATCATGCTTTCCAAAACTATTTTCTAATATTGGATAGTCTAATATGCTCTCTTTGAATTTAAAAACAAGCTCTATTAAAGAATTAAGAACTGTAGAGTGAATAACAAAATCGGTTGTAAACATGAACTGCTTTAAAGAGTGAATAAATATATCTATTGAAGTGCCCATATTTAATGGTTGATTATCTTTTTCGACGGAATTTAATAAGACATAATTTAAGCAGTTAATACAAGTTTCTAAATATGCCCTTATCAAAACATCATCCTTTATTTCTTTAAAATCGTTTGTAAGATTTTCTAGTGTATATGAAGGAATCCAAATATGTTTAGATTCAAAATTAACTTTTTCTAATAAAAATGCTTGACTTTTCAAACATTCGAAGGCATATTTTGAAAAAAATCTGTGTTGCTTCAAAGTACAGAGCTGTAACAAAGTATTTAGATATTCCTTTATTTGACTTTGATCAAAGAAGTTAACCAGCGAAAAGTAAAGTTGGTTAATTGGAAGTAAAATTTGTTCATTATATTCTGAAGCAAACCCTTTAGATGCATCTAACTGTCTCTGCGCGTATATTGAGAGATAGTATAATGCTAGTTTGTGAATGGAAAGTAGAATAAGTGAGTTGTCTGGAACCATTTTTATTAAATCAATAATGCAAACCTGGATCTCGAATTTTTGTTTTTTGGGAATACGAATTTCTAAAAGAATTTCCATTAAAGTAGTAAATACTTTGGGGCTCAGTTGAATACTATCAAAAATTAAACAAAATTGCTTCAATGCAGAAACTACCTGAAATATTTCAATTTTTGTGTGTTCGTTTTTAGAAATAATAACTAAAGTGCCAACCAATCGGTTAATAATTACCTGTGAAATAGCTAGATAGTTTATTCCTAAAACATTCATATCCAAAACTCCCAAGATTTTTTTTTGTAGGATTAACAGGCCAGCAAGAGTTTTCTGATCTTTACTTGTATAGATATTATCACCAAATTTGTTTTCTGTAAGAAGTTTTTCAATCGCTTCAAAAGTTAGATGAATGAGCATAGGAACTGTACAAAATCCATTTCTGGAAGTGATTGATTCCTTGATAACTAAAAAACTTTTATATGCTTCTAAATATGATTCTTTTTTGAGGGATGATAACTTGAGAGTTTCCTCTAAATCCAAAACTAGTGGATCCATAATTATTTGCACCTTAATTGTCTTTTTCAAGCCAAAATTAGTTATTAAAAAGCATAATTAAAAAACTTTCTTTTAATAACAATCTAAATATATTTAGCTAAGACTTGATAGAATAACGGTAATTAAAATATAATGGACAAGCTTCTATACCGTTATGCATATAACGTTATGTCTACCCGTTAGGGCTGACTTTACCGGTTTATTTAAGAGAGCTGTTTCTTTTTTTTGTAAAGGTCTATAGCATAAACTAAACAAATCTTAGAAGAGCTAATGACATATATGTGTATATTCACTTGATTTATATTTATTTCATATCTAAAAACTGTTAAATATTAACTAATTTTTAAATTAATACATTTTTTCTTGATAAATTCATAGTTGATTGCATTAATGCCTAAGCAACACGGGAGAAGAAAGAAAACAAGAACTCATACAAAGGAACTTGTTGAGGAGGAGCTCAAGTCTATTCCAAAATGTTTTGTATTAAGAAAAGGCAAGGTTATTAAGCAGTTAAAAAGCTTGGTAATGGATTTAAGATATCTAATGTCTCCATGGAGCGCAATAAAATTACAGGAAAATAAATATAACAAGATCAAGGATTTTGTTAGTATTGCAGGCCCACTGGGAATATCACATATTCTTGCTTTAAGTCAAACAACATCTGGCGCATATCTTCGAATAATTGTATTACCTTCTGGCCCAACTGCAACATTTAAAATCGAGAATTTCAGCTTAATGCACGATATTAGATCTTCACAAAAAAGGCCTAGAAGCTGTAGTTCAGACTATTTAACATCCCCATTATTAGTATTAAATGGAATGAAGAATTTACCTTCAGATAATTCCTCTGGTTCCATACCTTTGTATTTACTTCGAACTATGATTAATGGAATGTTTCCTGCAATTGATCTGACAAAGATACAAATAAGATCTTGTAAAAGAGTTGTTCTTATTGAATATAATAAAGATAGTCAATTGTTTGAATTAAGGCACTATGCAATTATACGCCGTCCAGCAGGAGTATCAAAATCAATTAAGAAGTTATTACTAAAGACAAGAGATCAAAAACTCTACTCTATTGGAAGAGGGGACGATATGGCTGATTATGTTTTATCTTCGGAAAATGGAGCTTGCGCCTCAGATAGCGAAGTTGATGACGAAGTGGAAGTAAAAATACCAATTTCAAGTGGAAATCGTGATGAAAGCCAAATGGGATTGTCAGAAAGAAGCGGTATTTATACAGGAAAGGTTTCCGTATCTTTAAAAGAGCTCGGTCCAAGAATATCAATGAGACTTGTTAAGGTTGTTGACGAGGTTTGCGATGGAGCTGTTATTTACCATCGTTTTGTCAGAAAAAGCAGCGATGAGTTAAAAAAATTGGAAAAAAAGGAAATATTGTTAAAAGAGAAAAGAAAAGAAGAAAATGCCTTGTTTAATAATTACAATAAAGATGGGAATTTACGTGAAGAAACATAAAAAATAATAAGCAAAGTTATCTCTATATTAAAATTTAGTAAATTTAGTATAATTCAAATAATTAGTATTTTATTAATTTATTTCAGAAAAAACTTGCTAAATCTTCTTTGTACTTGACTTTTTTCCGAAATGGTTTTCTTGTATTCATTAAACTTGGTTCCAATTTTCGTATTATTACACCTGAACCTCTTTAAGTATTCTCTTACGTCACCAGGTTGTAAAGCCGCTGCTTTTAACAAATCAATTATTGAAACAAGTTCGTTGTCATACGGATCACCTTTGAATACAGGAAGTACGATAGAGTTTTCATGTTGAATCTTTGCGGAGTATGATTCGTTATCAACAAGAATTACCCTATTCAAATTTCTTCCAAGACAACCGAGATTTTTGAACAATTTTCCATCAGTTTTTGAAAAGTGGTTTTTATCTAGGATTCCAATTATGGGTAAGTTCCATTTTTCAATAATTTCGTTTGGAATTGGAAATGATTCATCACTCCAAATAACAATTTCATAATAATTCTTTAACACATTAAAAAATTGATCAACACCTGGCCTTTTTACGATCCCCCAACCATTTTTTCTAGAATGAGTAATTTCACAAATTAACCCACGCAGGCCAACTACAAGAGTTGGTAAATTTTCCGGATATCCAAGCTGATCAAAATCAGGTAACAAAGGTTCATTGTCAGGAGGAATTAGTTTATTAATTTGATCTAGTAACAAATTATAGCTCCAATCATTAAAATTCTCGAATTTATTACAAAATTCGGATACACTAATTGCTTTTTTTTTAATAAGGAAATAACCAAAACATATTGTGATCCCCATTCCAAACAAGCCTTTACTAAGATTCCTGGATTCATTGAGTTTTGCTCCACTGCAGCTTGCATAGTTAAAGTTTCTAGAATGGTTTTTAAACAATAAAGCGCAATTCTTTTGACCTAGCCTCTCAAAGACATTTCGATACGAGCGTTTGTATAGAAGTTGTATATTTAAATTTTTTATAAAGAAAATAGAGGCATGCGGGGAAATTAGCATATTTTGCCTAGAACATTTTAAAAAAGCGTTTACAAGCATCTAAATTTTATTAGAAGCTAGAATTTCAAGAAATCCCTGCCCGCCAGTAAAATCTAATTAGAACAATTTAAACATCTTAAAGTGAGGTGCCAGCGTGCTTCTATAACTTGGCTTTAAAAACATGGAAACAATAATTCAATGAATAGGTGTTATATTTGCACTTACCATTGTTGCAATACATGTAGGAATATTTTCTGGTAACTCTATCCAGAGTTTATGGAGTATTTTCTTGGCTTTAAGATCAGATGAAACACTTCTTAAAGTTTTTTCATCTGGACAGTTAAGAACAACTTTTCTCATTTCGTTAATTTCTCTAAGGTATTCTTTAACAGATTCTTTTTCAATATTTTCAAAAATAGCTGCAGAGCTTTGTTGAATTCAATACATTTGAGAATGGGCCGTTTAAACAAATTCAGTAATATATAACTAACCTTGCATGACAGGCCTGAGCTATAATTGAACCTTGACTCCATCCGAGATCTGATCTAATTAAGATGTATTGAATAATTTGGTCTTTTCGATCCATTTCTTTGACAGATTTGTTTAAGTGTTGACTACCTCCCGCAAAAATATAATTAAAAATATAATAAATGGCTAATTAAAAATCGTTAATCAACAAATTTTTACGATATGAGGATTTGGACTTTGTGAAATATATTATTTCCTTTCATTAATTAACATTTTACCCTAAGAAATCTTTATAATATTTTGTCAAAATATTTAATTTCTTTTAAGCATGACATTCACAACAGTGCTGATCATTAATCTGGTGATTATCATTTTGAGCATAGATGTGGCTGCATTTTGAATGCTGATGATTACAGCATTTATGAATATGCATTTCGTCGTGTGGGTGATTGCTCATTTGGTGACTTTGAAAATGTTGAGGTTGAACGTATGTCTGTGGAGGAACATATTGTTGACTTGAATCATTTGCATTTATCAAAACATTTGATTGAAATTCATTGATTGCCTTTTCGTGATCTGATATTTATGTAAAAGTAAGATAATTTGTGCAATGTAGGGATTGGAAATTAGAACAAAGAATTGATCAATTTACAACTTACCAGCAAATGATTTAGCTTTAGGTGTAAACCTATGTGAGGTTCTTAGGAGTGTCCACATAAGTATGAAAACCGCAATAAGCAGGAAAACTGCCAAAGTAACAATAACTGGAACAATCCAGGGAGCCAACATATTTATTAAAATCAGCTTAATTTTGTTTCTATTTCTCTTTAATTATAATGGATCAGAACATTACGTTGAGTAGACATAAACGTATTTCTGACTTTATGTGATCTAGAGACTAAAAAAAAAAGAATAAATACTAATAATAAACTATATAAAAATTGAGTTCAATATTTTACTTGTTAATGACAATTAATAGTAAAACTTGAATAGAGCGTGATTTGCATACTATTCAAATCTCGAATATATACAATACAGCGAAACAAATCGTTTCATAAACTCATGACTTAAGACTATTCGAAACTTGCATCTTGTACTTCGATAGAAATAGTATAACACCTTTTATCTTCACTAGTGCACCTCTCGAGTTTCGCGAAACACTTTATTTTAAGCCCTGCCTTTGCTTCCATGCAATCTTGAAATAATATTATAGTTTGCTTCCAATGCGTAGGTTTATTATAAGGAGATGTGGACAACACAACAGCATCGGAACGGTAAGAAGGGAATTCTACATCAAACCACACTATAAATCCATGAACAAAATCTGTATTTTTTTTCACTTGAAGAGTAAAATATGATTCAATATTGTCAAGTTCGCTGACAGTTTTAATTTTCAGAAGATCCACATTAAATATCTGTTCATAGGAAAAATTTTCAACATTTTTTGATTCTACACCAAGTATTAAAGGCGACTTCATATAACTAGAGCGTATTATTTTTCCCATTGAAGTATAATCAAATCCTTGGATATTATTGATTCCTTCAATATTTTTATCCCAGAAATCTTCGATTTCTACTAATGATACGTACAAAGACGCTTTTCTAGGAAAAATAAGACCGGTTTTGGGATTTAGCCATTTATCTCTAGCAAAAATTACACTGTCAAGCATTCCTTCGTGTAACAAATAGAAACCCATCCATTCAGAAATAATGATATCAACTTGACTAACGGGGAGCTCAATTTCTTCTATAGTCCCATGAATGATTTGCACTACCTTTGATAAGTCGTTGTCCTCAACAATTTTTTTTGCTAGTAGTGATATATTGCTCCCGTCCACAGCGAATACTGTTTCAGCTCCGCATTTTGCTGCAAGCATAGATAAAATTCCTGTTCCACATCCTACATCCAAAACGATTTTTCCTCTAAACAGTTCTTTATTCTCTTCAAAAGATCTTTTATATGCTTCAACTCTTTCCACATCTTGAAGCATTAGTTGATGTACCAGAAGATCGTCATAGCTTTTTGAGTAACTATCCAAACTTGACATCGATTTTTTAATTTAAGCAATTTTATATTGCTGGGGGGAAGGGGGCGGGGGTGGGGAAAGGTAAAACAGAAACTTGATTTGTGAAGACGATTAAAGTTATAAACGAGTCAAATATTCAAAAAAAAATTTGCAGACAATACAAGGCGATAAAATTAATATTGGCATCGCGCCTATAAAATTATATAACTAGATCTAATTGTAGGTTCTGAGCAGCTCCACAATGATTTTTCAATTTGTCTTACATGGCGGGAGCATATTATGCCCACTGTGTGCTATATCTATTTGTTTATGGCGGTAATGGATCTTTATTACGAGACAAGATTTACCTAAGCTATTTTTAGTAGATTGGAGGAACAAACAAAAATTAGACATTGGAATTAGTTGACTAGGGCAAACCTGTAGTAGTAAACAGGTAATATACCAAACAGTTGTTATTTGAAGTGCCAAAAGTATACATTTTGATCAACAAATTTGTATTTTTTTTTTCTCTTTTTGCAAGAAGCATTGAGCCGTTCTCATTAAACAATTAAAATGGGAAATTTATTTGGAAGGTGCGGTTGTAAAGATTTGACAATATGTAATCTGAATGTGTTAAAGTCTACTCATTCTCAGGATCGCATTTATCGTAAAGATTACAAAATTCCGAATTTCTTAATTGATCATGTTGATTTAGATATTAATATAAGGGATGGCGTAACTGTGGTTTCTTCAGTAATTATTATGAGGAGAAATCCAAGCTCATCGTTCAGAGGTGATTTGTCATTGGATGGTAATTGTTTGAAGCTAGTTTCGGTGAAATTAAATGGTGCGATTTTAGAAAAAAATTTATACAAGGGTTATTTTCAACCTGATGGCCCAGATGGTAAACTTGTAATATCAAGCAGCTTACTCCCAAATAAAGACCAGCAATTTACACTTGAGACAGTTGTAGAAATTTTCCCTGAAAAAAATACCAAAAATATGGGATTATACTACTCTGCAGGAGTTTATTCTACACAATGTGAATCTGATGGTTTCAGAAATATAACATTCTTTTTAGACAGACCCGATGTAATGTGCAAATTTAGGGTTAGAATTGAGGCAGATAAAACTAAGTCTCCTGTTTTGCTATCAAATGGGAATTTGCTTGAAAAGGGTGATGTTCAAGGTTCAGATAATCGACATTTTGCAATATATGTGGACCCCTTCCCGAAGCCTTGTTATCTTTTTGCCGTCGTTGCTGGAGTTTTGGGAAGATTGGAGGACAAATTTGTCACAAGATCTGGAAAGTCCGTCAGGTTGTTTGTTTACAGTGAACCCAAGTATGTAGATAGATTGAGATTAGCAATGGAATCTTTGAAGTTGGCAATGAAATGGGATGAAGATCGTTTTGGATTAGAGTATGATCTCGAAATTTTTAATATTGTAGCAGTTGAGTCGTTCAATTTTGGAGCTATGGAAAACAAGAGTTTGAATATTTTTAATTGTTCGTGTCTTTTGGCATCTGAAAATGTCACCCCCGACTATTTCTTTACGAACATACTTTCAATAGTTGGGCATGAATATTTTCATAACTACACAGGAAATAGAGTCACATGCAGAGATTGGTTCCAACTTACTTTAAAAGAAGGTTTAACGGTTTATAGGGATCAGGAATTTTCTCGTGACTGCATCGACAGGCTGTCTGAACAATTAGGAGATATCGAAGTACTGCGCAACTTTCAGTTCCAGGAAGATTCTGGACCACTTGCACATCCTATAAGACCCGATTCTATTGTTTCAACTAACAATTTGTACACTTGCACAGTATATAGGAAAGGGGCGGAAGTTGTGAGGATGTATGAAACCATCCTTGGCCGTGAGGGATTCCGAAAGGGTATTGATCTTTACTTTGCTCGCCATGACGGACAGGCCGTTACTTGCGACGATTTCAGAAGAGCAATGGAAGATGCCAATAACTATGACTTTTCGCAATTTGAGCGTTGGTACGATCAAGCTGGCACACCTGAGGTTGAAGTCATTTCTACTTGTTATAACAAAGTTGATGGAACGTGTTCAATTACACTTCGACAGCGCTGCAGTCCAACTCCAGAACAACCTAAAAAAAGACCCTTTTATATCCCAGTTGTGGTAGGGTTAATAGGGAAAGATTCTTGTAAAGAGATAAGGCAATCGGAAACATTGATTCTTAAAGAGCAGCAGCAGACATTTGTCCTAGATGGAGTGTGGGAAACACCAGTAGCGTCAATTCTGAGAGGTTTCTCAGCACCCGTAAATTTGAGATTTAAAACACCTCGTTCAGACGAAGAGTTAGCGTTTCTTTTTGCATTTGATACAGATGAGTATAACCGTTATGATGCAGCTCAAACCTTGTTTAAAAAAATTCTGATCCAAGCAGCCTCCAACTCTTCACAAGAAATCTCACCAAGCTCAATCATAGAAAATATTCTTTCAAAAACAATTCTTAGTTGTTTTGAGTCATTTATTTCAAAGATAAGGACTTCTAAAAATCCGAATGGTACAATTTCGCCAATGGTTGCCTCATACACACTTAAGATCCCAAGCTACTCTCAAGTCTTGGCATCTATTGCAGAACCAGACTTTGATCTTATTGTTGAGTCTTTCAGAGCCTTTACAGTCTTGTTTGCGTCGAAATTTAAAGTTCAAATATTGGATTTATTCCAGGTTCTTACTGAAGATCTATCAGCACTACCTTCACAAAGCCCATTTGTTTATGGTAAGGGTGTAAATGTAGAGGCAATTGCAATACGCAGATTGTTGAATGTTTTATTAGATTTTATTGCAAAATTGGACCCCAATCTTGCAACTAAATTAGCTTTTGAGCAACACAATCGCTTTAATTATATGACAAGTAAACTCGGGGCAATTTCAGCACTGCAAATAGCAGATTACAAATCTAACGAATGCATTCAGGCTCTGGATTCTTTGTTACAGGCAACTACTGATGATGTTTCGACATTGAATCAATATTTTTCTGTTCAGGCTAGTTGTCTAATTCCTGAAAATGTTGAGCGTGTGATCAATATTTACCACTCCGATCCGCAATTTATTAAGTATCGTGACAATCCGACAATTTTCTCCTCCCTAGTCGGGACTTTTGCATCCAATTTTGTTGCGTTTAACAGGAAAGACGGGCTTGGATATTCTTTTGTTGCAGATGCAATCATTTCAATGGACAAAGTGAATCCAATGTCGGCCGCATCTATTTCAAGGGCATTTACAAAAGTCTTGAAGCTTGATGAGGCAAGACGCAATCTTATTAAGGAAAATGTCTTAAGAATACTTCAATCCCCTGGTTTATCCAAAGATACATCTGAAATTCTTAATTCCATTGATTTCTGAATTTCGGTAGGTTTCTAGAAAATCTTGTGTAGACCTTATTTTCTGTAATATTTGTTTGCTGCTGTTCCATGAAATATTTGAGTTCAGTGTTTTGAAATGCGAGGATTTTTCTTGATTTCTTTCAGAAAGTTTCTGAAGACCTGCCAACAGCAATTTTGAATTCAGGTAATGACCAGTTTCCTAAAGTCGAATTCTAATTTCTATTTCTTAAACAACTAAATAAATGCAAATAATCTTAATAAAAATCTGCTGAGATAATAGAGAATATAAAGTTATTTAGATATTGCAAAAAATATTGAACTATTAGCTACTCAAAAATGATGTTACTAGACTCTGAACATAGCTGTTGTGCGAGTTAACAACCCGTAGGAACGTATCTTTATCAGCAAAACTCAGGTAAATGGATTTTAGTGTGCTTCGTAAAACAGGAAGAATATTCTCCGAAAAGCTCGACTTTGAGTCCAAAGCTGGCTGCATAGAATTCAATAAATCAAGAAGAGAGTTGATACTAGACGCATTTAATGAAGTTGGGTTTGTCTGAATAGCAAAACAAATTCCCTGAACTGCACTCATCTTCTCCTGATCGTTACGAACACTAGTAAGCACCAAAAAGAAACGTTCTGCAAACACACCGAGCCTACCTCCAACCTTTGTAGGTGCCACCACAGCAACTCTACCAATGGTAATACATGCATTGATAGCAAGGTTATCTATTATATGTGCAGATGAGTTAGCTATTCTGGAGATTAGTACGTCAATGATATGCTCTAAAAGAGGCTCGATAATGGTGAAAATCTCTGGAAAATTTCCGTACATTACAATTTCTCCTATTGCCCAAGCAGCGTTATTAGCTATACCAATATTAGGACTGGAAAGATTGATCACGAGAAGTTGTAAAAATGTAGTTAATGAGGGCTTTAAGATATCTAAATTGTCTCCTCCAAATTTGGCTATGTCTCCTATACAAGCGAAGGCACTCTGTTTTATGTTTGGAAAACTTTCATCTTGGCAAAATATGAGAATATAGTTGGAAAACCCACATCTTTTTAATACAGGAATAGCTGGTGCTCTCACTGCTTCTACAACAGAGCTAATCAAATCCAAAGCACATTCAGCAGTATCAGGTACTGAATATGAAACTTCTTCAGGATTCTTTAAATTATTCAGAGTTGACAATAAAATACTTTGAATACAATGCTCCAGTACTGGATCCGCAAACCTAGATGCTTTGTTTCCAACAACTGCAAAAATTTTTGCAATCGCATCCATCGAAGCAACAAGGCATGGATGGTCTATTGGAAAAGATTTCCATTTTGTAATAAGAAGCGGAGCTAAGTTATTTTCGAATGCTGGGCTAAATACATTGGGACCGATCGAAAAACACAATGTAGAAATTGTGTCACATAAAATGAGTAAATTTCTATATTGATATACGGTTAATGCTCCAGATATAGTGCTAACAATATCGTCGAGGAAAGGTAAAAGAGACAGTGATTGAGCAGAGTCTTCAATAAATGTTGCAGTTGCAGAGCAGGCTGCTTCTTCAACACGTTTATTAGGGTCAAGCATTCTGGCTAAAAGCGCGCCAAAGGCACTATTAAGGATGGGTTGACCTTGCTGAAGTGCCAGCCAGGGTGTGAACCTTGAGATACACCAACATGAAATGCTCCTGATGAGTGGTTTAGAATCAGATGTAAGTTTGACCAAAAAACTCAAGACTCTTGGCAGAAATGGTGATAATCCCTTAATACATCCTCTAGCAATAGCGCCCAAGACTAAAATTGCACTCTCTTGCTTCTCCCAGTTCGGATCTTGAAGAGTTGCTTCAATCTTAGGTAATAGTTCTCCTAGAATTTCATCACCATATATTACTGATATATGATCCAACGCAAGGGCTGAAGCTTTCCTCACTGTCCATTGGTTTCCCCATGCTCCAAGCTCTACTTCATCTTCGTTTGGTTCACTATGATTAGCACGTCCTTGATGAAACCTAGGACCTATTGAATGAAGGTCATCTTCAGTTTTGTCCTCAAAGTGTGATGGGTCCATTTCAATGTAATCAAAGTCCGTAAATATAGAGTTTTTAAGTAAGCAAATAAGTAATCTAGGCAGAAAAGGTCTAAGAATATTTATTCCTTTCTCATTCCTGAGATAAGATGGCCAAAACTCGAGACTTTCCAGCCTAAGATTATATGAGTCGCTATTACTCTCTTCACAACAACATAATACAAAGTCAATAATTACATTAACCCCTGCTCCATTAAGAATTACTTCTGGGTCATCTTCCAATACTGTAATAATTCCCACTATAGATAGCAATCTGATTTGTTTGTTTTCCTGTTTCGCCATAACACCAATGACCTGCCAATATTGTGTGAATAAGTCATGAAGAGTGTTGCCAGAACTAAAAAGGTGATATTGGGCATATAGAGTGATACACTTAAAACTAAGATGTACTGCAACATCATTTTTGCTTAATATTATGTGCTCTCCTTGAGAAATTTGAAAAAGTTTAGGCAATATTAACTGACGTGATGCATCTAGAAAAGAAATTAATCTTGAACGTGTATGATCCGATACACCTGAATTTTCACCTAAACAGGACTCCAGCTCATCCTCACAAATCTTTATAAGGCAGTCAAATGCGCCGTCAATACTATCATTGGTTGCCATATCTAATAGCTGAGATAAATGGCGGAGGGACTCTACTAATAAAGGCTTTCCTTGTTCTGTATTGACAAACGTAGTAACAATTGTGCCAGCTGTGGATCTGATTAGCCTCTGAGGGTCATTTAATGCAGTAAATGATGTGATCTTGAGATACTCTATATATTCGGGTGAAGGTAATCCGTATTGTGCAAGATAGTTTTTTAATAATAGTCCTGCCCTCTGACGCACATCCAACCCCTCATTATTCATATTAGAGAATATAAGAGCAAAGTAACATGGTGCATCTGGGCTATTCGTTACGAAGGAATTCAAAGCGTTAGTTACTTGCAGCTGTACACTGCTATCAGAAGAATCAGCCTGTCTCAAAACAGACAACACTTCCTGGCATTTTGCTACATCGCATTGCCAGGAGGACGACATCTGGGACACTTCTTTTTATTAGATTATTTTTTTTCGCCGATTTGTTTTGGTTTTGTGACTAATTAATTCAGACCTATTGTATTGACATAAATTGTAGTGTGCCCTTTTTCAGATTATTCTTGAAGTTCTCTCTTTAGCTTTACTCCTTTAATACTTGGTTGCTTTCAATTCAAACCTTCTTTTTGTCCTTGATTCCTTTAAACTATCCCAATTACAGCTATAATTGACTTCGTCACAATCTCAAGAAATATATGTCCCGTCTATACTTTCGCCAAAAATTGTGATAGGTGTTAAGCGAAATTTGGGAAGGAACAAGGCGGCCCAAGTCTAAATTTTGAGATGTTAAAAAATTTGATGAAAGAAACAATAGTATGAGTGCTCTAAAAAATGTAATCTATAGTATCAATTAAATTCCTAACATTGGATCTCTGCTGTTGTTGTTTATTACTTAAATTCCATTATTTTGAGAAAAAAGAGAGATAATGAAGGACAAAAGATTGAAGAAATCAGACATGATTTCAAGGATTGGCTAAAGTTTAATAATGTATAGTGTAAATATGATTCCTTCTTAATGAAGGATCATGATGAAAATATTAACATTGATCTTTGTTTCCAGAACTCACAATAGGTATCATTAAGTTGCAGATTTAAGCGGGCACTTCATATTTTATTATAAATAAACAGATTTAACGCAAATGTCTATTGTCAACAAGAATTACGTCTCTTACTGAGACAGGCTATAATTATGTATGTTTTTAAGCTAATTAATATTCTATTGCTGCAATACGCATCGCTTTAGAAAGATAATTATTATTGAATAGTAATATAAGCGCTGTAATTCCGATCAAATTCTATACTGATTAAATTTCATCGAAAACTCAAGGTATATTTTTGACATAACAGGAGAAACTTTGAGCAAGACTGAAAATAAAAGATGGTTAGATATGCTGTGAAACCGGACACTCCCTCTAAAAGCGTAATTTGCAAGGGTACTGATCTTCGTCTCAGTTACAAGAATACTTATGAGACAGCAACTGCCATCAAAGGAATGTATCTACTAGATGCTCGCCAATATTTATTGGATGTAATTGCAAAGAAGAGGTGCGTTCCATTCAGAAGATACAACGGAGGTGTTGGAAGAACTGCAAAGGCGAATGAATTCAAGCTTACTCAAGGAAGATTTCCAGAAAAGTCATGTAGATTCTTATTGGACCTTTTACAAAACGCAGAAAGTAACTGTGACATGAAGGGTTTAGATGTTGACCGTCTTATGCTCGTTTCTGCCGTAATCACTCATGCTCCATTCAACAGAAGAAGAACTTTCAGGGCCCATGGGCGTATTACTCCTTTCAAAAGTCAGCCATGTAATATCCAACTCATTTTCAAAGAGATAGACGATGCAGTAGAGCAGCCAAAGAATATCGAGGGCCAGAAGGTTATTAAGCTCACAAAAAGACAGTTAGCTCGCAGAAAATTACGTGTAGGTTCCAAAAATTAGTTATTTTGATCATTCTGAATTCCATTTAATTTATGAGGAACTTTGCATTTATCATGTAAAATGACTCAGTCGTTTTACTATATAATTGTCTAGAATTGCGATATAATGAAATGGCTAGACTTAAATTCTAGGAATTTTCTTATTTATTTCTTCGATCTAAATTTTTTTTTATTGTGCGATCTTGACTTCGTCTTAGAGTTGGTTTAGTTAGAATTGAAGTTTTTTGGTTATTGGAGGGATGTCAAAAAAAATGCGAGGGAAATTCAAATACTTGAGATCTACGGTTTTTTTCTAAATAAAAATTTCTTTTTTTTTTAATAAAAGTGAAGCTTTTAAAATTATTTTTCTTATTGAGAAGATTGTTTGATAATAGACAGAATGGATAAAAAGATTCCTACATACAAAAATTCAAGAGACAAAAGTTATTATTTTACAACAGCAATAAACTACACAAATGGAGCCCCCCATATGGGTCACGCATACGAGATTGTAACTTCCGATATTCTTGTCAGGATTGCAAAGTTGTTTGGCTTTGATGTTAGATTTCAAACAGGAACAGATGAACATGGACAAAAAATTGCAACTACTGCGGAAAAAAATGGTTTCTCGCCGAAAGAACTCTGCGACAAAAATGTAAAACAGTTCGAAAGCATGAATGAAAGTCTGCAAATTAACGCAGATAGATTTATTAGGACAACTGATATTGATCATTATGAGTCCTGTAAGGAGCTGTGGAAACGTTGTGAGGCGAAAGGTGACATTTACCTTGGGAAATATGATGGATGGTATAACATAAGGGAAGAAAGTTTTATGACTGAATTAGAGGCTAAGATGCTAAATTACACTGACCCAGTTTCAGGGTTACCTTTAACAAAGATGGAGGAGCCTTCGTATTTTTTCAGAATATCTAAATACATTGAATCAGTAAAAAACCACATTATTAACCATCCCGATTTTATCCAACCAGAATCAAGCAGAGAAAGCATATTAGCTAGATTAGACGCCCTGGGCGACAATTTAGAAGACTTATCTATAAGTAGAACCAGTTTTTCTTGGGGGGTCCCTGTTCCGAATGACCAGGAACACGTTATGTATGTTTGGTTTGATGCTTTAACAAATTATATCACCGGTTTAAATTGGCATAATTCTGATAGTTGTGACGAAAATTCGTTATTTAAGAAGTATTGGGGAAATACTATTCATATTGTGGGTAAAGATATTACTTGGTTTCATACTGTAATCTGGCCGTCGATGCTATTAAGTGTCGGACTTAGCTTGCCAAAAACAATATTCTCTCATGGATTTGTTACTGCTCCAGATGGTAAAAAAATGAGCAAAAGCTTGGGAAATGTTGTGGATCCGTTAGAACAAATCGATAAAATGGGCTCTGACTCGTTCAGATATTACTTAGCTAGAGAAGGGAGATACGGAAATGATATTAAATATCAACCTTCTTCTGTTGTGGATTATAATAACGGCGAATTAGCGGATACTTTTGGGAACCTTATTTCTAGAATTACAAATTTAGCACATAAATTTTGCCAAGGAGTGGCACCTTCTTCATCTACATCTGTATTTTTGGAAAAGCCAATAGATATTGAAACAGTTTTTGAAGAATATTATTTGGCTTGGCGCGGTTTTCGTCTTGACGAGTGTGCACAAATTGCAATGAATTTGTCAAGAAATATTAACAAGTTCCTTACTGACCATGCGCCTTGGAACAAAGATAACGAAAAATCTGAAGAAGAAAGGATAGAGATTATTAGAATTGTATTAGAAGGTTCCTATTATATTTCAATTTTACTTAGTCCATTCACCACTTTGGCATGTAAAGAAGTTTTTAATAGGCTTGGGACTCAACAAAAGACGATCCCAGAGATTGATACAAATTATTCTAATATTAAGCCTAACACACCAATTTTGATTGGAGAACCTTTATTTAGGAGAATTGCAACTAAAGCAGATAAGACTTTTGAAGAGCTTAAAGCAGAAAAAAAAGAAAGAGAAAAAAACAAAAGAACAGAAAAAGAAAAAAAAAGAAATTAAGAGGAACTGTAGATTAATAAAAAAACGAAGTTATTTAGTTAAATATGTGATTTCACTAGAAGTTTAAGAAATTAGATTAGAAATACCTAAGCTCAATATATGGAAAAGCTGATTAAAATTTTCTTACATCAATACTAAATCCAACTTAAATAAAATAATTCAATTTAGAATACTGAAAATGTCCAATTTTTCAACATCCAGCTTTCTTTAGTTTGATCTCTTTTCATTTTAAGGACGCTTGGCACAAGGGGCAAACTGCATTTCTAAGTAACCACATATCTATACAATCCTCATGGAAAACATGATTACAAGGGAGGCAACGTGCCATTTCGAATGAAGAAAAATCGTTTAAACAAATAATGCAATTATCTTGCAAAAATGAATGTTTGTTAAGTATCAATTCATCATCTTTTAATTTTTTCCATTCAAAATATGGTTTTACTGGAAGGGATTCGAGTTTATTAATTGTACAGGCTCTTAATTTATTATCCGAATATTCACTTGAAACAACATTAGGGAAGATAAAGTAAAAGAAACTGACCATGGATATTATTCTAAATGTACATATAAGCATAATAATTAGATATAAGGACCATATCCCTGACCTAAAATCAACTTTAATAAGGTCTTTTAATGAGTATAATGAATTATTGTCTAGTAATAAGTATGATCTGTGACCAGTGATTAATGAATAATCTGCTAATTGTGAATCGCTGAGGCTACTTGAAAACCCCCTGGATTGGTTTGAGAAAACCTCAATATTTGGTCTTACGGATAAAATCCAATAAAATCCGAATATGAACCAAATATAATAAATGAACGAAAATATCTTGCCTATTTTCCATGCTCTATTTGTAGTGAGTCGTCTAACTGCCTGTAAAATTTGAATTACTCTAACACTAGTCGAATTTGGTCTTTCTCTATTAAGGATAATCTTATAATAGCATCTGAATATTCCTTGTATTATTTGAAGAGACCCATGAATCAATAACCAAACACATAAAAAAGGACTGCTATTGAAGCTCGATCTCCAACTTTTGAGTGTTATACCTGTTGAGATTAATCCAAAAGATAAGAAAAATACCATTCCTATTAATAAATTACATGATAAAAACCAAATCGCTTTTTCAGGGTAATTACAAACTAGTTGTACAAGTGAATCTTCTGAAGCTTGCTCTTGCTGTGATATATCGTTTGAATGACTGTTTGAAGACATATTCATTCCTGAAGTAGAATCAGAATGGTTGGTTGATGCAACATTTGAAGTGGCCCTTCCATAAATGCTTCTTAATGAACTTTCTGCTACAGGAGAAGATATTACTACATTGTCTTGGGCTCTAAATAATGGTTGTATATTCAAATATTTCCTACACCAAATATTTATTCTTTCTTTAATCAACATTATTTTGCAAAATAATATATTGCTGATATAAGTTTTGCTGGTGTTTTGTTTTGGGCTACGAAGAGCCACATGCTCTTTTTTATGGATGCATTTAGAGACATACCTTTTGTTAGTGCCTAAATTATTATCCATTTCTTATTCGTAGGTACTTGTCTTATAATAACAATACAATATTACTAGGTCATATTACTCACGTTACGTATACATTGAATAGATAAAGCAACTAGCACTAAATATACATGCATTATATACTCATGTCTATTAGTATTAAAAAGTCTGGTCGCCTTTATATCTAAATAAGATATTTCGGATCTTCAGACTTATTAATCTTCATTCCAAATCCTTTTAATATTTAATTTTATTTTGTTTTATTAAATACTGTTTTGCAAAAAATTATTACATGCAAACCATGTACCTAATATTTACGTAATTTTTTTTTTAATTACGCATTCATTGTAATATAACGATATCTAATTATTTATTATAATTAAAAATTATATTAATAAAAATCCATACGCCGCCCTTGCCGCCATGCATTAATGTCTTCGTTACCGACTTAACACGGGCGGGGTACATTTGTTTAAATCAATTAGGAATCATAGAATAAATAAAGCTAGACATAATTACGTATTGAAAATATAATTAGTATTATCTTTTTAATAATATTATTTGAATGGGACGGCGTCTCTGTAATAACAGGGCTACATAAGCTGGCAAATAATTTAGTAAATCAAAATAACAAGATTCAAGTATATTATTACTTTTTTAAAAGAATAAATATACAATTGTAATGGCTAATTAAATTAAATAGTTGGCGGTTTGAATAAATTTTCTTGAATTGTTGTAAACTACATAGAAATTCTTTAAACATTTACGAAAGTCAGAGGAAACCTTGGCATTTCTCTCGAAAGTAAATATAGGATATAATATATATCAGAGATTCAAGGCTGTGGAGATACGTTCTTCTTTTTACGAATTTCAAGGTGTAAATATACTGTCGATTTTACTATTTTTAATCAATATATAATTTCGGAAAATGTCTCCAAGAGTGACTTATCGCAGAAAGTGCCGTTACAATACTCCATCTAACAGAGTTCGTGTTGTAAAGACTCCAGGTGGTAGAAATCTGATTCACAACATTGGAAAGGTATATTCCCGACCTAAATGCGGTGATTGTAAGAAACCTTTAGCAGGAATTCCAGCATGTGCCCCATATGAAATGAAACATCTTAAAAAACGTGAAAGAACCGTAGCCCGTGCATACGGAGGAACTAAATGCTCGACTTGTGTTAGACAAAGAATTTTAAGGGCATTCTTACTTGAGGAGCAAAAAGTGGTAAAGAGTGTAATTGCTGAGAAAGAACAACAGAAGAAGAACGAAGAGAAACCAAAAGTTACCAAGAAATCTACAGGAAGTAAGCAGACTTCATCCAAGAAGAAGTAATGTGTCTTACATTTAGATAAATCTAACTTTACTAGTGTTAGTTTTTTTTAATATTAATACGTTTTCTTAATCTATAGTTCGGTTTTTTCGGGCTTTGGAGGAAGCTTATTTAACTTTTTTTTGATCCTATTGGAGTCTGGAATTATCGAATCTACCTCATTATCTATATTTCCAACTTTCTTTGAATTTCTCCCCGCATTCAGATTTTTATTGGGGCTTTCCCGTCGATGAGCCTCCCGGCTCGGACTTTCTGATTTGACTGAACAATGAAGACTAACTCTTCTCTTAATTGGTAGGATCAAGCAGCTATCCCTTTGCTTAGTGTGATCATTCTCATTGTCACTGTAAATTTTTTCAAGTTCCTCATTATTCCTGTTCTCTAGATTATTTAGAACGATCATTTCTTTAGCTTTTCTGAACTCAGTAGACCTTTTTTGCTTAAGCTTTTCTGCATAATCCTTAATATTTCTTCCATAATCGTTGGTTGTTAAGCCATAAATATATTCGTTTTCAGCCTTTTCTAGTATTGCTTCTTGGTATTCACTTTCCCAAAGCTTTATAGCTGAGCTCTTAGTTTCTATTATACTATAGAGTCTCCATATTTTTTTTCTTAAATCTAACAATGACCTTCTAAGTGAAAGAAAAAAAGTAAATTCTCTGAAAATAGGTATCTCATCCACAAATATATTGTGTGGGATTGGGTACTGTGAGTAGTATATTTCCTCGTCAGAGTAATTTTGTAATATTAGAGTTGAACCCGAGTTTATCCTTTGCCTAACTTCAGGTAACATTGAACAGAGCTTGAGTGTAACAGTATGTTCTAAATCTTCATAACGTGACAACTTTGCCAAGTAATACTTGTACTGATATTGGTAATCTGATTGATATGTGTAAATTGTGTTGCTTAACTCTGAAAACGCTTTATAACGCAAGTTTAGAAGAATATTCGAAAGTTGAACTGGATTTGCTTGAGAAATTTGCACTTTTTTCACGTCGCTTATTCCTATTGAAAGACCACTATAACCTAGCATTTTGTGATTTATCGCCAATATATATTCAATACTGTTTTTTTTTGCCAATATTTATTTGCATTCCTGTTAATTATTCATGAAATTTTTATCAATATTTATGCAAAAAAAAAAATAATGATCCCGCTCAACTGTATATTTAAGATCTCTGTGAACAAATTTCCTTTTATTTTTAAATTAAAATATCGATCAATATATTTTAGTGTGATTTAAGACGGTTTGACCTTCGAAGTTCTTTTAGAGTTCCAATTTTGAATGATACATTTCCAATCCAGTTTTCGTCTCCACTGTTTTCGGAAAGGTTTGAAGAATCTGAGTCATATTTATCGTCATTTCTTACCAAATTTTGATCATTGTAATTCCTATAATCTATTCTTATATTTGAATCAGCTAGTTTTCTGACTTTATTGGGAAATATTTTTCTAATTTCTTTACCTTGAATTGTTCTACACTGATTTTTTTTGGGGATATTCCATTTAAAATTGAATTTATTGTCAATTTTGGATTTCGTTTCTACTCTAGAAAATAGATACGATGGTATTTTAAATTTGCGTGTACTTTTTATGTAGTTCCAGTTGCCAAATGTATCTGTATTTTCTTGGGTAAACACTTCTTTGTCGTCATTACTTGCAAAAAAATATGAAATATGAAATTGAACCCCCTTGCAAATATCAGAGATTTGGAAATCATTAATTTCAGAGTTGTTTTCATTATCTGGCAAACAATTATATTTCAAACCTATCTCTTCAAGAAGTTCGGTACAATAAATTCCTATAGTTTTGAGTTGCTCTGAAACATTTTTATTATTTTTTAACTTCTCAAATAGTTGGTCATAAATAATTTTTACAAAATAATGTATAGAGCAATTAATTGATTCCAAATTGAAATGATTTATTTTGGATGTATAATAAAGAAAAACAGAAATAATGCAATCAAGTATACAATACAACTGATCATATTTAATCATTTTTGAATATATTACTGAACCAAAAAATATGTTTATAGTTCTTTCAATAGTTTTCTCTATTTCTTTAAAATTTGTTTGAGATTCCAGCTCTTCGCTGAGTTTTTGGCTTAATATGGGTATGAAAGATATTCCCAATGATCTTCCCAATGCGGTTGACAGGATGTTATGTATATTTTCATTTTTATCTGGATTTAAAATTCGTGAATTCATTAGTAATAATAAACAATCCGGCCTATTATTACAAAATTCTTGACACAATTCGAATAACCTTAGGTGGTTTTTTCTGAAAAAATTCTTTAATTCTGAAAGACAAATATAATTGGTTAGTTCGAAATAAAAATACAAATTGAATACAAATATATTTTCCTCAAATGAGGACAAATTAACTCCAATAGATCCATGTGAACTAGGTTCAATTTTATGTGTAAAATAAATGTAAAATAATTTGTTTTCAGAGTATAAACGTGTGGAGGACGGCTTATTTAAGTTAAATTCCATATTTGGTTTATATAATTTATTGAAATTGTAATAAATATCAAAGAATTTACTGAATAATGTTTCGTCTACAGTTTTTATTTTGAAAAACAATAAACATCCTATTCCAATCAGCTTTGTTAATAAAATATACCGATCATCTTTAAACTCTGAATTCATTAGAGTTTCCTCAATAAGACAAATCAATTTATTTAATATTTGGTCGGCATCGTTCGTTTCTAAGGATTCGTATTGTGCTATTTTTTCTGCTTGTAGACGTAAAATAAATATTTCCCAATTCTTTTCTGTATTTAAATGTTTATATTTCTTTCTTGAGATATTTGAATCGAGGTAAGTTTGGAAATCTGAATAACTGCAAAAAATACTTGAAATAGAAATTTTCGGAAATATTTGATATATTGTATCCTTGACTACAATTTTCATCTCATTTTCGGGAATTACTTCAGCAATAAAATGATTTCCTTGATAATTATCACAAATAAAACAGTTATTGGCAGATGATCTATTAAAGACTTCATTCATTTCATCTGACATGGAATTTATTTCTCTTAGATATCTCGTAAGTTTTTTTCTGAAAATATTTTTTGAGCTAAAATAAAAATTTTCATATACTTTGAATATTTCTTGTTGATTGAAGATGTTAATTGCACCATTTATCAGTTTTACAATCTCTTCACCACTCAAATTATTAAGCTCTGGATTGCTCAAAATATAGTTTACCAAATTAACTTTATATTTAAATTGCAATCTTAAGATCAAAGTAACTAAACCGTCCACAAATGATTCAGTGTAATCTTCGGTCAGTAATTTGTCTTTTGTAATCTCGAAATTAGGAGAAAAAATGGTGCATAATACTTTACAATTAACATTCTCGGGATTGAATTTAAATATACTCAAGTAACGAATAATCTTTTTAAATTCTTCAACTTGATCTAATCCTACATTTTCTATTAAACTTTCGATAATTGATTGATTTTCGATTTGAGAATCTTTGTTCCAAATGTTCATACCGAGTATAATTGCCCATTTAATAAAACAATCCTTTGAAATCAACGAGTTTTGGATTTGTGTAAGCATATTTTTTGCGATTAGTATAGCATTGTTTTTTGAATTTTTGTCATTTTCAATAAAAAAATGTTCAATTTGAGTTGTGATTTCCAATTTCAATGATTCAAGATATTTGCTTAAGTTATTATTTTTGTGAAATTGAACTAAAAATAACAAACAAAAAAATAACCTAAAGCTTTTAAGTAATGTTAACCTTTGATAATTAAAAGTCTTTATTATTTTGTATATTGTTGCATTTGATTTATTTTCAGCTTTTTCTACGCCATAAAGAGTTTCTGAAGTTTTTTTAATGGGTGAATACAATTCAAGTGCTTCCAATTGATTAATCTCAATTAGGATATCCTCAATAATTATTCTCATTTGCAAATCTCTTTGTTTGAATGAAACATACCATAATAACCACAAGTTTCTCGATAATTCTGGGATTTCGTTATATCCTTTTAAGTGTTTTATTAAATAAATTCTAATATTTCTATTTCTATCGCAAATGTGCCTTAATAAATATTGGATGCTGTCATCTATTAATTTATTTGAATTTGGTTGTTTTTTTTTGTTTTTAAGCCAAACGGAAACTGCTTTAATCATATTTTCACGTATGTTAGGGCAAGTAATATTTTTTTGTTGAATAATAAATTTAATGTATTTCTCACAAGAATATCCAAATTCTGACTTTTCCAAAAAAATATTCACAGCTTCTACAACTCCTTCAAGAACTTCTGTTCTGATATCATCCTCTCTATCATTTGATCTTGAAAGCCAGAATTCTATGAGCTGATTTTTTAGCTTACTTTCTTTCTCTGTATTTATTTGATGTTCTATCTTAGATCCTTGAAAAGTGGTATCATATTCCGATTTAATATCAAGTAAAATAAATTTAGTAACCATTTTTACTGTTTCAAAACGAAGCATATCATCGGTCTCTTGAAGTTCGCAAATCATCTGACTGATAACTGATTGAATATATTCTTCATTTATACTTCCTAAAAGGTGAATAACATCAATTATTATCGTTTGAATATCCTTAACTTTCTCATATCTACTTTTCCTTAATAAATCTGGAACTAACACAGAATCATCTCTCCACCAATCATTTCCTTTACCCTTTAAACCTTTAGAATCAAAAGAAAATTTTGTCTTATACCTCAAAAATCTAATAGATTCGGTTAGAATCGTATTAGTAATATATGAAATCCCACTTACTCCCACATTTGATAATATTCCACTAATATGGGGGAAAAAATCAGCAATTTTCGTAGTTTTAGATGATTGGAATAAATTTATAAGTTTCAAAAGAAAATTTAGCGTCAGTTCATTTTTTATACTGATAGTACCAGAATAGCTAAGGATACTAGAAATAGCATACTTGCAAATATTTATCATTTCAATATTATTTTGAATCACAGAATTCTCGAATAGATCCAATAGCATGGTAAAAATTAAAAGAAATTGCTCTTTTCTTATACTTTCGTGAATATTTTCTATCAAAAATATTAATAACTTGGAATTTTTTTCAGTGGCTCTTTCAATGGAATATATGTATTTTGACCAACTTTTATTTGAACTATTTATTTTACTGTCAATAGTCTTATATTTCTCAAGTATAGTTTTAATGTGCTCTATCAATCCACAAAGAATAATCTCAGATATTATTTCAGCATTTGATTGTTTCAAATTACTTTTATGTTTGTTCGGTGAGTTGAAAACGTTTTTTAATTTTACGTTTTCAAAAAAATCAGTTGAAATAGGCAGAGCAAGCCTAATACAGTCCAAAATACAATTTAACAATATGCTTTTATAGCGACTAAACGGTTTTTGTAAATCTTCTTGTTGTATAAGTATTTCAAAAATTGGTAATTTGATATTTATGTTTAAATTTGAAAGGCAAATGCTTATTTCTTTCAACCTCTCAAAACTAAACTTACAAGACCCCCATGATTTATTGGTCAATAAAATATCTGGGATATTATCATTTTCACTCATTTCTTCATTTTTATTAAAAAAAAATTTTATAATTTTTCTAAAGTTTTTTACATGCAATTTTGTTAGCCCCCACAAAGCGCTCAATTGCAAATTAAATTGAATTTTTTAACGTTAAATAGCTTAGGCATTAAAAAAAGTTACAAAAATAAACTATTTTTGTAAAATATTAATGAATTTAAGTAATCAGCAATGATGTTCGACAGCATTGGCAATTATATCAAGAGAAACTTTATCTAATATTTGGATAAGAACAAATTTTCCATTTAATAATGCTCTCTTTAAAGCCAAACTTAATCTATTTTGTTTTTCATTTGATGATCAAAAACTGCTGGCGAAATTAAGCTTTGTTTAGCCTGTAGGTTTCAATGAAATTTCATTTGTATAGTCGGAGAAAGATGTTATTGAAAGGTTTGGACCAAAAAAATCAAACTTTCTGTTGACACTTCTCACAATATAGGTGATGCAGAGATAGAAAATGGTGCAAAAGAATTTAAGCTCTCGAAAAGCCAACTGATTTTAATGGAGAGTATATTAATTTGAAAGTAAATTTCAAAAATTTAATTACCGAAAACCATGTTAATGAGACACCTAGATCGGAGAAATCGAATTTGTTGAAAAGGGTGATTTTTGAGAAATCACTAGATGAGAGCCATATGAAAAAGGCGAGTAATTCACGCGTCCACGTAAAATACAATCTAACGAAACAGTCAAAAGAAAAGACCTAGATAGTTAAGAGATACGTAAAAATTAGAATACTTGTAAATCTGTGGCATCACTACTATAAACTTGCAATTTGTCAGGACGGAAAGAGAATACTAACAACTCCTTCCAAACCTGTAGACAGGAATCTAGTTATACATCTTCAAGTCCGAAATAAAACTGCTCACCAATGCTTCAATTTTCAATTTAAAGAATTTTGACAAGTCTCATGGTTGTGAAGAATATGGTAAGCTAAGAGATAATTGCCTATTAGAAAGGCCACCTTAAAATGTCATCTTCGAAATAACGTATATAACTGGGTCTGGTATCTTAACTTGAAACTGGCAAACCTGTAATTCTGAGTGAATGTTAATACTATTGGAATATCCGAATACATCTCTAACACCAGATACAGGTCTTTTAGAAAGTCCATTCAGCCTCGCCAGATACTCGCCAAACCACATAGACTTATTCTATTCTGCTTTCGGCCTCCGATGCTAATCTTACTGGATCAGGAGTACCATTGGCACCACCGTTACAGCAGCCCATGGCACAACCAACAACGCATCCACAAGAGCAACCAGAACTCTTGCATTTGCCGCTCTTACACTTGCAGCACTCACCCGAGCACTTTCCACAACCGTTTGTACTTTTAGAGGATGGTCTGCCTGATTCTGGTAATCTGGATTCTGGCCTTCTTGATTCTGGTCTTCTTGATTCTGGTCTTCTTGATTCTGGTCTCTTCACATAACCTGTTTCATCTTCCGGTACTTGAGCTAGTAATCTACGAGACGGTCCAGTAGAAATAGACGTCGAGACCGTTGTTGTGGAAGTTCTGAGACCGGTAAAAACGGCTCTGGTAGTTGTAGTGGTTCTAGTAGTTGTAGTGGTTCTAGTAGTGGTAGTAGTTCTGGTAGTGGTAGTAGTTCTGGTAGTGGTAGTAGTTCTGGTAGTAGTGGTAGTAGCTCTGGTGGTAGTAGTGGTAGTAGTGGTGGTAGTGGTAGTAGCTCTGGTGGTAGTAGTAGTGGTAGTAGCTCTGGTGGTAGTAGTGGTAGTTGTAGTTGTTGTGGTGGTTGTTGTAGTGGTTGTAGTTCTGGTGGTAGTAGTAGTAGCTCTGGTAGTGGTAGTAGTAGTAGTAGCTCTGGTGGTAGTAGTAGTAGTGTACCTAGTAGGTCTGGTGGTGGTAGTAGTAGTAGTAGTGTACCTAGTAGGTCTGGTGGTGGTAGTAGTAGTGCTGAATCCAGTAGTGGTAGCTCTAGTACACTCAGATCCTTTGCACTTCGAATCATAACAGTTGGACCCTTCACACTTGCGCTTTTTACAGGAAGGAGCTCCGCAAACTTCTTCCGGTTTTTCGCGTACACAGTAATCTGGTTTGTTGTAACTTGATTTTTTTGCGCATCCAGATCCATTCGAGCAACTGTTGCATGTGCCCACAGCTCTACCATCACGGCCGACGATGCGAGCAGGTATAACTTTTACACCTCTACATCTTGCTGGAACACACTTGGCACCTTCAAGGTAACATAAAGAGTTGGAACAACCATCACAGTGAACGCGGCCGCACTTTCCTCCTACACACTTAGCTGGGGTACACTCACCACCAGTGCACTTGGCTGTAGTGCAACTGCAACCCTTACAAGATGGATGGCACCTAGCAGGAGTACATTCTGAGCCCTTGCACTTGAATCCATTATACTCATTGCCACTGCACTTAGGTCCAATACAGTAGCCTCCCTTACATGATCCTTTCTCGCAGCCAGTCTGACTTTCGCCCATATTACATGAGCCAGTAGTGCAAGTTCCTGGTGTACAAGACCCAGGTTGACATCTTGGAGCCACGCATTCATCTGAGTAACATCTACATGGGGAACAATCACCAGAGACACACTTTCCTCTCTTACATTCACCTTTAACACACTCACCCTTGGAACACTCCTGCTTTGCACAATGATAATCCTGTAAAACTTCACGTTTAACACACTTAGCACCCCTAACCTTAGCTGGAGAACATGAACCTCCGGTGCAGCGAGCAGGGCGTGCGACACAGCCTTCAAGTCTTGGAACCTCTGTAGTACAACCAACGCATCTAGTGGAAGAACATGAACCTGACTGGCAAGACCCTCCTACACACTTTCCAGTCTTACATTCACCGCCAACGCATTTTCCACATTTACATGAACCTTTGTCACACTTTGCATTGGAACAATCCACAGTATGCACAGCAACATGGCTACAATCCTTCTTAACGCACGTTGCTTTGTAGCATAACTTGGGTGACCCGTCCTTGTTTTTAATACATGAGGGACCGGAGAGGCATGTTAATGAAGAACACTGAGCGGGGGTATATGTTTGACCAGCTGCGACCTTGCTCAATATTTCCTCTGGAGTCAAGACCCGTGGATCAGGTACTTCCTGTAAACCAGGCATCTCATCATCATCTCCTTCTTCTGCTTCGGAAATAGCTTCTGCGAGTTTTCTACTTGGTGTTAACACAGGGGAAGATTCTCTAACAGAGGAATCTTCAATATCAGATTCGATCTCATTAGTGGAGAAATCTGCATTGGGGTCTACAACTGTTGAAGACTTTGAAAGTGTACCCATGGCCTTGGACTCTAAAGTAGTGAAAAACTGGAGAGCAGCGAAATTGGTTGTCCTTTCACGATGCTCAAGAACGGAGACTGCAGTTCTCTGAACAAATAAAGCTCTTTCTGCTTCCTTATCACCTTCTTCTGCCCTCTTAAGAACAACTGTTTCGTGGAATTCTAAAAGTTCTTTGTTTGGTTCAGACATAACAATACCATAACCTTCAGGGCTTTGGACTATGAATGGATCCTTAGTCTGATCTCTCGCCCATTTGGGGAGTAGAGGAGAATATTTATCCAAATGATATGCCAATGATAAACTATTTGCATTAATATCATCAATTGATTGTGATTGTGAGTTCACCTTGGAAACTAGTTCATCAGTAACCTTGTCAGCAGTTGATAACTCCTTGAAGAAAGCCTTACAGAGATCTAATTCTTGCTCAATATCCGAAACTAGCTTCTCACGAATTCTTTGGGCATGTTGACGCTGGTATAGCACTGGAATTCTGTCAATTCTGCCACTATTCATATCAATATATCCAAGTTGTGACTCAATCATAGAGCATTGCTCCTTCAAATAATTGTTCAAACCTTCCAAGTCCCTCGGTACCTTAGGTGACTTTCCAGGAATAGGATAGGGAGACGCATGAGCGATCAACATAAATGTAGTAGTGACAAGGATATCATCTTCCTTAGCAAGAACAAATGCCCTAGTAGATGTGCTCTCATCCACCTCCTCATCCAAAGAGAGATCAGATAAGGATGCTTTGAGGTTATTTAACTTCTCTTTTTGTGTCTTACAAAGTGATTTCATATAACCCAAAACTTCAGAATAAACCTTCTTTGCATCTGTATCAGGGAGAGAAGTTATGATTGGTTCAGCCTCAAGCAACAGTGTACTCTCAATGTTATCGATAAGTTTAGAGTCCTCCTCACAAAAGCCAACGATTCCCCTTTTAGTTGGAGAAATTAGAGGGTAATAGAAGAGGGCGTTCTTAGTGAATGCCTGAGATCCAGATGTTTGGATGGTAAGAGAGCCTGAATCTTCCTCTTTAAGAATAACCTGGACAGCTGAAGATAAATCAGCTGGTGATTGACCAGGTGCACCAAAAAGTCTATTTCTTAATTCAGAATCGGATGGTTTTACATTTGGAGTTAGGTATACGCCAGAATGATCGGGCTCAATTGTTTTTGTTTGTGGAAATCTGGAAGTTCTAGATGCTCTAGGTGAAACATAACTTGCACTTACACCAGCCAAAACAACTAAGAGTGTAAAAATACTCAAAGTTTTCCTGAACATTTTCCAGAAAACTTTCTGACAATAATTTCAATGTATCCAATTGCAACTTAAATAGTTGAGTTAACTTTTATAAAAATATAAAAATAAATTAACTCGTCCTTAAATATTAAGTAAAGTGAATAATTCGTCAGTGGTATACAGTGTTACTACAATATTCTACCCTGCTTTTTTATAAATAGATATATACGTATCCTCTAATTAGAACTATTAGTATCGTGTTACTCAAATTATTTTCCCTTTGATACATAGGTATAAGTCTACCTTTGTTCTGTTAATTGTATAATTAATTTGTAAATATTTATATTAACATAGAATATAAATATATACGTATAATTAACTAAGATCGTTACTCTACCACTAACTTATATTATTATATCTTTACTTAGTTTAGGCTGTTCTGTCTTTACCTCTGCTAAAATAGACACGCCCACCTAACCATTAATTTTACCGCTAGTATCGGAAAATGTTAAATGCAATCAGACAAATATTAATATAAGAAATGCAAAATCCGCCAGTTTCTACAAATAAAACACTACTAAGTTATTATACTTTATTGCGTTATAATTATTTACTTTTTGCATGATTCGATGTACTCTGTTGCAATTCTTATATTTTTGTTTTTAAATTAATTCAATTATCTACAACAAATCACTCCTAAGTTCCTTTATACTTAAAATACTAATTATTAATGTCATTTTTAAATAACTATGCTTAATTGGCAGTTATTCTTTGGATAAACATATTGTTTTCCATCTATGTAATCTACTGCGATGTAATTTTACTTTATCGCCATAATTTTTGGAAAATACAATTTATTTGTGTTTCTATGTTCTAATTGAACTATAATAAATATAAGAACGTATAAATGTTTTATTTAAAAGATTTCCAACTTTGAATTTGATGGTTTTTCTTAACCCCAAAGATATAAATACTTCTAAATACTCTGAGAACCGCGTTAACTGAATTAAAATCACTGCAAATGTAATTTGTTCTTCATAGTAGTAATATTAGATTTATATCGTAGTAGCTTACATATTCAACTCAAGTTACTCTATCAGAATGCATTATTAAACTTTAATCCGGGAATCAAAATGTTGGTATTTAAAGTTATAGAATCTGTGGGAAAACTAGTATTTTAATTAAATTAAGTACTATAATCATTCTTGTACAACCATATTTTTTATAAATACCTAAAAAAAATACCTTGAAAATCATTATTAAAAACAGTATTTAAGTGCATAATAAAATATGTACTAAAATAAAATCCGAATGATACTTTTTTATTAAGCTGCTAAATAACTACCAATTATTATGTTAATTAGTACAAGAAAAAAAAAGCTGTAATTTTTATGTAAAACACAGTAAATTTCATTTTTTTAGGCTTAACAAAAATTTACAGTTAGACTACACATTTTTTTTAATTTATATTTTATAATTCGAAATCGAAACAAAAATCATTTTGTAATTCATATGGCACCTAACTTCACTGATGAAGTTAATTAAAAATTTTGAATGGTCAAAGCGTTATGTCCATATTAAACGAATTATAAAACAGCAACTTTTTGCCAAAGCTTCATTTTTTAACATGGTTCATTATATCAATATGGTTTTTTGTCTTCTTAGAGCATAAAACCTTAGTTAACCTGCTTTTGATTTTATATTTAGTTGTACGTTTCTTATATTTATTCTCCAAAGGTCCAATCCCCTGCCCGTTGATGGCTTTCCTTCTAGTTTTTCTGTATTGTTTTGTGAAATATATCTTTGAAAATCCTTCATTAGGCTTTTCCATTATAGAAGGTATCTTAAATGATTCAGTTGTTGATGCAGCCGCCCATGAATTATCATATTCTGTGTAAAGCTTTCTTTTAGCCATACTTGGAATAAAATAAGGATAATGAGCGTGTAATACCCTCTGGGGATAAACTGAATCCATTTTCTCTAATTTAATGTAAAGTTTATTATTTTCATAAATAAACCCCGAGGAAAATACTTCTTGGCAAAAGTATTTAAACAATTCATATGATTGAGCATTTGCTTTTGAAAAGAAAGCTAGTTGACTTATGCAGTTTTTCTGAAATTTAGGTATCGTCATAGATAGCCATTCTGGTATCATTTTTGAAAAAAATTTTGCGACAGAAAACTCCGATATGAATTTTAGTCCAGCAATACTTGAAAGAGCATAATATCCAATAGAAGAAAGCATTGACCTAATTACCAAGAAATTTTTTTCGGAAGAAACCCTAGATAAAAATTTATTATTAGGAATGATTGAGATAGTTGTTAATATTGCAAATCTTGCAAAGGATTTAGGGTCCAAAAATCCATCAATTGGCTTAATTAATCTATATGATCTATTGATTCTTTCTTGAAGTTCAGTTTTTAACCTTGAAAAAGGCCCATTATTAAATGGTCTTGATATTATGCAAGACTCAACTTTTTTGCATATTTCTTCATAGTAAGGAGATATTTGATCATCCGCAACAATAGACACCGAATTCTTGCAGTTATCAATTGAAAATTTTTCATCCTTATATCCCATTGACATGATTGATGCACCTATAATATCTTGTAAATTATAGCTCATGAGTGCGCCTGTAAAAAATGGAGCCATACCCATATGCATACAGTGAATGATCTCTATATACCAAATAGATGGAATCATGCATACTTCTATTGCAAAACTCATTAATCGTTGGTAGGGCTCTATTACCAATTCAGGTAATAAGTACTTGAAATGCTTGACTCTTGGATACTGAATATTCGAGTTATAATTCGGGCTACTTAGATTTATTGAAATTCTTCTTCGGATGAAACTCGAAACAGATTTTCTTTCTAATGGAATATGTATTGGATAATTGAATTCAGGTTTGGAAGAGCTAATTACATCCGGAATTTCGATGCATACATCTCTATTAAAAGAAATAAAAGATTCTTTAAAATTTGTGTAATCATTAATGAAAGTAGTCGTCGGTTCTATGAGTGAATTTCCTGAAGAATTTTTGTAAGCAGAGTTTACCTCTAAGATCATTTTTTGCCAACCATTGTCGGCTTCAATTCCAGGCTCTAATTTATAGCCAGTTAATTTAGATCCTTGAATTAAATTAATAGTTATAAAAATAACAATCAAGCATATTGAGAAAAATTGTGTTGTTTCGTACCTCATTATTGATGTGTTCGTGCCATCAATAAATATATTTTTTAAGTTAAAATTAATAAGGTATCTAAACGTCAAAAATTACATTTAAATCGGCGCTATATGTTATTATCTGTAAATTTGCAAAAAAAAAATCAAACAAGCTCTTTTGCATCACAGAAAAATACTTATCAAACTAAATTACTTAGCTATATCACTCTAATACAAACTTTATTAAATTTATATTGGAAACTTTGTTATTTTTATAAGTGAACTACACTGTTGAAATGTTATTAAAAACTATCCTCGGATTAATTTAACAATTTATTCAATCCGGGAGTAAATATTAATTTACTTCAAGCTGTTAACTTCGAATTCTAAATGTTTAATATCGGTATTTAAAATTGGTAATTCATTGCTAAATAGTGCACTACTAAAATAAAACTCACTTAATTTTCAAGCTATTAAACTAAGAATGCCGACTATCCGCAAATAATTGATTTTATTGAATAAACTTTTTAGTAGCTCAAAGTCACTATCAAAAAGCTGAGCTGAATTATTAAAACGGTGTGTTCGTAATATATGCAACTTCGGAACTGGAAATCACGTAATACAAAATAATTTGAATCTGACTATATTATGATTTCTTTGAATGTATTGGAAATCGATATAAATTATAGTCTAATATTAGCATAACTACTATTTGTACGAGAGTAATAAAGGTGAACTTGATGCCATTATTTCACCTGTGCTAAATTCAACCCAATCAAAAATTAAATCTTTTATTGAATAATTCAATACGTATATTATTGAAAATATTATCACAATAATTCCAAAAAATTGTTAAATGTATAAATAATGCTCTTTACAATATTATTTGGCTATTTTTTTCTTCATCGTCAATTTCTTTGTAAAAAATCTAAACCCGATTCTAGTCCTTCTTCCCGTATTAACCTTTTTAATAGAAAATTCCCCCGATTGAGGTCCAAATCCATCTTTAAAGTGGTCTGTTTTGACCGTTCTTTTTAACTTTTTAGATTTGTATGCTTTTTGTACTTTATTTTGTCTTACCAAGCTAGGTGAATTAAATTCAATTTGTGCGTAAACCCAAGAATGGTCATAACCACTATAGTGTAAATCACTTGTCATATCAGGTACAAATAAATGGTATGAACTGTCTAATATTCTTTGAGGCATAATAGCTTTTGAATGTAATTTTTTGTCAATAGGCAATTCGTTTGTAGCTTCAACAATAAAACCTGCAGAGAAAATCTCTTTACAAAATAACTCAAAAATAATCGATCTTTCAACTGTGATATCATTAGAAAATTTAGATAGTCTTTTTATACACCCTGGAATTGAAATCAACGATATTTCAAAAATCATTTTCATAATTATCTTAGTAAAAAATACGGAAACTTTTTTTTCTGACTCAAATGCCCAACCCAGAGTATCAGATATTGCATAGTATGCTAAACTCGCCAACGCTATTCTAACTGGCAGAAAATTCCTTTCAGAGTAAATTTTTAAATCAATACTTTTATCTTTTACAAGTGACATTGAAAGCAAAAACGCATACCTATAAAACTGCATTGGTGTTAAAAACTTTTGTTTTACAGGAATGTGTTTATATGCATCTTCTACTCGTTTTTCAAATTCCTTCTTCTGTTTGGAAAATTGTTTTTCAAATTGCTTAGATTCCAGACACGCTAGTACATTATTACAAATATCCATATAATATGGAGAAATGTAATCATCAACTACTAATGATATTGCATTAAAACAATTTTCCAGATTAAAGCGTTCATCCTTATAGCTAATACTCATCAATGCAGAACCAACCACATCTTGTAATGAATAGCTAAAGATCATCCCAGAAAACTTTGGTGCCATACCAACATACATACAATGAATTAATTCTAAATACCAAGTTGATGGAATCATACATTGTTCAATTGCATAAGTCATTAATCTCTGGTATGGCTCTGGTGTTAATAAAACCAAACTTTTCCTGAAATGTTTCGGTCTAGGGAAGTTGGACAATTTAAGAGTTTCGGTCATATTCAAATTTGGGGTTTTCCTAATACTTGATACTATACGTATATCCTTTACCTCTGTTGGAAAATGGACTGGAACGTTTGATTCAAGACGAAAGTATTTTTCTGACAACTTTTCATGTTCAAAGTGGTCACTACATAAAACGTACTGAGGGTTATTGTATTCTGAATACTCACTTGCTTTTTTTGACAACAAGTCCTGCCAATTATTTCCTATATTTACATTTTCAATAATTAGCGTAATAAATCTGTTCCAAGTTGAAGTCCTTCCTTCCAATGTTTTGTTTTTACTAAGATAATGATCACCTTTATCAGCTGCTTGAGAAGAATTTGTACTAATGGGCTTTATGGTCGTTGTTGAACTATTGGCTTGCACCTCAACAGAAACCTCTAGTTTTTCAGGCGAACGATTTATAGAGGCAGATTCAACATAAGCCAAGTAATTTACAGAAACAATAATTAAAAGAAACGTTAAGAGTAGATTTTTCATTTTTCCTCATTTCAATATTTCAAATAACTGCAGAGAAATGGAAAGCGGGGAAAATTAATGCTTAAAATAATAAAAATGATTATAATTGTAAAAAAAGATTCTACGAGTGAATTTATTGCCCTGAAACATGCCTAGAAATTATATCAGATCTTTTTTTGCCTTTTGTAAATATATATTTTGCCCTTTTAGACAGCTTAGTTTTTTTTTCACCAGTTCTATAAGCCTCAAACCTGTTTCTTATTCCATTAGGGTTCATTTTTTTAGTATTTTTTAAAGTCTTTGATGTAAAAACCTTCCTCCTTTTGTTTCCTTCTATTCCCCTGTTAAATACAATTTCTTCAGTACTAACAAAATCCATCCAGTCAGTGCTATATTTATCAAATCTAAGGTTATGCTGCATTTTTGGAATTACAGAGGAGTATGAAGGGATTAAAATTCTAAAGGGCTTAGTTATTGTTATAAAATTATCTGCCTTATTTGAAATGATGTCTTCATCAATAAATCCAATAGAAAAAATTTCTCTACAAAAAGATTCTGCGACAATCATAGATAAGTCAAATTTAAGAAGTGGTAGCACTTCAAATGGGCAGTTAATGTCAAATGAGTCTAATGATGACATGATACCTTCTGAAACCAACTTTGCCACTGTCTCAACAATTTTAAATTTTTTTGGTGGATCATTTTTCAATCCACTAATACAGTAAATTCCCAATGAAGATATCATCATTCTAATAGGAAGAAAGTTTTTTTCTGGATGAAATGATTTAAGGTTCATTCGGCTTTTTACAAAATATAAAGAATATAATAATGAATACTTTGAGAACTGAATAGGGGAAAGATCACCACTCTTCCATTTTAAAAGAGAATAGACCTTTTTTATTCTTTCTTCAAACTCAGTTCTGAATTCAGAAAATGGGCCTTCAGAGAGTGGCCCAGATTTCAAACATTTTTCCATTCTTTTGCAAATTTCAATATAATTTTTGGAAATTTGGTCATCCGCAACCAATGAAACAGAATAATAACAATTTTCTATAGAGAAACTTTCATCCTTATACCCAATAGACATAATCGCGGACCCAACTAAATCTTGCAGACTATAACTCATGACAATTCCTGTATAGTACTGGGCCATTCCCATATACATGCAGTGAATTAATTCCAAATACCAAATAGATGGAATCATGCAAACTTCTATTGCAAAGCTCATAACTCGTTGGTATGGCTCTATTGTAATACTTGGCAATGTTTTTTTCAAATATTTTATTCTAGGAAAGTGAAATTGAATATCATTTCCCAGTTCAAAATTCTCGTACTTAAGTTTCATTCTATGATGTAACGGTACAGCCTTACTTTCTTTTGGAATATGTACCAATCCCTTTGAGTAAGAAGGACTTAAACCGATAGTATTGGTTTTTACTGCAATATTTAATTCATCATCTTGTATGCCACTCCTCGAGGCATCTATTTCAGAGTGAATATCCGATAGTTTTCTAATTGCTAGTCTTCCAGTTGCATTGTCAGATTGTAATAACTGATCGCAATAATGAACAAATTTAACTAGCCCAGAATTAATTATTGAAGAATAATATTTGATATTATTTTTTGGATTCTCCAAATCATAGGCTAAAGTAAAAAATATATTTGAAATGAATAAAGTAAGAATGGTACTCAACTTAACTATAGTCATACCTAACCACACTGAGTCAAATATATCTAACTTTATGTTAGTTTTTTCTTGGTGTGAGAAAAATTTTATCTAAACCAAGAAAAAAAAATTTACTAGATTGTAAATATTGATTGGGCGCACAAAGTAAAAACACATTTAATTAAATATTTGGAAGAAAAAGTTATTGAGCGTAACATTATGGCTTTGACATATTTAACTAGTAGTTATTTATTTGATTTAGCTATCATATATGGGATTAGAAATGTATTTGATATTATTACTATTTTTTTTTTTTCGTTTATTACAGACTTTTCTCTTTTTTTTCGAACTTCTAAAACACAACTTTGATTTCTTTTTCTTCTTTGAAAATTTCTTACTTTTTTTAACGGAATTTGTATTTTTGTCTGAAATTGGTTCCTGAACATTGTCTCCTACTATCTCAACATTTGAACTATCCGAAGAATTATTTCTACTAAATTCTTGAATATAGTCTAAGCTTTTATCGTGAGCATTTTTGAAATTCATCCATGAATTACTGTATTCCGAAAGTGGAAGCTCTTGGATCATTTCAGGAACAACAGACGCATATGAATTCAACAAAATTCTTTTTGGATGGGTTGAATTAATAAATATTGAATTGATTTCCCCAAGGCTTTGATATGATTCATTGATAAAGCCAACAGAAAAAACCTCCTTACAAAATGCTCTGAATAATTCAAACGAATGAGCGTTAGTTATATCAAAAAATCTGATTATTTCACTTGAACATTGTTCGATAACTGTATCTGTCTTCTCAAATAAAAGGTTTGAAATGAGTTTTGTAAAAAAACTCACTAGATGATTCTCGGACAAAAAATTCGTTTTTAATTTTTTTACTAGTGCATAATATCCAACTGACGCGGCCATAACTCTAATAGGCAGGAAGTTCCTTTCAGGGAAGACTTTATTTAATGACAGTTTTTTTGATAAAATTGAGAGGGAATACAAAATTGAATATCTGGCAAATGTTTTAGGATCAAGAGCACCCTCAAGTGGAGAAATACTACTATATACCTCTTGAATTCTCTGATTGAATTCGTTTTTAAAATTGGAAAACTTGTTCGTATAGAATGATCTAGACTCAAGGCAAGATTCAGCTTCCCTACAAATTTCTTTAAAGCGAGATGATATTTTGTCATCAGAAAAAAGAGGTAAATATTTGATACAATTTTCCTTTGAAAATCTTTCATTTTTATATTCCATCGAAATAATAGCGGAACCAACCAAATCTTGTAAACTATAACTCATGAGCATACCATCGAAATAAGGGGACATTGCAACATACATACAATGAACCAATTCTAAGTACCAAACTGAGGGCAGCATACAAACTTCTATAGCAAATCCCATAACTCTTTGATAAGGTTCAGGAGTTAATTCAGGCAAATTTTTCTTATAATGTTTTACCCTAGGAAAAAAATAATTTTGAATTTGGCCATCTTCTATTAGTTTTGTTTGTGAATGTTCACTGAATGATATCAAACTTTTCGTTTCAATTGGAATGTGGCAAACCTTCTCAAAGCCCATATGACTTTTTTTTGGAATTCTATCTTTATACTCAAAATCATCATTGTTTAACGAGTTTACCTGGCTTTCTGAATCTAAATATGAAGAAAAAACATATTCTTGTTTGTTTACAAATACTTTAAGCTCGTCTGTAGTCAAACTATTAACAAGACTAACAAGTCTATTTAATCCATTTTGACGATTATATGCTACTTCCTCTCCCTTCAAAGTTACATCTATGCCTTTGCCAACAATGTGTGTTATTTGTGCTATAACCAGTATTAATATTATATTTATAATTATAGTTGTTGATATTTTCAAATTGCTCATTTCCAATTCTATAGGAATAATGCAAATTTTTTAAAACCTATAAGAAAAGAAATATGGTGTATAAAATAGAAATTTAAAGAAACTTCCTCATAAAATTGTTCAGTTCAAATAGGTTATACCATTAAAATACCAATTTTTAGTAAAATTGCAACTTTTTTCCAGATAGTGACATTTCAGCTCACGCGCCAAAGATTTTTTTGATTATAAAATATAATCAAAAAAAAAGATACTGTTCAATTAAACAAATGAAGGATTGAACACTGTGATACAATAAAATTAGTTAATTTAAAAATAATTATTCTGATTTGTGTCATTATTCTTTTCGCCATCTTATAAAACATAAGTTTTGAAACTCGGAACTGGCCTGTAAAGCTAATAATACCAAGTTAAATAACTCATAAAAAAAGAATCCGAGGTATTGAGTTAAAAGGACTTAACCACCAAATTCTCCAAATCAAACATAATAATATATTGAAGTTTTTTCTAACCTTAAATAGAATATGTGAATTTCTTATTAATTTATAACTCAAATATAAGCCGAAAATGAGTTAATGTATTATAGTAAATTTATGCGGAAAAACTACCTTTTATGAAATATAAGTTGACAGTTATTAAAAATGAATGTAGAATAGCAAAAATAACAATATTCGTGCTACCATTCTAAAAATCACGAATCAGCCGGATTTAAATGTGAAGAAATTAATCCGGAAATTCTCTGCTTACGTCGGGTGAATAATTTAGAAACTTTATTAGTAATGCCACTTTTCTTTGTATTAACTGTGCGACTTCCTTTTATTCTATGAATACTCCTATCATTTGCGGCTTTTAAATATTTAGTTTTCATCGGCTTTTTTTTATCAACTTCAGATCCAATATGTTCGATTTTTTCTACTGACTGAAATTTTAGCCACGACAAGTTACCCGAAGCATCAGATCCATCAATAAGAGAAGGAATTACAGAAGCATAGGCTGGATCCAAAACTCTAGAAGGCAAAATTGCCTTATTAAATGCATTTATATCACCTCCTATTAATTCAACACTTTCATCAATAACGCCTATTGATACAAATTCTTTGCAAAATAATTCAATGGCATTTTGAAATTTTTTGCTATTTGAACCAAGTATTCCAGGGAAGAAATCCATGCAAGTCTTCATATAACTCTTAAATTGTGCGAAAATCATGTGACTTATTAACCTTGTGACTTTAGACATCCTTTCAGAAATAGTGCTCTCATCAACCGGAATGAATTTATTAACTAGGTAGCTCATACTTAATATCATAGCTCTAACTACTAAAAAATTTCTTTCTACTGCCGTATATTCTAAATCAAGATTTATTGTTTTAGATGATAGAGACAATAACAACGAGTGCCTTGCATAATTTTTATACTGTTCCTTCTTTTCTTGGCTTTCTATCTCCGAATATACATTATCAATTCTTTTTTGAAATTCTTCTTTCAAACGGAGGTAAGGTTCAGAGGAAAATTGATTAGATAATAAGCATTTGCTCATACTGTCGCATATCTCTTCATAATTTGAAGAAATATGTGTGTCTGTAAAGGATGAAACAGATCGATAGCAATTTTCAATTGAAAAACTTTCGTCTAAATAACCCATGGTTTTAATAGCAGAACCAACAACATCTTGAAGGGTGTAACTCATTAACATCCCCGAAAAAAATGGTGCCATCCCCATATAAGTACAATGGATTAATTCAAGATACCAAATAGATGGAATCATACAAATTTCAATAGCATAAGTCATCATTCGTTGGTATGGCTCATACGGTAATTTTGGCAGATTCTTATTAAAATGCTTAAATCTCGGAAAGTGCGTCAAAGATAGATCAACTGGTTTCAAAGACATACTTCTACTGAAACGAATAAATACAGATGGGTTCTTTTGTTCTTGTGGAACATGAATACTGAACCCATTTAAATTGCATCCCGTATGTACAAATTGATTCATCGAATAAAAAATGCGGTCATTATACAAGGATTGTTGAGGGTTATTAATAGGGAAATAATTATCTGAATTTGTTTGAATAAAGTTTTCCAAGGATCCTTGTGAAAAAGATTGAGAGGATTGCATAATTAGCCGTAGTAAACCATTTTTAAATGATACTGCACCCGGTATAAAAATAAAGAATAGGGAAATTAGCCATTTATAACACATCATTAATATTTTTTCTATTATGCATAAATGGGTATTGAATTTAGACCTTTGTACTACCCGAGCGCGTATTTCTGCCACATTTTTTTGAGCTCTACGTACTGAAATTTTTTCTGTAATTAACTGGATAAAAACATTTAAATAGATTTCGTTAACTTATTTAAAGTAATCAACTGTCGATTTGTTGATTATTTAGCCAATCTATAATATTGTTTCTTAGTTTTAAATTGGCCTCCAAGTTTACTTTATTAATGAGTTTCTATTTTAGTGATTATGATGGGGTTTTGTTTATTTCAAACCTTTTTAACATAAATTTAGTTCTAGATTAATTTTCAGACTAATCTTAAAATTCAAAAAATTTAATTTAAGTTTTCAGAGAAATATCATTAGTTGTTATTTTAATGCAAAAGCGTTAATTTATACTGATTAAATTACTTATAATTTGGTGTAGTTCAAGTCCAAGATAATTCCTTGGGTTTCAATATTTCTAAACTTTGATATAATTCGGAATGTCAATGGTTTAAAAACATTTTTTATATAGTTTGTTGTTGTTAGTGGATTCTTTATTTTTTTTTTTTTTTTTATTCAGCAATGTGACTTCAATAAATTACAGATTGTCATTCATTTTTGTGAAACTGGGAATGTCCTTAAAAATATAATAGATCCCCCAGAATATACTTAAACTGTTTCTATTACTTGTTTGTAATTTTATTAATTATTTATAAAATAGATTGAATAATGATAGTGTTAAAGAAGTAAACATAATTTAACTCATGTTATCATGAATTAATTGAAAATAAACCTTTCTTCTAAAGTTTGATAACTATGATAGAATAAGTTATTATATCAATATAACCCATAATGTTTTAAGCCTGCATGGATATTACAAAGACCCAATGCAAAAACTGGTTAATTTATTATTTTGGTTTCTGTTAAGTAAATATTCCGAAAAAGTCTTTTAAACCAAAAAACGATAAATTATGCAATAACAAGTTTTTAACATGAAAAAGTGTTCTAAATTGTCAGAAGTTAAAAGATTTAATACTAATGGCTTGAAGTTAACTTGGGATCAATTTGAATAATGTAATATAGTGATGTTGCTTTTGTCATTCAAGTAAAAAAATAGTCACTTCTCTCGAGAAAGTAAAACCAAATGAATTTAACATCTAGAATTAAACATTAAAAATCGTAAGATCAGTTTGTTTTTTAATTATTAGTGACTGATATAGCAAAAAATAATTTGGTGCCTAGAAATGGAATGAGTCACAAAAATTTTCTCAAAATTACAGATATTTGGCATTATCATAAATTTTAATTAAATTTTACCAAAATTAACTACATTAAAAATTATCACCTGTTCTGACCATTTTTCCTTCCTTTTTCTTTCGTCTTATTTCATTAATCGTTAAGATGGTCATTTTAACAATTTAAAATGTACATTTTAAATTGTGTATATTACAAAAGATATTTAAGTTTCTCGATGAAATCAAATACTTGTTTTTTTGATATTTAGCTTTCTAGTTAACTGTTAAATTTTTAATTAGATTGTTTTTTATCTACAAAACTTTATTTTTTTTACTTGACAATTTTTTTCTAAAAATAGACTAATTAAACATAAATAATTTAATAAACTTATAACAAGAAACATGGGAAACTAACCAATATAAAGTTTAAAAAGTTCCTTTAAATAAATTGCAAATTAATCATTGAATATAGTTTGTTATACTTAAGTAGGAACTGAAAATATTTTTTATTAGAAAAGCAAAGTTTTACTTAAAAATATGGTTTAATTGTTAATAAAAAATTTACAACTAAATTTCCACTACAAATTTACACAAATACATTACTGTTAATTATATCTTGTACAGTTTTATACTCCTTTCCCCAAATAGTTACTGCTAAACTTCAAGTCCATTAGTGGCATTTTCCATCTAAACACTAATTATATATATATATATATATATTTCTCTGTAGCTTTTAAGGCTAAATTTATAATCTTGTGTTAAAGAAATGTATTCAATTATTTTCTTATTAACTCGGTACTAATATAGAAACCATGATGAAATACATCCTCTTAATGAATATAAAAGTTTTGAGCTAAGATACAGTTGTTTACTTTTTAAAAAAATAGTTTAGAAGAGACATATAATAGTTTTTAAAACATTTTTTGTTCAATCTAGAAAGAAATTTATTTGATTATACTTATTAGGAAAGAACAAGTTGTTGATAATCCTTAGAGCTTAAATATAAGTTTCTTGTTTATACACTGTTTACAATTAAAATACAAATTTCGGCAGTCATAGAAGAGTAATATTTATTTAAATAATAAAACACTGACATTTATTATAAATAACAAATTAAACATATTTTTGGAATTGATTGTATTATAACGCATGCATCAGGCGCCAATTTCAGGTATCAATTTATTCATCTAAATAGATTTACACATTCTTTAAAAATATTACGAATGAAATGAAGCTATTCTAAGATTTTATATGTTCTTTAACGTTATTTTCCCTAATCTTTAGGTTGATCTCATACTTAGGAGTAAGATGAGAAGTATTATTTCAAGTTCAATTATAAAAACTTTGATTATATTATTTATAGTACATACTATTGGATCAAATTCAGACTCAGTATCAAGACCAACCAAAAAACAAAGGAAATTTACTGTGCTTAACAACATATTCAAGAGAAAAAATAAGCAATACTCTATTGTTTCAAAGGATGGTTCACTTTTATTTCCTGCTCTAAAGGCAATTTCTAACCAGAATATTCCAATTTTGAAAAGTGTTAACAATTTCGATAATAATTATGACGAAGGTAAGTTACGTAAAAGTATACTTTCTGTTATTTCTCACGTTTTAAAGATATACTTAATAGAAACCAGGTATATATTATTAAAAATGGAGAAGTTCCAGGGTGGGATGGAATGAAAATACCAATACATTCTACCAATGATTATTCTAAATTAAGATTAAAACCACCTGAAGAAAGTAAATCTATTTCCATTTTCCCACCAGTTGTGATTGAAAGGTAAGTATAATAATCAATACTAATTAGTTTTTTAAAATCTTTTCAGATTTATGTTATTTACTTTGGAGGAGTGTCTTCTTCCTTCAAAATTCTTTGTTCAGGTTGCTTTTTGTACGTTTGATGCAATCTACCCATATTTAGAAGGTGTTCCTTCTGGAGAAATTATGCAAGACATAGTAGGTGCAGCAATGTATTCAATCAATAAAATAGAAGGAAATTTTTCTTTTGATCTAGATTACTGCCGTAATGCAATTGCAATGATTTCGGACCCACGTATTAATTCAAATGCAGATTCTAAATGTCACGATATCTCTTTATGTATGCATCAAGATCATCTTCCCCAATTATCACCTTCTTTAAGTAAATTGAATTTGAACCAATTAATAGAAAAATCTTTTATGCTTCATGGACTTGAATATCAACTTAGAATAAACACTTCTGTTGAATTTATTCTTTGGAAAATAATTAAATTCACCCATAAATCCAGAAGATGGAAAAAGTACAGGAATCCCAACAGACTATTTACAATCATTCGAGCATATATACTTACATTATATGTTAGGCATTCAAGCCAAATTATTCCAGGATGGTATTTAAATCAATTTCCCCCTCCAAAAAAGTCTCTATCATTTGTATATGTGAAAAATGAACATTATACAGATCAATCTGCTTACATTAACTATTGTGCGAAAAAATTAAAATGTTGGCTAGATATATTCCAACCAATTACTTCACCAATTCTCCCAAATATAGACACAAAATATGAAGTTTCAAGATCTGCCTGCTTTCAAGCAGGAAGAGCAGGATTTGTAAGCAGTGAAGAATTTGACTTCTCTGATATGATTGAACAAGGCACTGAAAATGTTGATTTGTTGAATCTTCAACTTCCTGTAATATTAACCAAATCAGACAAAGAAATTAACTATATTAGAAATAACAATTTAAGAAGAGTCTCGGAAAATAGAAGGTGGACAAGTTACCATGAATCATATCCATACTCATTCAATGAGAAAGCCCCTCAAAGTTCGAATGATAATAATAAATTTAATTTACAAAATTTAGCTCAGGAAAATCCACCAAAACAAGAATATCAAGACGAAGATATTTTATTAGACGAAATTACTGACTTGGTAAGAAGAAAAAACAATAAGGAGTTAAATAGCGAAGATGCTCATGTCTCAGATCCAAAAAGCAAAGAAATTCACAGTAAAGTTCCTCTTTCTCCCAAAGAATTTCTAAGTCGATTAAAGCAAGATAACTTCATTTCAAATTCTCACAAAGAGAAAATAGACGGTGTTTTATACAATCCCAGAAGTATCATTGATAATCAATTTATTCGTCGTGGAAATGTTTATTCTTTAAAGAGAAATGACAATGAAAATACTGAAGTCGAAATAAATGATATTCAAGACGAGGAAGAAGATATGGAAAATGGAGAAGCTCAACAAGATGGTTTTGAGAACGAATATGATAGTTTATAGTCATTAATAATGCACAAATGCCTAAAATAATTCAATTTTCAATATCAATCTTAGTTTAATCTATTTTTTTTTTGAGACATCACTTATAGTATACAGTTATGCATTTCCATTTCTCTGCAATTGCTGTATTCTTCCTAATAAACTACCCCCTAAAATATTTCCATTTACGCCTAAAGTATCTCTTAAGCTACCTAATTTGCTGTTAGAATTGTAATTGTTATTACAACCAACATGATTTATATTCATGTTCGCATTATTTAGTGGTAAACCATTATAAATACCATTATTTTGTTGGAAACCGTTGTAAAAGCCGTAGTCCTCAAATCCTCTAATTTGCTGTCCATTAATAGGTTGAATTCTCGATCCAAATGGAATTGGCGAAATAAATGGAAGGACAAATGCTTGTACTAAAGTCAAACAACAGCCACAAACAGCCAACGATATTTCTATGCATGCCATCCACTTCACAGTAGACCTTAACTTATCTAGAGGGGATTTATACTTTTTCCTTTTTTCCTTGAGTTCCTTCTCTCTCTTTTTAAGCATCTTTTGTCTTTTTTTTCTCTTTTTCCTTTCCTTTTTTGAAAGTTTACTTTCATCAATACCATCATCAAAATACCTTCTCTTTAAATTATTTCTTCTATAATTGATTTCGTTATAGTTTAATTCTTGAAATCTCGCTAGTGAACGAAATTTTGGTTGGTTTTGTAACTCGGAGCTGTTTGAAGTATTATTCTCAAACTCTAATTTATCAGTAATTTCTGATATATTTTTAATATTGTATAGATCTTCCAGATATATTTTTTCAGTTGAATTGTTGTCTTGATTCATTATAATTGAAATCTCATCAAAAAGCTTGCTATTTTTATCTCCTAATATGTAACATGTATGTGTTTTATTTACAAATTTAAGTGTATTTATTTGGTTATGACATTTGTCATGTTCATTAGCTGATGTTTCATTAAAATAAATATAGTATAAATCTGATTGCTCATCCTTTAATATTTTTTCGTTTGTTAGGTTCATCTGAGTTAATATATCCTCAAATATGCTGTCCTTTATAGATTCTACGTGTTTGATTTGGGCATTGGCTGTAGAGCTTGAATTCACGAAATTAAAAAAAATCGAAAAAGCTAATATAGAAGCTAATAATAAATTTAATTGTATTCTAACAATCATGATGGCTACTTTATCAAATTTTTCCTACATGTTAGTTTTTTATCTGATCTATTTTGTTTTGAAAAAAATTTGTATGTCAAGTAATTCAAATTAATGCATAATATTTAGTGGAGTAATCTGATAATTGCTTTGGTATAAAATAATAGACAATTATACTTATTACAAGTTATGCACAATTCTCTAACTATATTTTATTAAAGAACGTTTATAATTTTAATTAATTAACTCAGTCTATTTCAATAGCTGATAAAATATTATCTATTTGCTTTTTAATTTCCGAATTCGACGTAAAATTTGAATTTTTATCTTTCAACACTTGGTGAGTTTTTTCTAATTTGAAATTGGTAGAATTCTTGGTAGAACTTGAAACAGTGGCTTTTGAATGGTTATTACTGGTCATTGTTCGTTTATCAGTTATTTGAACGCCCGTCTTTCTTGAGACAGGCTGATTTTCTGTAGTTTTTGATGGCTTAGGTTGTTGTCTGGAAGCAGGCTTAGTCTTTAAATTAGAATTTGAAATGTTCATTTGACTCAATGAGCTCTCTTTTACGATTTTCTTGCTTTGTTGATTTTTGTTAATTTCTTTTAAATGAACAAGATGAGGGTATGCTACGTATTCAAGCTCGTTGATTGAGATATTTTTTGGAATCTCGATTTCACTGCTTACAAATCCCATAGAAACTAATTCAGTGCATGCATGCTGAATCATTACGTTGGAAAATGGACAAAAACCAGCTTTATTCAAATACGATAAATAATCTACAGAATTAGTTGAGAAATGCGCATTGATAATTTGACGTGCACATTTTGCAATCATTTTAATAGGAGTGGGCTGAAGTAAACTTTTATCCCCAATTTTCAAATAAGCTTTCGGAGAAATCTCAAATGCATCAACATCTTTAAATCCTTTCCTTATCAAATATTCAGTTAAGATCATTATAAAGTTAAAATATCGTATTACGTAGAATAGTTTGTCTGGAATTTTTAATATCTTATTCTTTTTACTATTAGCACTTGTAGAGTCATAGTACTTTTCTCTTCTAGCCATTAATAGTCCAACTATAATTTTTTGGGCATAAGATCTGGGTTGTTGTCCTCTGAAGAATGGAGGTTTTTCTTTGTAAATATTGGTAATTTCTTTTTCTAATTTCCTAACTTGATTCTTATTATTTTTCAAAAACTCCTTGGAAGTGAGACAGTTTAACATAATATTGCAAACTTCTAAACCTCTTTGATTGATTGCTATGTCACTAAAAAGGGAAATTGCAAGCTTACATCTAGATAAGCTAAAACTTTCACTTGGAAGATCCATAGATGCCAATGATGCACCGACAATATCTTGAAGAGTATAACTAGTAAGAATACCAGTTGTGAACTTTGTAACTCCTCTATGCATACAGTATACAAGTTCTAAATACCACAAAGAAGGTAATTTGCAAACATTTATTGCATATGAAATAATCCTTTCGTTTGCCTCTAAAGGAAGCCTGTAAGAAGATCGAGAAATTACTGGCATTCTTCTCATTTTTACAGTTTTAGAAATCGGAATAATTGGAATGTGAAGCTTAATTGGGAGTTTTGAATACTTATTCTCAGAAAGAGGGTTCGTTCCATCAGCATTTATATCATTGGGGAAATTGGGTTCTATACCTTTAACAACGACAGTTCTAAATAGTGGATCGATTTTTCTGACTCTAATTCTATATTGAGAGTTGTATATATGATCATTCCCTTGATTATCAACTCCTACCAATATGTTATCGGGATTATACTGCTTTTTGTCGGATTTTTTTGTAAGTATTGGAATAAATGTATTTATAAATATTATGATAAAAGTTAGTCTCATTTTAGCAAGATTGAAAAATAAATACAAATAATGGTTTCAAAAAGAAGATCTTTATTGGTGATTCGAAATTTTATTTCGTTATGTCGTCTGAAAAGTTCGATATTCACACAGATTGCATACTTTTATTGTTCTGTCAATTTATTAGTCACAGAAAGAGCTGACTAACATGTCCTTTTTCAACTGGCAATTATTTCGAAAGCAAACCTTCACGTACAAATGCAGTTTCAAATATTAAATTATTATCTCGGTATCAATACCTACTAAGCTTTAAAAATTTAACAATGACGATACCTGTAAATGTCTGCAAATACCTGCAAAAATCATGTTTTTGCCGCCAGTCTGTGCGTATTAAACTGGCGGGAAGGACATTTGGAATAAAGGTTGAGAACTTAAACATAAAATTAAAGCACTAAATGTAAAAGAATAAAATACTCAGATATGACTATTGATTCCGGAATCGCAACTTTCCTCAAAAAAATCAGTAGAGGGAGCGAAATCATCATTGTATCTTATTGCTTCAATGATAAACTATGTAAAAAAGGCTAAACTTTAAGTATAGTCAGCTCCTGCTAATTATATAACATGATAATAAAGAATATAATTCCAGTTTTTTACTTTATAATGATGTATCTTCAGTGAATATCTCAAAATGTATAATTTGGGGATCTCATAGTTCCGGATGATGCAGTTCGTCCACACTTTAAACTTCAAGACAAATTACTTCAATTTGGCTTAGGTAATCTCAGCGATTGAATATGACAATATCACAAACTCCTCTGGATTCCGGGTAGGTTCTAACCCAGAACAGCAGAAAGGAGATTCAATCAATACATGCAAGCATCATTGAATAACCAAAGCCTATATATCACCTCAAGACTTTATAGTTTTCCTAAAGTGAATCGGTTCTTGTCTCCGATGTTATTAACCAGGTTAGACAAATACATAGCGCCACTTTTGTTTTTTGAAATAATTTCAAGTCGCATACCTACGTAAACATAGCATTGAAATTAAGAAATAATAAAGTTCCTTTTTAATCCTGTTGAATATATTGACAATTCTTTTCTCTTTAGCCTGAATTTTTGTTATTTTTTTGGGCTGTTTTCTTTGTTGGCGTTTTTTTGTTGGTTTTTTTCATAAACCTTTTCTTCAAAATTGTTCTTAATCTTTTCGGCGACTTTGTGGAAATTTTGCTTATCTGAAATATACAACTTGTTGAGGCTTTTAATGGCTGAAGCTCCTCTTTCTTTTCTAGTATCAATGCTTGCTAAAGTCTTAGAGTCATTTTCTTGTAACCAGACCAACATTTTTGCAATCTTTCTGATCTCTTCAGTCCCCAAATCTTGATGTTTTCCCTTAGGTTTTGTAGCTTCTTCAGATTCAGCGCTTTTTTTTTCTATATCGTTTTTTTCATTATGTTCATTTTCTTCTATAAGTCGCTTTGATTCTTTATTTTTCTGTTCAATCAATTTCCTTCTTTTAGCTTCTTCCAATATGGCATTAATAATTACTTTTCTTCTCTCTTTTTTCCTCAAAGCTGCTTCTTTCTCTTGAAGTACTTCATTTTTTTCTTCCAATGGATTTCTATCTTCCATTCTGTCTTCTGCAGAGAGTTGTTGAATTCTCCTTTCAATCTTGAGCAATTCGATATTGTGATTGTGTAAGCTTTCTTTATTTTTTTCTATATTTTCCAGAACATTTCCATATTCTTTCGTCTTTCTTTCTTTGTTTTTAAGTTTTTGTGCATGCAAACTCAAATTTGCATTTTCTAACTTCAGTTTACCTATCTTTTGTATCAAATTCTTTTTTATTTCAACACACTCAAGAAAATCCTTTTCTTCATATTCAGGACTCGCATTAGATTCTATCAAATTGTTAGATTCAGTTACAGTTTCATCAACTTCCATATTTAATTGTATAGTATGAATCAATTTATTCCCTGTTAGAATTTCCAATGCTGTTATCTGTTGTTTTGGAGTGATTAAAGTTATGGTGTCATCATCTTCTTCTTCTAGTTCAACAGGCACAGTAGCAATCTTATTTGTTACTTCTTTTTGAGTTTCTGACTTTAGATGGTCATCGGATTTATGAGGAACAATTAGAATACCAGATGCAAGTATTTTTTTTCTTGTAAGTTCATCAAATTGGGATACTTCTCCCAAACCAGTAACTTCTACATCCTGCTGCCTTAGTAAATTTAACTTGTCTAATAATCTATTTTCTTCGATGATCTTATTTATTTCAAATTCTTCCTGTCCTTCTTCAGAGGTTTTTTGGCTTTTTACGGTAGAAATATCTCCACCAAAAACAAGTGATCCACTGTATCTTAAATCAATATCGGATAGCCATAACTTGACAAATGTGTTGTTTTTCGTGTTGTATTCCTTAATATTTTCTGGACGTTTGTAAAAAGTATCTTCATTTTCTATCGAAAGTTCTAACTCTTTTTTAATTTCTCCAATGATCGTATTATCAAATTTAGTAAGTTTTCTCTTTTTTTTATTAGATTCTAAAATTAAGTTAATTTGATTAGATAAATAGTTTTAATCTCTTACCTCTTGCTGCTTCAACAACATGACGGAAATCATTTGCATGAACTTTATTGCATTCACTTTCTTGGAAAAGCAACAAAAGTAACAGGGTGCATGCTGAAAAAAAACTTATTAGAGACATTAGAAACAAATTATTGTTCCTATACCTCGTCATTATCTTCATTTCAAACTTTTCTATTCACAAACTTGATCTAATAATTTTAATTTGAAAGGCGGGCTAGTTTGATTTACTTTTTCAGCCAAAGGTTATGCATTTCAAATATCATTTTACATAATTATTAAAAAAAGTTCAAGATTAAAAACAGTCCTATAACAAAAAATTATAATTAATGTAAATACAAAAGCCTATTTATTCTTTCTTTTTGGTAAATTCGATTTTGGAATATTGATTTTTTCTGTATTCTCATCAATTTGAGGAATATGTAATAAATCTCTGATTTTAGGATTAGTAGTTTCCTCCGAGTTTGCAATGCTACAGTTCTCAAATATTTCAGAATTGCATTCATCCAAGATTTCATGTTTGCTTGGTATAGAAATTTCATTAGAGAGAGTTTTACTGGGTGCGTTATGTAAATTCTTTTTAGTATGCGATAATTTAGGTTCCGAATTGTCTTCTAACTTTTCGAGTAACGAACCATTACTCAGGTTTTGTGAATTCAAATTATAAGTTGGTTTCTTGTTGTTTCTTTTTGGCATTTTTTGCTGAGCAAGTTGCAGAATTGGAATTTCTTCAATAATTTGAATGTCATTATATTTGCTATTGGCAGAATTTTCTTCAATATCCAGTAGTTCACTGTAACCTTTAGGCTCTTTTTTCTTTAATGGTTTTTTTTTTGATTGAAAACTTGAGCTAGTGTCTTTCTCTGTGCTTTTTTTCATCGGAATATTGCTGATTCGTCCAGCACTCTCAATTGAGGGTAGAGTAGAAATAAATGGAGTATTTTCTGAAATTTCGAATTGAAGGTCATCGTAACCATGTTGGGGATATTCTTTGGCGTATTTTTTTGATGAATTTTTTTTTCTTTCTTTAAACTTTTTTTCAGAACCAATATTTAATGATGATTCCAACTTTAATGGAATAAAATCCAGTTCTGGGGGTGAAAAATCCTGTTTTTCTACTACTTTTCTATTCTTAGTTTTTTTTTTAATATTTTTTTTACCCTTCTTTTTCTTACTTCTAGTTTTCTTTGTTTTATTTTCCTCGCGTAATTCTCTGGCTCCATCTTCGTCCAAATCTTCAAAATTAAGGTATTCTATTTGTTCTGGGGTAGTCAATAAAACACTATTTTTTTTCTTATTATTTGAATGTTGTTCTCCTTCATAAGAAAAATTCTTTTCACTCATAATTATCCCAGATGGAATTTCATTGGTTAGTATGAGTTTGGAATTTAATTCATTTTCTTGGATTGATAGTTCTTCGGGTTCTACTCTTATAGAATTTGTTTTTTCGTTTGAAAAATTCATATCAGGTTTTTCTAACTCTGACTCTTTAGTAGCATTTTCGAACTCAGCAGGGATTGATCTTCCCTCTTCATCCAATTTGTTAAATAATCCTTCTTTTACTGGGCCTTTCTCAATCAGGTGTTTGGCAGAACCCTTCCAATTTGGTTGACTTCTTTGTTTGTCTCTTAAGAATTTACTCCTAAAAAATTTTAATATTAGAAAACTCAGGGTGGGAATAGAAACTTACTCTGTTGGGTCTTTCAAAATAGTGTTATGAAGTAAGGGATTATTTACTTGTAGCTTTGTTTCATCAGGCAAATCAAGATTATCCATCCAAATTTTAAGTTTTGGATCAATATATGATGGCTGAGAAATATCTTTTTCTGCACTTATACCTGTATAATCAAATTTGGTTGGGAAACCTAATAACGGAGTCGATTCTTTATCATTTTCACCATGATTGTATTCAAGTACAAGATCTTTCATTTGGCTGATTTTTTCCTTTATTTCTTCAAGCCTAAGATCGATTTGATCTTCTACCCCAGCCTTTGGAAGATCAAAATCTTCTAAATTTATACTAATCAGTTTAGGCCTACTATAAGGTGAATAAATTATAATATTCAAAATTTGTTCAACTTACCTAGGTACTCTAATGTAATCAGCCCTACCAACATTATTTTGAACTGTTTCTACTCTATCCTCTTTCTGACTAACCTTTTCCAGATAACCTTGATCTATTTCAATATTGTTCTTTGTGATGGGCTCGATAAACCCTGGGATCTTGCTTTTTATTTTCTCGGCATCATTTAAGTAGCTTGATTCACCTATTGCAAATCGCAAGAAATATGGCGAGATCAAAAGAAAATATAAATAATTTATTATTCTTAAATTTCTTCTAGCCATTTCCATACTGAAAAATGATATTGAGCCGGAAATAACCTTTTTTACTAAATTTTAGATTCCGCTTTGTTTTGACCATCAAATATAAATACTCTTTACAATGGTGCCAAAATCTAAAAAAATTGACAATTGGTCATGATAACAATATTAGTAGCAAACCTGCTATTTTTATTATAATAGCCAACCAAATTTCAGAAATTTTAGATTACTGCAAAACAAAAAAAAAAATCTATTATCTACATTCTTACTTTTTTCCCACATTAATTGCGCCACAAAATTTAAAATGGCGGGTTCAGTAAATTAATTTTTGTTAGATTTAACAGAAATTCAAAAAGAAGTTAATTTGATATTTATTGAAAGAAATTTCACTCTTTATCAAAATTATAAGACTGATGTTTGGGGAAATATAATTTTAATCTAATCATCCTTATGCAAATAGGTCTTTATAAAGTATTAGCACAATTATTATTAGATAAATTACCAATTTTGGAATTAATATATTTGAATATTACCTATTAATGAAAATTATATCCTTAGATGGTTTTCAAAGCTATGGCTGTGTTGGAAGTGGTTCTAAAAATGCGAAAAGGGATCATTTCAAACCGATCAGCACTAAATTCTTTAGCCTCAATTATGCAATAATAGTACTCTCAGTATTGTCACTTTTAATTACAATATTTGGGTCATTATTTAAAACATTAATAAAGGTGTATTTTTTTTTGGTTGTGAATAGACTTATTTGCGCATTGGTAATTTCTTCTTTTATACGCCACATACGAAATTTTGACAAATCAAGTATTAAAGTACTACTTCCTCTTCATTTTATAAATCAGGCAAACTATCTCGGAACATCGATTACGGCCTTATCTACAAGAATTCCAAGCATTCTATTTAAGCCTCAAATGAATTCGATGAATTATTTAAGCGTTTTTTCAGCTTTCTGTTTCACATCCATTTTAGTAATGGAAATTATAAACTTGGTCTATACCTACGATATATTTTTTAAAGTAGAAAGGAATTTCATCATTTTAAAATCAGCAGTCAACAACGGTGATCTAAAATTAAACTTGTGTGTTTTTATTATATTTGGTTATTGTTTGTTTGCTGATTGTATCTATTTACTATTTTCAATTTTAACATACATAAAATATACACTATTTCATGGATATTATACTGAAATTATTCTAAGTTCATTTTCTGGTATTTGCATCTTTATTTCGGTTACTGGTTTGTTATTGGGTGTTTCAATTATACACTATTTGAGATGATTCGCGCGCTTAAACAGGAATGATTCATTTCAGAAAATGAATTGTTATTCGATCCTGGAGAAAATCCCTCCAATTACTATTGGTGCAGGACCATCTGATGATCTATGGTCTGAAAGATTAAAAGAAGAATTGAAAGCACTCATAGGATATACAAGCTTATTGAAAAATTCAGGTGAAGAGTGGTTTAATATAAAACCACTTCAAAATGGAACAAGGTAAGATTTAAACATTTTCATATGGCCTAGTTTTATTTGTTGCAGATGGGAAGGAATTTGCTGGTACACCCACAACTTAAAAAAATACGAATTTAAATTTCACTTCAATGTAAGTTGAGGGTCGGATAAAATTTGGGTTTTCAAATGGTTATTATGAGCTTTAACTTTTAGATACCTGAAAAGTATCCAATAACCCCGTTTGAAGTAGAGATTCCAGAATTGGATGGGAAGACTTTGAAGATGTACAAAGGTGGGAAAATTTGTCTGGATAGTCACTTTATCCCACTTTGGTCAAGAAATTACCCAAAATTTGGTATTGTACATGTTCTTGCTTCTGGCCTGGCACCATGGTTAGCTGCAGAAGTGCCATTTTTAGTATCAACATGTAAAATTTAGTTTCTTTCCATGGACAAAATTTTATCAAAAAAATAAAAGAACTTAAAATAAATTCGGAATTAGGACATATGTGTTAATTTCTTATGATCTATTTATATATCTTAATTTTAATTTCTTAGTTGTTATTCGGCTCGATTTTCTATTATCTACAACTAATAAAATTTTGGCGCCAATTAAATTGATCTGTGCTTCTAGTATAAGGGGGATGGCGCTAACAAATTGAATATAATGTAATTTAGGTTTTAGAATATATTGAGCAATTAGAAAAACAAGTGTAAGGAGAAACACTTAATCTATTTATGTGTAAATGGGCATACTTCAAGGTTCAAATCAAAGTGCTATAGAGGGAATTATACTGTAGCTGAAACAAAAAGGACAAAGTTGTAATTTTATTTTTAAGTTGTGAAGATCAAAAATAATCCCTTAGTTTTGATAACATATTTTATTTGATTTAGCATTTTGTAACTTCTAGATGCAATAGAGAAATGACAGAAAGGACGTGTAACTTGGAGGGGAATTCTCTTAGTTCTGAAGATTCAGAAGCGGATCTCGAAATACCACTAGAGAAAGTTTGCAATGATCCGAACCCTATCTCAGAACAATTGAAACGCAAAAACAACTTACTTATTAATGATGATCTAGTTCATTCTTCTGAGACAGATCAAAATAAAGGTTTAGACGGAAAAGAGGGAATTGATGGGCAAAGTGGAAATGCTGAAAGCTCTGGTTTGAAACAAAAAAACCATTCAAACCGTATTTTTAGAAGGATATTTGAATGCGTTTGTAGAAACAGATCTCGATCTAACAGTTCAAATGGTTTAAACCAAACCTCTTCAAATAATTATAGGAATGGTGGATCTATTTTCCTTTCGATATTTAAGGGACTTCATGGTGCTTACCTATTCGATAAATATACTAAGAAAATTGGCAAGCACATTTCTCTAGTAGCGTCTGTTTACCCTAGATCACTGCTTATTATAGGGAATGTTATGGGGTTAATGTTTGGTTTAGTTGTTGCATTGGGATTAATGAAATTATACCCATTCCATCTTGAGGTAAATGGATCACCTGATTTGTTTCTTCCCACAAAGTCAATCCATAACACTCATAAAGAGGAGCTTAGAAGGTTGTTTGGCCCGGAAACTGTAACTGTCCCAATCTTATATAGTAATAAAGGACCACCTGGCTCATCTCTTCTAGATTTTGTTACTTTGAAACAAATTTGGAGAAATGAAATGTCAATTCAAGCCATAAAAGTAGTGGATAAAAAAGGAAAAGAGTGGGGTTGGGAAGATATTTGCCATCGCCAACCAACTGGATCTGTAGTTACGGGAACGCCCTGTGTTGTTTTGTCTTTGTTTGGACTTTTCATGATAAATGAATCATCTGGAATTTTCTCAGAGAAAGACTTTGATGAAGCATTTACAGGAGAGTGCTGCAGTGGAGTTAGCATTTCAAAATTTGCAGCAGGGAACTTAATAAAACAAGTTTATTTTCCCTATCAATATAAATATGATGAGGATCTTCCTGAGTGGCCACTTGAGATTCACAATACACAGGAAATGCTTTCAATTTATAGATTGAATACAACTGTTCCTGAAGATGTAAGAATTGCATGGGAAAACAAGGTCACAAATCATATCAAAAGTGTACAAAGACGTAATCAACTTGTAAGTATAATTAACACTGAAGAAAGGTCTGAAATTAGCCAGATTAATATAACAAATAAAAGGTATGAAGAAAATAACCATACTGGTAATTTTAAAAAGCTCATTACTGTTGAGCAGCCTCTATACAATCCAGATAGCATAATCAATTCGGATAATACAAAGGACGTAAGTATTTACCCAAATAATTGGGGGATTGTTCATTATTCTTTGGAATTTGTTTCATCTGAGACCACCGAGTTGGCAAATAAGGAAACTCCACTATTGCTCGCAACATTTGCTTTAATGATTATTTTCATGGCCATATGTATATCTGGAAAATTCCCAAAAAGATCTAGGGTATTATTATCTTCAACTGTTGTTATGATTACGGTATATGCAACTGTGGGAAGTTTTGCAACAGGAATGATCTTTGGAGTCCCGATTTCTCCTCTTACACCACTGTTTATTCACATGTTGTTGGGAGTAGTTGTAAGTTACATGATTATTTCTGTGAGAACTTACACAAAAACACGGATTTATATTAGAGTCCCGTATCATTATTTACCATTCCTTAATTCAAAGTATGTTCGAATTTCTGGTAATGAAGTCTTTCTTGAAATAACACAGTACATTTACAAGCCATGGAGGGGATTTGTATTTTCAGAAGCGGAAAATAGTCATTTTGGTAACGAAATCATGCATGGGAATAACCATAGCTATGGCAGTACAAGCGTTGAGTTAATTTATGGTCAAAATTATTCAAGTAACGAAATTTCATCTTTTAATTCATCTAATTCTGCATCAGATTCATACTCAAACCAAAGAGATCAATTGGAACAGACCGAAAAGACCAATATTATTACAGAGTGTACGGTTTTGGGAGAAGGAAATGAAGTTCCGTCAAATAAACTACCTTCAGATGGGAATTTATACCATGATTGCAAGCAAGAAGAATCCAAGTTTACAAGTGAAATTAAAGATGATGGTGACGAAATTCATCACGTTATTAACAACCAAATTGATGGCTCAAACAGTGATTTCCATATAGATCTCGAAAATATTGACAAAAAGATGTGGGACAACGACACGCTTCTCAAAATCAGACTCTCCGTTTCAGGTTCAGTTGTGTTTAGTTCGATTACTCTCACCTGTCTCACGTCTTGTGCAGCACTGTTTCTGGGGACTGTAGTCGATTTCCCAATCGTACGCTATTACTGTATTCACGCCGGCTTTGGAATATTGTATTTGTTTATTTTCCATTGGCTGATTTTCCTTCCTTCTTTTGTACTAGATGAAAAAAGAATATACCATAGAAAATACGATGTTTTCCCATTGTTGAAATTCAAGCTAAGTAACAAAAAATCTAAATATTTATTTATTCGTCAAGAACCTAAGTTTATTTGTAGTGATGATAATCAGAGAATGATTGAAATTTCACCAAGCATAAATGCATATACACGTGCAGCTTCCCCTTCTAACGTCTCACTGTCAGCATCAAATGATTCTAGGAAAGGCACAATTCTTTCTATATTTACTAAGCACGTCTACAAGGTAAGAAGTGAAGTTGTAAAAAATTATCAACGATACAAAACATGGTGGGGTGATAAATCCACCAATCAAAATAAGCAAGAACTAGTTCATCAAAGAAAAAGTAATATTGAGCTTAATGAGATAGATAGCATGGTATTTAACGAAAAATCCTCTGTGGGAGTTTCGAATAAGATTGATAAACCTTTTTTGCCTCCTAATAATCGTGAAAATACCGCAATTCAAAACGCAATTAATGAGATTGATATGCATGACATTTGGATCGGAAGATTAATGGTGGAGTCTTCTAAAGCCGACGTAATTATGAGGCTAATGTGCAATTTTACATTCAGACTATTTGCATTTTTATTCTTTATTGTGGTAGTAATATTGGGGATAGTTTTTGGAAAAAATGTAAATACAGAATTTAGTGCAGTTAGATATCTCCCTCCAAACTCTCCTCTGCATTATTTCGTGGAAACATTAGCAAAATCATGGGGTTCTGAACCACGGCAGATGTATTTAGTATTTCCCGGAAGTGATAAAGTGGAATGGAATAATAAACTTGTGCGTGAAGAATTTATAAATTTGGTTGATAATGTTCTGTTAAAAGATCCTGCAGTAATGACTCCCATTGTTAGTTGGGTTCACGACTTTGAAATTTTTCACTTTGGAACAAATACTCCAGAAGATCCGGATCATATTCCATCTTTTATTAGAGAGTGTTCTCCCGATTTGGATAATCCACGCCCACCTCCAAATGATGCTCCCAAAGAAGAGTTTTACGATTTTTTGAATCAATGGAGGAACAGAAAGGTTTTAAAAGGAGATGAGTCTCAAGAAGATACTATTTGCGTAGTGTCACAGCTCAGTTCAAAGCTTACAGCTTCTACTGTATCTGAAAGTGCACCTTTTATCAGAAACATTATCCCTGAAATGCACGATGAAACCATGCTCATCTTTAAAAATGGAAACCCTTCAGAAGGCATTCAATCGTTTAGAATAATGACTATGATTAAACATAGCCCTTCTAACTCAGAATATAACTTTGAAACTGTAAGTCGGCTATCAAATTTAGTTGAAACAGTTTTTGAGAAAGATTTCCCTGGTACATACATTTATAGTGATTGGTTTGTAGAGGCTGAAAGAGATCTCAACATCCTTTACATTGTTTGGAAGCTTCTTCTTTATATAACACTCGGTGTATCAATTATGCTTTGCATTATTCAAAATCCTTTAACAGGTATTTTCATTGGACTTGTTGTTGGGGGCATTAATATTGCAGTAATTTTGATTATGTATATTACTGGACTTATTTTTGACATTGTAGCTTTCATGGTTCTCGCAACTGCAGTATCATTTTCGATTGAATATATTGTACATATTACCCATTTGTTCTTACTTACAAAAAGAAACTCTGGAGTCGAAAGGATTCGAGATTCACTTTTGGATATGGGGCCCAATGTCATTTATGCTGTAATATCGACTTTCCTTGGTGTAATACTTTTGGCATTTTCTACCTCAGAGTCGTTTAAAGTTTTTCTTTGGATAACTACTATTGTTTTATGTGTCTCTGCCATATCAGGAATTATGATAGCCCCTGCAATACTATCTATTGCACTTGATTTTGGGCACTTTATTAGAGATTATTACAACAGAAAGAGACAACAAGAACTCGACGAAACAATACTTGAGATTAAATCAAGCAATATGATATAGCTAATTAACTAAAATAGGAATTAATTTGATGATTTAAACTAGATAATAATTTGGTATTTGTGATAGAAGTAATTCATGGTATACAATTTCTGTTGAAAAAATTTAATTAGTATTAAAAAAAATAGTGTTATTTTCGGATATAAATTTTATACAATTAAAATTTCGTTAATACCTTCCAGCTGGCAAACCTATAAATAGCTATAATAAGCAATAAATAATGAAAAATAAGACTTACTTTTTCATCTTTCAAATCGTCAAAAACGTAGATTCCATTTAGGTTATGAACCCCCGACAAAAGTGCCTGGCAATATAGTTCTAATGATATTGTCTCCCCTCCCTTTAGTTCTTGTATAAATAAACGGTCATTTCCTAATACAATTAAAGGTAGGAGCTGATCAAAATCCAGCCTAACACTCAAACCTCTTTGAGTAGTGTTTAAATTGTTTGTAACATATAAAAAGATCTTGAATTCATCTCTTCTGTTATTAACGGATGGTAAACTAGCTTTAAGAATAATATCATTTCTTTCCCCATTCAATTTGTTTTGCTCATTTAGAATTGGCAGATCAATTTTATAAGAATCTAACCATGCATCCCCATAAGTTGGTGAAGTCCATGTAATTTTAAGTCCAAGTTTCAGAAAATCTTTACCATTAGCAAGCTCTGGATTATTGCATTCTGCTTCGTAGTTAATAAAAGATGTAAATTTAAATATCTTATTATATCTACATCTGGATTGGATAAATAAAGGCTCGCTGAACTGTTCTTGAAAACTAACATCTTCTAATTCAAGTTTCAGATGAGGTAAATCCTTTATATTTAAGGGATTTAAAGTTATGCTACTTAGTGTAACACTTTGGTGGGAAATGTTCTCGATTGAAACTTCAACAAAAATGGTTTTTTTATCCACTACATCCTCATCCAAATTATATACACGATGTGAAATGTTGAATGGAGAAAGCACTGCAAACTTGTAAGATTTCTTTTGAGTTAATTTGGTCTCATTTGATGTAAAAAACAATTGGCAAGTCAAGCTGTACAATCCAACTTCGTCTACCCTTTCTTTAATTACAATGTCCATGGAATCTCCAATATCTATATCTGAATAATTATCTTCGTTATTGTATAACATGTGTCGTTTCTTTGTACCTATAAGTTCCACCTGAAAAATTAAAATATAATTTGTATTTCTTTTATTATGCAAAGCAACATACTTTTAATACTACTCCATTTGCCTTTATAATGCTTGAGTTAGTGATACTAAGAAATGCATGAAAAGATTCACCAGAATATAAACGACTGAGGAAACAAAAAGTTTATTCATTTTTAAGATTACTAATTAAGTTTATAAATTAAATACTTGTTCACACTTACCATTGAGTTGTTGGCAATAAAAGCGGAAACATATTATCAACACACAGTGATTCTTCTTCTCTATTTTCCAAATCACACTATTAATTTAGGAAAATAATATAATAAATTAAACTCAAAATAGCTTGTGGAAACTTACTGGAAGCAAACTTAATGTAGATGCCTGCGAATCAATTGGAGAATGTGAAAGTGACATCACTTTCAAGCTTAAAACCTCATTTGTGACTGAAGTCATTATAACAATTAGTTTTAGCAATAATTCTGCTTTAAAAACTCATAAATTAAATTAAATACATTAAAGAAGATGTCTTTAATAAAATGTTGAACTTGAGCTCACTTTGCTCACTAATTATTCAAGATATAAATTAATAACTTCAAAGTGGCGCCAATCCTGAAATTTTGGAATAATAAGTTACATTAAAAATTATCAGACAACTGAGCAGGAAATACATCTAAGATCCTTAAAACCTTGAAAATACGCCTAATACTGTGTTTAATTGTGCAGGCCATCTGTAAATAGTTTTCTTTTTTTTAGAATTAAATAGTGGCGCTAATTAATTACAAAAAAGATAACTGACATCTTCAAGAAATGTCAAAAATTGCATTAAATATTGAATAATCTAAATAATTCATCTAAAATACTTATTATTAAATTAAAAAAATAAATAGAGCCAAATTTAAAGGTTTATACATCCTCTTTGGATTTTCAAAAAGTAAGACGTTTTTTTTTAAAGACTTATTGATATGTTAGTGTTTAAAGGAGGAAACTTTTTGAGGCAAAGGCTAGCTCTCTCAACAATAACAGGTAAACCAATTGTAATCAAGGATATAAGAGCAGATGATACATTGAATCCTGGTCTAAATGATTCTGAAACATCCCTACTACATCTTTTAGATTCTGTTACAGATGGATCAAAAATAAAAATCAACGATACAGGTACTACTCTAAATTATACTCCAGGAATAATTATTAATGGTGGTTCATCAGAAAAACCATTAATTCATGAATGTCATCCCAGTAGATCTCTATCTTATTATATGGAATTTTTACTCATGTTTGCTATATTTGGGAGAGATCCTTTGTGTATTAAATTAATCGGAACAACTGATAATAGTGGTACAGACCACTCATCTGATTTAATCAGAATGGTTACTATTCCAGTAATAAAAAAAATTATTCCTCAAATTGGAGATATCTCTTTGAGTATTATAAAAAGAAGTGTATCAGAAAACTCTCTTGGCCAAGTAATATTAAATGTACCTATTGTCAAGAAAATTGAACCAATCTCTATGGATGGGCCAATTGGTAGAATAAAAAGAATTCGAGGTATTGCATGGTACACAGGTTCAGCATCTGCTCAAATAGCAATTAAAATGATTTCTAAGGCTAGAGGTATTATGAACAAGTTTATTCCTGACGTATGGATTTATTTTGATAAGCCAAAGAAAGATTCTCTTCAAAGTAATGAAGAAATGACAGGTTTTGGAATGACTTTAGTTGCAGAAAGCATTAAAGGTGCGATCAAAGGATCAGATTGTTCCTGTATCCCAAGTTTGAGTGATGTACAAAAAATGCTTAACATCCCCATAGAACTCACCGAGGAAGAAAGAACACTAAATTCAGAAAATAGCAATGAAAATCAAATGTCAGATTTAAGTAGCGGCTCATCCGATGAGGATGACAACTACGGTGGATTAAATAAACAAACCTCAAATTCATTAGAAGAAATTCAAAACAATGAAGAATTTGAAAATCTTACAGATTGGGAAAAAATTGGATGGTTAACTGCTACTAGACTACTTTTAGAAATTGATTCGCATAGTATTGTTGATACAAGCCACCAAATATATCCTCTTTTGTTTATGTCACTTTCACAGGATACTGCTATTTCAAAACTTAAACTATCAAAACTAGCACCTATGACTATTCAATTTATGAGAGATTTGAAGACTTTCACAAATGTTGAGTTTGCAATGAAGGAAGATATCGAAGATGGTATGTTCATTACACTTTCTTGTACAGGAATAGGATTCTCTAACTTTGCAAGAAAGGCAGCTTAAAATTTAAATAGGCATTATTAAACTAGATTCTAGTCAAACTATATTTCGAGTTTCCAAATATTAACTTGATTTAATTTATTAAAAATTTTTATGTGCCTTAAAAAATATTATCTCTTTATATTTTCGACTGTTTTTTCTTCTTTCTTGAATACATGCATGCATGCGATTGTTATTTCCAATCAGAAAATTGGAGCTAATATATGGTAAAACAATCTTATATAATATAAATTATTGAATTTTTAAACTATCTTTCAAATATTAAGATGAAAATATTAAGTTTTGTTTCAACATTTCATGTTTTAGTTGGGTTAATAATGAAAATAGAAATTTCCTACTCAAAAATGGAATTATTGAGGAGAGACTTCAATAAAAGTGAAAAATTTCAAAGAAATAATCAATATATTCCTCAAAATAAAAAAAACTGGCATTACTTTATACCTATTTTCAATTCCAGTGAAGAGTTTGTTCCCCCAAATAGAACATACGAGTTTCTTGAATTATATAAAGAAATCTATGCAATGAAAAATGCCAGTAGTAATTCATTTAAAAAGGCTTATATAGATGGTGTTTTGATTCCAAAGACAGATGCAAAAGTGGCAAAACTTAAGGCAGAAACTGCATATATTGAGACAAAAAATGCAGAAAAAAGAAAAAAAATGAACTTAGTGAAGGAGGACTTCGAAAAAAATACTCCATTTTCTTCAATTATTGGAAATATTCTAAATTCATCTTCCCAGATTAACGGTACTCAAATATTGGATACTATTTATAACGAAACATTTTACTATCTGAATAACAAAAATCTGACAAATTCAACTGAAGAAATTACATTGAGATATTCATAAATTTCAAAAATTGAGAGTATCAGAATATTGAGACACTTTTTCGAGTTATTTAATGGATTTGTGCATTACTTAACAAATTTGTTGCAATGTGCGTATGTTTGTGCGCCAATTACGCTAATTGTCAAGCTAAATTTGATTATTAAGGTATTGGATTTTCACAAGTGTTTGTAATGAAATTGTATTAAGGTGAGCCCTGGAAAAGAATAGGGGGATTATTCCATATAATACGATATCATAGCTTTGAATAATTTATTGCAAAGTTGAATAGTTTTGGTGAAAAAAATCTATAATTGGGTTTGCTCAAGCTATTCAAAATGAAGAAGGAAGAGGAAGGTCTTCCAATTTATTCTTCATTAGAGGAGTTTATTGAAATTAATGGAGGATTTAACGTTATTAAAAAAATCCTAGTTGCCACAAGTGGGCAAGCAGCAATAAAGTGTATAAGATCTATGAGGCATTGGGCATATGTTACATTTGGAAATGAAAAAGCTTTTGAATTTGTAGTTATGGCCACCCCGGAAGATATCAAAAGCAATTCAGAATCTGTAAGTGAAGCTGATTACTATGTTGATATCCCGATGGGCCCTAATTATCATAATTATGCAAATATTGAAGTAATTGTTTCGATAGCAGAAGAGCACGAATGCGACGCTGTTTGGCCAGGATGGGGTCATGCTTCTGAAAATCCAGAGCTACCAAAGGCCCTTTTAAGGGCTAGAAGAAAAATCATTTGGATAGGACCTTCAGCAGAGTCAATGGAAACTGTGGGACAGAAAATACAATCAAATATTATTGCTCAATCTGTAAAGGTTCCATGCATCCCCTGGTCAGGAGATGGAATCTCTGTTAGTGTAGATAAGGAGGGCCGGTTTAAAGGAGTTGTATCTGATGAGCTACTTCAGGCAGCGTGTGTTAACAGTACTCAAGAGTGTGTTGAGGTTTGCAAACGTATTGGATTTCCTGTCATGATCAAAGCTAGTGCAGGAGGTGGAGGAAAAGGTATCAGGCTTTGCAATTCCATAGAAGACTTAGAATCAAAGTACAGACAAGTTATAAATGAAGTAAAAGGCAGCCAAGTATTTGTCATGCGAGCAGTTACTAAATGCAGGCATCTTGAAGTTCAAATACTAGGAGATAAATATGGAGATGTTTTTGCATTAAGTACAAGGGACTGTACAATACAAAGACGTCACCAAAAGGTTATAGAAGAGGGGCCAGTAACAATGGTAAGCCAAGATATTGTTAGAGAACTAGAATTATCTGCTGAGAGAATGTGTAAAGCTGTAGGTTATTCTTCTGCAGGAACAGTTGAATTTCTATATGATATAGAACGCTCATGCATTGCTTTTTTAGAAGTGAATGCTAGATTACAAGTTGAGCATGTTGTTTCTGAGGGAGTTGCTAATTGCAACATTCCTGCAGCGCAGTTACAAATTGCAATGGGAATCCCATTGAAGAAGATTCGTGATATTGAAGAATACAGAAAATTAAGAAAACAGGGAAATGTTCCTCCAAGGCATATTATTGCGGCAAGAATAACATCTGAGCATGCCGAGAAGGGATTTACTCCAACTTGTGGAGATGTGTTTGAAATATCTTTTAGATCCTCACAAACAGTATGGGGATATTTTTCAGTCGCTTCTCCAGGCCATATTCATCAATACTCTGATTCTCAATTTGGGCACATTTTTGCTTTTGGAATGAATAGAGAAGAAGCAAGAAAACATTTGATTATGGGTTTGAAAGGCTTGACTATTAGAGGCGAGATTAGAACAAATGTAGAAGCAGTTTGCAGAATATTGGAAAACCAAGATTTCATTACTGGTAATACATACACACAGTGGCTGGAACATAGTGTTTATTTTTCATCTCCTTTAACCAAAAAGGTTTCAACACAATATTTGAATGCTGTGTTTGCAGCTGCGTGCTTTACAGGACTCAGATACTTTAAGGAGAGTGAAGATACATTTGTAAGGATGCTTGAGCAAGGACAGGCTCCAACTAGTATCAATATCCAGTACGAAATGACTCTAGTTCACAAAGGGATGAAGTTTATTTGTGAAAGCCACTTTATTGGGCCTGAAAATGTCAGAATTGTCTTGAATGGCAACTCTGTTACAGCAAAGGTACGTAATATCTATCCGCCTAGTATGCAAAATGGGCGTGATTCGTGCTATTTAATATCAGGAGGGTTTGATGGGAGGAATAGAAAGGTTTTCTTCAAAAAGGATGCTGAAGATAATTTATTAGTTACATTTGATGGAACCACTTACACATTTCTAAAGGAACAAGACCCTCGTCAAGTTAGGGCTCCAGTTAGTGGCAAGTTAGTGAGATGGTTAATACAAAACGGAGGTCAGGGCGAAAAAGGCCAGGCATATGTTGAAATAGAAATTATGAAAACATACATGCAGCTCACTCTTTCTCATAGTGGGATTTTAGAACACGCAAAACCACAAGGGGCATCATTCAATGTAGGTGATATTCTGGCAATCTTAGAGCTCCCAAGCGAATTTATCCCTCCCACTTTGGAGCTATATCCACTCCCATTCCCAAAAATAGGAGGAGTTAAACCTCCAAAACTTGCCCTTGAAACATTTTGTTCAGGGGGATTCAGAGGAGGTCCGAGAATGGTAGCTTTGGCAAATTTCAGAGAAGGAAAGCAACAACTTCTAAATGCGCTAAATGGGTTTTTCCCAGCTTTCGAGGATGTTAGGAGCGCACTTGGAATGTTTTATCATGTTTTGGACCCAATTATGCCCTTCATTGAACTTCAAGAAGCCTGTGAGGTTGCTACTCCGCTTATACAAGTTTCAATTAGAAGGAAAATAACTGATTTGATAGAAGATGTATTTCAAACATTCGAACAATTGAGTAGGAACAGCTGGTATGAACAGTTTGACAGGCAACTGGATGCATTTATTCCTCATAATTCTTGCTTAGGATCTGATGTGTCAGACCAGTGCTTGAACTTGCTTGAAGATAACGATGACATCGAGGATGAAGGACAATCACCGAAGGTTCTTCAAGATAAAAGTCTTAATTCTGATAGTTCTGAAATGCCATCAATGTTGTTTTCAAGCAAGGCTGATGAACAAGATTCGAAAAATATGAGTTTTACACAAGGTGAAAGTAAGGAAACCGAAAAAATTCCATTTCTCGATGAGTCTCAACAAAAACAAAGTTTTCAAAATCCTCTTAGCTTTAATGCCTCTTCTAAAGATTGCTCAAAAAATATTAATTCTGTTTCGGATCTGGAAATATATATATTGGACTGCCTAAAGTTAGTTAGTGATATTGTGGAAGAATCCATCCAAGATTCAGACAATGAGAACATCTCTGTTGATGAGTTTGTTACCATAAGAAACCAGTATGAACCTTTAATCCATATAATAAGGAGAAATGAAAAGGGGAGGTGGATGAGACTTATGTATGAATTGCATGAAATTATTCTTAAATACATTGAAATAGAGAAGCCATTTGAAGAACGCTCCTCACTTGTCCCTGCACGTATTATTCCAAGTCTAAGAACTGAATATGAGTTGCCTGACCTGATGCAAATGGGTCGTTCTCATCAACAGTTAAGAGTAAAAAATGAGATTATGGAGGAAATTGCAAAAGAAATGGCAAATAACCCATCTTTACTTCAGTGCACTGCTCCATTCAGAGATACAATCCACCAGATAGCTGAACTAACATCAACTGAATACACGAAGGTTGCAGGAGCTTTCAGGTATGTATTATTAATGAAAGAAAATGTGACAACAGTCACACAAATCCAATCGGTTGCAAAAAAAATATTTGAATACAGCCAATTCATTTCATTAACTCAGATCCATGGGCAACATCTCATTTCGATTGCAAATACTCCTTCTTCACCACTTCAATATCCAATCAATACAACTCCATCATTATCTACTTGGAACGGTATCCCTAATTTGGGAGGTAATCAGCAAACTTCTCTATCAAATATTATCGCAGATTTGACTAATTTTCCTGATTTCACGCTTTTGGCATGTATTGGCCACCCAAATCCAGTTATTGGTAAATTGGCTTTTGAAATATATATACGTCGTCACTATGAAAGATGTGGATTATCATTTTATGCTATAAAGAGCAGAGGGGAAGCATGGGATAGCTCAGTTGATATTGGAACCCTAAATAATAGTAGTATGCTTATGGCAAACTGCCCAAACCTTAAGGGAGCGGTTCCTTTAAGAGGTGAAGTCCAGAATTGTAACAGTATTTTGGGAGTATGGGCACACAATGCTTTAACAACATCTTCATTTTTCCAAACTCAATGTGATCCCTTAAGATCAAATACACTAAATATCCCTGCAATACAAAGTAGTACAGACCAATATGACGAAAACGAAAGCAACGCTAAAACTAGAACATTAAGTAGGCTAGAGTCAATTAACACGTATCAGAATATTAACTCAAAGTGCAATATAAAAGGTGCAGTACATAATGAAAATAGCCGATGGAAAAGTATGCTAAATGCATTTAGTGGGCAAAGCTTAAGCAGTATTGCAGATGATTTATTGGAGGAGTCTCTTCCTATTCAAACCACCATTGGGCTTTATTTTGAATCAATTTCTGATTTCCAAGAACGATTTGAACAGTGTGTTGATGAATTGAAGATTTTACATGGGTTTTTCCCTCAAATATCTTCATCTGTTGATTCTATGGTCATGTTAGTTATTTTGTCTAGCTTCTCCAACGGGGAGATAACTACTGAGTCAGAAACAGCTTCTATTTACGATGAAATAGATTCTTCCTCTATTGAAACTCAGTCAAATTCCAGGGATATTGTAGAGATTCTTAGAAGTACTTTAAACAGGTACCAAGATAAACTCTACAGCAATAATATACATATGATTTCATTTACAGTAGCTCCATATTCAGATCAAAACAAACCCGAATCACTTTCTGCAAGTTTGGTTTATCCAAAAACTCCTCTTCATTATCATTTCAGATCTATAAAAGGAATTCCAATTAATAAATATAACTCCCAAGAGTTGGAATCTAATTTATCTTTAGAAGATAGCCTAAACAATCAAGTTGAAAATATCGAAACAGAAGAGTTAGAGAACAACTATTTTACAGAAGAGCCATTTATTAGAAATATTTCAAGTACTTTACTTTCTACACTCGAGCTAAAAAGGTTGCGTTACTTTACAATAAAACCAATCCCAACATCAATTTCTGGAATTAATTTGTATGTTGGCACACCGAGAGAGCTATACTCAGGTCATTCTGTAATTAGTAAGCGTAAAGAAACCGAAAATAAGGAAAACAATTCTTCATTGAAGAATGGGAGTTCAAATATCAGTAAATCTCATGAAGTTGACTTAGAAAAGCATATTAAGCTTGCTGAATCAAACGTTTCTCTTGAGAAGACAAACAATTCTGGTTCTCATATTAAACAAATAATTGCAACAAAGGAAGTGGAGAATGAAAATTTGGCAAACAAATCTAACAATAATTTAAATAAAAAACCTGTAATAAGTAAAATATCTGGATATAATAAACAAAGAAGATATTTTATGAGAGTTTTAGTACAACATGAATGTAGTGAATCATACTTTGAGGAGCAGGAAAGATACTTTATAGCTGCGCTCAGTACTCTAGAATCTTGGCTATCTTTTGACCAAAATTACTCTAATACAAGCTCAGGATCAAGAGGTATAGCAGGTTTAAATCATCTTCTTTTTACCTCTGTTGGAGTTTTAAATGATAGGAACTCGGGTTATATTACTACCAGTATGGCAGAAGAGGCAGCAAGAACATTAGTTCAGCGATATTCACAACGAATACAACAAAGTTCTCTTCAAACAATCGAGTTCCGTTATATTCAAAGGTCGGTATACCAAAAAGACAGCAATAACGTGGTTGTACCTGTTCGGTTTGTGGTGGATAATCCAACAGGGCAAGCAATTCGATTACGCAGCTTCGTTGAGATAAAGAATCCAACAACAAATGGAGGAAAAGTGTTTGCAGCTATTGATTCTAAACATTCCTTCTTAAACTTTTTATCAACAAGTAAATCTGACAAATCTTTCAGTCTACCTGGACTTCAACAATCAAGTAGCCTCATGGAAATTTCTAATGTGAATAAAGACTCTAGAATTCTAACCAGTAATGAAAATATGGTCCCAAATTTGGCCTTGCATCAACATGAACACATTTATGATGGCAAGCCTCTCGATATTCCTCATCCTCTTATAGGAAAAATTGATCAGAAAAGGTACCAGGCAGCAGAGTTAAACACAGTTTATATATATGACTTCTTGGATCTATTTGAAGAAGCAATTAAGAGTTTATGGAAGAAATGCCCAAAGTACTTTGTTACCACGCCTTCTAGTGTTTCACTATCTAAATCAAACATAAAATCAGCAATAGCTGGTGGCTCTTCTACAACAGGAATTTCAACCAACTGCGAATCAAGTATTGAGCATTCAAGTGGCAAGGCTGCATTTTTGCCTAATAAACTTTTAGAATATGTGGAATTAGATATAAATAGGGACACAGGGGAGTTAGAATGCGTTAGCAGAGAACCTGGGAACAACACCTGTGGGATGGTTGCATGGTGTTTAACTATGCATACTCCAGAGTATCCAAAAGGTAGAAGAGTAATTCTCATAGGAAACGACATAACTTATCAAATGGGAACTTTTGGTATCCAGGAGGATCTTTTGTTCCAAAGAGCATCTGAATACGCAAGAAGTTTGGGAATACCAAGAATATTTATTGCAGCAAATAGTGGTGCTAGAATGGGGTTAGCAACTGAGGTTCAAAGATGTATGAAGGTTGAATTTGTTGATCCTGAAAACCCTGTTAAAGGCTATAAGTATTTATATGTTACAGAAGAGGACTATAATAAATTCGGCTTGCAAAATAGCATTAATTACGAAGTATTAGAACACCCAAAAGATGGAAAAATATACAAGATTACAGATGTTATTGGATCTCAATTGGGGCTTGGTGTTGAAAACCTTTCGGGAAGTGGAGGAATTGCAGGCGAAACTTCAAAGGCATCAAAATCAATTATGACAATCACTTACGCTACTACTAGAACAGTTGGAATTGGAGCTTATTTAGCAAGGCTTGGACACAGAGTTATTCAAAAAGCTCATGGAGCTCCGATCGTACTTACAGGATACCAAGCTCTAAATAAAGTAGCATCAAAAGAGATTTATAGTAGCAATGATGAATTAGGAGGTACAGAAATTATGGCAAAGAATGGAGTAACACATCTTGTTGTTAAAGATGACCTTGAGGGTTGCGTAGAAATACTCAAATGGTTGAGCTATGTACCAGAATGTGTTGGAGGAAGGCTTCCAATCATGGTTGACCCAACAGATCCCATATATAGGAGCATTACTTACTCTTGTAATAGTAATACTGAAGATCCAAGATTAATGCTCACTGGATGTGTAGACTCAAGGGGACGTTGGTTATCTGGGCTATGCGACAAAGATTCTTTCAAAGAGGTAATGAGTGATTGGGCAAAAAGCGTAATAGTTGGTAGAGGAAGAATTGGAGGAATACCTGTTGGATTTATTTTAGTAGAAACAAGAGTTACTGAATATGTTCAGCCAGCAGATCCAGTAATGCCCCATACTAGCGAACTTAAAGTTACTAGGGCAGGGCAAATATGGTTCCCTGATTCTGCATATAAGACTGCACAGGCAATTCGTGACTTTAACATGGAAGAACTTCCATTGATAGTTCTTGCTAATTGGAGAGGATTCAGTGGAGGCCAGAAGGATATGTTCGACCAAGTACTCAAGTTCGGATCCTACGTAGTTGATGAGCTTGTCAACTATAAACAACCTTGCTTCGTTTATATACCTCCAAAAGGAGAACTACGTGGAGGAGCTTGGGTAGTAGTGGACTCAAATATTAACCCAGAATTCATTGAAATGTATGCAGATCCTACAGCGAGAGGAAGCGTTCTGGAAGCTGCTGGAATAGTTGAAATCAAGTTCAGAAGCAAAGCGCTTAAAGAATGGATGATGAGATTAGATCCAGAATTACTTTCCCTTCAGGAGAAAGATCAGCTACTTCATCTTAAAGGCTATCCAATAGACTCTTCTGAGAGAAGTTCAATAAAAGAAAAAATTAATAAAAGATGTAGTTTACTCCATCCAGTTTATCACGCCGCAGCTATTCATTTTGCAGATTTGCATGATACTTCTAATAGGATGAAGGCTAAACAAGCAATACATGATATTGTTCAATGGAAAAACGCCAGAGTTTTTTTCATCCACCGTATAAAAAGACAACTACTGCTTTTCTCTTTAAGATCTGATATCTCCCAAAAACTTGGAATTTCTCTTACTGATTCTCAGAATGTGGTTTTCCAATGGGCTATTCAAGATGGAATAGACCCAAATAACAATACTCAATTTATTCAATGGATTTGCCATAGTGCCAATATTATTGAACAAAGGATTTCTCAGCTCTCTAGCTCTGATATAAAGTAAAGTACAAACCAGTGTTAATTATATTTATTCAGAAGAAAACACTAATTATGTTTTATGAAAATATAAATGAAAAAATAATACAATTATAACTTCGTTGAAAACAAAATGAGATTTATAAGAGCAAAACGCACTCATATCCAGTTTAATTATAAGTGGATGCAAATTATTTGGATAAATCAGTATTTGTATTTGGTAGAATAGTCCTTAGGCGAAACTACAAGCCCTTTACCTTTTTGCACTCCACGATATATCGTTTCAACTATATCAATAAACTCTTGTTTATTATTAAGTGGCCAATTTATCTTATTGTTATTTCCAGTACCAAGGTCAACCATGATATGTTTGTTTCTAAAAAAAAACATCACAGATACAGGGTCATAAAGTTCGTACATTGTATTGAAGTCAGGAACTTCGGTAATATCCACCAAATAAATTACACAAAAATTCTTCACATCCTCTGCTACCTTATACAATACTTCATCCATTAACATACAGTCTGCATCATAATCATGTCCGAATCTTATACATACAATTCTTTCTTCCTCAGATAGTATTGCTTGATCTACTGACCAACCATTGTGAAGATGTTGTAACATGTAAGACATCTTTTTAATCTATTAAATTGCACTTAGACAACTTAGATTGATCAATTAATAGATTGAGAAGGTTATATTAAATCAACTATGATATATTTAGTTAATAATATTTCTTTTCTAATTATGCATCTAAATAGCCTGTTTATCTGTTTTGGCGGGAACCTGGGAATTCCATTGTTATTTCTCTATAATTTCAATAATTTTTTAATTCTTCTAAAAACATCACTAGAATAGGAGGTGAGAATAGTTTATTAACTTGAAATAGGTAACTCATGATAGGTGGAGAACATTCAATAGCTGAAGAGCATCATGACAATATTTCGAAGGATATACAGGCTTTCAATACGAATGATACGAGTATAGTAGATAATCAGAACCCAAATATTGTTAGGAGAGGAGGACTCTCAGAAGCTAATCTTCAATCATCTTGCTCAGAGCAACTATCTTTGGGTAGTGATTTAAGGTCGGGATGCAATTTGTTTGAGAAAAAAAGTCCAAAAGATGAACAATTGCGTGAAAAGGAGTCAAAACAAGCATTAAAGTCAGTAATGAAGCTTCAGAATGAAATTTTTAATATTAATAACTCAATAGTTTCTCAAGAGAATGCATATAAAAACTCTTTGTTTTCAAACAAATATATGGGTAATATTTTTAGTAGTTTCTCTCCTTTTATTACAGGGATCAATAAATTTACAATTAGACCGAGAGAGAGAAGCCCTGAAGAAGTATTGAAAAATATTAGAAAAAAATCCCAGGAATTTCAAGGTCGATGCGAATATATTAAATACTCTACTCAATGGTATCTTTGGGCAAAAAGAAGGAATGCGGAGATTTTCTCTCAAAACCATATAGGAAATGCAGAACAATCATCCTCCAACATGTCTAATGTCACTGGATCTTCACTTTCAGGAGGGTCTTCTTCTGCAAACACATCAAATAATGCTAACTCATCTGTTCAGAATAATATTGGACAGATCTTCCAGTCTAACCAACTTATACTACAAAAAGAAATTCAAAATATTGAACAATCTGTTAAATTTAGGCTTGCATTACAGTCTGATAAGCCTTTATTTACATTCAATAATAATAGTCGTTCTAATCAACTTTCAGTTTAGAAAATAGATTGTGTTTCTTAAAGTTTATAATTATTATTATACTCTAAAATATTTAAATTAAATAGTTATATAGAATCTGTTATTTTAACAGAGCAGGGCATGCTCCAAGGATGATATTCATTTTTGTTTGACATATTTCCATTATATTTAATTATCTATTTAATATAAGTAAGTGATTAATTAATAAATATTAAAATAACAATGAATTTGAATACACCTTACCTTTGGATTACCTCGAGGAATTTCAAGAGTTTCTAAGATTCCTTGGCCATTATTATCTTTGTTAGAATCTTCTTCTAAATTTAAAACAAGTTGACTTTATAGTTCAAATCTAGTCATTTTTTTTAACTTACGTCTTGAATTGTAAATTTCTTCAATTGTTTTAATATGCTTTTTCATTGCATCTTTTGCATCCCTCTTCACTCCATCTCTAAATTGTTTATCTTTCAATTTCTTTCTCTCTGTACTTTTCTCCCTTCTCTCTTTTTTTCTTTTTTGAAAACCATTTACAAATGATTCTTTCTTTTTCATATTAAAGGTAATTACAGTCCCCTTGCGACCATGTTTGGTTAAAACAGACTTAGAATGGTTATCAGACATTTTTAAAATAATAAAGAGTCTAATTGAAATACTATATTCAAACAAAATAATCAATAATACATTTATTTGACCAGCATGTCACTTTTTACATTATTTAATTTAAATTTTTTAATTATTCAGACATTTTCCCGCCAAACACAAGTACCGTTAATACTGATGCATGGACGTGAAAAAAAATTATGAAATACAAAGTTAAGCTAAATAGTAACTTTAAAAGCAGCATGATTGATGAGTAATCAGAAATAGCTAATTATTTACGTTTTATTAGTAACTGATTTTACTTCAACGTAATACATCAATTTATATATCCCATTTTGAAAAAGATTTATGTAAAGCTAAATGAAGTGTGGAATTAAGCTGAAAGATGAATCAATTATCTGAAAATGATCAAGAGCTAAAAACTATTTTGGATGGAGTTATGATAAATAACTGCATCAAACCATTTAGACAGGTTTCGGAAAAATTGGAGCAGCTCGACAAATTTGCACATGAATATGGAAATAATGTAGATTCCAAAATCAATCAAATGCTCATTTCATTACGCAAGGATGAAATTAATTGCTTAAAATTAGAAATGAGATTGGAAAAAATTCTTGAGTTAGTTATTAAGCAAATGAGAAAGGCTGGCCCTGGAGAGGAAGAAGATAAAGTACAGGTTGTAGAAACAGTCAAACAAAAAACAAATAAGCAAGAGATTAAAAAAAACATTGACAATAAGGAAGAAAATGCTGATGAGCGAACATTTGGTAGTTCAATAAATAGTATAGAATCCGTTCCTGTTGATCCTTTGATAAAACGAACTCTTGAATATGAAAAAACTCAGAGAAAAATATATGAAAAACCAAATGATACCAAAGGATACAGCATGTATGTTGAGGAAGAAACTTGTGATGAGATTAGTGTAAAAATAACTACTGATGGTTCTGCCAGAAGTCTAATTTCAAAGTATATTAATGGAGAAAATAAAAATGAGAATGAAGTTAGAGAAAAAGATCCTAATGCAATTCGTAGGGAAAGGGTCGATAATATAAAAAGGACTGTTAAGCCTTTAGTTCGTGATGGTGGCAATAAAGGCAAATGCTGTGGCTTTTGGAAAAAATGGTGTTGTTGTTGCTTAGATAAAGGTCCAACAAAATCAGGTAAATATTATAAAATGTCTACTCAAGAATGGAAAGATTTTCTAGCAGCAATAGAACCAAAGGACAAGAAATATAAGGATTATTGTAATATGTTAGAGAAAAAAAATAGTTCTTGCAATATTGATGTTGATGGTCTACCTCCATTAGTTGTTGAATATTCATCTTTAAATGCACAAGCTGGAGGATACTATAATGGGAATCAAATGTATAATATGGGTCAAAACTATCAATATTACTACCCAAACAATTATCAGGGATATTATAATGGCCAATACTATTATGATGCCAAGAGCCAGGCATCTAATATGTCATATGGAAATAACAACCCAAATTATATGAATTACAAAAAGAAAGGTAGAAATATGCAAGAAGATATTAAATGCAAGCAAATGCTACAGACAAAAATGGGAATAAGGAATGACTAATCAAGTTTTCTAATATAAATATTTATTGATAATTATACATGAAAGTAATTTTTTTATGGATTATAAATTTCATTATTTTCTTACACTTTGGATTTTTATAAAACAAAAAAGATGGTCATTTTGAAAAAAACCAGTGTTCCATAGTATTAAATTGGTTGTAACCCAAGAGCAACATTTACACTTTTCCGTATTGGGTTATTAGGTTCAAGATCTCCAATAGAAATCACAGTTGAGCAATGGGGACAATAACCCTTGATAGTATTGGGTGAAATTCCTGAGGCAGCATCCATGTGATTCCTAATAAAGTTAATGATGCATTCCTGACAGTATGTTTCACCACAACATGGAGTCAAAACTGCGTATCTAAAGAGTCTCGCACATATAGGGCAAGTTAATGAGTCTCGCACAAGACTGGTATCTTCCTTTGATTTACCCATATGCTTTCCAATAGTATCTTCAACAGTTCTAGTAAGAAAGGCCGTACTCGAAAGCTGTTTTGCATCTTTTAGCACAGCAAATGTACCGTCAGGAAGGCAATAAACTTCTGAATAAAGCCTACCTTCTTCATCAAAATTAATAGCTCTTAAAAAGCTTCTAGGAATTCCTGTGGCAGGCCTAATTTTTTTCTGAGATACTCCTTCATTAACTTTGGGACAAACACGAATATGATGTCCCCTCTCGCCACACATATGACAAATATAATCTGCAGGGACGTCAGTTGATGTGTTACCCATTGCATTCTTGTAATTATAATTAGTTGAAGCAGATGCAGATCCAAAATTGGTATTATAAATTTGTCCACCAGAATAACTATTTGATGCTCCAGTATTGACAGGACCTGTTCCAACAGCTCCTGGCTTTTTGTAAGGCTCACTTCTAAATGAGGTAGTTCCAGGAAAATTGGTACTTGTTGCATTCCCAACTCCATATCTACCCCCCGTTGCAGTTGAGGCCTTTGAATATCCTCTTTGATTAAATTGTTCTAACATTTCGCTTCTTTGAGCTGCTGTCTGTTTGAATTTCTCTCCATGCTGTTGCATTACTGACAAAATGGCAGCATCTTCTGATAAATCATTTTTTGAATTATTCGATAAATTTGCACTAGTTGAGGCTGAGCTATGAATATCATCCTTGTTTTCCCCTCCTTTTGTAAATTCTCCACTATTAGGAACTGAATCAATAGTGGATGAAGGGTATATTATAGTTGAGTCTTTCAAAGATGAAGTATTTGATGGAGCAGTAGCTGAAGTAGCGGTATTTGGTGTTTGTAATGACGTATTTTGAGGCTTATTCTTTATTTTTGAATTTGCTGCTTCCAAAAGAGATTTTGCTAAGTCCTTAGGTAGCCTAACAACATTTACATATGTTCCCTCTTTTATAATATCATAATCTGAAAGGTATACATTTGAAACTCGGCCGTTCTTATCACTTGGTGTGGCTAAAATATCCATATCTTCCCCAATGTCCAGAATTTCTCTGAGTTTCGACCTAACATGTGAAACTAAAGCCGGAAATTCATGTGTAAGGTCCTTAAATTTCTTTTCACTTTTAAACTTATAGTAAATTTTGCTATTGACCATTTTGAAGTACTGAAAAACTCAAGATTTTTCTGACAAAAAGTTAAAGCAACACCTTGTCCCTTATCTTTATTGATCCTTCTATTTACTTACAACAAAGCATCTTAAAAATGTTGGAGACTTTTTAAATTCCAACACATTACACAGGTATCTTTCTTCCCAAACTAGCGCCATTAGTGGCGCCCAATTATCATAGAATTTTGAAGCATGCAAATATTACATTATATAGGAGGGAACAAATATATATTAGAATAAAAAGATTGTAACGATATTATAATAATTATTACATTGAGGTTTTGATTATGATTATATGCAAATGTACTGCCTGGCTATGGAATAGTTAATTTAAAATACTAAAGTAAATGTCTAGGTTAAAGTCCAAGCAAGTATGCCCCATATTTTGTTAAGACGACTTTGTTTTCTTCGTTATTTACACTTTTGTTGTCAGAGTTAAGAGGATCAGGGCATTTAGTAGCTACCTTATATTGCTTGATTGTTGGCATTGAAGGCGTCCTTTGAATTGGGTTATTATTCACTTTTGAAAGAGGTGGGTTGCTTTTAATTTGTAGGTTATTCACTGTGGGAACTTCTAAATATTTACTTTTTGGGGTACGTTTCTCTTCAATACATTCTTTTTCTATCCTATTAGTTTTTAACTTAGTATTTAAAGTATTTGATTCGGAAGAAATAGGAGTACTATTTGAATTGGATAAATTAAAATCTTTATTGGCAAATGCATTTGAATTATGTGAGACAAACCTCGATTTAGGGATAACAATGCTTTTTTTTATTTCACTAATTTTATAGTAATTAATGGGTTCATTAAAGCTGCAGCTAGTTTGAGCTATGCTATCACATTGGGCGATTTCAAGATGATTAAATACATGCTGTTTTACATCATTTTTGGACTTCTGGAAGTAGCTTTTAAGGGATACTGGTGAGCCGAACAATTTGTTATTTCTTGAAACTTCAAGATATTCATTCCCATTGTCTGTGAATGTAAACAAACTCCTTTTGAAGACATCATTGTTAATTACATTTGGCTTCGTAGTTAAATAAGAGTGATAGTCACTAACATCTTGGTATACTTCATTAGAATGTTGCTCCTCGTTTTTCAAGATATAATTATTGAAGCAACATATTCCATCTGAAATATTGATTATTGCGTTTACTATTCTCTCCATTTTACTTAATTCAAAGGGAATAGGAAAATAAACAAAAACAAAACATGGGAATTATTTTAAGTATAATTGAATATTTAAGTTGATCTTTAGTTTTTCAGTGACATTTTTTTTCTCATGCATTTTTTTGGAGACCTCGCAAAAATTCATGCATAATTTGGCGGCAACCTAGTTGCCAGTTTAAGTTGCATGCAATGTCACAAAATAAGAAAAAGAAAAAATTAAAAGAAAAGGGCAAAATAACTAATTATTGTTACTATGAGTTTTGGAAAAATAAAAGATACAATGTAGCCACACTTATATCACAGCCACGGAAAGCTACTTTGGAATTTGAAATTTTTAATTATATTGTTACTATTCTTACAAGATCAATAATAGTAGCGTAATATGCATTTTATAAATTTGAATAAATGAGTTTGCAAAAATCATCAAGGAATTAAACCCAGTTGTTCTAATCATAAAATCAGTGATCTGAGAAAAAGTGGGTATATATTATTGCTGAGAAACATAAGGGGTAAACTAATATAGAGAAAATTAGAAGGACCACTGCCATTACCTTTGAGATGTTCCAAGAAGATCCCGAGAATAGCTTGAGATGGAGAACAGCCGGGAGGAAATAACATACGGTATTAGAACAGAATAATCCAACAAATTCATATGTAAGTCCAAGGTCTGAAACAAAATATGTGACAATTGTACAGATAAATAGGAAAATAAAGGTGAGTGTTCTAAGCAAATGACGGTCTTTTGCTGATGAACTCTCTGCATCTTCTCCATTCTTAATTATTACGGCAAGAGATTTTCTGAATGAGTGGCAAGACACCGGGAATGAGAATACTAATGATGAAACCAATACAATTTTAGCAATAACTATTGTCAAAGATTGAGTGTCAAACATACTGAGAATATCTGAGGATCTTAAAGTGTTTCCAAATAACATGTAACCTGAGGAGCCCATAAGGATGTAAATTAAAGTACAGAAGCCAAGTGATATAACCGATGAAAAAATTAATTTGTACAATGTTTTGTCTGCAAGTTCATTCGCAACATTCAGGAAGTTATGGTGGCATGTGAAAGAAAATACAAATATTGGGAATGTCTGTAGCATAAATATTGGTCTCCTGGTTGAAATTAGTTCAACCTTTTCAAGCATTGATGAAACTTCGGGAAGACCAATTAGGAAACTGAAAATTACAACTGCTGCAACATAGAGCGAAGAAAATACGGCAATCCAGTTAATGATTGTAAGTTCAGCAAGAGTTGTAGGATAACTGGCTGGGCCAATAATAAAAATCACGACAAATAATAGAATTGCAGTTCTTATATTAGACTCTGATAAATATGGAGAAAGAAAACCTCCAAATAAGGTCTGTAATACAGCTACAACAACCATTAGGTAAGTAATGCATGATCCAAGCGACATAATTAGAATAGATGTGTCGATTAAAGATTTAAGCTTTGGAAAAGTCTTCTCTGCAATTGAATAGTATGTTACAGGCATCATTGTACCTTTTGGATCCTCATTAAGCGATATTTCAGAAAGAAGAATGCATGCAAGTGTTGAAAACATGCCAGATATGACCGTCATAGCAATTCCCTGCAATAGTCCATTTTTACTATATGCCCAAGGAAGCCCAAGAATTCCAACACCCATCGTTGTGTTCACCAATGCAAAAAAAGAAGAAGTCATTGAACCCTTCTTATACCTTTTTTCAATAAAGTTCTCCATCCCAATTAAAACCTGCTCTGACAAACGAGAGATAAAGCTCTCTTTTGAGCTTTCCCTAATTGTAGATCTAGAAGGGAGTAGGCTTTTTTCTTCATTAAAAGCCCTCATGAGATTAAATTAACTTTTTCATATAAAAAAAAATTGTTCTTAATTGTTGAATACTTAACTACTAATTTAAGTTGATCTGTTCGTTCTCTTTTTTTTTTGCCTCAAGAATTTTCTTTAGAGACGTTGCTTACTTTTACTTAATCTATCTTAGATCCCGCTTAAAATCTGTCTATTAAGTACCGACCAACAATTTACCGCTTTATTATTCCCAGATCCTGAACCAAGAAAGGCTCTGTATAAAAAATATTGGCAAATCAAGATAGCAAACATTGAAAATAAAACTCTCAGGATTGAAATTTTATGCCAAGTCATCAAATTTCAGGAAAAACAAAATATGTATTTATAATTTACGTATTAATAACGATCATTTTCAATTTTCTACCTAAATATTAAATTTCCAAAACTCCTCTGGACCTAAAAGCGATCCGAAGTTGTTCACGGACATGTTCTACAGCTTCTGATTTTCTAGGCCTGACACGGCCTCTTTCAGAGTTATTTGCACGCCTACCGTTTCCTCCATTACTTTTATGTTGTTGGGTGGGGTTTCTAAGTTCAGGATTGGTTAATGTTGTGTGATTGCCATTATCAGTTACCTTATGGGAGATAGAGTTTGGATTAAGCCCCAAACTGTTTCTGTTTCTATTGAAATTTCTTTTAGTATGTTTAAGGTTCATTCTAGAGGGCTCTGGGAAATCGTTAAGAGTCGAGTTAACCTGTGTGTTCTGTGTAGTATTTTGTTTATTATACGATGAGCTAGGATTGCTACAGTTCTTCTGATAAAATCTCTTCTTTCTTTTAACCTTAATATTATAATTTCTGCCATTATTATTGAATGGGTTGTTACTATGTGCAGCTACTACTGCATCTAGACCAGAACAATAAGTAGTTAACCTATCTACTTGGTTAGTTCCGGAATTTACTACTCCCATGGTTGTGTCAACACTGCTATTATTATCATCACTGAGCACCATTTTCGAGCTGGAGTCTTTTTCCACGATTGTTTTGAGAAGTTGAGCATTGGTACATTGACTCGAAATCACATTAGATATATTGTCACTATGAGAAGAAGTGTTAAAAATATTTTTTTGAGAGAATTTCTTTTTTTTTTTGTTCTTCTTTTTCTTTCTCTTTGATTCGTCTAAGTTTATATGAGCAATAGCTGTATTGATAACTTGGTCAAGTGGACCATCAAACTTAGTAGTAATTGTCTCTTGAGTAGAAGATGTTTGTGAAGAAGAGTTTTTGAGACCAATGCTAATAGGTTTCTGTGGTTGCTCTTCCTGTAATCCCAAGTCCAGGTGACCTTCGCAGTCACAACCTTCCGAGCACGATTCATGATCCGTTCCAGGTAGGGAAGCTACTCCAGAGTCTTGCTTAACACATACATCTGCCTCTGCCCTAATCGCACTAATAGGTGATTGAGAAATGTCCTTAGAACAAGAAGGCGGCCTTTCAGAAGCCAAAGGAATACACTTTTGTTCATCTACTACCAGATTATTCCCAGATTTGTTCAGATTTAATGCCCTTCTCTTAGTAGCAATCAAGATCGCAGTTTCCCTGGAAACACCGAGATATTCAGCTTCTGCTACCCAACGAAGCAGCTCCTCGTCAACAACTGGGCCAGTTAGGGGAATTGAGCTGAATGCAGGGCTCGGAGAGACATCCTCCGGACGGTTCAAGAGACCAACCATCATATTAGGTAGTCGTTTTGAAACGAAACCAATATTTAAATCAAATTGAGAGTGAAGATCAGAGGCACCAAGAAACTGGAGACCATTAAATATATGATTCTATGTCTAATAGATGATTTGATCAAAATGCAAGTTAATTTAAACGTGGCTAAAACAAAAGGAAAAAGAGAAAAAAGTGTTATATAGAGCTTTGGTTGAGTCTTTAGCCAAATAAGCGTGCTTGGTACAGCGATTATCACAAATTTGACAGTATTTACGTAGTTGGAAACCTGATTTCTGAAATTCTAATTCGAGGGATTTTTTTTTTTTTTCTCACTAAAGTTCAGATCTTTCAGAGCAAACAATATTCTGATACTTAGTCCAGATATAATGTTGGATTATTAATACATACACTACAACTTGGTCAAATTAAATGCATATATTAGCCGTTCCTCGCTTCAAACGACTTGAATTTAGAAATAAGATAATTGTCAATTCCCTGAGTAGTCCCCTTTTCAATGTATCAATAAAAAGTGAAAAATTCAAATATTACTTATATAGCTATGTATATATATTTGAATACATACAATTTGTTTGACAACTTCGTCAAGACTATTGTGGTTGATACTGTAAGGTTATAATCAGAAAGAACTTCTCGTAAGTTGTCTACCAGGATCAATCCAAGCCTGAAAAGACGGCAAGCTGTCCAAAATGGACTTCCTTTGATCGATTATATTACCACTTTAACAAGTATTAAACCCTGAAGGTACATTAATAGCAAACCGCTGTATTAACGGCTTATAATCAAAGGTGCGTCCACTCTCCTTGTAGACTTCCACTCAGAGAGGAAGCAAGCAAAGTAGCTCTATATCTGTACTTAAGCGCCTCCAAACGCCAACCGATTAATTCAGTAGTCAGAAGTCAGAGCAACTTCGCCAACAAGCTCTTTTGTGCCTGTTAAGTGTTTTTCCCCTTAAATCCAGAAGCCTCTAATTCAAGGATACATATACGTGGATTTGGCGCCTAAAATTTACCAGGCGCACTAGGCGCCTCTGACAAATTAATTAAGAAATTTGGAAAAGAAAAAAAAAAAAGAATATAAAAATACAAATTTATTTACACCAAACAACTACTTAAAATTTATATTATAATAAAAAAAAATTAGGTCCAAAAGAAAATACCGGACCATTTCGTATTAAAATGAATGATTTGCGAGTATACATTAATTTGATTTCTTTGGGTTTGCAGATGAATGCGAGGCACCGATTGCTTTTTGCTCACTTACTGGGCTCGAAAAATAGTTAGGTTGAATATTGTGTCTATTATCTATATTGTTATCACAATCCTGAACATCTTGATCTTCATCGTCACTTACAATATTATTCAAGAAATCAAAGTCATTCCTCTCTCCTAATAGGTTGTACTCCCTCTTATTTCTGTAATTGGAGGTAAACCTAGAAACCATATAACTAATAAAATTCTTTAGAAGTGTATAAATAGGAGAACAATATACTGCTATTGAACATACTATAATAATCACTAAAAGTAGAAACGTTTTCGTTGTAGATCTTTTGTAATATACTGATTCTTGTGATTCTTGATTATAATCTTCAATTTTACCACTTTTTGGACTTGCTGCAGAATTAATTTGATGATAGATTACTTTCCTGTCTAAGTCATTACTATTTGACTCGTGTTTAATGCTCTGTGAATATTCTTTAGAAGATTCACTTAATGGACTATTGAGTTTAGCTGTTTGCACAAAATCTTTTTCAATTAAGCTTTGATTTCGAATATTAGATTTTTGGAACTGCTTGTTTTTTTGCTTAAAAATGTTCCAATCTCCATCCCAAACCACATTACCCCATCCTACAGCATTTGCCCTATAACCAGATATTTCAATCAAAAATTTATTCTTAGCTTCTAAATAGACAGGAATCCATGGTGCAAGCTTATAAAATGAAATGGAATTTTTGGGAGACATGCTATTTGTGTCAATTACAAGAAATCCACGCTTTGAAAACTGGTCTTGACTTTCTGAGAAGATTTTTGAAAATTCATGGTAACTATATGAAACAGAAATTGTATATCCAGCATCAAAAATTTGTAAATGATAAGGGTATACGTGTTCTTCTGGGTCGCTTTCTGACTTTCCAATAATATATATAGACTTAGAAATTCGATTAGGAGTTTTTCTGTCTCTTAGTGGCGTAGATAATCTAATAGTAAGATGAAGATTCTGGCCTGCAATAATTGGTACTGAGGGATCTGGGGTGATAGAAACTATTAGTGGATAGTTCTTTGAAATATCGTGACTAATAGGAATTAGTGAAATTCCTAACATAATTGGTACGTTTTTTAAATTAAAAGGAGGAAGGCTTTTAATAGAACATTCCAATAAATGTTTTTGGGGTGTGAGAATAACTGTAATCCTTTCCATTGCATACAAAGGTGTAGAAAAGTTTCCATTAAAATGTAAGGAGCTGGATTTAATTAATTCAACTTCCGAAGATGTATCTTCTGCGTTATTCTCATCATTTTGGAAGTCATCCGGTTCAGAATAAAGAGTTAATTTAGATGATACAAGAAGAGGATTATAATACAGGTCTGCAGTAAGTAAAGCCTGGCCAGGAGAAATTTTTTTAAGATCAAGTAACAGATCAGTTTCGAATTCATTTGAATTTAAAGAAAGAATAACATCTGAAGGAGGTAAGTGTATATATTGGGGAAGACTGTTTGTAGAAAGAGCTTTGCTTAGCTTACTTTGTATTGAGCTAAACCATAAATCTGTTTGAGTGCTGAATGGAGGAGGATTCAAAAACTTAATATCTTGGTTTTGTGTAGAAACTGTATGTACAATCATATCAAACGCTAAACAAGAAATCCTGTTATTTAATAAATCAAGCTTGTGAGTAAAAGTCATCCAAAAGGGAATATTCAAAGCTCCTGCATGCTCGTTTCCAATAGTATCAACATCGACCTTAAAGACCTTTTCAACTGAATTTAAGAGTGAATCAACATTTGTGTATATAGGATTAATTGGAGTGGAATTGATTTTAGTAAACAAAACTTCAAGCATATTTGGAGACTCGGAAATATCAAAATTTACAGGGCTCAATGAGAGCCTTATAAAGGTAGGGAACAACTTTTTATTGAGTTCTAAAAATACCTTCTTTCTACCATTATGAATATCTGTAAGAGTGATCCTTGATCTGAAAATAAACATTGGCTTGTTTGTATCCAATGGACCACCAAATACTGTGCTTCCACCCTGTATACTTGTTAAATCAAGTGGTAACGGTACTCCATTTGGTATATGACACTTAGAATTAATATTTGAATGAGATAAACCTTTATTTTTACTTGTATCAAACTCTACTGAGTTATCAATTACACTAGAAGAGTCCAAAGCTGTCTCTGAACCATCAATTGGCGAAACTTCCACAAAAATCGAAAATAATAACATCTCATGTTCTTCATAGTTTGAAAAAGAATTGAGTGATTCTATTCTAAGTATATATTGGCCTTTTGTGAGCTCTACTTCTAAATAACTTTGTGTTCCTCTCTGTTCTGCTACCCAAAATCCTTCAGGGACAATTATTCCAATCCTATAAAATGAATATAGAAAATCAGAGTGAGTTTGAAGATAAACAATTGAAGATGATGCCACGTTTAATTTCAAATCATGAATACTACTTGAGAAGGTTGAGAGCTTACTTCTGGTCATAATTTGTCCTTGACAGATATTGATTATTCCCGAGTTAAAATAAGGAGTATTTTCTTCATTTAAACTAATTTTAAAGTCTTCCAAATAATAATGGCATTTCTGTTTTGGTCCAAACATTTCTTTTTTAGTCATTTTCGATATACCTCTTTCTACAGATTCTTTACTACCTCTAATCCTCCCAGTACCGACTACTCCAACACTTACATAACTTTCTAATATGTCCTTGGTATTTTTCGGGAGAGATAAGTTGTTTCTGAAAAAATTCTCATATTCTACAGGATTAAACTTAATAAGCCCAAAAGTGATTAAATAGGGCATATTATTTGGAGTTGGAGAAAATTGAATTTCATATTCCCCAGATGAAAGTATTGCTAAGGTATCTCCGTACTTTCCAGACATAAAGATTTGATGGTTGTTCAATTCTTTGTCCCCTTCTTTAGTTTTAAATATAGTAACATAAAATTCATAACCTGAAATAAGAGTTGGTTCAGAAAGTATTCTGAGTAAGTTAGTCTCGTTTTCAGGGACTCTTAATTTGGTTTTCTTTGTTTCTTTTAAGTTAAACATTATAGTACTTACAAACCCTCTATGTGGCTCTGATAAGAATCTTATTCTATTCAGAGAATCTGGTAATTCCTGAAAAGGAAGTATATCAGGAATACTAATAAGTTCTTGTCTTAAAGAAAATAACCTATTCTTCAATGCAGGTTTTATATATCCACTTATTTTAAGCAAAGCAGATCTTCCCATTGTCAATTTTGTGAATTGATTTTTGGATTGAATGGATAGCTTATACTTTCCTTCCTTGATACTTGGGAAAGAATATTCAATTCTGTTTCCAGTCTGTACAAAATTACTATATTTAACGAAATTATGTCTCGATTTCTTTTCAGGATCTGTCTCACTCCCATTAAAAAGTCTAATTGTTATAGGTATCCATGCAGGGTAAACTTCAAGAGTCAGATATAAGCTGATCTCTTCTAAATCTGAGCTTAAAGGTACTGAAATATGCATGAACGGAGAAAACCAAAAAACAATTTCTCGAATTTCAAATAAGTCTCCTCTATGAACCAAATTCTTTTCATGCTTATTTAAGTCTTGATTTGGAATAGAAATCATATTTTTAGAAAGATCAAAAATTAGTGAGTTTTCTGGAAGCATCTTCTTTAAGTAATCTTGGGAAACTGAAAAGAGTTCAGTGTGGCTCCACTCTGATAGGTTTTTAGATTTTGGATTTTTGTATCCCGTTATATACTTGTAAAGCTCTGGAAGTATTAATGGAGGAAAAACGGGAAGTTCATCAACTGAGATGATCGATAAGTGTAAACGAAATATAGGGCATCCACCTTCCTCAAGCTTTTCATCAACACCCTCTTCTATGAGGTCAAACTCAAATATTAGATAATTGGTTCCCTTATTAAATTCAGCAAAAAAAGAATTTGGATCATTTGGGCTAATTTTCGTTGGATTTTTGTTTTTAGAATGAATCATCACTAAACCTGGGTAATTTGTAATAGAGGCCTTTAAAATACTTGAATGAGAAACACGAAATGTGATCATATAAGATACAGATGCTTCTTTAAGAAAATTATCGGAATTATGCATGTTAGAACTTTCTATTTCGTATTCTTCTAGAGGAACCAAAAATGTTCCATCCAGTATGTACTCTTCTCCTTTCAAGTATTGAGTTAAGTCTATTTCTTGTGGAAGTGACATTTGGGAGGTTTGGCACTTAATGAACAAGCTCTCCTCTTCAGCATCCATTCGCTCATCATTACTATTGGAAGATTTATAGTGATTATTGGTAGATCCTGGTTCTGGAATATTAAGCTTGCCTGGGAGTTGCACTAAAGAAATCTTACTATCAAACTTAATGCATTCCACTTTGTAAATATCAAAGTTTTCTGGTAAAGTTGCAAACAGTTGTAATTTATAAGTTCCTGCGACTAAAGGTCCAATTGACGAAAAGAAGTTGTGAAGAGTATGTGGGGTTAATGTCAGCCAGATTTTGTCATTGTACAAGACATTAATGAATACTAGTGAAAGAGGATGCTCTGGAATCTGGAGTTGCATTGATAAATAAGTTTGAGTAAAATCCTTTACACGAAACTCCTGAGTATGTATTTTTGAGATACCCGAAGCTATAGAACTAGCAGATAAAAGAAGAATATCAGGAGCGATATAGCTCTTTTTTAACGCAACTTTAGGATTCGGAGATATTTGTAAATTGAAGTAACGAGCATTAATTGGATTCGTACATTCGTTGGCGTCAGATGAAATTGGGAAAACTTCAATCTGAAGGTGGAATGGAGTGCAAGGTGAGACAGAATTTTGAGATTCACTGATTTTATAGCTGTGAATGTGTAAATAATAGTCGTTTGGCTGGCTTATTTTACAGTATATAAGATTCATTTCTTTGGAAGTAACCCCCAAATGATTTAGATTTCGTGAAGTACAGAATGTAGATTTGCTGTTATGGTTATAATTTTCGTCAGATTCCAAGGTTTCATCAAAAAAAAACTCAGAATCTTCTTCTTCTTCAGAAATCTCAGGGGATTTTGACAGGGCTATAGCTATGTCAGAGTGATCGTGATGCGATAATAAATAAAATATACTAGGTCTAGAAATTTTTACATGAACAACATGGTTGGTTTGAGATTTCAGGGATTCGAATGGCCCCTGTAGGTTAAGTTTTGGGCCAAACAAAAGGTGGTTTGAAGGGATGGAATTTGGTTTCCTTAAATCTTGAAATTCACCAGAAAATAACCCATCTTGTATAATCTTAGTAGGCAATTTGGGTAAACTACAGGAATTTTGATTAGAAAGAATTTCTGCAGAAAACTTTTCAGAATGATTTTGGAAGGAAATTGCTATCTTAAGATCAAATTTTGCAAAACGAGGAGTATGTTCCATCCAAGGGGCTATAACTACAACTCTAAATGATTTCTGAGAGATATTTTCCTTAAACAACTGACCATTGTAAATTGGAGTTCCAAAAAAGACTCTATTATGAAGGTTACCACTAATTTGATGACTTTCTAGTTCACGATGAGCTCGGTCAATTCTTAGAGGTTCAATTACTAATTGCAGTGGCATTCTTGAGAATTTAAAACCAAGCTCAATGTATAAATTAAGTAGTTTTTCCTCCTTTAACCTTGAGGGGGGAATAACAAAAAGTCTTGACCACAAAATTGTCGCTTTATAAAGTTTGCTTGAATAGTTCACACCTTGTGGGATGGTTCTGACTATAAAAGAGTCGTCAATTTGATTGCTATACTCGTATTTTTCATCAGAGCTCAGATTAATAAGAGGTTTTTTAAAAGGATCATTAAGCGATAAATTGCTAATAGAATTGATAATTTCAGTAGTAGTTAGACCAAATTCAAAATTGATTGGAGAGCAATATGAATTATCAACTTTTTCCAAATCATCTTCATTCTTGACAAAATTTGAACCTATTATTATCAAATATTGAGATGGTATTAGTTTAGTCCTCAAAAAAAGTCTCGTATTATTCCCTGCTACTCCCCACGTTAGGTTTGCATCAGCAACTAAATTTTCGTTATTTGCTTGTGCAATTTGCATATAAGAGAAATCTAGGTCGCTATCAAATGATCTTTCTAAAGAAATTGAAACTACACTTTCATATCTGATATTTAAAAGGATCTTATTTTCTGGTTCATGACGGATTCCCCTAGTTTCAGAATAATATAACTCATGATTACCATATCCAAGACCATCAATAAATTCTGGGATTAGTTGATATTTACAATTTAAAGTAGATCTTGAGACTGTTGCTTCAGAGAATCCAATAGCAAACAGAATATATAGAAGAGTGCAAACCGGTAATTTTGGAAGAATTCTCATTCACACATAATACCAATGCGTTCTTGAGAATAATCTCGATCTTAATTAATTTCGATTTACGTGACTTTTTGTAATTAAATGGAAAAAGTTAGAAATTATTAAAATTACCGCCAAATGTCAATTAATTTAATGTAAAAATTTTAGCCGGTATAGAAAAGGACAGGCGGGAAAAAGCTAGTAGACTGTATATTAGAGCAAATCATAGTTAAAAGTAACTTAAAATGGTACCAATTACTTAGTTTAAACTGTACAAATAGAAATAATTAGGTTAAGTAATAATAATTAAAATGGATAGTAATAGAAATGAGGGGGAACTAGAAAAGGAGGGTTAAATAAAAATTGACTGTTAATAAAAGCAGTAAATTTTACAGGAACTGGGAAAATAAATAAACTCCCAATTTTGAGAAGAAATTATCCAACTATTTAGAGAGTATTTAGAAGTGTCTATATAGTAAAAATGTTTTTCTCTTCAATGCCATTTGATATGGGTGGTGGATTTGATGGAAGAATGGGTGGCAGAATGTCTCGCGAAGTTGACAACAAGAAGTTATATGAGATTTTGGAAGTTAGCCAAGAGGCAACTTTAAGTGAAATCAAGAAGGCTTATCGTCGCCTTGCTATTAAGCACCATCCTGATAAGGGTGGTGACCAAGAGAAATTTAAGGAGGTTAGCCGAGCTTACGAAGTGCTTAGCGATCCTGAAAAGAGAAAGATATATGATGAATACGGAGAGGAAGGATTAGAAGGAGGAGGAGGAGGAGCAGATCCAGTCGACTTATTTGATGTTATTTTTGGAGGTGGAAGACGCTCAGGAAGCAAAGGAGGTGGAAAGAGACGTGGAGAAGACTTGGTTACTCATCTCAAGGTAACTTTAGAACAAATTTACAATGGAGCAGTAAGGAAGATGGCAATAAATAAAGACACAATCTGTGCAGACTGTGAGGGTATTGGTGGCCCGAAAGATGCTATTCAATATTGCGAGCTTTGCCAAGGCCAAGGTGTAAGAGTTCAGATAAGGCAGATTGGGCCAATGGTTCAACAGACTCAATCTCCTTGTAATCCTTGTAAGGGAACTGGTAAGACTATTCCGGCTACCAAACAATGCAAAAAGTGCAGTGGTAGTGGGTCTGTAAAGGAAAGAAAAGTTCTAGAAGTAAATATTGACAAGGGTATTCCAAATCACCACAAGGTTACTTTCCATGGGGAGGCAGACGAAAAGCAGGGTGAAATTCCAGGAGATGTGGTTTTTGTACTGGATGAACAGGAGCACTCTGTATTTAAAAGAAGAGGAGGTGATTTATTTGTTGAGAAAGATATCACTCTTGTTGAAGCTTTGACCGGATTCAGATTTGTAATTACTCACTTGGATGGTAGAAAGCTCCTTGTTAAGTCTAATCCTGGAGATATTACTAAGCCAAGTGATATTAAATGCGTAAATAACGAGGGAATGCCAACATACAAGAATCCATTTGTTAAAGGCCATTTATTTGTTATTATCAACATTATTTTCCCTGATAAACTTGACAGCAAGGCTCAAGATCTCGTTAAAACTTTACTCCCTGCTCCAAAAGCTCTGGATGTTGATGAAGATGACCCATCAATTGAAATTCACTATACAAGCAATACTGAGCCATCTGATGTCAAAGACCGTATTCAAAAGGAGGCGTATCATGAAGATGATGAGGAGGGACATCATGGTGGTGCCGAGAGAGTATCTTGCCGTCAACAATAGACTAACACATTTAGGTAAGATGAACTAGTAGGTGATTTGAATTTTGGTTATTGATACTTGTTATTTTAACATAGATATATACCATCAATTGGATAAAATTGAGAATTTAGATGGTCTTTACATTAACCAAAAGATCTTCTTATTGTTTTAATTTTTTATCTCCTAGAAATTCACTATTTTCATATATGTCAAATTCTCTCTTTAGGTTTCTTCCCACCTTCATCTCTTTATATTTTCGTATACAACTTCCCATTAAGTGCATACATAACAATAACGGTACTGGCGCCAACATGGTATATAGTTTTGTATGGGCGCCATTATATTTCTAATTAATTTAAAACAAATATAGATCACTTCAAACTATAAGAGCAAATAATTAAAATTCAGAGTTGTGTGAGATAAATTATCTATTACTACTGCAATTTCCCACTTGTTTATAGGGTAGATATGCAATAGTGCGTTTATCACCTGTATTTGGCGACGAGTTTGTATCTTTTGCGAAAAAAAGATTAATTTATGGAAAGGTATGCACCGATAAAGGACTGGGAGAAAGAATCATTTAGTGCTTCTGGTTCAAATAAAAACAATGCTACAAAGCAAACCAAAGTTAAAGATAATAAAAGATACAGTAGGGTGGAAAGCGACTACGACTTTGAGTCTGGATTGAATAACTGGACACAAGGTGACAATCTTACGAGAACAGTAAATGCAGATGGTAACATCAACATTCTAGAAAATGCGGTCTCACGGCTGAAGTCCGTAGGATATGGAATCCAGTCAGAAATAAATTTGCATCTGGATATGTTAAATGAAATGAACTTAAACATGGATTCTACAAATAGAAGAATTCGTATCTCTCAAAAGATTTTGAATAGATTAGTAGATATGGCCAGTACAATGACTCTAACCATTATTGCATTTCTACTATTTATATTGCTGGTTTTGCAATGGATTTTATAGCGATATTTCAGAGCATTTTCTGTTTGAAAGATAAACGATAATTCTACTCTAATTCAAAGGAGGTAATATAGGTTCTCTGAATGAATTTACATCAGGGGCAATTCCGTGATACCTTCTTTCAAGCTGGTTTGGGTTAATACATTTCAGGAATTCAGACTTGTAATCTGAGGTACATAATGTTATTTTATCTCGAGTAGATTGAGGCAGAACGAGACTAATTGCCTGCCACAACCCCCAAAAAATTATAGGTGCGTTGATAAATGACATCTGTGCAAGATATCCCCTGTAGTTTCTTTGCAGATTTATTGCAATATCTTTCAGAAGCGAAATGGGTGCATTATACAAAGTGACATCTTGGAGGTCCATAATAACTCTCCACTGTTCAACTCTATTCCACGCAAGCATGTTTGTTATCACAAACTCAAACCAGTAATAAACTACGTGAATTATATCATCAGGTTCTTCCCCATCTGAAAATGCTTTAGCTCTGAAAACTATGATAGGCCTTAATAATTTGTCTCTTCCATGTATATAGCAGTACCCCTTTCTTAGTAACCTTTCTAATTTGTCCCTATCTTCAATCATCCTGAAATTCTGTCTCCACCTCACATGACGCTTAATATCATTCCATGCCTTGACAAAATTATATTCATTACCCTGTAAGTATCTTAATAAAAGATGATTATCACAAAAGGCCGTATTTTTTAATGAAACGTGTCTAGATTTGAGATATGCATGCATTTCTTTAATCTTCCCCTGCTCAAAGTCGTCTAAAGGAAGATCCCCAAAAATATACCTCATACCACTCTCTCCATGCCCATGCTTTATAGCATCTAATGGAGGATTAAAAGTCACGACCTCCAAAGGCCTATACTTTGTCACTGTTGTATCCTTCTCTTTCCCATTCCTATATTTGGACAAACGGTCTTCTTTTGTTGCATGAATATGGTGTCTTGGGCTTACAGAATGTGGGGTTGGGTGTTTTGAGGATGGAGAGTTTACCATTTTGTATATTTTTTCCTATGATTTTTTCTTGCCTTAATATTTTCTAATATTTAATATAGTCTCTTTTCCACACTTTCTTTTGTATTTGAACTACTTTAAATAATCACCGGTTTAATTACCATCTATTTCGAATTTGATTAAAGGCACTAATAAAAACAATTTGTATCTTTTTGGCCAAATTGTTTTCAGCCAAAATTTGAGGCATTTGGCGGCAAAAACATGTAACTCGTGCAAGTTAAAACCACATAAAAATAAATTATTTTTCTAGCATTAGTAACTAAAGGTAAATGGTATAAATAAATAGATAGATCAAAATATAAGAACTTATATGTGTAATATAGTGCTAACCTTGTTTTAAATGTTTAAAGAACTAAATCATTTAAGCTACTAATAATGACTTCATGATACAGTCAACAAACTCTTCGTTATCTGCACCTGGAAGATGGGAATTTGAATATAGAGATGGAGATGAAGCCATAAAGTTTTCCAGTTTAGGAATAGGAACATATCTAATCTTTCTTCCTTTTGAAGCTCTGCGATCAACATTATTTGTTGTTTTTTTCCCTTTATTTAGTAAAGATGAAGATACAGAGTTTAAATTAGGGTCATTGATCGATTTGGAAGAAATAATTTCTTTGAGTAATGAAACAAAAGAGTCTGAGTCATCGTAAATATCTTTGCTCATTTCATACATTAGAATAGGATCTACCTTGTCTTTCAAAAAATTGATCCCCACAAAATCTAGGGAATTAGCATTAGGACGTGATTTGTTAAGTGCATGTTCTTTATTTAATAGGGTCTGTTCCAATTGACTTCTTAGTGATTGATTAAGTACTTTGAAGTTTTTTTGGATCTAAAATTTTCAAAAATTAATTAAAATGGTTCAAATAAATATAATGGTATTACTTTATTTATTTAAATGTAGTAGTGGTGTAACACCATCAAGAAACAAAAAATTCTATCGGCTGACATTACCTCTACTTGAGTAATTCGCGAAAACCACGAATAATATTGTTGGGAGATCCAACAAAGAATGATTTGGTTTATCCAAAACTGCCATGCCAAATCATCTGGTAGTTATATATTATATTATTATTAGTCAAAACAAGTAATAATTAAATAAAATTTAATTATACATGACTTTGACGCCAATATATAATATAAACATATTAATTCGACAATTAGAAAGCTGCTTTGGAATATCTAATTTAAATTTATAACTTCAATTAAACCACTTTAACTTTGGGTTTTTGTATTGAAGTAGGAGCAATACCAAAAATTAAGAGTAATTGTTCAACTTACCTCAATTTGAGTATTTTTTTTCCATTCATCACATACATCTATACACCACTCAAAAGTATTATCTAATAATGAATTATACTTATCCCAGAATTCCAGCTCGGCTCTAATTCTTTTGTTTGAAGATTTAGAATTAGTATGTGCAAAAACTCCAAATTTTGCTGAGTTATTATGAATTGTTGATGAAAGCCTTTTATTATTACGGTTAAGGTGCATTTGTAATTCATAATTCAATAAGGTTAAATCAAGCATTTTTTTTCTGATATCATTAAAACTATTTCTAGATTCTTCGTCTAGAGATGAAATTAATCCATTTGGAGGAAGTTTATTGCATAACTTTAAAACATTTTGAATGAAGATACGTATGGCAAGTATTTCTGACCATATTTTACGTTGATTTTTAACACTTTCTCCCTTTTCTTTGTCAGACAACATTTTATCCTTAATTTTAGTATTATCTACAATTGAAAAATTAGCTTCTATTTCTTTATATCTATCAACCTTTTTAGTAATGGAATCAGGTAACTGAATATTAGTCTTGAAGTTGAGGTAGTCTTCATTATTATCATCAAAGCCAGAAATATCATTAATACTATATTCATATGATTCTTCTCCAAATTTGGAGTTTGAATTATTATTGGTAATTTCTCTATCTCTAAATTTTTTAAAATCGGATAATGAGACCTTCTCTCCTGCATATTTATTTGGCAAATTAAAATCGGCTCTAAATCTTAATCTGCCATTGTTGTTACTGAACTCACTAATGTCTGGTATTTCCTCTTGTTCTATTTCTGAGCCACTTTGATTCTTCCCATCATAAAATTCATCATCAAAAGAGTCCATTTTGTTTGGAAATCTGAATGACTTATAGATATTTTCAAAACGTATTTATTATCTGTTAGTAAACTTTCAGTGATTAACTCCAGGCTTTATTACTGCTGTCCCCTTCAAATTAATTATTATTAGTAATTAAAAGTGTCTTTTAAACAGTTAATTTTTGACTATTTCTTGAGCGGATAGTTTAATGAATTATAGATAAAAATTAGGTACTTTATTGGCGCCAATTCTAGATTATTTTTTATTTAAGAAAAACCGAATAAAAATAATTATGAAGATTGAAAATATTGAGTTATGCTAAAAGAAAACAACATTGTAAAGTTCTTTTTAATAAGTAAAAGAATTATTTTTTGTTTTTCAATTAAATAAATACTTTCATGTATCCAATATAATTATTGGCGCTGAATGTGGGAAAGTAACATTTAAAAAAGATTGGCTTGAAGTTAATATTGGAATAATAGGGTTATATGCTGTTTGGTGTAAAATAGTGTAGACAACTTATCAAATATCCTAAAATGGAAGTAAATTTTCACTCTCTATACTCAAAAGCAGCTAATAGTTGGTCTCTGTTACAATTAGATTCAAGCTGTGTGGAGGACATTAAAAACGGAAAGCAGCTATGGTTAAAAGGCCCAAATAGAAATGGAGAGAGCTGCAGAATTCCGGCAATTATCTGTACTGAAAGAGAGACTTTTTATCTTAAGCGTGAGAAGAGCAGTAACATGTCATACTTAGCAATAGAGTCTGAAAGTATTGAGTTGGCTGAGAAACAAGGCGATGAGAATTCTTCTAATAACAAAAATTGCAACTCAAGTCAAATTTCAGTAATTGGGAATTTGAACAGCTTTATAACTATGATTAAAACTCCAGCTTTGATGGGCAGTTTTGAAGATTACATGGCCAACCATAGAAACGCTACCAATAATTCTAGTTCAGAAATAACTTTTGAAAAATTATTTAACATATCTCAGATGAGCTTGATGGAATTATATAAATATCTATTTGACTACAATAGCATGATGTATTGTGATATAGAAGGAAACTGGTATTCAATTAATAATGATATTTTATTATTCTTGTTAAGCTCAATTTTACAGAAAGGAATGTCCATAAATAAATCTTTTAAGAGCATGAATATAAAAGATGTAAAGTACTTACTCAAGGAATCCTTATCTGATTTGGAAGCTGTGGGTAAGTCCTCGGAGAGTTGCATCAATTATAATGTTTTAAAACATGCATTGAGCTTTGATTTAACGCTGATTCAATTAATTAAACATATAATGAATATACCAGCAAACAACAATATAGGAAATCTGGTATTCAGTGATTTCGATAACGAAAACATAACAAAGTTCTTATCCTCTCCTCGCATACAAGATAATGTGTCTCTAAAGATGATTGAAGATATCAAAATTGATTTATCATATAAAAGAATTCAAGAAATCCTTGCCTTGTCTATACTTAAAAGACACCAAGTCTTGAAAGCAAAAGATTATATTGAGGAATTTCAAAACATCCTTTTAAACTATGTCCCTTTAGAATTAAGTGAGTTGGAGTTCGAATCTAATGACACAAACACAATGTCAGATTTAGACATTGAAACAAATAAGGAAATGTCTACAAACTTCTACTTTGGATTCCCTCTAATTGAAAATCATCCAGATAACATAGGGGTCAGGTTTGATATAATCGCAGGTCAAGCCTATTACAATTATGAGGACGATAAAATTATATATTTACCCAGTTCAACCCTTCCTATCGACCCACGTAATAGACTTTCAACCATGTTTCGTAAAAAAAAGTATTGGCATATCTCAGAACTTAACGCCTACATATCACCAGTTCTACAACCTGGAATCAAACTTGAAGCATTCTGTCTCAAAAATTGTTATTTATGCGAACAAAAAATATTCAACCAAAACTATAGACTATTTTATAATAAAAATCTTCCTCTCATGCATGAGACATGACGTATATGCATGGGCGCCGGCACGATACCAAATGACATGTGCTAATAACGAAGGATTAAGTAATGTAGAACAAGAGATTGCGACTTTAATTCTGTTATAAAGTGATTAGGTAATTAGAAGTCGTCAAATTAGAATATTGAGAAAATTGAACTTGAGATTTTTTGATTCTGGTATTTTTGAATGCTTGAATAAACCAAATAAAAGGTACCAATAACTCGAGACCAAACTTTTTTTCGTTCTCTAAGTTGTTTCCCACATAATTGTTTTCATTATTGATTTTTCGTAACTGCTTTTGACACAATATTGCTCATTAATAAAAGTTTTGAAAGCCAAAGAAAATATAGTGAATATGAAGCTAATTTTATCATTAATATTATTTTTGGTGCAGATTTCTTACATTAAGATTGGATATGGTTTGAATGTCGAAAATTCACTACAAATTCAAAAAAAGTTCAATCATTCAAATACTTCGACTAAAGATTCATTGAAGTCGATGGAATCTCCATCGTCAAGCATAAGTATACCCATAGACGGAAATAATACAGATAGTAGCATACTAAATGCATTAGCGGCAGTTTTGCCACTAAAGTCAACTTCAACTTCTGGTTCTCTAAGTGAAAAAAAAGATGAGAGAGCATCCGATCTGTCTTATTTCGAGCCCAAAGTACTTTATACAACGATTCCCGTGATCGTTGTATGTATGGTTGGTATTGCAGTAATGGCGGAGTTATTTGGCGATGGGTTCGAATCCGGAAAGTAAGTTTTAATGATTTTGTACTCTAACAGTTCAAATTTTAATTTTTACTATTTAATTTTAGGAGAAGATTGTCAATGATACCAGATTCTGTTAAAAGAAGGGGAAGAGCATCAATCTAGAAAATAGATGAGAAAGAGGTTTTACCTGTATCTTTTACTTTACTAAATATGAATATAATAAGTTTCTATAATAATACATTTTAAATTTACTGTGTGATGAATTCTCTTATGGACCTTTTCAAATTTGTAAATATTTCTTTTCCTTCTAAAATATTTCCGTAAGGTGAGCACTGAAAGTAGCTCAGGCATGCTTGGATATTTCTAGTGTGATAGCTCTTGAGTTTCTCTATCAATCCAAAAATTTCACTTTGAACTTTTATGTCAGATTCAATACAATCTTTCCATTCACAAAGAAAGTCTAATATTATGTCTATAGAAACTCCAGAGCTTGAGCTTCCAATAATATTTAAATAAATCAGTTCATTATGGTTTTCAGTAAAATTAGAAAGAGAAAGATAGATTTCATCAATCCCACTGAGAACTTGGTTAATTGCCTGCATCTTTTCTATTACAATATTTTTTGAATAAGCAAGTTGGTCCTGAATAGCCTGGCCAGATCCAACAATGTAATTTTCATTCAAACTAAACATATTTAGACACAAACATGATTTTTGATTTACATATGCAGATTCTATTTTCAATGCAGAATATTTTTGTACTGTTTTTTGGAGCTCTAGCCTACTTTTTGACCATACTTCGATAAGTCTCAGAAGATCAATTAAGGGGTTATATAAAAGCTTTCTAATCTCACGATTCATTGGGTAAATTGAAATCTATTTCATATTCGTAATTATGTCTTTTTTTTCATTTTAAGAGCAAACAAATAAATTAATGAGAAAACAAAAAAAAAAAAATGGAAAGTAGGATGGCGCCGAAACTGGGGATAAAATAGTAATTTACCTTAAAAAACCAGATTTGAATCCCTAAAGACGAATATCTTTAATTAACACAAGTGAGAGAGCAGCAAAGGGGCAACAAAGATTCTATAGACTTAAAGAAAGAGATTCTTTTTTGGATCCTAAAATGCATCAAACAGGAGCAAGGGGAGTAAGTAGTTCTGGAATAACATCTGTCCAATGCTTAAGCAGGATTTTGCGAGAATATAGAGAAATACAAAAAGAGCCTAGTTCTTACTGGTGTGCATTTCCAATAAATATGGATGAACCATATGAGTGGCATTTCACCATTAAAGGTCCTGCTGGAACCGAGTTTGAGGGAGGAATGTATCACGGAAGAATATTACTGCCACATTCATATCCATTTTCCCCTCCATCTCTAATGATGTTAACAGGGAATGGCCGTTTTGAAGTTGGAAAGAAAGTATGTTTGAGTGCCAGTAACTACCACCCTGAACTTTGGCAACCTGCTTGGGGAATCAGAACCATGTTGGACGCCTTACATGCCTTTTTTCCAACACCAGGAGAAGGAGCAATACATTCTTTAGATTGGAGTCCTGAAATCAGAAAGAAATTAGCTAAGGATAGTGTTAACTGGCGCTGCAACACTTGCCAGGAAACAAATATGGAAACTCTTTCTCGTCTGTCTCCCGAGGACCAAACTACATATTCTAGAGAATCCACAACTCATAGTGAAAATCCTTTAATTCAGCATATAAATAAATGTATAAGCGAGTCTAAAACCACCGGAAATGGCGGAAACAAAGATAAAGATGCAGAAAATATCTCAGATAAAGAAGATGAACGTAAGAGTACAGAGAATAATCAGAAATTTGGCACAGAAGAATCAAAAAGTCTCGAAGTTACAGATAGGGATGAGTCTTACAACAACTTAAACAGTAAAGACCAGCCCAGTTCACAACAAGTTTCTTCAAATCAACATTTGAGAACCGGTGAAATTCCTCCAAACAGGCTCCCTCCGAGGATTTCTCAGCAAAGTATTGCTTGGAGCCTAATACTTGTAAAAAAACCTTCAAACATTTTGGAAGGAGTGGCAACTCTAATAGATTTACTTATTGGTGTTTTATTGATCACAATATTTTTGCTTTCTATCAGATTGTTTTCTACCTTTATATTATAGAATAAAATATATATTATATTTTTGGCCAGAGAGTTCTCATTAATTCTATGTTTGTTCTGATTATTTTCCTTTTCTTTCCGGGTCTGATATCGTTTCTATGTGGATTTATGTATTATTAATATTTTTGGTTTAACAAATGAACATTTTTCAAGTTATTTCACGAGTAGAATTTAAACAAAGTGTGAATCAAATATCTTAAGTTACATTTTCTCTAAATATTACAATCAACATGTTGGCGCCAAAATGTGAGGACATCTTGAAAAATAACTCAAGACTTAACATACTTGAGAAAATATTTAGAAATGCTGGAGGAAGAGTATGATAGGGTTGTGCAGCTTTTTTTGGAATGGTTTGGAATGACTTATTTGGAGAATGAAGAATTCAAAAAGTCAAATAAGGATTTAGAGATGCTACAACAAATTGTTATTCCAACAATATATAAGACGTTTAAAAAAATAACAACAACTTACAGTGAGCTTATAGAATTATGCATGAACTCAGAGAAGAGCAAAAAGATTTTTCAAAAGAGAGAAGAAATAGGCAAACTTTATAGACAATATTTCAGATTTTTAGTATTTTTAACTAGGCTTTTTCTACTTTTAATTCAGGAAATTGGTGGTGGAACAGCCAAAGAAAATGAATATGGAGGAGAGTATTCTATCACAAGTTTTCCAGTTAAAGTTATTCACGAGCTTTTAGGATCACCTGGGACAAAAGAGTGCATCATATTTTTAATGGACTTGGCTTTGTTACAAGGTAATAAGTTGTTATCTGATCAATTATTTGATTACTTGGTGGGGTTTCCAAATAGCATTCAAAAAGAGTGTTATTTAGTAAGAAAGAAACTAACAGAATCTGCTAACCACTCATTTAATCATCAGTTATTGTCAATAACTAATAACTTCGATTGCTCTAATTACTTTACGGGATTATCTGAGAAGGAAGAATCTATCGTAGTTATACTTTTTAAAATCAAAAACTTGATGAGGAATCTTTGGAAGGTTGATAAAAGCTATATAGATTTAATGGTTTGGTGGCAAAAAAACTACATGGAAATGGTCAATTCTATTAAGGGCCTAGAACTTTCCGAACTATATGATCAGTTGGAAAATACCAGAATTGAAGACCTTCCTATTTCAATATTCTTTGAGTCCAATGAATATTGGGAACTATCAACTCTTTGCGGAATGACAGGGTACGTTTTGTATATAACATATCAGTTCATATTAGATGGAAACGAACAAGTTGAGGAAGCAGTAACATCATTTCATTTTGAGAATCAAGGTTATTCTGTTTCTGAACTCGTCAAAGAAGCTATCAAATTCTCAATCTTATCTATTCTACTTGATCCTGCTAATTACAAAGCTGCCTGGCTCCTTAGTCTATTGCATTTATATCCAACAGAACAGTTCTCTTTAATATATTCCTTAAAGTTTACCAGACTAACATTAAACTTGAACTCTTCTTTTGATGATTCTTGGGTTCTGTATTCCCTGCTGTGGACTAGTGCTATAAGACACGATGCCTGCCATTCAAAACCTTCAATTAGTAATTCCGAATTATCCAGCCCTGAAGGAACTGAGAATGAAGATTTTGTCTGTGATCAACTAAAAAAAATATCTCCCATTTCAATCACCACCAAAATAATGTCACTTGCATCTAAAAACGACAACCTTAAAATCCCACTCAAATTTATTTACCTTGGATACAACATTTTTCAGATACTCAGGGACAGAGAAAGTAATGATGATCTATGCTATGGAGTTATTTCAGATATTCTTGAATTAAACCAGTGGATTTCAAAGCGTCAGAAGATTCAAAGAGAAAAAGAAGCGGAGTTAGAAAGGTCACCAAGCATGTCTAGTGTTAGTGTATCCCCATCAAATAAAAGCAAAAAGAGTAAAGATGCTAAGCAAATTTATTTAGACCAGGTTGGGAGATCTGCTCCAGAATTAGACTCAGACTTTTCACCTCTAATAAACCACCCTCTTTTGTTTAAGCTTCAGTTACTTATTTGGAGCTTGAAGTTAAAGCAATTCCTAAAAAATGATGGAGTCCACATTTGTAATGAGTTTATAATCAAACAACTCAATGAATTCCTTCAGCTTCAAAAGGAGATATTAGACAAAGATATAGATATACTTGATGAACTCCACATACATACACATGTTAGATCCTATATAAAAATGCAAATAGATCGATTTTCTTTATTATTAAATAATTACAAATCACGAGAGTCTAGCCTTTCCGAAAGTTCATACTATTCTAATTGGCAAGAATATGAAAGATATTTGGAAAATCTACTGTTTTCTCAAACACAGTCTAAGTCTTTATTTGAAACTGATCTGATCGACTGGAGAATGTTACTTTCTCCCATACAAAACTTATATTAAAAGAAAACTTTAAAATTAGAGTTAAAATACAATTATGAAACTTTGCCAAACTGATTAGATTAAAACTTCAAACGCAATAAATTTTTAACTTTTAGAACAAAATTTGATTTATTTAAATAATTAGATAAGATTTTGAGCTTCAAAATACTTTAAAAAATTTATTCTTCAATTGGAAAAAGTTCGGAGCCTATAGTACTGGGTGGATTCCCGTTATTATCAAATATACATTCATTAATAGAAGTAAAATTATTATTCCAACCTTTCTGTAATCCAGATCTCAACATATAGAGAATGCCTGTAAGATTGTTTCCATCAAACGCATTTTTAGGGAATTGTTTGTATTCCTCAATACTTGGTGATATATAATATCTCAAATTAATTTTTGGATACCTACAAAGAACATTTTTTAAAAGCTTCAATCCTCTGACTTGAGAATGAAGAATAGCAAAACTTCTTGATAACAACTTTGTAAAAGTTATTTCTTGAGTTTCAGTAGCAGGCTCTTCATCATTAACTTTTGATCCAGTATCTGGGAAAGTCTCAATTGCATCAATAACGACATCCTCTTGTCTTTTTGCAAGGCCTAATTTGAAACAAGCTTGAATAGAGTGTTCAATATTCATGTTCATAACAATCCCACCATCCATATAATGTGATCCATTAATAAGGACAGGTGAAAACGCACCAGGTACCGATGTAGAAGCAAGTGTTGCATTAATTAGATCAGGTAGTTTTGTAGAACTAGAATTCCATGAAATATATTCACCATCTTCATATCTTACAGCGGATACCAAGACTTCTCGTCTTTTAATTTTCAATGTACTATTGTTAGCCATTTCTCTTTTCATTTGAACATAAGTTTCGTTTTTATAAGGTTCAATTAGGTGGCCAAAAGTATCGTTTAGATAAAAATATAGAGGAGTGTGGTCACAAATTGAATTTCTAGGCCTTTTTTTTGATCCAAAAAATCCTCCTATGTACTGAGTAGCAAATTTGATGACATTTTTCCAAATAGGAAGAGTACAATCAGAAAGATAGTCTTGTCTAATGTTAGACCAGAGACTCCAGAGATGATTTACATAGGGAAATTCTTCACCAGGCTCATGGAATAACCCAGCAAGAGCTAAAATCCCTCCAATAGAGACACCTCCAATGACATCCCATCTAAGGGTGTTGTTGTATTTAGTGATATGTTGTCCCAATAAACCTCTCAAAACTCCTGTCTGCCAAGCCCCTCTGTTTGCTCCTCCAGAAAGTAAAAGAACATAACATTTATCTTCTTTTGATCTATAGTAGAACTCTGGGATTTCCTTTAATTCGCATATCATTTCAGATGAATTTTTTAAGTTATCACTCAAATTCGAGTCAATTATGTTTGGTGAGTAACCTTCTTTTTCAAACTGAGGAACTAGTAGCTTATAAATCATACTGTTGTTGTTTCTGAGAGCAATTTCCTCAAAGAGGTACTGGGCCTTTTCAATTTCTTCTGTAAAGTTTGTAAAAAGTTGGCGTCTGTTAGCTTGATCATTACAATTGAACCTGAAATTGAATGCCACAATTGTGTTAATTTGGTAAATAAAATAAAGAAGAAATAAGAAACATAAATTCCCCATATTTTTGATATTAAACAGAATTTAGCTCCTCAAGTTGGTTATTCTGGCTTATTCCGTTACTTATGCTAATATCAATAGGAACCTTCTAAAAGTTTAGGCGCGCATCTATTAATACATATTAAAGGTACCTAAATATAAAATATAAAATATAATAGTCCTTTCTGTAGGAGATCAAATTATTGAGAAGTACTTTTGGAATATGTTTAGATGGAAGACATTGATTATCTTAATCGTTTTAGTTTTAACATTTGTGAATCAAGATTGGACACGCAAATTAAATTTTTATGTTAAGGCTATCCCTTTAAAGAAAACGGAGCTCCTCTCAACTGAGCAATGTAATCTGGTTTACGAAAAAATTGAGATTTCGACTTTAAGCTATTTGTTTGATAAGAACCGGGAAATTTGCAAGAGTAGAGACAACTCAGACATATCATGGCAGAAAAAGTTACTAAAGGCAGCTCAGCCTCCATACTTGGAATTTCATAATGAGATCTACCCATCAAAGATGAACTTAGAAATGGAATATTTGGCGGAAAAAAACAGATCTGCTATGCTTTCCAGTATGGGAACAGGAGATGACCATTCTAAATGCTTTATTTTAGGTTTTTCTGGCTATGGAAATAGAGGAATGTGGTCGGCAGCAGTAGCCAAGGGTCTTGCATCCCAGTTCTTTGATAATAACGTACCTCTTAGGTGGGATATAGTTGCTGGAATTTCATCTGGCGGTTTTAATGCCTTAATATCATCACACTTTGTTCCAGGTGGTAATCTAATTGAAACCTCACTTCAAAATAAGTCTAGATTGTTTAATTCTACCAACTTGGCACAGAAATTCTTTAATAATACATTCATTTTCGATGACATGAGTAGTAGAGATGATTCTGTTTGCTCTAATGGTGATAAGGACATTAAATTTGAGTTTTGGTTGAATTTTGGGAAAAAAGACAAGAAGAATGTTAAATGTTATTCTAATTCAAACAACATCAATATTAATGAAATTTATCTTTCTGGGGATCTTAAAAAAATAGAAAATGAATTAAGTTTTACTAATTACTTATATGAAATCTACATGAGAGCTAACCCAAATGTTGTTAATGATGACTGTACTGTTCCTACCTCTCAAGATTCAACCAAATGGTGGTCAACTATTCTTCATACCTTTACCAATTTTGGAAAGAAACCTATCAGCAGCTTTTGTACCATGAGAGGATGGAAAAAGTTTTATAGAGATTCAATGCTTAAGCTTATGAGCAAGAAAAGAGAAGCTCTTGTGAGTGCTTCCAGACTTTTTGACGGAACTCTAATTCATTGGAGCCTTCAATATATTATTTCTCAAATCTACAATAGAAATATTAGCAAACAAAAAAATAGCAATAGTAATGCTAGTGAAGGAAATACTGAATGGATAGAGATTTCTGAGGATGATGCTTCCAAACTTGCTGATATTGCAACAGCTAGCAATGCAGTCTCTGGAGTTTATATGCCAATCGGAGTCAATAATGAATACTTTGTTTGGGGTGGATTAAGGGGAGAGGCTAATCTTGAAGCTGCTATAGAAAGGTGTAAAGAAATTAAGCCTGGAATTAACGAGGAAGATATAGTTATTGACTTCATTACAGGGTCCTATTATAGAGAGGAAATTTTCTTGTCAGGGTCATACGTTGAGTTACTAGGAAAAGAGCACTACTTTGGTAAAATCTTTAGAAAAATTAAAAACTATTTTCATAAAACAAATGAATATGCTAGGCCAGACCCTCCTCAGTTGTTTGAACTATTTAATAGAGCGTGGGAGTTTATTACTGCTTCTTCTAGGGGAATGTTTCCAATTAAAGCACTAAAAAGAAAATATCCAAAGGTAAAGTTAAGATTCATTATCAGACCAAAAACACTCAGGTTCTTCCCTAAAAGTTCTTATTACTTCCCTGGATATAAAGAAAAGATTCTGATAATGACAGATGGATATTATATGGGATACAATGCTATAATTATTGATTCTGATTCAATTGAAACAAAAAATTCCGTATAACTGTAGATATTTTTAGTAACAAAAATTTTCAAAAAACACAATAAAATTTAGTTTAGAATATAAAACAACATTTATATACATTATTTCATGTATAGATTCTCATAAAATTTTTCTTCTATGATTTTTATTAAAATCCTCTTTTTACTTTTTTTTATCGTAAAGAGACACGTTACCTATTATTTCAACATACCGGCATGCCGGTATTGCATTTATTTAATAACCCAAAAAATTAAGAAAAAATTGCACTCATGAAATAGAAGTAAAAACCAATCAAAAATTCAATTTTTTTAGTTCAAAACTGTGAATATCATTGAGAAATTTTCTTAAAGCATTTGGATATTGAATTCATAAAGAAATAGTTATAAATTTTTGTTTTTACTTATTTAATTCGTTAATATTAATACTTAGAATATTTTCAATAGGAATGGCTGTCTCTACAAATGAAGAAATTTCGTTGATTTCTTCCTTTGCATTGGTTTGCTCAGCATCAATTGGTACTGGAGTTTTAATTCTCAGTTATGGAGTGATGCAGGCAGGCCTTGCACTTGGAAGCTTATTTATGGTGCTTGCTTCAATATGTGGATCTTTAACAGAATCTATTATTATTGTCTCTGCATTGAAGCTAAATGCAAAAAGCCTGACAAGTTTGATAGCTAGGGCAGTTGCATACTCTGTAATTCGGAAAAAGAGACAAATAATGAAGAAAAGGCGTGCTCACTCAAAGGCTGAAGAAGGAAAAGGTAGCTTCATTATTGACTCTAATAGTGACTCTAGTATTATAAAAAAGAACTTTGGTAGGAAAGTTGTAGGTAGTCGCAAAAAGTTAGGTAAGAGTGTCGTGGAAGAAGATCAAGCAGCACTTTTAGATTCTTCAAGCGAAAAAAGTAATCAAGGACATGCTAATTGGAATGAGGTTTCAGATCTAGAAAGTACAGTTAGTGACTTGGACTGTGTAAGAAATGTACTGTTGAATAATTCATTGCTTTTTGATGACTTCAGACAAGAATTAAAGAAAAAACTAATGCTTCATTCTCGAGTTTTAAATATTTTAGTAATAATTACGATTGGGTATTGCATACCAACTTATTTCATCTTGTTCACAGATTATGTAGAGGAGCTTTTCGTTCAGTTAATCCACACTCTATCTATTAGTTTCGCAGACTCAAGCTCTGTTTTGGGTATAATTTCTTTCATGGACTCTATAAATAATAAAGTAGCTCTTAATTTCCTTTGCTTTATTCTGGTATTTTATACATCCTACCAACCAGACATCTCTAAGATAGCAAAGCTAGGGTTTCTTTCACTATTTTCATTCATCATTTTTCTGTTTGCTGTACTTTACAGGTACTTTATTTACCCTTTTGAAGGAGTTATGGGTACTCCTGCTGAGAATTATGAAATTGGGCCTCATATGGGAATTCTTCAAGCTTTTAAAGTGTTTAACTATGCAATTTACTGCTTTTACTCCCATTTAATTTGTATTCAGGCTGTTACATCCGTGAAAAATATAACTTACAAAAAGGGAATCTTCATTGCAATGGGAACAACAGCACTAATGCTTTTTATTTGTTTGTCTCTCTCAACAGTTCTTAACTTCAGCTTTGGTACCGCACTTCTTCCAAATCCAACTTTGAATTACTCTCCACTTGACTCGGTGATTGCCCTTGCTAGATTCGTATCTGCATTAACAATGCTCGTAGTCATTCCAATGCATGTAATTCCGTTCATTGACTCCATTTTTAACATATATTTTCTTGACAGATTTGCCGAGGACATGGTCGAGGAGGTTGAAGAAGCAATGATAATATGCGATAAAAATCAAGAGAAAAACAAAAACCGACACAGCCAACATAGTGTCAGCTCATATTTTACACTTTTTGATGATGGTTTCAAATCAAAAAATAATAAACATGAAAAAGAACAGGTAAATTCATGCAGAAAAGGCAATTCATCAATAAAATCAAACTTTACTGGCAAGTTATTCCGCTCTATTTACTTTAGAATTGTTGCAACTCTTATATTCCTGCTTTTCTGCATACTATTTGCTCTTTTAGCCAAGAATGCCGCTCAATACATAGAGCTTTTTGCAGGATTTATTGATACCTTCATTATTATTGTATACCCATTATATATTTATATAAGTCTGTGGAGGCACAAAATGCCACTGTTTGCAAATATAATAATTATTGGATATCTTGTATTTTACGAAATTTGTGCATTAATTGCAGGTATTTATACTGTATATGAACATGTTTTCCATATCCATTAACTGTAATAGCACACATATAACCAAAGATTCGTGGAATTAACAAATATATTTAAATAAATAGGTATCTCTCATCCTCTAAAACTACAAACTATTATAATGGGTAATACAATTTAATCTTAAAATTACTTAATTTTTATTCTGTTTTTTTTTCCGATACTTTACCTATTTTTACCCCTCATGAATTAGTGCATTTATTGTTTAAAGAAATAATTCTTAATAGGGAGTTGGCGCCTAAAAATTAGTTATGTTGGAGGTATTTATGTAATAGTATTTATATATTAAAATATAGTATGGAAATTGAAATAAATAAATAGGAAAGACATATAAGCATAAAAAGATAATAAACTATACATAAGTATGAGTTATATAATATTAATTATTAAATAATTAATATTTCTGTAAAATATAGAAGATCTTGACTGGCCCATATATCGGACCACTTTTTTAGCATAAAAATTCCAGAAAAAGTAATAAGTACATTATTTGTATTTATAATTAAATTAAGTTTTTAGATAAAATGTCTGTTCAAAATACTGAGGAATTAGTAGACTACGAGGAGGAAGAGACCACAACAAGAATTGAGGAGGAGTCTAGAGCAGATGAAGGATCTAAGGTGGGCAGAGGTAATTACGTAGCTATTCACGCATCTGGTTTTAGGGACTTTTTTTTGAAACCAGAATTAATTAGAGCCATAGGAGATGCAGGGTTTGAACATCCTTCTGAAGTACAGCACGAGACAATTCCTCATGCTATCACAGGCGTTGACATTTTATGTCAAGCCAAATCGGGAATGGGGAAGACAGCAGTTTTTGTTTTGTCAATTCTTCAGCAATTAAATCCTGACGAGGAGAGTAAGAATGTTGAATGTATTTGTATTGGACATACTAGAGAATTAGCTTTCCAAGTTAAGAACGAGTTTGATAGATTTTCAAAGTACCTTAAAAATGTGAAGCCTCAAGTAGTTTATGGAGGTATCCCAATACAGAAAGATATTGACATGCTTTCAAGTTCTACGCCGAATATCCTAATTGGTACTCCTGGAAGAATAATTGCATTAATTAGGCAGAAGAAGTTAGTCACTGAGGGAATTGCTCATTTTGTTTTGGATGAATGTGATAAGTGCTTGGAGTCTCTTGATATGAGAAAAGACGTCCAGGAGATCTTCATGAGTACTCCAAGAAAAAAGCAGGTAATGATGTTCAGTGCTACAATGACGAAGGAGATCAGAGATGTTTGCAGAAAGTTTATGCAAAACCCAGTAGAGATTTTTGTTGATGACGAGACAAAGTTGACATTACACGGTTTACTACAATACTACGTAAAGTTAGGTGAATCTGAGAAGAATAGAAAACTCAACGATTTACTTGACCAATTGGAGTTTAACCAAGTGATTATTTTTGTAAAGAGTGTCTCTAGAGCTCAAGCACTACATAAACTTTTAACAGAATGTAGCTTTCCATCAATTTGTATTCATGCAGCTCTTAGTCAACAAGAAAGAATCTCAAGATACCAGCAATTCAAGAACTTTGAGAAGAGAATTATGGTTGCAACCGACTTATTTGGAAGAGGTATTGATATTGAAAGAGTTAACATTGTAATTAATTACGATATGCCCGAAAATACGGATTCTTATCTTCATAGGGTTGGAAGAGCCGGTAGATTTGGTACAAAGGGTCTTGCAATTACCATGGTTTCTTCCCAGACAGACTCTCAAGTACTTAACGATGTACAGAGCAGATTTGAAGTCAACATTGCTGAAATGCCAAACCAGATTGATACTTCCTCCTATATCAATCAGTGAGCTTTTTAATGACTATAGACAGAATTCCACTGCATAAATCTTATGGATTAAATCTCTCTGGCGATAGTCTCCATGGTGGTTTTTTAAAAAAGCAAATGCGTTAAACCACCTTTTTGCTTCTTTGAATGAATAGTGCTATTTACTTATGGAAATATCACAATGCTGACTCAATTCGTCCTAAGTACTAATTAATCAAACTATTTGGCCATTTGCTACTTGGGAATGGCATCTCACCCATTATTACATTTTTTCCCTGCTCCAATATGCTATTCTTCTTTACTTGTATAGCTACTAAGACAACACAAAATTTTTGATTGACAATGAATTATTGTCAAGAATAGGAGATAGTAGAATGGTTTAAAAATATTGAGAGATGTTGAGAGATACCGAGAAATATCGAAAAGATTATAAATGCATATTCTTGTAATCAAACAACTAGCTTATTTTGACTAGTATTAATTCAATTACTAAAGTAGTTAAGGGTTTTGCCCAGCCCAGCAAATTTGCCTTAAAAGTTTAATTATTGCCTTAAATTTCCATTTTATTACTTTGAGTTTTTCTCCGCCATGCACAGCTTCCGCTTTATTCCAACAATTATGTTATCATAAAGTGATTTACCGCCAAAACTGTCTGAATTTTTTTCCACGTAAATTCGAGGTTTAGAATTTGTGTTAAATGACATATAAATAAATAAGGATTTTTGTGTGCTAAATTAAAATTTTTAATCTAAGGATCTTGAGTAAAAAATAGAATATATAAGAGAATCTTCAGAGATAAAATTGGAGATATGTCATTTGAAGTATAATTTTTTTTGAAATAAAAGGTCAAAAATTAAGATGATTCCAGAAACTAGATTGGAGGGAGCAATGCCCTCGACTGATATGCTGGATGAAAATCCAACTGTTTCAACTGAGTGCTCCAACTCCGAGACTTCCCCTATTGCATCATGTAACAATTATGTTTTAAAAAAAAAAGATTTGGAGAGAGAAGATTTGCAAGATGAGTGCGATTATAGGAGAAATTTCTCGGATGTGCCCAATTTTGAGTATGGTAGCAACTCTCCTCTAGATTTAAAAAGCAAACAAGAAGCAACTGCCATCTCATGTATTTCACTGGTTTCAATGCTTATGTTCTCCATATTTCTTTGTTATGCTGATAGAATAATTATGCCCTCTTGCATTAAAAGCATAAGCGAAGAGTTTGGATTTAACAAATCTGATCAGGGATTTATCCTCGGACTTTTTTACGGGGGTTATATTTGGACTCAAATTATAGGTGGATATATTTCAGACACTAGTAAATTAGGTGGGAAAGGTGTATTATTCTTTGGAGTAACATTTTGGAGTCTTTGCATGATATTTACTTCGTTTCTTTCATATATGGGTATTACTGGCTTCATTATTTGCAGAATTTTTCTTGGAGTCGGAGAAGGAGTTTCTTTTCCTGCATTAAACTCCATTGTTGGCCATCATATACCTTCTAAGTACTCTTCAACTGTAATTTCCATTATAATCGCAAGCTCCTTCATTGGTGGAGGATTTGCTGCCTTTGTTACCCCCCCTATGATACTGTCTCTGGGATGGAGAGGCCCATTCTATGTATTTGGATTGATAGGAGTCTTCTGGTCAATTGTCTGGTTATTTTTGGATGTTAAGAGTCTAAGTTGGACTAACAAACCAAGTATTTATGAGTTTTATGATACCAAGGAGAAAAACGATTTAGAAATCCAGCTTCCGGACTTTCAATTTAAGAAAAAATTATCATTTGAAATTAGTCCCAAGTATCAAGCAAAGACTGATTTACTTGGTTCATTCTCTATTGGACTTGATTGTTTAAATAAGCATGAAGACGAGAAGAGAGATTCTTCTATTGAATATAATATTGAGAATTTACAAGAGAAGAAAAGCAGATATTGGCCAATATTTAACTTTGTAAAAGTCCTTCTATTGAATAAAAGCATATTTGCTATAATTGTCGCTCAATATTGTCATGGATGGACCCAGTTTGGTTTTGTTACTTGGATGCCTATATATTTCACAGATGTATGCAAAGTTAACTCAGCATATCTTGGGTACTACACAACTCCACCATGGGTATTGCAGGCATTTTTTGTCATATTCTTTGGTTTCCTGGCTGATAAGCTTGTTTCCTCTTCGATTAAGCCGATTATTGTCAGGAAATTATTCCAATCTGTGAGTATGTTTGTTGGGGCAGGGTGCCAGCTTGCATTGGTTCTTCTAAATAATATGGGATTAACTTCCGCCTCCTACGCAATTATGGTGATTTCTTTGATGTTTATTTTTAATACAATGAGTGGAGGAGGAGTAACTGTCTATCAATTTGATATTGCTCCAGAGTTCCCAGCTGTTGTTTATGCAATTGGAAATACATTTGGAACAATTGCAGGATTATTTTCTGTTTCTCTTACAGGTCTTATCTTGAATAGATCAGAGGTAAACCTTCAGGTAATTGGAAGTGAGTTAGGTGGTTCCGTATTAATCGAAAGATGGAAGTGGGTTTTGGCTATTTATGCGATACACAATATAATTGGAGGACTTTTGTTTGTGCTTCTTGCTGATGAAAGGCAAATCTCTCTAAATAAGCAAATTAAAAGTAATGAGGGAGATGCAGTTTCTCAGCTTAGCATAGCTAAGGGCGAAAATATTAATGAAATATAGAGGGACTAGCACCTACCTATATTTGAATAATTATATATACTAAATATATAGTTTTATTAGAATATATATAATATACTAGTCATTCAGACTAAGGGAAGAATTCATTATATTAAATTTCTATATATTATGTCTATACTATTACCTCCTTTTCCTGTTTGACAATGCAATTTGGTTCTTAATATAACAACCAAATTTGTATATTCGATAAATAATCCAGGTGAAAAACGACGCTACAAGAAGTATCCAAATGATAAATATGACGTTGGTACTGCATTTACCAACTGGGATCTCTAAGTCCTCTGAAAGTTTTGAAAATACTTTTTCAGAAAAAATCCTATCTTCGTTTTGAAAGGCCAAAGCTAGATTAAAGTCTTCTTCTGATGCCACAGATGGATAACAATCATATAAAGGAGGTATAATGTAGTTTAAGAATTTGAGCTTCCAAGGTCTGGAGCATTGGCAAAAACTCCAATAGTAAAAGTAGCACGAAAACTTCCCATTTGTATGCTTTGAGCAAGAGTAAATCATTACATTACATCCTTTATTAACCATTTGTTCATTTTCTCTACACAAAGGCAAACCTTCAGAATTCTTTGTATTTGATATTGTCTGAGCATACTCTGGACCAAACATCCCCTCTAGCACAAACTTCAAGGATTTCGTATATGTTTCAAAAAGTGCAAAGGATTCATCTTGGCTACTTTCAGTTTGTTGGCTCCCACTAAGACCTAAACTCTCGTCCTTTTGGTTTGTATCATCATTATAATCTTCAATCACCTTTTTCGCTGCATCCAAAGATAAAACACAGATAGAAATAACCAAAATGAAAATGAATGAACGAATTCTCAGACATCCCCTTGTATTTATTTGCATTTCTTGTTTATTACTTTGATTGCATCCACATTAAAATTAAATAAAGAAAAAATATCTATAGGCTTAAAAACAATTTCTTGTTTAATTATAACAACAGTCTATTTCTATAAATTAGGTGTTTATTTGATTATAACATTCATACTCAAATCTCTTTTTTTTTCAATAATTCCCATTTTCTCTGGTTAAATTTAATATAATCATATTGGCGCCAAATGAGAATATGTATGCCGGTGTTACATGCCTTTGACAATAATTTACAAAAAAAAAATGGATAGAGCAAAAAAATAAAATGAACGAATTTTTGATTTTGAGAGACTAATTACGCTATTTCTATATGATTATATACTATATAATATTTGGTTAAAGGTTGATGTAAGAATTATGTAGGTCAATTGCCTTAGAGTTAATAGAACTTAAGGCAGAGAAATATTTTTTTAAAGATTTGAGACTTGTGCGAGAATATTTTCGTTGCTCTTTTTGCACATTTCTGTAAAGTAGAAATGAAGCGAGTAACGAGGCTGTAAGGAAAAGCCAAACACTAGTAAGGTTTTTTGGAGATAAATCAAGAGAGATCGTACTGTTATAGTTAATATCTTCATTATTAGAAAAAATGTTGAATTCTGCATAATTACAAACCTGGAAGATAGCCATAATCAACATTAGAAACAGGACAAATGCCGAAGATTTTTTGTAGATATTTCTTTGTCTGGAAAGATTTTCCATATTTTTCTCAAGTTGTGTCTGCTTATATATAAGACATTTATTGCATTCAAGTAGAGTCTGACAGTCATTCAATAATGTTGCAATATTGTCTTGGACCTTCCTGTCTACGACTCTTTCAATTTGGTTGACAACCTCTAAGATTCTATTAAGAGTGGGGAGACTATTACTTATTTGAGATGATTTATCAGAGGCCTGAGATTTACTAGACTTAACTCTGACATTACTTGTATTCTGATTTTCAGAATTGGAAAGTACTTCTCCCAAGGATTGAAGGGTTTTTAAAGTTAAGTATGTCCCATCCTTTGCGCCAGCAATATAAATTGGAATTAGATCAAAACCGTGTTTGATTGTAATACTGGAGCTAAGATTTTGAGTAACTTGACACATTACCTTAATTCTGTCTTCCTCTGTAGAAATTTCATCAATTTTTGTTAATAGAAAGTTTGTCTTTTGGGGATTATTTTCTGCAAGATATTTTGCCAAACTTAGGAGCCTTTTACTCAAAGCCTGGCCTGAAGGATCAATGCATATCAAAACTAAATCACATAAAGATAGTGCAAGATCTTTAATTACATTATCTACATCAAAAGAATATATTGAATCTCCATCTATCAATCCGGGAGTGTCAATAAAGTTAATGTTTTGCAACCTCCCTTGACTTGAAGGAAAAGTCTTTACAGTTAAGCTTGTAAGTAAACTTGGATTTCTCTCCACAATTCCTCTAAGTTCTGGTAAAATCATTAAAGCTGTCTCACCACCAATTTCATTAATTTGTTTACCTGAAACCACAAATGATATTCCACAAGTTTCTATAGCCATTCCTGTCTTTTGAATATTTTCTTGTAATAACCAATTAATTAATGTGCTTTTGCCTGCAGAAACATTCCCAATTATCATTACGGTGGCTTTTCTCCCTAATTTAGAAACTCTTAAATTCAATGCTCTACTTATTGAATATAGTCCTAGTTCTTCATTATTATCCTCAAATTCATCTTCATCTCCGTCTATGCCATCTTCGTATTGACCCGTAAATTTATTCAAGCCAGGCCCTTTATTTCTTTTTTCACCCATATATATTCCCTTGACTTTAAATCCATTGTACAAACCATATATCTAAAAAAGAAAAATGTAAAGTTAATTATAAAAATTCCTAGGGCACCATTAGCACAGGGAAAACAATGTTCCAAAGCTAACAATACTAATAGCAATAGCAATGCTATTTTCAAACATACCTCATCCAGTATTGATGCATTCAAATTACTACGCTCCTCATTGGGTTTTAATGCCAAGAAAGATAGTTTTCCCCTATCCTGCATTTCTTCTGGCACTAATTAAAAATGCACTATCTTTATGCCTTGTGTTCTTTCTTTAGTTTAATACAAAATATATTGATTAAATCTCTTATTATTTTGTTTAAGAATTTTTATTTTTTCCTACCCCACATGCTTTGGTTTATCTACATTTCTTTTAACCTACTAATTTGTATAATTCCCGCCTTTTGTGTGCATAAAGAATACAAAATTTAAAACTAAAGAAATGAATTAATAAAGTATTGAAAATACTAGTAAGATACGATCTTTCAGATTTAAAATATTTGATTAAACATCTGAAAATTCCTTGCCTTTTTCTTATGTTTATGAACTTTATAATATTAATTTACTTCTTTTTCATTTTTATCAGAATTAGTTTAGATAAATAAGGAGATTTTGGCGGCAAAGTACCGAAATATATAAATTGACAAAAAATGATACAGAAAAAAGTAAAAACTCAATCAAGTTGTTCTTTAGCTTATTTATATTTAAAAATAGGTGAATCAGCTAGATATATGACTTAATAAAATGACATCCACGAATGAACGTTTCTTATATTCCAATGAATTCAAGGGTGTAGTTTTTGCAGGTGGTTCTGGTAGAATGCTGGGGCCTCTAACCAAGAATATTTCGAAGGCAATGATCCCAGTATGTAATAAGCCAATGATATGGTACTCTATATCTAATTTGATACAACATAGGATCAAAGATATATGTGTATTTTGTGAGGAGGAATATGAAGATTCTATTAGAAATTACATTTCTGAGACGTTTTCAAATGAAAAAGTGATCAAAAGGTTTGAATTCGAAGAAACATATCAACAAAATATTAAAATAATTGGATTAAAGGAAGATGAGTGTTCAATAGAGTCATATGGTACTTGGAGTATTCTATCAGAATATGGGAAGGAATTTCTGCGAGATTCAGACTTCTTTGTCTTAACCTGTGATGTAATTGGGCCACTAGATTTACTCAAACTGGCAAATAAGCATCGTCTGTCTCAAGCAGTTTGTACTGTCTTGCTGACAGAAAATCCTGATTTGTCCAATATTAAAAGTACCGGAAAACAAAATACTAATTCAAACAATCAAGCTCAGGCAAATCTAATTGGTGGTATTTCTGTTGAATTACAGAAAGATAAAAATAAAAGTATTTTTGTTCTAGATGAAAAAGAAGAAGTGATACTATCTATAAGAGATTTTTATTCTGCCAGACAAGAAAATGAAGCTTTCGAATTAAGCAAACTTCAACTCTTTTGGCATCCCAATGTTTCACTACGTACTGACTTGATAGATTTACATGTTTATCTATTCAAATCCTCAATTTTCAAAATCCTTGAAATAGCATCCGGTTCACGAAAAATACCCACAATCAAATACCCAGAAGATGGGATTGAATCTATCAGACTGGAGCTTTTACCATTTCTTGCAAAAAATCAACATGTACCTGGCTCTGAGCTTTGGGGTAGGTCCAAATTTGATTGCAACCATTTTCTAGACGAAGAAATAACCTCAATCTCAAATGATTTACCTATTAAATTCACCAAAATTCATCTTCCTCCTAAAATTGAAGGGACTTCAGTATCATATTTCCTACAAAAATCCCCTCAAAATTCTGCAAGAGTAAACACGATCTTGTCTTTACATGAATGCAATCTGGCGGGAACTTCTCCTACACATTTCCCCACATGGCTCATTGAAGAACAGGCGGGTGCAAGTGTTGGGAAAGAAGTCATTATAGGTCAAAACAGTATTATTGGTAAAAATGTGCAGTTAAGAAGATGTGTAATCGGGTCAAACGTTGAAATAGGTGACGGTTCTAAGATTGTTAACTGTGTTATTCTTAATAATGTGAAAATAGGGTCCAAGTGTACAATTCAGAACTCTGTTATTGGTGATAATTCCGAGATTTCAGACACTTGCAAAATTTCTTACTCTGTAGTAGAGCACGGTTTTAAAGTTGAACCAAATTCAAAATATCAGGGGGAAATATTGGAAAAGAGAGATGAACTTTTTGAAATTAATATTTAATCATTCAATGACTTATTTTTTTTTTATATAGATTTGTTCCCTAAATACTCTATTTCCACTCTTTTATTTTTTCGAATTCTATATTTAAGTCTATAGTTTTACTCAATCCAATAAGAAGTTATTGCAAAAACTTTTAAACATTTAGCTTCAGAAAAAAATTACCTTATTCAATTTAACAAAATGAGAATCCTCAAAATAAAAATAAATTAATTTTCAGAATTAATATAGTTGAGTACAAATCTAACACAAAATAACACTTAGATTAAGTATTTCCCTGAGATTCTGAATTGAATTCAACGAGGCTTCTTTGAACATATTAGAATCAGAGCAAGTTTCTGCAGAATTTAAGACAGTCTCAAGACTTGATTTTAGCTTGGAAGCAACATTAGTTAACTGAAGCCTCTTTTTGTTTTGGCAGCTTTGTGGATTCACATAGACTTGCTCAACCAAAGTTAGCTCTTCAGCTTTTTCTCTTGATCTTTTTACTGTTTCTGATGGGAGCCCAGAAAGTTCTGCAACATCAACTCCCAAAGATTTGTCTGTGAATCCTTTTTCAACCTTGTATAAGAACTTGAGAACTCCACTTCCTGGTTTTGAAACGGATAAAGCCTTTGATGTAGATGCAGTTACTCTTAAGTTTGTTACGTTTGGAGTACTAGACGCAAGTGAGCTGAGTTCATGAAAGTGTGTAGCAAAAAGAGTGTAGCATTTTTTCTGGCAAACTAGATAATTTGCAATAGACCATGCAAGCCCAAATCCATCAAAAGTTGATGTACCACGCCCCAGTTCATCGACTATAACCAAAGTTCGTTCAGTTGCACTCCTAAGAATAGCTGATGCCTCAATCATCTCGGCAAAGAAAGTTGAAATTCCGAGTATTTGTGCATCAGAGGCGCCAACTCTGCACATTAATTGGTCCATTATCGGTACTTGTGCTTCCTTTGCAGGAACATAACACCCAATTTGAGCTAACAAAGAACATATGGCAATTTGACGAATATAAGTTGATTTTCCACCCATATTTGGCCCAGTAATAATACTTAACAAATTTCCATGGCGATGAAGATCAACATTATTTGCAACAAACTGGCCAGTTGTTGAAACTGTTCCTTGAGCTTCAATCAATGGGTGGCGAAGCTCTTTACAGTAGAATCTGCAATTACAATTAGTGGATCCATCTTCTGACATTTCCATATCAGAAGCTAAATTGCATTCCCCACTAACCATTTTAGGTCTCACAAATGGAATTTGGGCGCATAAAGATGTCATTGAAAAGCTTAAAAGTACATCAATTGACCCCAAAATACCAGAAAGACGTGAAACCAAAGACCAATAAGTAGATGCTACAGACAAAGCCTTAATGAGAACTTGCTCTTGCTCAATGTTGTAATCTTTTATAACTCTTTCTTCAAGATCTGAAAGTTCAATAAGTTCTTTTGTCCTAAAAATATAATCATTCTTGTTGATTCTGACTTGCCTAAATCGTTTCTTATCTTGGAAATATTCTATGTCTTTTCTAGTTACTCTAAAGCAAAGAGTAGTATCAACGCCTTCTCCTCTAATAACCCTAACGGCTTCTCTAGATCCTTCATTATAACCACGTTCTTCACAGAGATATGAATCCAAATCTTTCCTATGAGCTTCAATTTTGCGTTGTATCCTATTTTTCTCATCTGAAAGTTTCTCAAGTTCTGGAGTAAAGTAAGGAATAATTAAATAGTTACCTTTTTCTGCTTCTTCTAGGTCAATAGTTTTCTCAACTAGTCGAACGTAGTCTTTGAATCTGTTTAATGTTGATTCCAATGGTGCAAGAATCAAATCATATACTGACTGAATGAAATTCGAAGAAGATCCTGAGTTCTTATTTTCTTCTAATGCATCCTTTATATCAGAAAAAATATTACCTGATTGCATTACACTATCGTAAAGCTTTACCATATCCTCCAGGCCAAACTTTGGCTCTCTTTCAGACTTTGAACTTTCAGAAGCCACCAAGGAAGCAAATGTTCTAAATCGAACAGCTATTTGGTCCAAATCACAGACTTTACGCATATGAATACCATAAAGCTTTTGACGTAAAAAATCATTTTTACAAAAGAACTCCACAACATCTTGACGTGAATTAATTTGTTTTTCATCAATAAGAGGTTGTCTCAGCCATTGTTCAAGCCTCCTTGCACCCACTTTAGTTCTTGTTTTGTTCAATAATCCAAATAAATTTGTGGATGACTTATTACTTTCTCCCTTACTTGGAAAAATCCTTAATGATTGTAAACAAGCAGTGTCCATTCTCATAAAACTTTTGGTTACTAAAAATTTAATTTCGCATTGAGAGTTATTTTCTTTAGACTGGACTAACTGAAAGTGCCTTATTAGGTTAAGTAGTGACTGCCTAATTAATTCACTTTCTAGTTCCTTTCCATAACTTTTACTAGTTCTTCTTAATAGAGGAGAAATAATATCTTCAAAATTTTCCACACTAGATGGTTTTGGAAACCCAATTTCTTCAGAAGTCCAATTATTGCTCATGTCCAAAATATTGCGTAAGCGTTTTAAGCTTAAACAATCGTTTTGAACTGCATATACTACATTACTTGGCTGAGTTCTTACAAGCAGAGACTCTAATTCAGAAAGCTGTTCATTGTCTTCTATATTCGCTACTGATATTGATCCATTATTTACATCAAAAAGAGAAATCCCAAGCTTTGGCTCTGTAATAGTCTGTTTTGCAACAATTGAACAGAAAATTTGTGTTTTAAAGTTAACATCTATTATACTGTTCATTTTTTATTGTCTATATTAACTTCTTAGTTTGAAAAATCCCCATTTACTAATTTTTACTTTTTCTTCAATTTTCAAATTGATTTCCCCACAGTAATGTGGAGCCAATTGTAATGTCCATAGGTATTAAAATTATTTAATATTTATGCAAATTATATTGGAAAAAAACTCATATTTTACATAAATAATGATTAATCCTCTCTATTTTGGTTTTTTTTGCCATATTTTAGAACATTCATGTTTAGTTAATTTAGGTGTGCTATTATGTTAGTACTAATTTTTTAGTCTCTTGAATAAAAAATAAAAAAATAATTTTCACACGTAATTGAATAACAATTATTAATATGTGATAGAAGTGTTAATAAACGAATATAATGGGGAAAAAAAATGAAATAAAGAGTTTAAATAAATAAAAATTTGAATTAAAATCAGTTTCCTTTATATAATTTTACTAGATTTTTGAAATATGATTATATTTCAATATTAAGCTTCCACCAAATTACATTAATGCATGCTAAAAATAACCGGTATTTATATAAATAAAATATTTTAAATAAACATACCTGAGGCAAAAAAAGCCTTTTTAGGATTGAAAGAAATACACTTTGGTTGCCCAACATGCCCAGTTAGATTAACTATATGATTTGCAGTAGTAGTTGACCAAATTGAAATAGTAGAGTCTTGCAAACCATGGATTATGTATTGGGAGTCACTGGAAAATACTGGTCTAGTTTCAGATTTTATTATATGATCTGTACAGATAGAGAAATAATTATTAGTATACAATCATGCAATTAAGGGAAAATATTCTTTCCGTTATTAAATAAAAAACTTACTTGGGGATTTATTGACAACTTTATATTCTTGAAAAAGCTCCCCTCTGAAAGAGCTAATAGTGAAGATTTTTCCTAAATTAGTTTTGACCAATATGAGCCGTCCGTCAGGACTAAAAGTAATATGATCTATGTAATTCTTCTTTCCAATATAATTTGAGAGATTAAAGGTATCAAAAGGAGAATAGGTTTTGCAATCATACAAAGTGATTATATGGTCGTCAGTTGCAACAGCAAAAGTTCGTCCCTCGGGATCAAAAGCTGAAATGGGAGTCTTATTTTTAGTAGACTGAACAGCTAATGGAGCTTCCAGTTTAAAATTATATATAGAGACCTTCGAGTCATTTGTTGAAACAATAAATAGATCTTTGTTTGGATGCACGGAAATGCCATTGTATGGTACAACACTAGATATAATAATTTAAAAAAAAGTAGATTGGAAAAATGATTTTAGTGAATAAAAAAAGAATATATTAAATAAGTAAACTTACCTCGATGAGAGTTTAGTAGCCCTAATATATCTATTTTCTTGAATATCCCATAACCTGATAGTAGCATCACCATCTGTTTTGTTAGATGCTACAAGGCATTGTTTGTTACTATGTGCAAATTTGATTGCATCCATACTATTCTTCCTAGAGTGATGAATTCTGAAGATATCTCCAGATGAAATAGTGTATACTCTCAATGTATCACTTTCACAAATTAGTAAGGAATCACCATCTTCACTCCAATCCATATTTGAAATAGGTGTAATGGCATCTTTGAACACACGGCATGCCTTGAATTTGGTCATTAAACCATCATTCAAAACAGTCTTAGATTGTTCCAGCATAATGACAGATGATTATTGTAATCTGGCCAATGCAAATTTAACTAATTATAATAAAATCTTAGTTTTAGAAATTATTACTTTTTGACATTAGTTGAATTTGGCGCCAACTAGGCTAGAAAAAAAATAAGTGAGATAATAATTAGATTATAAAAGGAGATAAAAGTATATAGGAACACAATTAAAGAAAATATTTTATTAAATAGGATTTTAGGTAATTTACTATTGAATCCATTTTCCTGAAATTAATCTATTCATTTGAGATAGAATCATATTCACAATAATATAGTAGAGGGGCGTGATAAATATCTCTACGTATAATTTCTCCAATATCAATATTATCACCAGAGATATCTTCTGAGAAGAAATCAAAGAATGACAAAATGTTGTTCTTGTACTCCTCTTCATTCTCTTCACCATCGATGAATTTTTTTTCAATGATTGACCTTGGAGACTCTTTCTTCCAATTAATCTTGGTTACCTCATTTACAATCTCCTCGTTATCTTTAAAAATAATATGTTTAACTAAGACATTTGGCTCCATAAATTCTGAGACTGCTTCATCGAAGACCAATTTAATTTTATAAGACCCTTCATTATCTAGATTGTCTTCTAACTCTATATCCTTAAGGTGTTCAAGAACATCAAAATCTTCAGGATGCATATTTTCTTGGAACACTGGATGTTTTGAAATAGTGTCAGCCCAAAATTTAGGTATTTTTTCAATTATAGCTCTTCTTTCATCAAAAATAGGTTTCTTTTTTTGATCAAATTGCCTTTGAATAATCATTTGTTCTTTGGCACACTCATTGTCTAGTTCCATTAATTTGGTATCCACTTAAATAATTTTAATTAAATATTATTCGATAAAACATTAAAAAACTTACCTTCTTCTAACTTTGAAAGCAATTCCCGTTTTTCACTAACGTCTATTTCACCCCTAAAATAATGTTTAAAAATAACAAAAGGATTGAAATTAACGTGATTACCATCGTAAACTAGAAATTCAGTCATATTTATTACTGCATTGCAACAATAAAGTATACCGAACTTAATAAAAAATTACCCTTTATTTGAAACATCAACAGCTCCTGAATCTAACTTTTGTTTTTTCATCTTTTAATTAACTTGCAATTTCTAAAAATTTCAAATTTGACACTTTATAACTTGATGAATGAAAACTATTTCTTCGCCTTGGTCTTTTCAAAATTATCTTGTCAAATTATGATTAAACGCCCGCCAAAATGTGGCGCCATATTATATGGTTTTACACGACATGTACATGTCATTAATGGTCTAAAGTGTGATTTGAATTAAAATTTATAATATAATAAAGAAATATAAGAATTGGGTTATTTTTTTAAAAAGTAATACATGAAATCTTGTGGGAATATCACGGAAGAGTGTATTTGAATAAAAAAAGTAGTTAGCAAGGATGGCTTCTTTAAATGATAATAATAAGGATTCCCAAGGGAGTCAATTAATAGATTTAAATGGCTCAGAAAAGAATGACTATATAGGCTATATGTCACATTTGCAGAATAGTGCAGCTCAGTTGAGATATGAAAATAATATTTTAAAGAATGATAATGCAAATTTAGTATCTAAGTTGGACAGAGCTGTGAGTAAGAGTAGAAATGGAGTAGAAATACCAGAGAAAGCAACAACGGCAGAGATTGCTGAGGCATTTGAAAAATTAAATGAAGAGAATTGCCGACTTAAGAGGGAAATGGAGCGTTTAATTCGTTCAAATACTAGACTAAGAGTTGCAATGCAAAATAGGGATCCTAGCTTAATTCCCCCAGAAGAACAAGATAAAAGTTATTTCATTAGCTCTGAAGAATCTGGAACAAGACTCTGTCAATGTGAATATATTCTTAACGAGATTCTAGAAGCGGTTTCTTATAAATTAGAAACTTATGAAAAACATATTTGGGAACATAGATTGGCTACCTTAACAAACGAAAGAGACGAAATTGCCGTTCAAAATATTTCGCTTGTTGATAGGCTCGCTGAGATCGAAGCAATTATCAAAGTGGATCACGTCCTGGCAGAAAGATTTAATGTTCCTTTAGAAGGTTGTGATGAAAAGAACCAAATTTTAACACTGCATCGCAAGTTGGGTTTTGCATTGGATGTAAACCAGCAACTCGAAAGAAGGTTAGCTTTCGAAACTCAATTATCAAGATCATGGCAAAGCAACATGCACACAATTGTCAGTGAGGTAAGTTTCTCTTAAAAATTCAATCCTTAATTACAAACTGTGTTCTAAATTATTGCATGTTTTCCCCACATTATAATAATTGCATGCATTTGCAAATAACATGCATATTTTATAGCTAAGGCAGTATATGTATGAACTCGGGTCCATTATAAAGCAGTCAAATGGCTGTGAGATATTTAGGAGTATAAGCTCTTCAGGTAAGTTTAAATATTTATTTCTTAAGTTAAAAATCAAATAAATAATATCCAAATTAATTTTTTAGACCAAACCAATAATATAGGTGCTGGAGGTATTGTAGAGGCTCCTGGCTATAGAAAAGCTGACAGAGAAAGCTTAAAGTTACTAAGGTTGGCAAAACAAAGAATTGAAGCTGATACAAAGAGACTAGAAACATGTAATAAAAGAATTATAGAATTAGAAAATGAAGTTGCATCTTTAAGGGTACGTAATCATTCATATATATATATGGAAGGGGCAATCAATCATGATACTGCAAGCAAAGAAATAATGAAAAATATTTTACCTCCACCAAAAATGTCCGCTCAGGACTTAACTGGAGGCTTAATAAGATCATTTTCAAAAGCTCGAAATGATAATAATTTGTTTTCTGTTAACAACGAAGGAATATTGAATGTCAAGTTAGATAAGATTTACGAATCAAAAGATGGTGACGATCATCCAGAGGAGAATCAGGGAGCAACCGAATGTGAGGTTAATGGAAAGACGAGTAGTGTTTCTAAAGAAAAAGACAAAAGTTCTTATGAAATTCAAGATCTTGAAGAAGGAAGTGTTACTCATAGAAGTCATCACAACAGTCATCGTTCTCATAGCCAAAGCCGACCTTTAACTCATAGAAGCCACAAATCTGCCTCATCTAATGATAATCATTCTAAAACATCAAAAACTCATTCATAGTCATATTCTAAGAGATGTATGAGCCTTGAATTTGATTAATTAATCAATGCTTGCAGTGGTTGTTTCCCTAAAAAGCAGAAAGGTTTGAAATCATTATTTAACAAAATTGATTTCATATTAAATTTCTGGTTTTGCTTTATAAACATAAAATTGAAAACCCCATGCTCTAATAATAATTTTCTTATTAACATTAATTTTTTGTTTAACTTTTACTTTTTTTCAGGTTCAATCAATGAAAAATAGAAACTCAGTTTTTGCTACAGGCACATTAACTTCATCATATTCAATATCTTCCACTGAAGATGGTAAGTTGTAGAAAATTATTTAATTTAAACTGATTAACAAATATAACTAATTAATTATTTCATTCAACTTAGGTATAAGATATAATGTGTACAGAGAAAGGATTGAGAAGTTATCAGGATGGTTAGAAGATCAAGTAGTGAGTGGTCATGTATTTGAGAAAATGAAGGAAATAAGAAATAGAAGAATTACTGATGCAATGATTTTAAGACCAATTAAAGACGATGAAGTTCAGAAGGATAATAAAGATGAGAAGAAAAATTTCAGGGGTTTAGGAGAAGGTGAGGAGTTGGGAGCAATGGAAATATATTTGAATCAGGATGCAGAAAGACGAGCGAGACAGCTGATTCAGCGTTCAGGCGTAGTTCCAGCTTCTAAGGATATATTAGATAGGCAAGCTAGGAAACTTAGCCAAACTGGTAATGATAAAAATGCTATTCTAAATGGAAATGAAAAGAGAAATGAAGTAATAGAAACATGGTTGTCAAGTGGAATAATGCCAGGGGACGATCAGATTGACCTACCAAAAGAGTATAATGACTGGAAAATGCAGAAAATGGTGAATAATTTGGCTCCTGATTTGAGAATAAGAAAGAAGTTACTAGAGAATTCTTTAAAGAACATAAAACCAATTCCTGTAGATGGAGAAGATTTACCAGAAAATATGGTAGATAATGAAAATGTATTGCAAAAGAATTTTGAAACTAGTATGATGTTTGCACCACCATTAGCAATGCCAGAAATTAAGGTCAAATCTCCAAAGAGGATGATGCAAAGTAGAGGTAGAAGTCCAGTAAAGCGAACGTCTCCAAAGAAGATAGGTATCGATATGAAAGAAATAGCAAAAGTAGTGGTTAAACAAGTACAAGATACTTTGGAAGCAACTATTGAAAATAGTCAGATTGAAATTGAAGACAAGATAGATTCTTTAAATGATCATTTGAAGCAATTGGAAGAAAAGACCAATATGATATTAGAAAAAAGTGAGCAAAATAGTCCAAAAATGGAGATAATAAAGATTGATTCAATTAAAGAAAATGAGGAAATAGTTCCAAAAAAACAGAATTTATCATTTTTATCACCAGTTAAGAAAAAGATGGAAGCTCCAATACCTCCAAAGAAGACAACAATTATTCCAAATGTTGTAAAATCAACAGTAAAGGAGCAGGATTCACCACATGAGAAAGTTAGTGTCAAATTCTCTCTATACTTTTCAATGTTTAAAAAGAAGATTTTAAAAAGTTTTAACAATTTAAATGAATTATATCATGAAATGAAACCAAATTCAAATGGAGATATATCACAGGAAAACTTTATCGCGTTTTTAAAAGATAATAAGATTCCAGGGGGGAATTCAGAACATACAAAATTGTTTGATGAGTTAAAAAGTCAGAATGGCTCAATTACAAGATTATCACTATACAAAAACGTACATCCATTATATGAGAATCCTGATCCGACTTTGGAAGATTTTGTTAAGTTGTTAGATGAGATATATGAAGGTTGTGAGATTCCTGTATTAGTTTCAACATTTAAGGATACTTTTCTGAGTAAGGGAACTTTCTTAAAGTTTGGTCAAGATCAGCTTTTATTAAGTGAATCAAGTATGGAATATATTTGGAAAAACTATATGAGTTCTGGAGGAATCGGTATTTTTAATACTTCAGAAAAGCTAATAGAAAAGATCATGAATATTCGGAAAAAACTAGGATTGGAAGATTTATCTAATGAGAAAGAAAAACAAAACAGTATGAACGAGGATATGACTGTAGATAAGGAAATAGCTAGAAAAGAAAAGGAGAGAGAGGAGGAAGAGAGAGAAAAAGAAAAAGAGAGAATAAGAAAAGAAGAAGAAGAAAAGGAAAGGGAAAGAATAAAAAAAGAGAAAGAAGAAGAAGAAAAGGAAAGAGAGAGAATAAGAAAAGAGAAAGAAGAAAAAGAGAGAGAAAGGGAAAAAGAAAGAGAGAGAATAAGAAAAGAAAAAGAAGAAGAGGAAGAGAGAGAAAGGGAAAAAGAAAGAGAGAGAATAAGAAAAGAGAAAGAAGAAGAGGAAGAAAGAGAAAGAGAAAGAGAAAGAGAAAAAGAAAGAGAGAGAATAAGAAAAGAAGAAGAATTGAACAAGAAGAGTCCATCAATTACATCTATATTATCATCATCTTCAGCCTCATCAGCAAAATCAAGATCAACACGTTCTTTAACTTCATCATCATCCTCTTCAAAAAATGAATCAATAAATTCTTCATCAATTTCTTCGAGAGAAAATTTATCAGAAACAAAAATGAGTACAAGTAGAAGTAGAAAATTATCAAAATTAAATTCTTCCAATAGCGTTAGAAACTCAATCATTAGATCAAAATCTATAACAAGTGAATCATCAGATTCAGAAATGGGGTCAAAAATAGGTTCAGGATCAAAGTCAAAAGAGAAATCGAGATCTGAATCAAAAAATAGGTCAGTATCTGTATCAAATTCAGAGCATAGTATAGAATCAGAATCAAATTCAGAGTCAGAATCAAGTTCAGAGTCAAGTTCAGAATCAAGATCAGAATCAAGATCAGAATCAAGATCTGAGTCAAAACTTAGATCAGGATCAAGATCAAGATCAAGATCTGATTTTGAATCTGGACCAAGATCTGAATTATCAACACCAAAATCAAAAAAAAAACAAGGATTATCAGGCTCTGAGAATGAAATGAAATTAAATAGAAATTTGTCATCTAGTAGTAGTATTAATGAATTTGACCCAAAGACTCAGAAAGATAGTGTTATTGAGAAGGATCCAACAAAAAGAGCAATATTAATGAATTTGGACCCTGATACAGAGAGTCTACCATTGGATGATAGGTTGAGGAGTAGGATAAAAGAGGTTTATAAAACAGGAGGAGCTGCATATAAAGAAATGTGTGGGGGGAAAATAGACAAGAATGCAACTTTATCCGAGTTTGGAGATTTTATCGAAAAGTTAAATATATTTCTAAGTTTTTCAGAAAGCAAAGAGTTTTATGGGAAATTAACAAAAACTCAAGGTTCTCTGAATATTGGTTCTATGTATTCATATTTGCATAAGTTAGAAAATGTGAAAAATCCTGATCCAGAAATCATAGGTAATTACTTGAAGGAGATATATGGTACAGTAGATGAGGCCTTTAAGAAAAAGAATTTGTTTGACCATGAAACTATAACTGAACAAGAATTTATTCAAGTTTGTACTGATTCTGGATTTACTAAGTCTGCATTGAAGACATTATTTAAGGAAATGACAGGAAATATAGAAGGTGCATATGTTGAAGTACAAGATGTAATACAATGTTTACAGGGTCATATTACAGCAAAAGAGGTATATGAAGATGAGTTAAATAGAAATTCTCAGTGGGCAATTTGGAGAGTTGTACCACAGAGAAAAATATTAATTAATGAAGATAAAAGAAAATCTGAATTAAATATCGTAATACAAGCATTAGCATCTGATAAAATTAAAGATTTTAAAGGAATAGGAAAAGAGGAATTAATACACATTGTAGAGAATTTCTTTATGAGAGAACAATTATCAGCATCAAGTCAAGTTATTGCTAAAGATGAAAAAGGTTATTCACTTTCAGTAATAGTTTCTGGAGCTGTAGATTCCATTGAATCTTTATGGTATGGTGAAAATATATTAGAAACATTTAAAGTAGGTGATATTATAGGAATTGATATGTTTAAATCAACACCAAGTAAACAATTTTTAAGAACTAATGAGGAAACAGTATTATGGAAATTAAGTCCAAAAATATGGGAAATTAAAGTAAAAAATAGAATTGAAGAATTAAAAGATGGGTTTTTAGCAATAGATGATTATTTTAAACAAGATAAGATTTTTAGTAAATTAGATTCAAAAAACCAAAAAAATTTATATGATAATGCAATATTTACAAGATACCCATCAAAGACATGTATATTTAAACAAGGAGAATTAGCAAAAAGCTTTATATTAGTATTTGAAGGATCAGTTTCTTTAATAGTTGATGGAGATTTAACAAAGATGCCAGAAAAGTATAGAAAAAAATCAACAGGAACAAGTATTGGTGATAAATATTTAATTAATAGAATGAAATATCCATATAGTTGTTATTGTGATTCAGAATGTGAATCAGTAATTATTATTACAATATCTGATGAGATTATAAATATGGTTTTAAATGATGAAATAAAAAAAGAATTGATTAAAATGGATGAAAAATTAGAAAAGAAAAATCCTATTCCAATTCAAGAAAAATTAAGATATCCTGATTTAAAATTAATTCCAAAGTCTGAAGGAGAAGTAAAATCAAGAGTAAAAAGTTTAAAAGATAATAAAGAAGAGAAAAAAGATAATGATGATATTAATAATGATGAAAATGATAATAATGAAGATTCTATGAATGAAAATACTAGTAGAAGTAGTAATAATAATCAAAATGATGAATTATTAGAAAATGAAAAGAAAATTGCATTAGAATATTTAAAAGCAGATATACAATCAAGAATATTAAGAAAACATATAAGTTTGGGAGATTGTTTTAATTATATGTATAAAAATTGTGTATCAAAAGAGAATAAAGAAAAAATGAAGAATGTTCCACCAGTAACATTATTTGATGAAGATAGTCAACCAAGTAAAGATTTAATAATAAAATGGCCTAAATATGATAAATTATTTATTGGAAATTGGGTAGATACAGATGCATTTGCTGAATATGTTTCTGAGGTATTACATATTAAAGCAACATTTACAGATATAACATCAATATTTATGAATTTTTGTTCTCCATTAGATAATCGTCTATATATTGGTACTTTTTATAGGAATTTTGAGAAAATTTCAGATTTATCAATGAAAGATTTTAATAGAAGATTGGTAGAAATAGATGGAAGTGTTTTTAATACATTTACAACAGTTGGAGGTGTAGTACCAGGAGGAAGTGTATCAACTGATACATTTATAGTAATAGGAGGAAGAGCAGGGTTTACACGTCCAGAAGCTACAGAGTTATTTTTAAAACAAATTGATGTTTTAAAAACAAAAACAATATCTTTAACAACATTATCAAAATTAGTATCAGGTGAGATAACTAAAAAAGAAGCACATGAACAAGAATCAGGATATGGATTATTTAGTATGGCACAAGATTATTTTGGAAGAGGAGGAGGATCAGTATCAAAATTATGTGATAATGGTGGTGTTTTAGATTATAAGAAATTAACAACAAAATATGAAGATGTTAGTTGTAAAAAAGAAAAAGAATTAAAAATTTTAGATAATAAAGAGAATATAAAAATATTATCTAATATAGATAATATGGAACCATTAGCAGTATTAAATAGTAATCAACGTATTTGGTTAATATCTTTATTAGAAAGAAAACAAATAAAAAAAGGATCAAAATTTATAAATCAAGGAGATCCAAATGCAGCAATGGTAATATTATATAAAGGAGAATTATCAGTAATGCAAACAGGATTTTTTGGTTATGATTCACAATTAGAAGAAATTTCTGCTGATGGTGAAAAAGATGATTTAAAATTATTTGGTTGGAAAGAATATTATTCATTAAAACAAGCTTCAGAAGTATCATTAGTAGCAAAAAAAGATTCAATAGTTTATTTATTATCTCGTAATGATATAGATCAGATAATTGAAATGATAAATAATAGAGTGGAAAAGATCAAAAATATTTATTTAGTTTTATTAAATACTCCAAATATACGTGATTGGCCAATCAAAGTTTTAGAGAAATTTGCATGTTGTCTTAGAATTGAGATATTTATTAATGATGAAACAATTTTGGAAATGGGTCCTTGTGATATAGAAAACTTAAAATTCTATGTTGTTGCAGATGGTGAAGTAGTGATAGAAGGGGTTCCAATGGGTGATATGGAAGAATTAAATGATTATATTGTAGGAAGAAGTAGATATTTTGGTGAGTGGGCAATAATTAAAGGTTTTGATGAGAGAACTTCAAATGTGATATCTAGAGGAAAGAAGACAGTTTTATTATCAATTCCAAAGAGAGATTTTAAAAGGATCTTGTCATTAATTGGTGATTATGCAATACATAGATTCCAAGATTATGGATTACAATTATATCACTTTTCACCAAAGCATTCAAAAAGATTTAATAGCCCAATTCGTGTATTAAATAATAAATCTTAATTATATAAAATAGAAAATTTATTTATTTTTGGGGGGTTTATTTCTACTTAACCATAAATATAATATTGCATGCATGCATGCATGCATGCAAATAACAGAAAATATGGTTTGCACCATTTCCGTATTTAAAATAAAAAAAAAACTAAAATTAATGAAAATATAAAAAAATATGTTTAATTGAAAAAAGATATAAGGAGAAAAAGAGGAAATTAATTAATAGTGAAAAAAAAAATCATTTTTTGGCAGGTATAATAATAATATCATTTGTTATAATATAATATTAATTTATAAAATATGTATTAAAAAATCGGAATTTTAATGTATTTAATGATTCTTTAGATTAGAAAATGTAATTTTTTATTGAATAAAAGTAGCATTTGGGATATTCTCAAATATTACGGAGAAAAAGTATTTACTTGATCAAAAGTTGATGGTAGGAAAAAAGGAGGTAGTATTAGGGAAGTTAATATTAAATTTATATTAAATAGAACTAGGGCTAATATTAATGAGGAGATATAAAGAGAGAGAAAATTAAAGAAAGAAATGGAAGATTAGATTAGAAAATATGTAATATTTTAAATAAATAAAATATATATAACTATTTATTTATATAGTAATAAAAAAAACTAACTTAAAAATTAACGTGAATGAACTTTAATTATAATAAACTTGAAACTAGGGTATTTATTAACTTTGGTTTTAAATTATAACTCGAATTCTGACGAGAATTTAGAGTAAGTTGATCCAAATTCTGATATCACAGATTGTATATGGCTAACGAGATCGTTAAGGTGGACTTCTTGTGAGGAAACAGAAGAGGAGGTTGAATTACTCTCAGTCTGATTGTTATGTATGAATTTGAATTGGACAGTATTTTTCAAGGCCTCGCTTTCTCCAACAATTATACAATATGGAATGCGGTTATTTGAGGCATAATCAAGTTGTTTCCTAAGTTTTCCATTTCCTGTCAAAGAAATTTCACAAGGAATGTTTTTGTCCCATAATAAAGATGCAATTTTGAATCTATATTCAAACAAAGAATCTCCAACATTACATATGAGTATATCCGTAAACGATCCTTTTGAGGAGTAATTAATAGTATTACTACTCTCAAATTTCCTTTCAATTATGCTCATTATACGTTCCACTCCTACAGAAAAGCCTACAGCAGGGATACTTTTTTGTGAAAACATTCCAATAAGCTGATCATATCTTCCACCAGCTGCTATACTACCAACATTTAAGTCATTTGAGATTAATACGGCTTCATAGATAACCCCAGTATAGTAGTCTAACCCACGGGCAAGGGAAAGATCAAAGGAAAGATAATTAAGACAGTTACTGCAATTTTCTGTATATTTGAAGAGAGTCTGTAGGTCATCTATTGCTTTAATTATGTTTTCATTTGACATCATTTCTTTATTTGATTTGATTTGTTCAATAACATTAAAAGGATTTCCTTTTAATTGAATAATTGATCCGATTTTATCAACACAACTTTCTGATATACCTTTAATATTAATCATTTCATTTCGAACACTATCCCATGGCTCCTTATCAAGCTTATCAATAGATGAGCAAGCTGTTTTAAATTTCTCACTAGGTACTCCTGAAATCTCAAGAATACCATCCAAAAGTTGTCTATGGTTTACCTTTATTATAAATTGTCCAATCCAATTAGAAAAGGAAGATAATACTTGGGTTGCAATCTTAATGATTTCAGAATCTGCAACCATTGAATCATAATGTCCAACAATATCCAAATCACATTGGTAGAATTCCCTAAATCTTCCTCTCGCCATTTGAGGTTCATCTCTTCTATATACTTTTCCAATTTGGTATCTTTTAAGGTGGTCAAGCCCAGAAGTTGCAATATATCTTGCCAAGGGGACAGTCAGGTCATATCTAAGTGAAAGCTGTTCTCCACCTTGATCTTTTAAGTCATAAATAAGCTTGGAATCTTCTCCATATTTGCCTAAAAGGGTGTCTTTAAGTTCAAATACTGGAGTGTCAATTTCGACTGCTCCGTGAGCTCTATATACTTGTCTTATAACTCCAAAAACTAGATTCTTAATTGCCATCTTTTGAGGAGCAACATCTTGTGTTCCTTTTGGAATTTTTGGACGTCTGATAGACTGGTTCTGAGGAGTTGTAATGGATTTCAATTTTGAATCCAGTCTAAAAATTTGTCCATCTTGGAAAAGTTCTAGTACTTGAGAGTAGATACCATTTTCAACATCATTTTTGGTTTTTTTAAGGAGATTAGATTCTGTTATTACACTAATCATAAGCTGTCTAAATTCATGAATATTCTTTGATTCGTGAGAAGCTATTGAAACTTCATTCTTACCTTTCTTTTTGGCCTTTTCAATACTGGATATATACTGTTGGTAGTTCTTATCAGCAAGCTTTTGTAACGATAAAATACACAAGATTGAAAAGATTTCCAGATTATGATTAATTAACTCTTTTAATCCATGAATTAAGTCTTTAAAACCGTCCATTGTGGAGACTCTTAATACTTTAGACAAGTCTAAAGAATTATTAATCAATTCATTTATTTTTAAGTTAATATAACCCAAATTTTCCATAGTTAAAGGAGTTACAGATTTTAATATTTGCTCAATATTTAACCCATGTATTGATATTTCCGAATTTAAATCAAATTTAGAAAAATCATTCACAGAAATGATTTCTTCTTTGCTTGTATCCCTTAATAGCAGATCCAGAAATTCAAGACTGGATCTCTCCATGTAATAAAGCGAAGAAATGACCGTTTTAAGTGGTTCTAAAATTGGCATAATCTCAATATAATCAATAGAATGTTCGATACCTTTTGTACTTGTAGTTATATTACCGCTTTTGAGGAAGAATCCCTTAATACATTTAGTAAGATTTTCAATGGAATTTTGAAGAGTTCCCAATGAACATATAATCTCAGACAACCTTACTCCAAGATCCTTATTCTTCCATCTAATTTCTCTTTGAATTTTTGAATCTTCTAGAAGCCACCTAATGTTTCTTGTAGTTTCAGCTAGACCACCAGTAGAAATTGATGATAAATGAGTTAAAAAGCATAATGGGAAAGACATTGCCTCTACTAAAATTGCCAAGGTACATTCCCCAAAGCTTTTCAAGGTAGAAGAAATTCCCAAATAAAGTGCAAGCTGAGATACTTTCACGGAAAAACCTTTTGTAAAGGCTTTTGCATCGCTTTTGGACACTTTTAGTCCTGAAAGCCTTACATACTCTTGCAATAAATTTGTTAAAGTCAATTCATCTGTGCTAAAATATTTTACCTTAACTGAATTTAAATTTCTGTTTCTTAACTGCTCAAGCAACCAAATCATTATTTTTTTGGATGTTCCGTTTCCCTCCATTGCCATTCCCACAGCTTTTGTAAGCATTAATGCTCTAACTTCACTTAAACTTAATTCTTCAGCCTTTTGAGTCACTTCCTCAACACAACCAGTCCAACAATCACTTTCCTCCAATATTTTCAGATCCTCCTCATTTTCCCTCAACTTAGGTTCCAATAAAAACTCAGATTTATCACTTGTTGATATCAATGCAACATTTTCCAAAGAAATCCCACCAGTTCCAATAAATAAACTCGTTGCTCCGTTCTGTGCCATTTAATTAACACCTCCTATCAAATATTCTATAACTTTTGCTTCTTTTTTTCCAAAATCTACCTTTTATTTCTTTTCTTTAAACTTTTTTTTATTATTTTTTTTTAATTTATTTTTGCAGTGTTTTTTTTGACACGTTGGGCGGTAAACCACTTTTTTTGTCTAAATTTTTGATTGCCAATTTGTATATACCGGTGTGATTACATAAAATAATTTAATAAAAAAATGCATAGTGGACATCAAACCAAATTTTTACAAGAAAAAAATATTTAATAGAACCCACAAAATTTAATCAGAGGAAAAATTAATTAATCATAAATCATGTAAAATTTCTACTGTCAAAAAAAATTGGCTAAAATACGAGAATATATTTGTAATCAATTCTAGATTAATTCTATTAGATATATATTTATCATCCCTTCTTTTTTTCAATATCACAGGAATGTTAGAGATTATTCCCTCATTCTTTTTTAAATTAAAAATATCGATTTCTCTTCCAATTTTAAGATTTGTATAAATTATGTTACTTATTATACATATTCATTAAATTTTAAATATCGGGAAGAATCTCTTTAAAAAGACTGTATTCAGATCTTAAATTTACCTTTGTAAGACTGTGAATTTATTATATTCTACTATAAATCTTTAAAAATTCTTATGAATTCAATAAATATTCATTGCGAAGAATGACCATATTGTTATTTTGGATATAATAGTTAAGCTGGTAGATAAACTAATAAAATTCAGGATTTCTATTAATCATTTCTACTGGGTTTAATGCCCTAAATGTTTTCATTTCAGCTGATTCTACCTTACTGCATGTTAATGTATTCAATATACACCCAGACAAACCACTTCTTTTTTGAATTTTCTTGATGGGAAGGAATGGATTTGGGCGACTTTTTGTAATTCCATGTACATTATTATTACCTCCAGCTGATGTATTTAAGTTAGGATGATTATTATCTTGGAAAACTTCATTACAATTGACATCTCCTTCCAATAATTTAGATTCATTCTTTGAAGATTGAATGTACTTAAAATCTGCACTACTTTCAATATCTCCACTGTTTTCTTGATTATATCCCGAATATTCGAGTACATCTCCTGTTTGGTCTACACCTTCTCTAACTTGACTTTGAATATCTCTCTCTATTTCTGAGAAGATTTTTCCGGCTTCATCAATTGTACTATTTAATATCTGTGAGTTTGTCTTCAAAGAATTTATTTCATCTTTCTTTCCATCACTTTCAGTAGGTTGATTAACTTGTGATTTTGGATAATGAGAATTGTATTGCTTGAAATGATTATAATTATTATTGCCTGTTCTCATTCCATTTTGATTCTGAGTAAAATTACTGCCTTGATTATCACTGTATGTTCTTGTTTTATTTTCTTCCAGAGAGGATCTCCTCCTACTCTGGGATCTTGAGCGATCATTGTAACTATGATCGTGACCTTTAAAATTAGAAGAACGAGTACCGTAGTCAAAATTGAACTGTTCTTCTTGAAATTCTTTAGGAGTCTGAATTTTTGGAATATCTCCAATACTTATTGAAGAGTCTGAATTTGTATTTGTTGAAAAGTTAATATGTGCCTTTGCATTTCTGCCTCCAGAAATCTCATATTCTATTGCAGGCCCAGTTGGAGTAGAGATGACATTAATATCAACGCCAGGTTTAATATGTAGTTCAGTGACAATATTTTGAGTGTCTGGATCAGCAAAAATTGTTGCTTTGGAGTTATTACTTTCATTATCTGGAAGCATATGAAAAACTATTGTCTGTTTTCCAGATGGAGAAATGATTGGAACATTTTCTGGTGAATTATTCCCCGAATTTCCAATATTATTCCTATTTACTCCTAAAATAGAACATGCTGAGGACCTTGATGTTAAAGAACCTATTCTTGGAGTATTAATGACCGACTTTTTGCGTTGATTAACAGGAGAAATCAATCCTTCAGATGTTTCAACAGGCTCTAAAATACCTATTTTCGGAGGAGGGCCTCTTCCTGTGCTCTTCGTAGGAGAAAGAAGATCAGGTGAAGTTGCCCTTCTAGAGCCAGCTGAAGCTAAGAAATGGTTATTTGGATCGTTTAAATGGTCGAATTCTGATGGGACTCCCAACACAGTGTTTCTATAACGAGATGAAATTGGAGTAGTCAGTGAAGAATTTTCCCTAATTTCATTTGGATTTGTTTCATTATTTCCGTTATTAGTAAAGTTTAATTCATTCATTTCCCCACCAAATTGACCATTTTGATTAACAGATTTTCTACCTATTGCATTATTCATATACTGCATTCTAGAATTTCCATTTCTATAATCAAATTTATTGTCATTTAGATACTGATTTCGATAATCATTCTCGAAATTAAAGTCTTCTCTTACTCCTCGTTCATATTGCCTTTGTGTTGATCCCCTTATTTGAGTGCGTGAGCCACGATTAGCTCTATTAAATCTAGAATTAAAAGCTCCGTTTACTTGAGATCTAACAGGAGAGAATGATCTGCTTCTGAATTGTTCTGGATTAGAAGATTTAATAATTGTTGATATTGTTGGTAATTCATAGTGCCTGGAATACCTTACTAAACTTGCTCCACTTTCTACAAGCCTGTTTCTTCTCTTTTCTGCGTCCAGATCATCATACTCTTCCTCAAAAAGAAATTCTTCTTCAATTTCTCCATCGCTTGGCTCATATTGGGCCCTAGTATCTTGCCAAATTTCACGTATAAAACGTGCTTCATCATAACTTAGGGGTATATCTTTTGATGATTTGGGTTGCAAGTCACCCTTGACATCCCAAGGATTGCGAAATTTTGGTATTTTGCTTACATCTGTTTTTCGCACCCCTTTCTTTATATTTGGTTTATAACTCAATGAATGACGTTTTTTGTGTATCATCTCCATTGGGCAACAACTTACTTCTTCATTTGCAAAATTTGGATTTATTTCATGGTTTACCATTTCATCTTCTTCATAGTATCCTCTATTAATATCATAATATTCCCCTTGGTCATGCTCATAGTGGTCATTGCCGACATAATTTCCATGATATTCTAATAAACCATCATTGTAATTCTGTGCAAACTGGTAATCCATATGTGGATTCATCTGTTGCATTATCCTTTAAAAAAGAACTGTCCTACTTCGCGATATCGTATTATTAGGTCGGGTAATAAATGACCCTAATTATTAGTTTTCTCGCAAATTATTACTTTATATCCCACTTCAAGTTGAATGCTTTTTTGTTCCTAGATTGGTGGTTTTATATTACTTTAGTTCCTTAAACTTTTAATTGAAAGCTTATTACTTTGGTCCTTAATTGTGTGGCATTCCCTTTACATATTATAGCTATCCCAATTAAATCATATTTTTTTTTCTTGAAAGATAATCACACATTTTTCAGAGTGTAAAAAGACATATACGTATCGCATTATCACATTGACTTTTGGATGTGAGAAAAATAGCTAGTGGGAAAAAAATTTAGTTTAGACAAGTAGAGAATAACTTCTTAAAACATAGGGTTTTGTTTTAGATTTACAGGGAACTCTTATTCATCTTTCCCATATACATTTGCAACACATTTTCTTCATATTTTTTTTCTTTTTTTTACATGCTTACATGTATATGTCTATGGTTGGATTTTCTGAATTAGGCATTTTACTTTAAAAAAGAAAATAAAATATACGTAACTTTTTCAAGTAAGAACAAATTTTTGTAAAAATCTTATGCTTATACTACTCTATCAAAGTTTTTCTTTTCCCTTGTTATATAATTTCGTAAATCTATTTTTTTAAGCAACATAGTTTTCTTTAAAATAAATTTGACCTTTAAATTATATTTAGGTTTTAAAGTTTAATGATTAAAATTATTTAATTTTATAATTACATTTTTGTCAATTTAACAGTTTTTGAATTTTTTCTCATTGTACTTCACTCTTTCAATGCCAGAATTTGCGTGCATGTATTTGCAAATTGTTTTCTAATACCGGCCATCAACCCGCCATGACATTTTGGCGGGAATGGTTTGTGGATGGTCTTGTGCATGCTATGCAATTTAAAAGTTTATTATAAAGAAAAAGCAATTAGAAGTCCAGGAATAAGCGGAACGCTGGTTATAAGGAAATTATTTTTCTGGATATGAGACTATGAGTTTGAATCTCGCGATTGCCAATTTGGGAGTAGAGGTAAGTTTATGAATAAATAAAGTATTCTTGCAATTATTGGTGGGGGAGGGGGGGGGAGAAGCAATTTATTAACTCATGGTTTGTATGCAAGTTTTCTTACGCATAGCAAAACTTAACTTGTCTTCGTTAGCTTTACATTTCAGGCGTTCGAGAGTTTGAGCTTCCAAATGTAGATAGTACTACAAATAGTACAGTGAATTGTATTTGTGTATTGTGGTTGCCATATGAGGATCCCTTGGAAATATTTGGGCTTCAACAAGGTATTAGGTGGGATCCAATTTTGGGAAGAAGGTGCACAGGAGTAGCAGTTGCAAGACCATGTACAAAACCCGGGAAGTTAAGATCTCTGGAATGCGATTTTACGACATATATCCATGCATTGAATATTGCCAAAGTCAAGTATGTTCATAACAAAAATCTTGATTCAGTTTCTGATAATTCAGAAAACGAGAGTTATGAAGCATCTAATTCTGAAGTTCCAATTAAAAATAGTATTGGATTTCCTAAATTTGAGGACGCAATCAAGTTCAGTGTTGAATTTCCACACAAATATTACAGTAACCAATGTTTTGAAGATTTTTGTCTTTTTAAGCCTAATTTGGATGAAGTTGATCGTCTTTTGTGTTCTGAAGATGGGTATGAGGAGCCAATACCAATATTTGTTTCACTAGGATATATTTCAGAGACTTCTCAGAATTCCAGAGTATTTAGACCGGCTTCAAAGTGGAGAAGACCAATAAATGCAATTGGAGATGGAAAATATAATTTGCAAAATTCAAATCCAATTAATTGGATTGGTACTGCAGTATTGACAAAAGATGACTGGATTAGAAGTTATTCATCTGGGAAAGTATTTCCGTTAAAGCTTCTTCCTCATTACCAATTAATGTCTCTCGTTGCAGACTATCGTAGGCAAATATTAGACAAAAACAATAACAAAGAAGAGAAAGTAAATTCTCTATTTATAACCTCATTAATGAATGACATTGAAAAGCTTAAAAAGAGTATTTTAAGATCAGATAATAGAAATAATCAAATATCAGATAATGAAAGATATGATGATTTTGGAATTATTCAAGTACAACTTAAAACTTTTATATCTTATCCAATTAAAACGGAAGGGGCATTAAAACCTTTAGTTAGTGTTTACCATCGTCAAGATTTAAAGAATCAGTTTTGTTTGGCAAGCCTTTGCTGTATAGATGTAATTCTTTTAGACAATGTTCCTGCTTGGAGTGACATTGATATATGGGATATGGCACATTCAAAGATTCACATTTGTGTATTATGGAAACATGAAAGAAGAATTCTGCATGAAGGAGGTAATGCATTAGAGTTATTTCCATATAGATGTGTAGAAATCAATGGTCTACCAGAAAATATCGAGTTTAAAGATATAGATGCTATCAAGGAAAAAAATATGAGAATAAGATGTTTGTTTTCCGGAAGGGTATTATTAACCCCAGTTCCAGGTAGTGAGCCAAGCATATACATATATATGTTATTAAATGGTAAACCATTTTCATGTATTCAAAATCCGATTTCTATGAAAGATTTTAACCCTAATCAATTAAATGATCATATATATTATGATATGGATAGAATTGAACCAAGTGTTGAAAGTGTTCTTAAAGAATTTGAGACAAAAGGAAGATATTCTGGGACTTTAAAATGTAAAATTAATGTATGGCCAGATAAATCCAGTTTTTTGTCTAAAAAAGAATATTCTTATCTAAATCTTCGTCCCCAAAAGGGAATTGTGTATAACATATTACACGATTACCAGACTAAAATGCCTGACCATTATTCAGCCCCAACTTTAAGTCCATACGGCGTCTGGGTAGGATATTCAGTCAATGACAAAAGTGAGGAGTTCATTTGTTCTCAGAAATTCCAAAATTTATTTGATGAAGCCATTTATCAAATTGATTCTGCAAAAAATGAAGAGAAGTTACTAATACCCATCGAAGATTATTCAGATGACAAAAAAGTTGATATGGATAGTGCTGATGATAACTTTAATGATATGTATTCTATTAATAAAGAGGCCAATGAAGTCCAAAAATTGGACCCAGAGTATATTGAAGGCAATTTAAAGAGATTTAATCAAGATAAAAAATCTTGTAAACCATATGTACCTCATATGAGCACTTTACTAGGGTCGGGAATACGGCCAGGAGTTGCTGGAGAATGGATTACTTTTACAATTCAATCTAGAGATGAGGATGGAAATAAATCTTCAATTGGCAAGAGTAAAATTCATATTCGTTTAAGATCGGTTGGATATATTAAATATACATTTACAGCTGAACCATATGGATTAGAGTATAAAAATCCCAAAAATGATGCATTAATTAATGTTAGCGAAAGTGAAGTATGTAAAGTTGGTGTAGATCAAATGGATGTTCCAATAGAATGGTGTTCTGTTGAATCTTATTATGGTGTGTATAATTGTAGGATGAGATGTGAGAAATCTGGTCAATATTTATTGAGAATCACAATGGATGGCCTCCCTATAGCAGGCTCTCCATATGATGTTATTATTACTCCATCAATTCCAGAATCAAAAGCATCCTCAACTATTGGTGAGGGGACTATTAGATGTAAAGCATGCCCAACAGTTAATTATATGGTCAATATTGAAGTTATTAAAGCATGTAATGGTAAAATTCCAAAATATATTAATTCTTTTATTGTTATACTATGCGATGAGTTTGGAAATCGTATCTCTACTGGAGGACACCAATTAAAAGCAAAATTTAATTCTAGTATTGGGAAAATACATGCAATATATGATAATTGGGATGGATCTTATGTTATTTATTACACTGTTCATTTGGAGAAAACAATACAAAATTTTGATCAAAAAATCATAGATAAGATTAATTCTATATGTTATAAAAAAAATAATTCAAGCCAGTTAAGAAGTAATACAAGTATAGATCCAACAACAACAACAACAACAACAAGAGCAATAGAGCAAGCACTAGGAATCAATACAAGAGTAACCAATACAAAAATTGATTTTAATAGTGAAGAGCTTGGGGGGTTATTTAATACAAGAAAGATTCAACATATGTCCAATTTTGAATATGATGAAACATTTTTGGATTCAGAAGAAATAATTGTTTCAAATATTTGTGATTTAGAAATTTGTGTTTATTTAAATAATAGACCAATATATGGGTCTCCATTCACTCCATATATAGAAAATTTGGTAGAAATACAAAATTGGTATAAATATGTAGATTTAAATTCTTCAGAAAGTACTGAAAGAAAGTTTGAAAAGTTACTAGAATCTGATGATTTTGAAGGAGCAATAAAATTGATGAAAGAACTAGAAAAGAAATATTTACATGATTTTAAGGTAATATTAGAAGAGTTAGAAAGGAAACCAACAGAACAGGAAAGAATAATGGATAAAGTTGGAAAGATTTCAGACGAACAAGATCAATGGACATTATTACAAAAAAATAAACAACGTTTGGAACAAATTATAAAGGATAATAATGATCGAGAAAATTTGATTTTGACATTTGGAAGATTTTTGTTAAAAAGATTAGAAAGTCAAATGATAAGAAGACAAAGAGTGGATTCTGATTTATCTTCATATAGAATATTAAAAGAGAATAATTTAGAACCATTATGTCATAGTTTAGAAGTTGAGTATAATAAATTCCAACAACAAAGAACAAGAGAATTAATACGTTTAGTATCATTATTAGAAACTAATAAATTAAATTCATTAGAAGAATTAATGGAATTATATCAATTAATTGCTGATGAATTGAGATCATTAGGACGTGGAAATTTAGCAAATCAGTTTGATTTGGTTAATAGATGTTTAATAGAAGAACAACAATTAACAAATATACGTGAAAGTTTACAAAGAAAGAGTGAAGTATTAGCAAAGATGGATGAAATGGTAACAAGTAGAGAGAAAGCATTAGAAATGATCTTATCAAATTATAATGAAGCAATCAAAATGGAGGAGGATCATTTAGATCATGAAATTGATCAAATCAAAGTTGATGTATTAAGAAAGTTAAATTTTAATCCAAGCACAGAAGTACAAACAGAGGATTCATTATCATTCACAGATACAATAGTTGGTCCATTAATATTGGATAGAGTATTAGGTATAAGAGATGATTATTCAAGAAATAAACTTAATAATAATCATAATATGAACAAAAACATTTTTAATAAAAACTTATCTATTTCACCTCATAATGATGATGATTATGCAATTAATGTAATTAAAATGTATTGGAAACCTTTAATGGAATGGGATTTAAAATGTTTTGTTAAAATATTAAAACAATGTCCTAGAATATCAATATGTTTGAGAGAATTGTTTTCATATTTTGCAAACACAAGATGGAAAAATAATGAAACTCAAATGAGTATATATGGTGATTTAGTTAATAAAAATGATGGTGGTAATTATTATTTAATGAATAGAAATAATAATTTTAATAATACAGAAATGGAAGAAAATATGAATGTTAATAATCATAATAATATAATGAATAATATTTTGACAAATTCAAATGATAATTCATCATTAAGATATTTTAATGTTAATAATAATTCATCTTTTAAATCTTTAAAAGATGATATTATGAAACCAAATAGTAAATGGTCAGTAGGATCACCATTTGTTACATCAGATGATCCAAATATGAGTATTTATAGAAAAGCAATGGGAATAACTAGAAATGGATTTAAAAGATTAGTTATTTCATTAAATTTATCACCAGAATTAATTAAATCTGAAAAAATTATTGAAGATTTATTTAATAAGTATAGTATGGAAAGAATATCAAGTAATTTAAATTATGGTAATAGAAATGTAAGGGTAATAACACAGGAATTATGGATACCTTTATTAAGAGAATTAGCATATATTAATGCATTAATACGTTTTGATGTATTAAGACAATCAACTTTGGGTCAAAGTGCAATATTAAGATTACATAAAGAAATTAATGATTTAACAGGAAAAGTTGATTATTCTGTATGGGAAAATAATACATCAAGTATTATTGTTAGTGATAAATTATTAATTAATTTAGAAAATGATGATCAAAATTCTCAAAATAATAACAATAATAATTTGAATAATAGAGAATCAGGGAATCATATTAATCATACACCATCATCAGGAGTAGCAGTAACACAAGATAATATTAAAGATTTAAATAGAGTAACAGCATTTAGACATTTTTGTGAATTACATTTAATACCATTATATAAACAAGTTTATGGAAATGAAGATTTCTCAACAATGTTAATGTTACCATTTTCAAAAGCATTATTTACTGAACAAGATGAATTATTACGTGGATTAGAAATTATTGAAACCAAAGATGGAGGAATTATTGGAGGAGGAATTATTAGTAATCAATTAATTTCTGGTCAAGAATTAATAGAAAATTCAGGTGAAGAATTAATAAAGGGTAAAAAAGGATATTTAGCAAGCCAATCAACACATGAAAGAGTTGAATGTAAAATTAATAATTGTTTAAAGATTGTTGTATCACAATTAAAAATGAATATAGCTTCAGCAATATTTATTCAATTAGCATCAAAAAGTATGAAAGGATTTGAATTTGATATAACACGTGAATTAGTCAATTATAAAAGAATAACAAATGATGATGATATATTAAAAAATTATTATGTAACAGAATTTGATTACATTAAACCATTACAATTATATGAATATTTAACAAGTACAGGTATTATACCAGGTCATATAAGTGGTAATGATATGCATAATATTGTTGAAAAAGTTTTATCATCAAGAGATGAATATTTACCAAAACAACTACCAGTAACTTATAAATATTCAAAATATTTATCATTTCCAGGATATATTGAAACATTATCAATGTGTATAGCTAAAGGTATAGTACGTAAATTATCAGGATCATTATGGAGTGAGGGTGATATAAAAACAGAAGTTATTGAACATTTGGTATTATTTAATTTATATGATACAGTAATAAGAATATAAGATTAAAATAAAGCACCAGCTCTTTTGGCAGCATTAACTGCAGATAAAGCAATATTAGGAGTAGAAATACTAACTCCAACAGAGCTTCCATTTAATATAATATTACCATGATCTTTATTTTCATCCATCATGGAATCTTGTGTAGAAATAACTCTCAATGCAGCTTTTTTACTACTTTCTTCAATTTCTCCAGCAAGAATAATTTCATCCAGAATAAAATAAGCTTTATGAAAATTAAATATAAGATCAAGTTCACAGACATTTCCAAAATATCTATCAAGTACTTCAACATAATGATGTATAATTTCAAGAGCAAGAAGTTCATTATCATTTTTATCAATACAAGCAACAAAATAAAGACTTGCATATCTTTTAACAACAAGTGTATGGCCTTTCCAATCAATAAAGTTACATAATTTTCCCTGTCTATTAATGATCATTTGGGTAACTTCTTTAATAAATCTTTTACGTTCAGATTGTTGGTAAGATGAATACCATTTTTCCAATCTGGTTTTTCCTTGTCTACTAATAAGTAGAAAAAATCTGAACATTATTTATTATTAATATAATAAATATAAATTAATTTGTGATGACTTTATCAAATATATCTTCAATATTAATGATATTTAATTTAAATATAAGATTGGTGGTGATGATGAAGATGATTATGATGATGATTATTTAAAAATTTTTGAATTGTTATTAGCTTATAATCAGTTAAATGGGTAAATAAACGAAGATTTTTGATAATTAATATATAAGATCTTCTACTATTAAAGGAAAAATTGGGTAAAATTTTTTCAAATTTAAAATTTAATGATGGATGCAGGATGAGGGGAGAGGGG